GAGTTGTGTACATTGCCTATAAGAAAAGTGTTGTTTACATTGCTTGGTAGATTTTAGTGAGTTGTTTACATTGTTTGGTACAAGAAAGTTTTGTATACATTGCTTGGTAGAAGAAGAGTTGTGTACATTGCTTGGTAGAAGAGAGTTGTGTACATGGCTTGGTAGAAGAGAGTTGTGTACATTGCTTGGTAGAAGAGAGTTGTGAACATTGCTTGATAGAAGTGAGTTGTATACATTGTTTGGTAGAAGAGAGTTGTGTACATTGCCTGTAAGAAGAGAGTTGTGAACATTGCTTGGTAGAAGGGAGTTGTATACATTGCTTGGTAGAAGAAGAGTTGTGTACATTGCCTGATAGAAGGCAGTTAATTACATTGCTTGGTAGAAGAGAGTTGTATACATTGCTTGGTAGAAGTGAGTTGTTTACATTGCTTGATAGAAGTGAGTTGTTTACAATGCTTGATAGAAGGGAGTTGTGAACATTGCTTGATAGAAGGAAGTTGTGTACATTATTTGGTAGAAGTGAGTTGTTTACATTGTCTGTTAGAAGAGACGTATGTACATGTCTTGATATAAGAGAGTTGTTTACATTGCTTAGTAGAAGAGATTGTTTACATTGCTTGGTAGAAGTGAGTTGTTTACATAGCTTGGTAGAAGAGAGTTGTTTACATTGCTTGATAGAAGTGAGTTGTTTACATTGCTTGGTAGAAGAGAGTTGTTTACATTGCTTGATAGAAGTGAGTTGTTTACATTGCTTGATAGAAGTGAGTTGTTTACATTGATTGATAGAAGAGAGTTGTTTACAATGCTTGATAGAAGTGAGTTGTTTACATTGCTTGATAGAAGAGAGTTGTTTACATTGTTTGGTAGAAGCGAGTTGTTTACATTGTTTGGTACAAGAGAGTTGTTTATTTTGCTTGGTAGAAGAGAGTTGTTTACATTGCTTGGAAGAAGTGAGTTGTTTACATTGCTTGATAGAAGAGAGTTGTTTACATTGCTTGATAGAAGTAAGTTGTTTACATTGCTTGATAGAAGTGAGTTGTTTACATTGCTTGATAGAAGTGAGTTGTGTACATTGCTTGATAGAAGTAAGTTGTTTACAGTGCTTGATAGAAGAGAGTTGTTTACAATGCTTGATAGAAGTGAGTTGTTTACATTGCTTGATAGAAGAGAGTTGTTTACATTGTTTGGTAGAAGTGAGTTGTTTACATTGTTTGGTACAAGAGAGTTGTTTATTTTGCTTGGTAGAAGAGATTGTTTACATTGCTTGATAGAAGTGAGTTGTTTACATAGCTTGGTAGAAGAGAGTTGTTTACATTGCTTGATAGAAGTGAGTTGTTTACATTGCTTGGTAGAAGAGAGTTGTTTACATTGCTTGATAGAAGTGAGTTGTTTACATTGCTTGATAGAAGTGAGTTGTTTACATTGATTGATAGAAGAGAGTTGTTTACAATGCTTGATAGAAGTGAGTTGTTTACATTGCTTGATAGAAGAGAGTTGTTTACATTGTTTGGTAGAAGTGAGTTGTTTACATTGTTTGGTACAAGAGAGTTGTTTATTTTGCTTGGTAGAAGAGAGTTGTTTACATTGCTTGGAAGAAGTGAGTTGTTTACATTGCTTGATAGAAGAGAGTTGTTTACATTGCTTGATAGAAGTGAGTTGTGTACATTGCTTGATAGAAGTAAGTTGTTTACAGTGCTTGATAGAAGAGAGTTGTTTACAATGCTTGATAGAAGTGAGTTGTTTACATTGCTTGATAGAAGAGAGTTGTGTACATTATTTGGTAGAAGTGAGTTGTTTACATTGTCTGTTAGAAGAGACCTATGTACATGTCTTGATATAAGAGAGTTGTTTACATTGCTTAGTAGAAGAGATTGTTTACATTGCTTGGTAGAAGTGAGTTGTTTACATAGCTTGGTAGAAGAGAGTTGTTTACATTGCTTGATAGAAGTGAGTTGTTTACATTGCTTGGTAGAAGAGAGTTGTTTACATTGCTTGATAGAAGTGAGTTGTTTACATTGCTTGATAGAAGTGAGTTGTTTACATTGATTGATAGAAGAGAGTTGTTTACAATGCTTGATAGAAGTGAGTTGTTTACATTGCTTGATAGAAGAGAGTTGTTTACATTGTTTGGTAGAAGTGAGTTGTTTACATTGTTTGGTACAAGAGAGTTGTTTATTTTGCTTGGTAGAAGAGAGTTGTTTACATTGCTTGGAAGAAGTGAGTTGTTTACATTGCTTGATAGAAGAGAGTTGTTTACATTGCTTGATAGAAGTAAGTTGTTTACATTGCTTGATAGAAGTGAGTTGTTTACATTGCTTGATAAAAGTGAGTTGTGTACATTGCTTGATAGAAGTAAGTTGTTTACAGTGCTTGATAGAAGGGAGTTGTATACATTGCTTGATAGAAGGGAGTTGTGAAAATTGCTTGGTAGAAGGGAGTTGTGTACATTGTTTGGTAGAAGATGGTTGTGTACATTGTCTGTAAGAAGAGACCTGTGTACATGTCTTGATATAAGAGAGTTGTTTACATTGCTTAGTAGAAGAGATTGTTTACATTGCTTGGTAGAAGTGAGTTGTTTACATAGCTTGGTAGAAGAGAGTTGTTTACATTGCTTGATAGAAGTGAGTTGTTTACATTGCTTGGTAGAAGAGAGTTGTTTACATTGCTTGATAGAAGTAAGTTGTTTACATTGCTTGATAGAAGTGAGTTGTTTACATTGCTTGGTAGAAGAGAGTTATTTACATTGCTTGGAAGAAGTGAGTTGTTTACATTGCTTGATAGAAGAGAGTTGTTTACATTGCTTGGTAGAAGAGAGTTGTTTACATTGCTTGGTAGAAGAGAGTTGTTTACATTGCTTGGTAGAAGAGAGTTGTTTACATTGCTTGGTAGAAGAGAGTTGTTTACATTGCTTGGTAGAAGAGAGTTGTTTACATTGCTTGGAAGAAGAGAGTTGTTTACATTGCTTGGTAGAAGAGAGTTGTGTACATTGCTTGGTAGAAGAGAGTTGTTTACATTGCTTGGTAGAAGTGAGTTGTTTACATTGCTTGATAGAGGAGAGTTGTTTACATTGTTTGGTACTAGAGAGTTGTTTACATTGCTTGGTAGAAGAGAGTTGGTTACATTGCTTGGTAGAAGGAGTTGTTTACATTGTTTGGTACAAGAGAGTTGTTTACATTGCTTGGTAGAAGAGAGTTGTTTACATTGCTTGGTAGAAGAGAGTTGTTTACATTGCTTGGTAGAAGAAAGTTGTGTTCATTGATTGGAAGAAGAAAGTTGTTTGAATTGCTTGATAGAAGTGAGTTGTTTACATTGCTTGATAGAAGAAAGTTGTGTACTTTGCTTGGTAGAAGAGAGTTGTTTACATTGCTTGGTAGATTTAGCAGTGTACATTGATTGGAAGAATAATATTTATATTGCATGGTAGAAGAGAGTTTGTACAATCTTTGATGAAAGAAAGTTGTGTTAGAAAGTTGTGTATAATCTTTGATGAAAGAAAGTTGTGTTAGAAAGTTGTGTTTGATCTTTGATGAAAGAAAGTTGTGTTAGAAAGTTGTGTATAATCTTTGATGTTAGAAAGTTGTGTACAGTGTTTGATAGAACGTATTTGTGTACAAACTTTGCTGTTAGAAAGTTGTTTACAATTTTTGATGTTAGATAGTCTTGTTGTTAGAAAGTTTTACACAATGTTGATGATACAAGAATGTAATGTATGGTTTAAGAAAATTGTGTATAGTGTTAGTTGTGTACAATATTGCTTCATTGTAAGAAGAGTGTTGCATGGAACAAAGTGTAAATGGAAGTACTGTTATGTAAAGTTAAGCGAAACAATATATTTTTATTTCAAAAACAAATTGAAATTTTCATGTAGGAATTAAATGTTCTTAAAACCTTGAGACATTATAAATTAAAAGCTGAGTTATGTTTCTTTTTCCCCTGTGTTTTAGAGATTTGACTGACTGTGCATTCTTTGTTGTCCAGTTTTATTTTCTCCCATAACTGTCACCATCATGATAGAAGATTAATCACAAAGATTTAGGTATTAAACTGGAAACAATTGTCATATAAAATACACCAGTTTAATGTTGCTTTATTACAACTCAACAATGTCTAATTACCAAAAAAACCATGCCAACTTCACGGCAAGTTTAATTATGTACAGAAACACAATACTTAGTAACTGGAGTGGATTTTATTTACAGTTGAATGGATTATGAATTCACAGTAAACATTAATTTATTGGTGGCACTTGCTGTTAACATTGTGGTAACATGAATTTACTGTCATAAAACAGTTGAAGTAATACTTCATTGTCACCTGCCAGACCCAACAAGTTGCTTTTGTTCACTGTTAATGGGTGCACATTTCAAGTTGTCACTCTTTATAAAACATTTATTTTTTTAATCGCTCTGGGATTGTTTAAATATAATGTAATCTGTTAACTTGTAAAGGTTTAAGTTCCATGTTTGCTGATAAATTCAGATATACATGTAATTATGTATAGTGTCAACTGAATGATTTAGTTAATCTCTCTTGGGAGGCCTCCATTGCTGAGTCATTCAGGTTGCTGACTCTGAACCACTTGCCCTCACTGCTGTGGGTTCAAATCTCATCACAGATCAAAACTTGCTTATCCTGACAAGGTGCAGTTGTTAGACAAGGGGCATAACTCTGAAAGCAATATATTTTTATTTATGCCCCTTTTTAACTTTGACTTTTTAACAGACAAGTGTTACGCGGTGTTCTTGTTTTAATAAGCATCTCTGTTTGAAGGATAGGGAGAGGTATTGCACTCACATCGGCATTAGTGACAGACTTTCGTTAAGTTTTTGCATGCAAGTTGGGATCTCCAAAACTTAGCTGAATGAAATGGGTTGAAACATCATACACTTATTTAGACCTTTTAGTTAAAAAAGTCATTTGGTTAAAAAAAGAAGTATAACTGTGGAGCCATAAGTCAGTAAAAACAGAATGCTGGTAAAAAAAATTTTTTCTATTTTCAGAAAAGCTGGTGGGCTACCAGATGGGACATTGTCAATATTAAAGTAAGTTGAATTATTAAGATATAAGATATTGTTATCAGATCAAACTCGTGGTAAGTCTGTTGGTGTCATGGAAAGAAACAAGTTTGTGTCCTGTATTGGGCATAAAGCTACTCTATAATATTTGGTTCTGTATGAGTGGCAAAATAATGGTATGTCTTATAGTAATATGAAGGGTGTCCTTGGATGAGTGGATAAAGTGGTTGACTTCAAACCTCTTGCCCTTTACCACTGAGGGTTTGAATCCTAACAGGGATTTTGGATTCTTGTATGTGAAGAAGCTAGCCAGCTGGCTTAGGGACGTCGGTGGTTCTACTGAAGTCTTCCTCCACCAGTACACAAAGAAAGTCCCAATAATTATGAGCTATAGTGTGTTGGTGCAGCATAAAACACAACCAAAAAATAAAAGAAGAACCAAATTGCAATATGGTGTTTGTAAATGTTGCGAAATGTAAAATTGTGACAGTGATGCACATGGGTACAGTCATTGAATGACAGTGCTTAGGTTTGACCAAGCACCCCTTAGGTATATTTTGGAACTGTCCATTATCAAGTTTCGGAACATGAAAAAGTGTACAACCTCAGGTCAAATGGCAAGGTTTTGCAGGCTTCCCTGGCTCTATACAGGTGGCCATAGCTAATTATTTTCATTTGCTGAAGTTAAGGGTTAAAGTCATTTTTGTGTCATCTGCTACAGAGTAGCAGTGACATATAGGGATCACTTCTCTGTTGTCTGTCATCCCTGTGTAATCGTAAGAGCCAACTAAATGGGTGCCAGGAATAATTTTAGTCTATGCATCTCTTAGCTCGAACAGGTGAGGTGGTTTTGAAACACGTGATGTTGCTTTAAGATTGTAACACCCAAGGTTAGCCAAAATGATCTTTCCTGTTTCGGGGCCATTTAACCTCAATTGTGTCGGTGCTCCGTAAAACCAAACAAAACAAAATAATCTTGTTGAAATCTTACACATCTATACATAATTGCTGTCAGTTTATTATCTTTACTGAAGTCTGTCTGGACTGAAATGTATGAGAATTTTGTAATTAAATAATTTTTGTTTTTTGTTTTATGATGGCCTAAAAAAACAAAGAGAGATATGTCTGAGAAAGAAAGAAATCTTTAGAAACAAAGAATTCGTTTGTGCAGAAAAGTAAAAAGAATATCAGTTAACTGTGACAGTGATTGATAAGTAACTGTAACAGTGAATAGTTTTCAAAATGCCTATGCTGAAAAACTGCTTATACACTACATCATGCATTCACCAGACTCTAGCTATAAAGCATAGCATAAAAACAGAAGTCACAGAAATGTTTTCTGAAAATTACACTTTGTCTTAAAGAGCAAAAACTGATCACATGTTTCAGCTATTCATGCATGAAAATTTAAAGATGCATGCACTTATATAATCTGTTTATAAAACACACACTTTCATACAATTGCGAGTAACAGTTGTTTCTTCCAGTCTTATGGAAGATTCTAAATTTTTTTTCTGAAAAGTTTCTTGATTATTTTTATACAGAAAATATTGTTAGATAATATTTTGTGAGGACATTAATTTGTAGATTTTGTTATTTTTTGCCCATATATAGTACATTAATTTTTAGCTAATGTTATCTTGCCCCTCTGAATACAGTATGCTCATGACCTCTTGCCCACCTTAATTTTACAATTCTTGTTTTCTAGTCTACCTTAGTACAATAATTATGCCCATGTCTTCTTGCCATTCTTAGTACATTTTGCTAGTGTGTGCTAGAAATATTTGAGGGGCAATGACAGCTGAAGTTTAAGAAAGTTTTCAAATTATCCTTTAAGACATGCAATAACTGGTCTTTTTGAACCATAGTTGCAGGGTTTTTTCTATAGTAGTTGGACTACAAGTGACTTCATTTTGAACCTTGAAATCATGTAGTGTGAGATTTATCATGAATTAAACAAGAAACTTAAAACACTTTGATCACCCCAAAACAGTTTTGGTTGTCAAAATTTGTATCAAATTATGATGACAGAATTAATACTCAAGTTTTGGAGGAGATAAAAATGATCATATGCTTGAGGTAAGCTAATTAGACACAAGTTCTGATTTGTGTGGATGCTGTTTCACTCCAATTACATTAGAATAACATTAAAATAAGTCAAAGCAAAGTAAGTATGAGTTTGTCTACCATTTGATACTGTTTGGTAATTCTTAACTAAGCATTACCGTCTGCAGGTAGCCTGTTAATCATGTCATACAGAGGTCTGCTCATTTCTTCATCTGCTTCATGTAGGTGTTTGATAATTGGTATTCTACTTCAGCTAGGTGCTTGGTAATTGACTCCGGATCTTGTAGATGCTTGTTAATTATTTCTGACTCTGCAGAAATCACCTGCAGATTTTATCAATTAAACTGTCAGCTGGCAATGAAACTGTCAGAGGGTCTGAAAGTTCATATAACCTTTATTAGTGGATATTCTTCCTCATTTTAGTTAAAAGCATTTTATGACTTTACAGGATATTTTGGTCTGCTAAGAAATGAAGCTTAATGAATAATGGTTACTTTTCATTGTGTGTTTGAGTTGTGACACAATGAAATTCACCCCATAGAAGTTTAGCATGTAGTTAAATAACTTGACATTTTCATTTTTCCAAGGACTCTATAATAATCCTCTGGTAAGAAATCTAACAAAAAAGATATAAGACTAGTTGATACAAATTGGAAAGAATTCTTAGAATTTTGTAATTTTGTCAAGATTGCTTTATGAAAAAGGCATTATAAGTTGGTATTTTGTGATGATATTTAAGTTTATAAGAGACAGTGATTATAAGCCCTAGCAAAAAATCTTGGTACCACCCCTGGCTTATCAAAGCAGTAAAGCAATAAACACTGTCCTTAAGAGGTTAATTAAGGACTCTACTTTTCACATCTTAAACATATTTATTTTAGCAAAATTATGAAACAAAATTTTTGCAACTTATAAATTTCATTATGCTCAAGTCCAAGACCTGAGTAGGTCTGAACTCATAATTCCTGGGTTGGAACACCTTAACCACAGTGCAAGGATTTAGGCATCAAACTCATAAATTCTTTAATGATAAAATTCTGGGTCCATGAAATGGACTTGAAAGTGATTTAAATAACTGAAGTTTATACTAAAGCTTAAATAATATATATGTATTTGGATAAATAGTGTTAAGTAACATAATTTTAACCTAACTCTGCTGAAACTGAAAGTGATTACCCTTAGACATCAGTTTAAAGCACGTCCATGCAGACTGATTAAGCTCTATCCTGTTGCCTGATTAACTTTAATTTTCTCTCTTATCCCCAAATTTGTTATTGAACTATCCCTATGAATGGAGCTGGCAAAGTCCATTAAAAAAAAATCAACAGGTTAAATGTGCTGTATACTTCCATTATCAGCCTCTGACATAGGAATTCAAGGACAGAATTTTAATACAGTTTACTGCTGTCTTAAATTGACAAAAAGTTAAACAAACTGTAGAGGCATCTGCTTCTAAAAATGATTATCACAAGGAAAAGAATAAACTAATAAATCTGCTACTTTTTGTGACATCATTTGTTTGTAAATTATTGATGTTGTTGGCAATTGTTCCATCCTTTATAGTTGGTTTTATTCTCTTTTATTTCCAGAAAAATATTTGGCTCTGCTGAAATGTCAGGAGTAGAAGAAGTTGTTCCAAATGATATGGATGGTGAGGTTATAGATATTAACAGAAATGGTCCACATCATAACCATACCTCTACGACAGCCAATCAGAAAAGATCTTATGGACCGGTTGTTCGATGGTTGAGGCAATGTCCCAAACATTATCTATGCAAGCATGGACACGGTTGTGTGTATTATGTTTTAGAAGTAAGCTTTACTTCTACTTTCCTATGTGTAAAACACTGTTGCTTTTGGAACTAATTTCTCGGCTAAGTTTTTGAAAATGAACAGAGAAAGCTATCCGACTCACCAAGGTGTCCAAAATAATAACAGAACATTTGGTTAAGCTTTTTTCATGCAAATTTATTTCTCATTAACTATTGAAAGTAAAAGATATTTTCTTAATTGAAACATATCTGATATCTTTTGGGTCATTGCTATAGGTATTTAACCAAGATCCATAACGCTAGCTAAATAGAAAGAGAATTGAATTGTAATCCAGGGGTGGCTGACAAGGCAAAATTGCTCCTGAAAATTGATCTTGAATATTGAATCTAATGACCATTTGTTTCTCCCCACTGATTCAGAAATCATGTGGGATTAGTAGTCAGTCACTTGCAGAAAAATTGGATAATTACTGGTTAGTTATTGTGGGAGGCTGAAAAAGTACACCATCTGCTGAGATACTGTATTACCAAAACACAAACTAACATGGGCTTTCCCCTGACAGGACTTAAGGACTGTTTTTAAGTACAGAATATCATTTTGTGTGTTGTCTTATGTTACACCTATTGTTTTAACCATGCAGGGAATAAATCAAGGAACAAATTTTAGATTTAAGTTTTTGAAGATTAATATTAGCTTGTAAAGATATTAAGGATCTACAGGGAATCATTTTGCCATCACAGCTGTGGGTCTGATTCCATTTACTTCTGACTTCAGTCACTAACATAGTGGTGATAAGTCTCAATCAATAAAAAAACTTTAAAGTTCCCATATATAATTAAAGCAGTGTCAGTTTGAATACAAAAAAAAATAAAATAAAATTCCTCTATAATATAAGGGAGGAAACTCTATTTTCTTACTTTCTTCATAAAATTAGGAGTGATTTATCTTAAAAATTTCTTCAAATATTATAATACAAACTTTTAGGTCCATTGAAAGGTACAGTTTTCTTTTACATTTTGTGCTCAAAAATGCTTAGAATACATGAAAGATATTGATGTTATTGATCTAATTGATTTCAGGGTAGTGTAAAGATGTTTGGTATAGGATATGCGTTACAAGGAGCAGTCAAACTAGTTAGTTCAATAAGTCGTGTGTTCAAACAACCCAAGTCTGTGATAAAATCCCTAGTCCATATAAACAACTTCCAACTTGGTGCCTTCTTAGCAAGTTTTGTAGGAATCTATAGAGTGAGTATTATATTGTATTTAATTTGGTGAAGAGTGCTTCAGAAGTGGTGAAGACCACTGACAGGACAGGCATTTTTTTAGGCCTATTTTTTTAAAGAAGTTAATGGGTAATATTTCCAATGGATATTTTTTTCTCCCAAACTCTCTGACAAATATAACCAGTTGAAACTTTCAAACGTTATGAATTCGTTATTGTTGACTACTGTAGAATTTTCTCTTTGCCTCTTTTGACAGGTATTCCTGAATATTTTCACAGGAATTGTCCCTATTAATCTGAACAAAACTATTCTTTTATTAAATTTATGGGACAATTTCAAAATGTGTACTCACTGAATAGAAAACAGTGCAAACCACAGTCAGAAAGCACAGATGTGTCAGCTGATCTTAGTCTGCAATGGTTGTATGAGTATACAGTAGGCTGTGGTTCAATGTTTTAATGATATGTGATTGTTTTGTGATATTTTACTTATTTAGGCATTGAATTGTTTGTTAAGATGGTTACAATGATATATGATATTTTACTTGTTAAGGCATTGAATTGTTTGTTACGATAGTTACAATGATATGTGATATTTTACTTGTTTAGGTATTGAATTGTTTGTTACGATGGTTACGGGAGAAGGATGAGGCATTACATGGACTTGTAGCCGGATTTGTGGCTGGTTGGTCAATGTTGTTTTATAAAAGTCAAACTGTAGCCTTATATACAGCTCTTAAACTATCAGAGGTAAAGTTTATGTTTATTTATAAAATATAAAACTAAAATGATCATGTATTATCAGTATTAAAAAGAGGTAAGTTAGGGCATCCGTAGCTGAGTGGTTAAAGTCATTGACTTAAAACCACTTACCTCGCACTGCTGTTGGTTCGCTTCCTGCCAGAGACTTTGGATACTTTAAAGTGAGGAAGCTATCCAGCTAGTTTATTGAACGTCGGTGGTTCTACCCAGGTGCCCGCTGGTGCCTGAAATAATGCACTGAGAGGCACCTGAGATCTTCCTCCACTAATAGTCACTTTATGACCTATTCTGTGTTGGTGCGACTTAAAATCCAACCAAAAAATGAAAAAAGAGAGGTTCAGTTGAGATGAGAAAATAGTAAGATTTATGAGTGGATAGCTTAATAGGTGGTAAATTACCTTATCCAAAGGATTTGCCCATATTTCACTGATGAACAAACAAGTTGTCTAATTTGAATTCACACATTTAACATTTTACCTTCTGAATTTGTGTAATGCGCTTGCCTTTCTTTCAGTGCATAGAGAAAATTTTGTAGTTGCATGGCATAAATGCAGTGGTACCCCTAAAATTAAAGCTCTTGCAAAACTAATTATTATATATATTATGTATATAGGAGTCACCCGGTGGTCGGTCGGTTGGTTGGTCGGTCTGTCGGTTGGTCAAGCGGTTTGTTGCATTTTCCTTGTCCGGGGCTTGAAAACTAATGATTGGAATTCAATACAACTTCATACAATGGTTAAGCACATTGAGAGGAAGTGCAGTGCACAAGAACCATAACTCTATCTTGACTAATTACAGAGTTATTGCCCTTTGTTACTTTTCCTTGTCCGGGGCATAACTTGAAAACTACTTGTTGGAATTCAAAAAAACTACATACAATGGTCAAGCACAATAAGAGGAAGTGCAGTGCGCAAAAACCATAACTCTATCTAAAGTAATTACAGAGTTATTGTCCTTTGTTACTTTTCCATAGCTTTTTTTGTCCGGAGCTTAACTTGAAGACTAATGTTTGAATTCAATACAATTTCATACATTGGTCAAGCACATTGAGAGGAAGTGCAGTGCACAAGAACCATAACTCCATCTTGATTAATTAGAGTAATTGCCCTTTGTTATTTTTCCTTGTTGCGGAGCATAACTTGAAAACTACTGGATGGAATTCAATACAACTTCATACAATGGTCAAGACCATTGAGAGGAAGTGCAGTGCACAAGAACCATATTTCCATCTTGACTAGTAACAGAGTTAGTGGCCTTTGTTACTTTTCCTTGTCCGGAGCATAACTTGAAAAGTACTGGTTGGAATTCAAAACAGCTTCATACAATGGTTGAGCACAATAAGAGAAAGTGCTGTGCATAAGAACCATAACTCTATCCAGAGTAATTATAGAGTGATTGCCCTTTGTTACTTTTCCATTGCTCTTTCTTGTCCAGAGCACAACATGAAAACAACTAGTTGGAATTCAAAACTACTTCATACAAAGGTCAAACGTATGGAGAGAAAGTGCAGTGCACAAGACCCATAACCATAACTCTGTCCAGAGTAATTATAGAGTGATTGCCCTTTGTTACTTTTCCTTGTTGCAGAGCATAACATGAAATCTACAGGTTGGAATTCAATACAATTTTATACAATGGTCAAGTATATTGAGAGGAAGCGCAGTGCTTACAAACCATAATTCTTTCTTGACTCATTTAAGGGTTTTTGCCCTTTGTTACTTTTTATTGTCCAGTGCATAATTTGAAAATAAATGGTTGGAATTCAATGAAACTTCATACAATGGTCAAGCGCAGTAAGATGAAGTGCAGTTTACAGGAACCATAACTCTATTTAGACTAATTACATAGTTATTGCCCTTTGTTCCTCTTTGTCCAGTGCATAACTTGAAAGCTAGTTGTTGGAATTCAATACAACTTCATACAATGGTCAAGGACAATGAGAGGAAGTGCACTGTACAATAACCATAACTCCATCTTCAGTATTTGCAGAGTTATTGCCCTTTGTTCTTTTTCCTTGTCTGGTGCATAACTTAGGAACTAATGTTTGGAGTTCAATGCAACTTCAATAAAATGGTCAAGCGCAATGAGAGGAAGTGCTGTGCTCAAGAAGCATAACTCTTGCGGACTTATTACAGAGTAGTTCATTACTACTTCATAAAAACTTCATCTATGGTCAACCACAGTGAAAGGAAATGCAACATACAAGAACCACAACTATCTTTAATTGCCCACAACCGTAACTCTATTTCAATACTTTTACAAGGTATTCTGTTACTAGTCACTTCCTCATTTCCGAAGCAGTTTTGCGGGGGTATTAATCACATTTAGTGATAGTTCTAGTTTTTAATTTAATTTTAATTTTAATTATTTTATAATTTCAGATGTTGTATTTTAAAGGCATAGCTAGCGGGTCAGTGCCATATATCAAATGTGCTGATATAATCATATACAGTATTTCAACTGCTATTGTCTTCCATGCTGTAAGTATACTTTGTTTATACATTTATTTATCAATAAGCTTGCAGCTTATATGAACGACCATAAGTCATCTTCCAGGATTAAACGATAATGGAGTCATTAGAGATAAAGTGCCCTGGTTGCTATTGTTGTTGTTGATCACTTCTAGCAGAATTAAGGCATTTGGTCTATTTTTTTTGCAGAAAACTTGTCGGACATTACCAAAACTTGTGACAAAGGGCACAAAGTATGACATTTTGATAACATGAAATTTTTTATTCATCATGCCCTTTGCTGTATCTTTCAATGAAAGAAGGCTACCAAATATATATATTTCTTGGAGTATCAAAAAGTATGATATGATATATATCTCACAGATATTATTATTGTATCTCACCAAACAGCATAAGATATACAGAGGCAATTACATTTTATATTTCAGGCTGTTATAGAACCACATAACCTTAGACCAGCATACTGGAACTTTCTACTCAGGGTAACTGGGAACAAGTGAGTAACAATAGGAGTTGTCTAAATATCTTAAATGGACTTGTCCATCTTACAATCTGGACAAAACCATTCATCATTTTTAGGGAAAGTTAAAAATATATTCTGTGACTGAATATATAATATATGAATATAACATTGCAGACCTTGAGAAAGTAGAACTGGCATTGAGGTTAAAATACTTTTCTCCGAGTTCTCTCTCAAATCTCAAGACTTTGCACTGGTAAATATACGTTCTTTGACAGTTTTTGACCAATCAAATACTTGAGATCTAAATATGAGCTTAGCAAATTTTTTTTATAACCTCGGACCCTGGACACATAAGTAGAACTTGTTACCACAAGCAGGCCAACAGTTTGAAAAAAGCTTTTGTTATATTTTCGTTCACTCATATTTCAAGTTCAGATATGTAAAAAGTAACACTGAGCAGCTTCAATTAAGGTATTTGTGCTATACAGCATACTGGGATAGGAGTTCAATAAATTTGCTTGTGTTGTATGTCTTGATATCTGATTTCAGAGTTTTATTTGTTAAGATTTAGTAATACACAATAAATGTAGTCTGTTGCTTATGTGACCAGATAACATTATGAAATGATTAACTGCTATTATTTGTTTTTTCCTATTATTTATTCATATATTGATGGCATTTTCAGATTTGCAGGAATGAACAGAAAATTGCTGGATCCCTGGGTACCAAATTGTTCAAAACTATTCCCGGACTTCTGGCCGGATTATGACTATAGATTTACAAATCTGAGAAAACCATAGACCTTGTGATACAGTAGCGGACTTTTTCCTGTGTTTATTTATATCAGCAGTTTCACTGTAAACAGATGTCCTGAAAATAATTTGGAAATACAGTACAACCTGTGTAGAGCAACACCCTTTGGGTAACAATGATTTTGGTTGTTGCAGAGAGGTTGTTGCTTTACTGAGGTTAAATTTAATTTGATGTAGAATTGATTACTGATGTTGTAAAGAGGCTTTGCTCTATACAGGGCTGGTTTGTAGAGGTTACACTGTAACAATAATGGGATTATGCAATTGTGATAATAACGTTAAATTTTTACAATTTTTATACATGTTGTATCACATACATACCTGTTATAAACAAGCTTAAGCCGTAAATGTAATGACCGGCTCATGCTGGAAATATTCTGTAGCTACCATCAGAAGAAGGGTTAATGATAAAGAATAAACCATTTTCTTGACTGTTTAGACAAGTTACCATGGAAAACTTCATCTTTTGTATTTCACTTCCTGCCTCATGTATTTGTTACTGTAATTTTCCTTATAGACAATCTTATGTGTTCATGTTAGGACATGCAACCTGTTACAGAACTTTTTAACTTCCAATTTCAAATCATTGCCAAATTAATAAGAAATTCTGTAAGTTTTTAATCTGTCAATCAGCAACATGCCAAATGATTTATATTCATTTATTGATATCCAAACTGGTTTAAAGTAATAAAGAACAGGGTATTATAAATTTTGTACACAAGTATGAAATGAGACCACTCATTGATAACATGTTTGCCAAAATATTTAGTGACATGTACAAATGAAAAATACCATACAAATACACATATCTTATGAAATGTATTGTTTTGTTTCATTTGTTCTCTTTTATTTTAATTTGATTAATAATTAAATATTAAATTTATTTATGTTACAAATAAAACATGATTTATATTGGCAATTTGAAAATTGTTGACTGACTGATCAGTATAATTTATAACATTTTTTTTTTGTTTTTGTTTTTATTTGATATAATACATGTATAGCTATTACTTAAACTAGGAATCAAACATTATTTAAATTAATTTTTATGTTAAATTTAGTTGTATTGAAGCAGAATGTATGTTTTTCTGAATTAGCTGACATTATTTTAACCTTTACTTTGTTAACTTCTGTCATAGATCTACTTTTGAATACCGTATAGTTTATTCATAGAAGTTTCAGGGATTTTGAAATCAAAATGTTAAAATGAGGCTGCAATTAGTGTAGAGTCTGGTCAGAGAGCACAACATTTTTAATGTGTAATTTTAGTCAGTTTCACTGCTGGTATTTAACCTGCTGGATTTGTGTATGGAATTGCTTTTCTATGAATTCGGAACAATCCATCTGAAGTTAAAGAAATTTCAATTTCAAAATACAATAATTGAGCTATTAACTGTATAGAACATGGTCGTACTGCATGAAGGTACAGCCTGGCCTGCTGTATACGGACAGCAAAAGGTGATCACACTCAGTTCCTGCAGGTGAGGACATTGTGCATAAAGTAAACAAACTTTGATGATATTATTATTGTGAGCATAAAAGCTTCACTGCTTTTATCTCTGAAATTTCAAAAGCAAAGTTTGGTTCATTTTTTGGGAACAATCTGATTGCTTGGATGGGGAAAATGACATTTGAAAATCTAATCCATCAAGTCACTAGTGATACTAAATCAGGCTTAATTTTATGTCGATGTAAGATAAAACTAATTTTAAGCATCATTTAATAGAACTTAAATAATAGAACTTAAATAGAATTTTATAGAACTTAAATTGATTGAATACTTGTAGACATGATAACAATAGAAAAACATGTAATCTGAGACTTAGTTAATTGAACATTACTTTTTATTAATTTTGCTCATTTGTATTTTTCCTAAAGAAAAAGGAAATAGTTATGACTTATGTTTTATAATTATGTTTTGCATACATGCTGATATATATTTATATGATTGAATTTTGATATAAATACTCTATGAATTTTACTTTGTTGTTGTTGATACTCTTCACCTTGAAAACTTAGCATAACTTAATTTATAGATCACCTTCTCTGACATATTCAACAATAGATTTATCCACAAACATTGACATGTGCTTTTGTTAACAAATATGTTATGATGAATTTCTTATTGTATCCACCAATCTGATAATTAGTAGAGTTAGACAGGTTAGGGATCTAAGCATTTAACTCTTTAAACAGTTGAATTTCTTCAAAGCACTTGACCAGCGTCCAGTTTTGGAACTTTTCTATTATATCAGGATGAAAATTGAAGGTTAGCAAACAAATAAAAAAAAAACAACAAAAAAAACCTGCATAAGTGCATTTTTGAAAACAAGAGGGCCATGATGGCCCTGAAATCGCTCACCTGTACATAGGCCCCCGGGGCAGGTCCAATTTTATCCCAGGGGCTTTTATTTGAACAAACTTAGTAGACACCCATTAGAAGATGTTTCATGCTAAATATCTTAGCTCTAGCTCTTACGGTTTTTTAAAAGATGATTTTTTTATAATTTTTTACTATATACATAAAGGGAAAAACAATGACCCCCTGGGGCCGTGCAAAGTATGACCCCAGGGCTTTATTTGAACAAACTTGGTAGACACTCACTAGAAGATATTTCATGCTTAATATCTAAGCTCAAGCTATTTGGGTTTTTTAAAAGATTTTACTATATATAAAATAGGAAAATCAATGACCCCCCGGGGTGGGGCCAATTTTGACCCCAGGGCATGTAATTGAACAAACTTGGTAGACACTGACTAGATGATGTTTCATGCCAAATATTTAAGCTCTAGCTCTTTTGGTTTCGTAAAAAGATATTTAAAATTTTTCTTTTGGTTGATCATGATGGCAACCATCGTTTTGCTTGGAGTTAAATTCTTTGAACAATTTTTAAAGTTGACTACCAAAGGTACATTCCTGTGAAGTTTGGATGAAATTGGCTGAACGGTTTATGAGATGTAGTTTAAAGTAAAAGTTTACGGCTGGATGAAAAGCGATCACAAAAGAGCTAAAAATGGGCTAATTATGATTTCAATTTGATTTGTTGATAAAAAAAAGTCCCTCAATTTCCTTGCTCTAAAATTGACCTAAAACTTGTTTTGAATATATAGTCTAGATTGCGCAACAAATTCTTACACCCTATATTAATCACTTTCGAGTCTGCTTTCTGGAACTAACCAGTACTGGTGTCATATGAAGAAACATGATTGTGACCCCGAGTAAGGCTCCACCCCATAATCTCTAGGTTGATAGACAGACACCATAACAACTAGGCTATATAACTTGTGATTTCTTATTAAATTATCCAATCGGATTACAAAACAAATCCATTTGAAAATAGCTTTTGTGACTACCAATTAAATAAATAAATCTGGACAAATTCTTATAAGGAAGGAAAAATAAACAAGAAATAATTTTTTTTTAATTAAAGTTTTTTATTCACACATTGCATGTCTAAAAATAATTTCAATAAAAGTGTAACAATTAATAACAGGCACTTATATAAGAATAAATCATCTAATATAATTTAAAAATAAGTCTATATAGAACATGAAGGCTAGTCATATTGAAACACAGTAGTAACAGAAATATGTACATGTCAACATACATGTAATGTGTAGGTCCAGCATCCCCATGTTATATAATATTTCCAGTAAAATCTTTAAGGGTGTAAAGCAATAATAGGTGAAATACACACAAACAATTTCAAAAACAGAATAGTCACCTCTTTTTCCTTTTTCTCTTGCCGTTTTGGTCTTTATCATAGAGTTTTAATACAAAGTGACTCTGTTATCTGACACAAATAAATTATATAACAAAACAGAATAAAATGTTCCCTAACAAAATATTTAACTTTTTTTAAAAATATGTTTGGTGATGATTACACACATACGCCATTAAGTAGAGCTGCAGTTTACATATACCATACTTTTTTCCGATACTTTATTTTTTCAGTCAAATATTTGGCCAATTACAGATCGTCCAATCTAGCTTTAGACCCTTTGACAACATGCTTAAGATATGTCATAAAGCTTTACACATTTGTGTGAAAAACTACATGTACAGTAGAAATAATGTGGATTCTACTAATTAAATTGGCATTTTGAATAACTGTTGGTATAAAATATCTAATTTTCAACTACATGTACAATGTATCATGGTTTTTACTGTAAGAGGCAAAACTCGTTTGACTAGTACAAATTTAAGGCGACATACAATGTAATAATAATTAAAGCTAAACTTTTATACACAAAGAAATATGAATACCACTCCAGGAAAACCGGGCATAATGACATTGTGTAATAATTTTTAAAATAATGAAAAAAATGTAAATTGTCAAGGTTGTTTTATATTTATGCATGCATGTTTAATGAAATAATTTGCTAAGATTAAAAAATTAATTATCATTATGTTTTTTGTCTCATAATATTTCACAATTTCTATGGGAATTTATAAATGCATGAAAAAATGCATGAAAAAACATAGCTGCTTTTAAGAACAAAGCAAATACAAACATTTACATGCAAAGTTTTACCTGACACTTTAGAACACATTTTCCTCGATTAATTTGTAATCAAACTTAATTTAATTGAAGAGTTTACGTGATGTCAGGAGTGGTATGATGTTTTAATGATTGCATCAAAAATAATAAACGTGTTCTTAGAATTGCTGTATTTATGAAAGTAATGGATAAAGCTAGAGTCCTCACATTTTCAGCTTTTACTTTTTACATTTTTAGAAACTGACATAAAATATTGTCATTAAACTTAGTTTTCCTGAAGCTGTACTCATGTTTGTAAATAATGATACTAAATCATCACGTAGGAAACACAAGGGGTAAAACAATCACTTATGTACATGGAATCTTTATCATAAAAGACTTCCTATTTTATAGCTACATTTTTGGTCAAATGCTATTTTACAACAATTGATAAGATCTTATTACATGTATTTCAAATAACTATTGAAAAGATTTTTTTAAAAAAAGAACGAAAAGAAGTGTATATATACAAAACAAACAGTTTGTGATTTTACCATAACAAATGTAAGATGACAACAAAGTTAATGCCTTCTTAAATTGTGCAATATCACAGACATTGTATATCACAGAGGCTCCAGTTTGAAAAACACAAAATTAAAATTAGCTTTGCTTATAAAGAGGGATTATAAAAAGTGAAAACAAGGAGTGAAAATAACGTCATTTCTGTGTAATCAAATTAAATCTGGCTTAATTATAAATTAACAAACTTTTACCTCATCTAAGATTTATTTCATTGCATATTTCTAAGGTGCTTAACTTAATTATTTTATGCTACAGTCAATTCCAGAATGATAGCATTTGATTAAGTTCATGCTTTAATTTCTCATTTAAAACTACAGATAAGCAATTTGAAGGCATTTTAATACAAAAAATTGTTAGGCTTACTTAGACAAGTCATAATTTAAGATTATTCTAACTTTGGTGCACAATTAAGTTTATTTATCATGTTTCTGCTCCCATATCAGTTTGTTGCATTGTTTGTGTCATAGGTTGAACAGCGAGTGTTTGTGGTTCTTGTACAAGTGGTTCATGGAACGAAACATTTCGTGCTGGTTTTAATGTTACTCTTTGTATAACTGGTTTAGGGAACGGTGGTCGTTGATCCTCCGGGTAATTACGTTTTTTCTGTATTTGTAGTTCGCGGTCAACTTCTGCATGACTATATTGGGCTTTTGACCACTCGCCAAAATCTATTTTTGTATCATTGAATTTTCCACTCATTCTTCGTCTGAAACATTTAGAAAATTAAAATGAAATACATGTAGAAAACCAGATAACATTAATTCAGGACCCTCACTGTTGTTCAAATCGAAACAGGGACTTTGGATCCTTTTATGTAAGGAAGTCTAACCGCCGCCCCTCTCCGTCAAGTAGCTACATAGTTGCCTAACAAGCAGGATTCCATACTAGTAAGGAGCAAGTATTGCTAACGAGACCTCAATAATTCATGCTTTACAATTATTGTGGAAGAATTACATTGTACTGATTTATATTAAGCTTTAGACAATTTTTGTATAGAACAAACTAATTACTATATCCTACATAAAATATTTAACCAATTTTCATATCATTTATGTCTGAATTTAAGAACTAAGTTTTATGTTTTACTTGGACATAAACTTGATATGATAAATAAACAAGCATCAAAATAACAATCCAAGACCCTTAGTGCTGTGTATTCAATCCTGAAATTATCCCTAATTCCAAAACCTCGAAAATAACTACCCGGTAATGCATAACTAAAGAAATGAGAAAAGTGCATGCAGTATCACAAAAATGTATAGCAAATACAACATTTACTTTTACACAAATATTTTCTATTACAAAAATTTTAAGAAAATACGTATCAAAGTGACCTATGTAATGAAAATGCACCCACTCAGTTGTTGTCATTTACATGACAGACAATAATTGGTGATTACTACCCATACCTATATCTCACTGTGAAAATATTTCATAGAATGCAAAGCAATAATTCTTCAGTTTTCATGCTATTCCATTCAGCAAGTACGATAATTATTTTATCTACTTATTGGACAAGTGAAAATACATCAATGGATGAATGGAATTTTGAAATCTAAACTAGATATATTGTTGGGGATAAAGGCACGTAACAAATCATTGTGAATCAAAAACAAATCTATGTGAGCCGATTCTGGTTGAATGAGTGGGCCATAAATGAGCACCTTTTAAATGATTTTCCTGCTATATATAGTATTTCAGAAAGCAAATGAACATATTCACTTTTTATTTAATATTAATATCAACTGCCTGTTGAAAATATTATGCAAAGCAGTTTAGTGATACTTATGTTATGCTCACTCACTGCTCACTCACTGCTCACTCACTCCATTGAAAGGGTCTCTCAAAGATTTTTGTCGATACACAATATTGTGTTACATGTGAGTGTTTACTCGTCCACTCATAATTTTGCAAATTTGTTATAATGGAAATATATTTGGTAATACATGTATCAATAACATTGAATGATATATACATGCATGAAATGGTCAACATCAGTCAGGCATGCTCGATAAAAAACTAGTGAATTTCAACAAAAGGGAGAGAACAAATGCCAGCCCTGCTATGCATTGCTTACTTACCCTAGTTCATACTAACTACAACTTTTGAGCCCTTAGTTTTCCTATTCGTCAATGGACTGTTAGAACTAGTTGTTAAAATAATTGTTTATATTTATAACTATTGTTAAACAGTTTTTGTACTGTATTATCATTAAAATACAAAGAATTGAAAAGAAATAGACAATTAAATTGTCATTAAGGAAATGGGAGAATAAGGAAAAAAAAGTTATAACTTAACTAGATCATGTTTAATAAGGGAATAACTGGTCAGTAAAAGAATGTTGTTTTTTTAATGTAGAAAACTAGTCTATGCTTGTAAACTAACTGAGATCAATTAAAATTATCCTAATTGTATAGTACTTTACCATATCCAAATGATGATTCCAGAATACTTACATGATCATGATATTTGTGGTCTATGATAATAAAGTCTGATATCAAGTAAGTCATTAAATCAATTCATGATAAAATTTACTGATGACAGAATTTTGTATTTATCTCATTAAACAACAGAAACACTTGCATATGGAATCTTACACCTTATGCATTAAATTTAGCTTTATATAATCTTTATATTTAACTTGTAAAACCTCTTTACTACCGCCCCCGCCTTCAAACCCCCCAAACAGGAGGGTGCACATCCCCCTTCTGGCAACCCCCTGATGTACCATTTTGATGGGGGGCGTCGCCGAAAAAAGTGGTCACTTTTTAACAACATTTCTCAAACAAAAAACAGTGTTTGTGGCCTAAATAGGACAATTTTTCACTGTTTTGAGGCCTCCAAGGGGGGGGGGGGTGTTGGGGGGGGGGGGGAAAAAGCCGTCAAAACACGTCTATATGAGGAAAAAGGTTAAACTTGTTTGACAGATCTTTGAATTAACTTTGTTTGACTGTATCTTTGTATTAAACTTGTATGGTCGGGTTTTTTTAATTTAACTTGAATAACAGACTTGTTTGACAGAAACTGTGAATCAAACTTCTGAATTTATAACTTTAATGGCAGTAACTCTGAATTAAACTTGTATGGCCATATCACTGTATTTAACTTGTATGACTTTTAACTTGTATCAGCTTGTTTTCTTTCGGTCTTTAACAGATTATTTTCTTTATATTCATTTTACGAGAAATTATTTAATTTAATTTTACTAAAGAATAATTTTGAAGCACAAACTGAGAAAATAGTTAAATTTTTATTCATATCTAAAGCAATGCACAATGTTATTATAATTACATGTATTTATACATTACATTACCTGCTTGCCATTCTAGGTGAACTCTCTATGTTAATGAGGGGCATCTTAAGCCAAGCTATACTATCAGTACCATGACGACCTAGTGGTACAAGTGGCATAGCTGGCATCTTAACCTGCTCTATATCTTTGTCTGAGTACCGGTACCCTGTCACACATCGTAGTATTGTACGATCTTCCTCGCTGCGCTGACGACCTTGTGAAATCAATGGATCGTGAAGTGGGCGTGTCTCGATCTAAAGCATAAATAATTGATAAATCTACAGTCATACTAGTCCACAAAATTACTTTAATTTTATCATAAGACACTAGGTTCAACCCTATTTTTGGACTTCACACAAGTTTCATTTATGTTCCGAAAGTTTACAGAATTTTTTTCACAACTTAGTTAATTTTATGATACCAAAATGAAAAACAGACATTTAGAAACATAGTGTATGAAATTTGTACTGTAAAAATGTTTATTTAAGTGTCAAATCATGGTCATGCTGAGCATATACATGTATATATATAAAGTTGTGTGATTCCAAGTTTTAACTATGTAGTAGTAAACAATATCTAAGTTTATATTCATGTCAAATAATGATAATAAAACTTTATTTAAAAGGCATCAAATCAAATTGTCTATAAAGTCAAGTTATAATAATAATCTAATTTTATATTTATGTATAGAATAATAGATATAATCTTTATTTAAGGATACATAATGCACAGTAATCTGATTCTAAAAGTCGTTTATATTTATCAATCAGCATAACCTTCTGATTATATACAGATTTGAACCTTACGTGCATTACTGGTAACTGCACTAAATGATAATTTAAATAGAATTAACCAGTTTAACTGCACTAAGGTGATGGTATGTCTTTAATAATCTGGTTTAATCTCTTCTTAAAAAACAACATCATCTGTGGAATATATACACAATAGCATATACTAAACCTTACATCATTATAGAAATTAGTAAACAGAAAAAAGTAAGATTTAACTGTTAATATCTTATTATACATAATAATTTTCTAAATTTATGACAGAAAAAATGTTAAAAACTTATCCTTCACCCTATTGTTAATCACAAAATAAACATCAAAATAAAATGCTACCATTTTGTACTAGTATATCACTCACACTGATGTTCACAACAAAGAGCTAGAGCCTACCCATAAGTATTACACACAATTTCACTTCAAAACATTTTCTCAAATAAAATTTCAATATTCAAATTGGATTATGATCAAGAATACATCCTTTAAAAAAATGACATGCATTAGGTATACTTCTTTAAAATTATCATTCTAAGAATTGCATGTAGAACTTGACTGTCATTATCTGGGTCCAGTTTCTTAAATCTAACTGTCCAAATTTCAATTTCCATTTTAGTTATAGGAAGATAAGAATATCATTAATGTTAATTTTCTAACTTTTACCTTCACATACAATTATTAATTTTCATATCTAGTATTTGAGCACAAATGGACCAAACTCATCTTTTAAAGTCCAACAATTTTCTTATGGCTACTATTTAGCTAAAAAATTTCCAAGTAAAAAAAATCAGTCTAATGACTGTCTGACAAGATGAAAATATCAATCACAGACAGTGAAGCAACAATATAAAGTTGGGCACTGTATTTATTATAACAAGTAGACTATGTCTGCCTATATAATATAACTGAAAATCTGGAAAGAGATATATGAAAAAACTGTCATATGCTAAGAGTAAGTTTGTAAATAAAAATAAAGAAAGGAGAAATAATAGCATTTATATAAATGTATGTAAACTTGATATGATTCTGATTACATCAGTTTGCCTTTGTTTATGACAATACACACAACTGCAATCTTATTATGTTACAAAAAGTTCAAATATTTCAAATATCCCAAAATGTTACAAGAATTACATAAAAATACAACACAAGAATGCAGTCATGATAACTGGATTATGGCACAATAACAGCCATACCTGTGGTTCTAACTGAGAACCATCAAATCTTATATAGATCTGAAAACAATCATATAAATATAACATAGTAACTTGCATATAAGTTCAGGGCTTATGTTATATCTAGCCTTAAAAGCATATCACAAAATATATATATGAAAGTCAACCTGTGATATATGTTTTTTTTATAGTTGCCGGACTGAAAACTCTTATAGACAACTCAATCCAAAAATCATGCAGAAAATATAGAATTATTCCTAGAGAAACAGCTTGTGAACCAATAAATAGTCCCTCAGTTATCAAAGTCTCATCCTAAGGACTGTTAGTAATCTTGTAAGAGCAGCAGGGTTATCAAACATGTGACTCCTGACTTTGTAGTTAGATACATTTGTATGTTACCACTGAACTAGCTACTGCACCAGCTTACTGAAAGCTTACTCCTACCAAATAGCAAAAACAAAAGACTGTCCTTATAAAAGGCCTTCTTGTAGACAAGTTAATATGGTATCTTAACTATTATTATGTTATTTGTAACTCTAAAAAGTTAATCTTTAACTCTAATATAGTTATCTGTAATTCTTTATCATTTTGAAAAGTAATTAATAAGTCTATACAGTTATATGTAACTTATCTGTAATCACCACATTGTTATCAGATTATTTTATAAAGTTATCTGTAACTTTTATACAGTCATCTGTGACTTTTACATAGTTATCTGTAACTCTGAATATATAATAATCTGTAACTTTTTATAGAATATTTTAATCTACTCTTCAGTGAAAAGACAAAAAAGTACCCTGTGAGTAATTAACATTTTTATCATAGTTATGAACTAAATTTTACAAGACATAATTATGAACCAAATTATTGTTTGTTAGTGACCAATTTATTGTAGATTGTTAACTGTACAGATTGTATCATTAGTAAACACTATAGTGTTATTTGAATTAAGGGATATTTCACTTGTTATCTTCTGCATGGACAAAGAGGTATCTTTAGAAAATTCCTTGTACTACTTTTAAATTAAAGATGATTTTCTACATGCACATCAAAAACATGCATAGAGATTTCAGTTGATGTTATGAAATAAGTTTCTAAACATTGTGATTAGAAAAATAACAATTTTACTTTAATATCAAGAAGTTTGTTACTTTTATAGACAACACTTATTCTACCTATATCTAACTATAGATATTATGTTATTTCTGTTTTAACAACATAAACACTTACTGGAACAATCTGGTCATAAAAATTAACATAATTATATTAACATAATTTATGATAAAAAATCATTCCAATATGATGGAAGCAAAATGAAGATTTCATTCTTATTGAGAAAAAAATGTGTGCAAAAACCACCTCCTGACTTTGTTGACTTGAAATAGGGATGATAAACTGTATTCTAACACGACCCGCATTTTTCCCTATTGAACATAGAAGAACCGAAAGTGTGTGTTATTATGCAACAAAGTCACAGTTTGACGTTCTATATTTAGACATGTGACGTAATCATTATACACGCGACGTAACCACCAAAAATACAACGCGATGGAATTAAGTACGGAAACAAATCAGGCCCATTTTGCTTATTATCAGGTACGGCAGCATTTATTTGTTGATGTCGTGTTAGAATCGAAATAATATATCCAAATCGGTGATTTTATCGCTTGATAACATCACTGTTTGTCATTCGGATGCGTATCATTATATCACTCGGGCTACGCCCTCGTGATATAATTCCTCGCATCCGAACTCCAAACAGTGATGTTATTGAGCGATAAAATCACTGTTTGGGATATAGTATTTCTTAAATAATTTTATTTACAGTGTGGCCATGTCAAATGATACATGTATGTGACAGCCATGTCACAAGGTATTGTGACATGACATGTGACATTTAAATGCTATTATGTTGCAATAGAAGCATTTTTCACTTCATTAATATACAAATAAGTATGTAAAACCCCATAAATGCCTTTCCTTAGAAAACATAAGTCAACAAAATCAAGTTTTTCAAAAGATCTATGCTGAAAACACATCCTTATCGGCCAAAATCTATTTTAAATCAGTGCATAAGAAACCTCATGTTTATCATGTAATGGCACAGGGTACAACATTGTAGCATTAGGTACTCTACGATTGGCCAATTGTTTATGGTGGGCACATCTGGCGCAACGCTGATAATATTACATCAACAAATTATCATAATTGTAATTAATTCACTTGACAATACTTTTCAATAAATGAAATTACATATATCATCTCAAAACAATAATAAATATATCCTCTATAATCCACTGAAATACAAATATTTTCTAATTAAAAAGAAGTATTCAAATAAAACAAGCAACAAACTTCTGTTTTAAGTGATACTTTATATGGTAAACCTAGCATTTCTCTCTACATAATAAAAGTATAGCCAAAACAATTCTATGAATCCTCCAAACTATTTAATCAAATTTATAATAAGTTGTCAACAGTCTTCTGATCAGAATCTGTTTTTTAGACTTTCATTGTAAAACAGCCATAAAACACCAAAAATATTAATTCTGAAAGGGTATAATTTAGACAGTGTCTGGTAGAAAATCTGTGTTTTTACAAATTTGCTGCTTGAATGTTCAATATAAAATTTACAATATACTTGCGGTTGCCGGAAAAAATTCTTTTAAAATAATAATGTTTATTAATTTCCAATGAAGCAGCTGTGAATGTGCAACCTCATAGCTAATCCTAGTACATGTACTATGAATATCATTTCAATACTTTTATTAGCCATGAGTGTTTAATTCAACTTTTTATAAAATAAATAATTTCTTTAAAACTATTTCCAAAAAAAATATGAAAACAAGATGGTTGTATTGTTTTATAAATTTTATACATGTAGTATAGTTTGCCATTGATTGCTTTACACCCTTTAAGAACAAAAACGACAACAACAGCTACACAGAAATGATTTCATAGTTGATGATTATTAAACTTTTCATAAATTTTTATTAATTCTTCTAGTTTGTTCTTCTAAAAAAAAAAATAAATAAATAAATCTCAAAATATCAGAAGCATATGTTGACAACTTTTTTATCCAAAACAAAACAATATAAATTGAAACTTTCTAAAAAAAAACAATGAACTCTAGCTTTGAACCAAACATACTGCTTTTGTAATAAACTTTCCCGTATTCAACTTCTCTCTTTTCAGTTGGGCTACCTTTTTATTCACATCATCTGACGTATTTTTATCCTCAAATACAAAAGTTCAATGATTAACTGAAAATGAACTTGATTTTTAACAAGTCATGTTTAAAGGCGTACAATACATTGTATATCAGACCGGATTTTCTAGTGTTGGTGCCAATGCTGGAAAAATTGTCATCTTACACCCTTCTAGGTGTAATATCAGTCACAAGCTTTGAAACAAAACAACATTCCAACACTGTTATGTTCATGTAAGATACTATGAGAAAATAGTTCTACATAAAAATGTTAGTTTTCAGTTATTCCTTGCAATATTTATTATTATTTATATGTCATGTGCAAGAAAAAGAAAAAAGAATCAAAATATTGGCTGCTGGTAGGGTCTGGAATAACCAGCTTTTTGGCCTCATTATTTCTATCTTAAACAATCAAATATTCCCGTCTGTACAGGAAGCTTGCTAAAGACTTTCTTATAATACTAGTTTGCGATTGATTAAAACAAAATCTGCTTGACTTTATCAATCATGGCTTTTTATCATGCATATTATTATACAGTCAAACCTGTGTTCAAGACCACCTTCAAATAAAGATCATACTGTAAATAAAGGCCACTCTTTGACAATCCATCACTGATTAAAAAGAACAACATAACCTCCAAATAAAGACCACTTGTCTAGAAAGGCCATGTTCAGTCTCTTCTTTACAGGCCTGTATAACTTTTTGGTATTTCTTTATTCTGTTGGATATTTAGTTGGAACTTATTTTGAAATTTTCCCTAAAAATGATTAACAATTTTGTCCATATCTAAAGATGGACAAAGTCATTTAAGATATTGTGCATGGTAAGAGTTAAATGGCATGTTTTTTTACAGTTAAAGTAATAAAGCAGAAAAGTACCTTTATTGGAGCTGGTCTGTGTCCATTTAATGCCATAGCATAATATTCCTCCGGGTCCATTGTATCCAGAAAAACATGTCCCTGTATATGAGATAAATTTTATTTTATAAACTACCAATAACATATTGCAATAAAACAATATGTTCAATAGCAATAAGTACAAAATATTACTTTGTTTAGCTTATTATCACAATATATTCCCAAATGTTGAATTCACACCCAAGCATATTGAAGAATCTAATAAATGTTGAATACATTAGCTAATTCTGGACAGTTCTGAATTCAAAACCGGACAGGTCCATGATGCAAATTCATTGAATTTATTCACAAAATTGTTGCTTTCTGTTGTAATATTAATAAACAGTGAAAAATGCCAACCTTTTCATTTGTGAACTCGAGATATTGTCTATGAAGCTCGCGTTTTCTGCGGTCAACTTCTGGCCAATCATTGCTGTCCATTGCCTCTATAATCTTCTTCCGTAATGGTTTGTATACCCTCTCATTCCAGTTCTTATGCAATACCTCTTTCTTTCTTAAATCTGTCACATCACGATGGTTGATGTAATTGTCCACATCCTGTACATAAATATTTAGTGTCAGCATCAATAATAACTTGCCTATAGGTGGATAATTTGGTGTTTTAAAAGTACATGAAAAATTAGTATAAATATGATCTATGTCAGCTTGTGAAAAAAGATTGTAGCTTATCTGAACCACTTCCTGGAACTAACCAGCACTGGTGGGGCAACGTTGACATAGTGATCATGGTCTCAAACATCAGAACCCTTGTCTGACACCATTGTGTGTTTGAATCTCTTCAAGGGCTTTGAATTCATTCATGTGAGGCAGCTATTTTGGTGTTGGTGGCTCTACTCCGGTGCCCACTTATGATTGAAACAAGGGCTGTGCTGATTAAGTTAGATAATAACAGAGAACATTTTAGTGTATGAAGTTCCAACCAATCCAAGTAGTTTTTGAGATAAAAACTTGCATGAAGATACTTAACCGAAGTGATATGCTGACAAGAGTGGAAACAAAAACACACAAAGGAGCACCTGAGGTCTTACTCCACCAGTACAGCTGGAAAGTTGTCATACGAACATACAATGGATCCAACAAAACATAACGTAACAGTATTGATGCCTTATGAGGGTTATAATTATTATAAATCATAGAAGCATTATTTACTTATTTAGGGAATGTATTTCCTACAGCACATATGTGCAATCATACCAGGCTCTTTTCTGTCAGCAGCTTTTATTTGCGGTAGGGTGATCATGAAATCCCGAAAACTTTTATCAGAATATTGACAATTCATAGGTTAACAAGACTTAGTTCATTATGATTTATCTAAATTCAGAATGTTATGGGTTAATTCATTGATCAGCTATCTTACCCTAACAAAAGTACTTTCTGTTTGTAGTAAGGGACTATACAGTTGTCTTGCAGCCCTGGACTCTAAATCAGACTTTTCCTGTAATAAACACAATATTCAATTTTATACAATGTCATATAAACTGGAAAAATTAAAGTTTGTTCTTAAATTCTATAATAATTATCATAAAGTTACATCCAACTGCTATTTTTTAATTTTTTATTGTGTCATGTGACTGTCCAATATATTTCCCATACAGGACACTGTAGTATCCAATACATGTATATTATATGCTGGACAGTCTTGTCATTAATGTATATTTTAGCAATTATAAGAAATTAAAACAGTAACAATGGAAACAGAATAAAATACAGTAAAGTGAAATGATAACAGAATAAATTTATGAACAAGTTGAACAAACAGGTCAATTGGAACTCCCTTCCCCTACTCCCCATCCATCCTTGTCCCTGGGGCATTGTTAGGGATAGCAGGGAGAAATGCATATTCTTTCTAAAGTATGTCCAAACACATGCTGAGTCAATGTGGCAGTTTTATTAAAAAGCAAAAAAGCCGGGGATATGTCCAACTCAGACAATGGGGGCATTTAGCGGGGAATTTTCTATCTGAGTGTATTGGCATGGTGGGACCTTTCCTGGGGCTCTGATAATCAAAGTCAAAATCCCTAATTTTCCCCTGAAATGAGTGTGTGGGGGCTCTGAGGTTCCAATTGACTGCTTAAAACTTTGTATCATGTTAAAAGTTTTAAACAAACATAGCAGTTACCAATAGATGTGTTGTGACCTGCAATATTTAATGTTTATTTTAATCTTCATTAACAACACAATGCATGCAGCTGGGGGTAACAAGACAAAAAACACACAATAGGTAAGTCATGCTCTTTTTACTTTGATATTTACCATTAATCAGTATGTGAATCAGCAAATAAAAAGGATTTAAGCAAGTTAACTTAGCTAACATTATATAAAATTAAAAGTAGTTCTGGTAAAATGTAACTTATTTAAAGTACCATTAGACTGTTACTTATACCAGGCCTGTATACATACTTGAGATTACAGACTTCCACTCAATGATTTACTTTTTTACTTAATAACTTGAAGAACTTAATCTCAGTTCAAATATAACAATAATAAAATAAGCAACACTTTCTTTCAACAAAAGTTTGAAAAGCTTTTGCTTCTATACACAATAACTAAAGTAAACTGTTCCATTATTAACGACAACAAACATATTTGTACTTATATTTTATTGTTTGTACAACAAAGGTGAAGTATACAGGCTTGATATATGTGTCAGGGCTTTTTTCACAGTTAGGAAAAAGAGGCCTTTTCCTTAAATTTGAGGGGGAAATGATAAAGTTTTTGCAAAAGGGAAAGAAAAAAATTGATGTAAATTGAATTTTTCAGGGAAAACTGCATAAGTATAACAAATTTTCATCTGGAAAAATGCTTGTAAATGGCTGCTGCTAACTAAAAGGGGAAAAAAAGCCCTGTAGGTATTATTTCCTATCTAAAATAAACCTCACCTTTACCAATCTCTGAAATACATCATTACAACAATGTTACAGTACATGCATTTTAAACTTCATCTTATTCAATATCAGCAACTTTATTTGGCACTTTTTGTGACTATAACATTATAAACAACTGTATAGTGCTGGACACCAGCATTTGGTACCAAAACTGTATTAGATACAAATTATTTTACATATAGCAATATGAATCGGTTTGTAAAAAAAACTAGTTATGCTTATAGATACTCTCCAATGTTAACTTTCTATGGGTAATATTATAGCTTCAATGACCTTGACATTTACAAAATAACCTTGACAGTTCATTCAAGGGTCAACAGCAAATATATAAAATATATGTCATTTTGAAACGTAATATACATTAAGTGTTACAGAAGGATGGAAAGAAGGACAATTTATCGACTATTTGCTCGAAATTCTGTAAGCATAAAAATACTGTATTTATAATAAAAATATGAACATATATATATATATGATAATGAAGTATGTACTTAGTTGAATTGATATTATTATAGTTGTTCTAATACTGATAGAATTACATACTGCAAATTTACAATTTTGTTGCAAAAATTAACATTCTAAATTTGAATATATGAAATTATTTTAATGATATAATATTATCAACAATTGATATTAGGTCAGTAAAAAGAAAACTGAGAAATGAAGTAAAGCAATTTATACATAGGTCTAAAGGGTGTAAAGCTGTAAGTGGTGTGATATGCTGTAAACATTGTAAAAAAACAGTATAATCATGTTATTTCCATATTTTTATGTTCATGTCTTGTATGATTTATAACAGGAACTATCCAATGTTATTTATGCTGCTAATTGTGAATTATTAATTTATTTATAAAAGATATATAATAAAATATTCAACTGCTTTAACAATGTTTTTGCACAGTGCTTTATTGAAAAATTACAAACATCATTCTTTTTATATTGAGGTAGGTTTGTCGATATGTATCAAGAAGCAATGAATCTAATTATTTCAATGACACTGGCATCTTATTTAAAAGATTCAAATTCTTGGTAATGGTATCCAACCCTACTTTATATATAAAGTTTAATATAACAGCAAGTGAAACGATTTCACAATAATATTACAGTACTATTATCAGACAGATCCAGATATAAATCTTAAAATTAATTATAAACAGTGTAAAGCATAATCTTGAAATAAGTACATGCCTGCTCATCTACCCATATGCCCAATGTAGACCAAGATCAGCCAACACATCTATGTCATCTGATCATGGTCTACACTATTCACTAATTAAGGGCATATTTCAAAATTGTCCCTCACAAATGATGAAGGTTTTTTTTTTTATTGAAAAATGGACAAGTCTAAGATATTTAGGGTGGTCAGGGTTAAGTAAAGTTGGCCTGGATCTGTCTATTACATGATTGTCATAAGTCTATACTTAATGAAGACACCACACCTCTGGTTGCGAAAGAGCTAGAAATAGAAATGTTGGAAAGAGCATGTGAAATATAAAGTATGTGATAATATGAGCACCAACCCTTAGATATAAGAGACATTAGTTAAAGTTAAACCATCATCACTATTATGACTAAATAGAAATTTATAGAATCTGTTTTGAGTTATATGAAATTAGTAATAAAGTGAACTTTACAAGATATCTTATATATAGAATAAACCCATCCAAGCTGTTGTAAAATAGATGACAGTATGAAATAATTAAAAGCACATTTTTTTATTTTTTCCCTTTTATTTATTTTCTACACTTATTATGTTTTAAAAACCCGCCCCTAAATTTTCTGTCTATTTTGGGAAAAATTCCTCTGAAAATTTGGATTTTTTCCTCTGAAAATTGGGGAAACATTATTTCTTCAGCTTCTTAATTAGGAAAAAAATGTGCTTTCTAAAACTGCAACTTAGATATTTGTTGCTACCTCAAACTGATTTGTTATCGTGAATGGCACAACTATCTGAAAAAACATGAAGTAATTTACAGTGACTTGTCCCCAGCCTGAAACAAAATTTCTTTCACACAAAAAATGTTTTCAAACCAGTTCCCTAAATCACAACCAAATATTAAAAGAAAAAGAGTCAGAACATTTCCTACAATTGAATTCCTGACACTACAGAATACTAACCCAAAATAACCTTTATAAAAAAATAAATGTCTTTTTCATTTTCAAAGATTTATTATGTAAAAAAAATCTAGACTTTTACATCTACTTTATCTTACTTGTTCAAGGCATGAGATTTGACACTTTGAATTATGTCCAACCAAAAACATATCCTGTCTTGAATTATTAAAGTCCTCATTTGTTGAAGATATATCCTGGTATATTTAGGAAAAATAAGTGGAAATATATTTCTTTAAATGGTTTCATCATATTCCTGTGTGACTTTTGCAACTCCGTAAAACAGTATTACAAATACATATATTTGCAATTTTGCATAAATTTTGATGTGATGACATTTGCATTACACAAACATAGTGTCAGGACACGCTTAATGTTAGCATTACACATTAGGTGCATCAATGAAAAAGGGATTCTTTTATAGTGTAAATAGTTCACATTTCAGATATGTGATAAATAGAATATTATATTCATGTAGCTTCATTACTAAAGTTATTGAACTTGTTGGATAAACTTATATTTTGCTAGTATAATAAAAAATTATTTAACTTGTTCAATAAATTCAGTATTGAACCTACACTCATTCAATACCCTCCATTTAAGGAACAACAATGAATAAATACAAATTAACAAGAAACAGTCAATTTGTCTTTTGAAATTATAGCTCTATATACCGGTAATCATATTTTAAAATTATGAAATACCATATTGTTTAACATTACAAATCAAACAAATAAAATCCACTTCAAAGCAAATTGCATGTAAAACTCTGTTCCCAAAAAAACAACCCAAAAAGCTTAAAGTTTGGATGGTTTTTACCTGTAGAGTTTTGACTGTCTTTTCATTAAGCCAATGCTGAACCCTCATTGTCTGGCCTATAAGGCTGTTTGTATCCATGTTCCTTGACAAACTTCGTGATGGAGAAGGTGTAGTGTTGGGACGGGGAAGTCTTCTTCTTGCTGAAGTTTGTTTTGACACATTCTGTAAATTCATATAGACAAATTGAAAAATGATGAAACTGAAAAAAAATTCTAATATACCGTAGATCCCATAGCAGAGTTGAGAAGTAAATTCACAGCATTTTACTGTACTGGTTGGACAGATATCCACTAACACACAATTACAGGCGGTTATTGGCAATATCTTAATTATTGGAGTTTAATTACAATTTGACCCAGTAAACAAACTAAGGCTAGAAGATTTTATGCAACACAGCAAATATCAATGTAAATGAAACGAGTACTTTTATGACACCCTGATGGCCCCTGAATGAGGTACAACACCTTTCTTTTCCCCATGAGAGAAGATAAAATCAACACCTCCCTAACAAGCGCTGGACAGGGTGCTCTTCTATTTTTGTGCTTGATAGTATTGTTTTACTATCAAGCACAAAAATAGTTGAGCACCCTGTTAAACAAGAGCCTCGATAATGTACATGTAGGAACTAAAAAAAGCAAGATTTAATATTAATTCAAACAAATCCAGTCAAAATCTATGTCACAGTTATGGGTTTTGGATAGTGACCTCCGATTATTGCCATGAAGACATGTGTAAACCTTGACTAGTTTTAAAGATTGATGTTGCATCCAAATCTTAACAAAGAATTTTCTAAGTTCACACAGTCAAAATCCATGTCAGAGCTATGGGCCTAGAAAGTAATCTCCAATGAATAACTTGAGTAGTTTTGAAGATTATCATTGATGTTGCATGCAAAATATAATTAAGAATTTTTATTATCATTCTGTCAAAATCCATGCTAGAGGTTGGATGAGCCTAAAATAGTGACCTACTAATTTAATCTCAAATTTGTTTGTGATGTTACAAGCAAATTGTAACCTTTTCAGGTTGATGAGATATGATATTGTACAAGAATTAGTTGCATGCAAAACTTTAAACAAAGTGTTTATAAACCTGGCATCAACACATGGGTGATTAGTACACTCCAACTTTCCTTTATAGTCATTATAAAATTAGCTCACCCTCAAGGACAAACATTTATTTCTACACATTTCAAGTTTTGTAAAGAATTTTGAAGAAGTGAAGGCCTGTATAAAACTCATTAAAACCTACCTACCTACCCTCCCCTACCCTACCCCTGTCTGTCTGTTTAAAAAAAAGTGTCAGACATTCGGTCTGACATGAAGCCATGAAAATCTGTCAGACTAAAATGAAATCTGTCAGACCGAATGTAATTAATCAAAATCAAAGGAAAACTTGTGTTTTCTGCGACAAGGGATTAGACAGCCTGATTTTTACGGGGATGTTGTTTACAAACTTCGTAAGATCTTGGGTCATTGTAATTTTTCTGTTGTGTTTACTAAAATTATTAAACGTTTTATTAAAAGGGGTTATGACCCTACTATTTTAAGACATACCGCATGCTAAGTGTTCAACCCATTTACAGTTGAACGCTTTCCTCTTTTGATTACATCTGACAGACCAAGTGGGAGACTCTTTGATGGACAGTTCTTAAAGCCCTTTGGGACTGAATTGCCTTAATGTTTGTCTTCTGTCTTGCTTCGTAGGGCCCATGTAGGTGATTTTCTTGTTGCTCTGTCTTCCTTTAAGACATCGAGTACTTTTGTTATGGTCATTGGGTTTACTTTTATATGTTTCTACATGATCATTTTAGTGTTTTACTTATTTAACCTTTTGTAACCATAACAACTGTTAGAATTTCACTTGGCGGGGATTCATTTTATTTACACTGTCTTGTTTATATGAACATGGTGGGGCTAAGAGCAAGGTTTGGTGCACCATTAACCGGTTTAAACTCCCCAGCAGTATTTATGCTGCTGACCGTTCCAAGGCGGCGCCCGTCTGTGTTCCTCAGATGTATTTCTATGTTGTTTCATACTGTTTTGGTGACACTTGTGTCCCTTGTTGTTTTCTCGTCTACGGTAAGTATCTTCCCCTTTGCCCCTAGTTTTTATTTATTTTATTTATCCCCTCCCTTCCCCGGGTCCCCTTCCCCTGTGCCCTTTGACTTTATGGGCCTTTTATTCAATCATTTATTTGTTTCCTTTTATTTCCTTATCAGTAACTAATTATTTAATTTTATGCTTTTAGTAGTTAGCCTACCCATGCCCTTGTGCCCTGTCCTGTTTTTGTTTGGGGGTCCTCCTGGGCTCCTTGCCACTGGCTCTTGTTGCTTGGTCAGGTGGGGGTTGCGTTCATTGAAGGCTGCCTTTCCTTGTTGATCTTGTTTATAATATTTTGCATTTCTAAAATACTTTTCAGTATTAATTTTTTCGCCGTAAAAATCGGCAGTCCATACAGCGCATTTTCACATCCTTCCTGTCGTACACCAGCGATTCACCGACCTGCTTCCATTTTTCAATAAATTTTGTCTCAGGTTTATTAATTTCATCCTTTTACTGCTGTTCTGCGCTCTCCTCTGACATAAATTTTCGTTTTTTCCCACTCCCAGATTTGACACCTTTAGCGACGCCATTTTGTATACATGCCACTTGAATAAAAGCCAGACAGTCAGACCAATCCGGAATAAAAAATTGTCAGACATATCAAAATTTATCGGACCGACGTATTTCGGGAAGTCTGTCTATCTATCACAGGGTGAGTAAAATGTGCAGCCCGAACAGTTCTAAACTGTGACATACTCTCCCGCTTTATTGAAATTCGTCCTTGAATATCTCTGGGTTACAGAGCAGTGTGAATTAAACCCTAAGCTATATGCAGTCATGAATCTGAGACTCTCGGAATACCATTCCACGGCTCTACTGCTCGAGTTATCCAGCCACTTACACATCATTTTCCCTAATTTAAGTTAACAACCACCAATCAGTATTCAATGCTGAAATTTGTTAATTAATTTCATCTTAACAAAACTAAGATCAGCTCAAATATGCATCAGACAGTGTTGTCATGGGCTTGATTCCTTGCAAGACTTCCAGAAATTTGTCCATGCATGCTAAAGCAAAATATGAGAATCTATATTATGTCAGTATCTTTGTTGTATCTGTTGTGATAATTTTGCAAACATTAAATTTGTAATGTAACCTACCTGTGTTCTTATTTTATCATGATCATCAACAGCCAGTCCCTCAATGAAGCCGCTGTCATGGACATGAACCTGTCCACCAGACTCTTTTCGGCACAGCATAGATGTCATGATTGTTTTCTCCTCCGCCCTTCGGCGGTATCCTCAAAATATTAAGTTTACCTTAAAAATAAACCAATAAAATATTTCTATAACAGTAATCCAATATCAAAACAGACAGGTGGTCGCCATTTTTAAACAATGTGACGTCACATGGAGATAGCCCATAAACCTTCACATGCAAATGATTATTTGATCAATAACATACGCTTTAAAATTGAATATATTAAACGAAAAAAATAAAATTTAATTAATTGAATTGGAAATTAAACGTAAAATTACCCTATTGTCTCAAAGATCATGTATTATTTCTTCAAAATTCTACGTTTCCTTGACGATACAAATGCTAAAATTCTGTTTCCGGAAAAGGGACGCAACTCTACTCGACAAAAAAAGGCAGTGCTTGTTGATTGTTTACCTGTCATTGAATCTTGCTATTGTAAGTGTTATACAATCTGTTACAATAAATGATTATACACACGGAAGTCAAACGTGCGAATAGCTTTATCAGAAAAATCTGTGGGCCTTTTCAAATCTGTGCAGGCATGGATTTGAATCATGATGTCACTCACTCACTTTCTAGATCTATTATGATAACAAAAATCAGCTTAATTTTAAGACAATATGATAGAAATTGAACATTTTATTTTAATTGCGCTATATCTGGTTGCTATCCCTATTTAGAAGAATATTTGACACCCCTGTCCCGAATATCACACCATGGCCATCCCTTATGTTACAGGTTATTCACAGCAACTTCAGACTAATAAAAATTCTCATTCTTTCCTAGGACGGTATACCACTGGAACCACCTACCCCCTGCAGTTGCCCTACTCCCTACCCCAGAGCAGTTCAGTGCAGCCATAGCTTGCATCGAACATGCCTCACCCTAGTTTTCCAGCCCCTGTCTTTAACATTTTTATATATTCTTTTATCCTCTTTTAAACAACTCTTTGTAACTTTCTTGAGATTTTTGACATGCAGACATGTCTATGTCCCCGCGAGGGGTTTGAAATTAACGGAAGATAGATCTTATTGTTGTTATTGCCCTATATTCAAGTGTAAGCTATATTTCTGTTTTAAATATGCATTTATTTCCTTTTTACATTTTTGCCGACACGAAATGTCCTTACACCGTCGAAAATATAAGAAGCCAGGATACTGTATCATTTTCACTGGTAATTCGGTGAGCTTAAATTCAAAGACAAAATAATGTGAAGGCAAAGAACATATCACTGTCTGTCTGCAACTGGCAGTGCTAATTAGGCACTAGCCTGCTAGCTCATCGTGTGGAGAATTTGGGTCAGGCATGTGTATTGTAAATAATAAGTAGCCTTAGTTTCTAAAAATTAAATAATGAATTTCAAATGGAGTTTAATTAACTAGAATTACAAAATAACTGTATATTACAAATGTAAGTCATTTCTATTAATTTTACTTTTCACTAAGACAGTTTCATACTTTTGGTCTTGTGAAACCTAGACAGACTAGTAGACATTGCCAACAACTAGCCCGAATGGATTGTGGTTATCTGGTCCTGAAATTTTTGGCTGAATAAGGGTAGAAAGAATCATGTGCAATCGACGGAAACTATATCCAAGACCCTCAGAAATATCCGGGACCCTCACAATATTGGCTTTACTGACTGAGCTTACATATTTTCTCATTAGATATTAGATAATAAGTGAGCTGTTCTTTACTGTGATGCTGTATTGGAATTGGCCTGGAATTTCTTATTGGTGCAAAAAACACTTCATTGACTGTAGACTCTCAGTTGGCACCGATCCACAGGATGAGAAAAATGTTCTGCCTAACCAAGACTTAAACCTGTGATATTTAGAATACATTGCTGCATCTCTTCAGACTGATCTATCCGGTCACTTCCACATTTTCTCCCCAAATTAGTGAAATGTTCACCAGGCAGTGCGAGTACATAAATTTCTTGTTCAGGTTTAATTTATTTTCTTTTGGGTCAGAATCTCACTTTAGAGATGGATACCTGAAAACCCACAATATCTTGGTGTTCAATTAGTCAGAGAAAACGTTTTCCTTGAGACTTCAGAAAAGGCAATGGGTAAGGTATAAAACTTTGTAGGGTCATTTTGTAATATTTTATCATCTGTACATGTATCATCCCTACAAGGGAATGAAATTAATAACCAGAAAATGCTGGTCTCAAAATTAATGTTCTGCTATTTCCCAGGGTTGAGGGTTGCTGATATTACAAATGAACCTGTTGCGTAAGGGAATGTTAAATTTTTCTGCCATATTAAAAAGTATAATGTTTAGATATTTACAGCAATAATTTTTAAAATCAGTGGGAATGTCATAATGCCACAAATTCCTAATTACATACAATATTATAACAGTTTCAAGGCATTGTAATTAAAGAAGTTATTTTAGATATGGATCATACCAAAAGTGGAACTTACTAGGGCTGTCATTGAATATTGGGATATCGATATATCATCCAGTTTTCTAGGCTAACTTGAACTTTAAACTCTGTTTTCAAATGTCAGTGACAAAAATAACAGAAAAAAGAAAATTTCTGTTAGTTTGTAGTATTTGTAGTCTAATACATGCATGCATAACACCATGATCCCAATTTATAACACACATTTAAAGGTGTCTACTGTTAAAGTCGATGTATCAATATATTGTCGATATTTGTCTCTTGATATATCAATACAAAATTGTCCATTAATGACAGCCCTAGAACTTACCAAACTAAAATAAATCAAAAAAAATATTTTATTTGGTCAATCTTTTTGTTGGGGTTTTTGTTGTTGTTTTTTTTATGTGACTATAAAATCTTGTTCCAGGTACTTAGTTTGGTAAATAACCAGGTCACCAGGTAAAATAAAAAAAAAATTGTTAACACTTTTGGGACCTTGTCTTAATAAATTTGCTGAGAAAAGTCAGCTTGGGAATTTCAAGCTGCACGCCAGATGAGCCAAGATATTTCAAGAAATTCAATCTTTAGAAAGATGTATTAAGATCTTAAGAAAAGTAATAAGATTCGATATTAGATTAATTATTTACATGTTACGTGCGATTAGTGACTGATTTTGCAGTATCAATCACTATAATTCTACTGCTTTAGTCTAATGCAGTAAGAAATTTTTATGTATATTTTGACCTCTTTTTGGTAATTTACGTGGATTGTAAGTGCTGTTTGCAATTTGTAAATTACTTACTTTGTTCACTATACAGTATTTTACTTTTTAAATACATTTTCAAAATTTTCATGAAAATTAGCATGAATCTGGAGGTCAAAAACAGTTCATCTAAGGTCAAAAACCAAAGGTCACATCATGAATCTAGTGATCATATTTATGATAAAATGTTCATCAGAATGTGTCAGAATGATTAGATTTTGTCTTTTAAAGTAGCACGCCTCCAGATTCATGCTAATTTTAATGAAAATTTTGGAAATGTATTTAAAAGTGAAATATTATTGTGAGGTGAACAAATAAACTAATTTACATATTGCAATCAGCACTTACAATCCAAGAAAACTACCAAAAACTTGTCAACATATGCAAAAAATAACCCTTACTGTGTCTGTAAATGCAGTAGAAATATGGTAATAAAATACTGCAAAGTCAGTCTTAAACCGCACTCCACATGAAAAATATTACTTGGATCTCGAAAGTTTTGACCTTTCTTAAAATTTAAGTACATTTTTCTCAATATTGATTTTTCTCGAAAAAATTTTGCTCATCTGGAGGCGTGCAGCTTTAATGCAGTTACCAGTATTTCTAGGTCATATTCACAATATGATATAATATTATACAAATCTTAGCCAATCAGAGAAATGCATTTCAAAGGTATTTATAGATTATATAATAAAATGTAATATATATTATAATTATATTATCCAAAACCAAGTCACAAAATAATTTTTGTGTAAGTTCTACAGCTAGTACAACATGCTTAGTGCAATCAGCTGAGGAAGAACTCATTGTGGAGGGGTGTGGCAGGGGGAGGGAGAGATTTTGCAGATAAACACTAATAGCACTGACTAAGCCACAGCTACTGTTAACTTAAGAGAGTATATGTTTAAAATCTGTAAAAAAATATAATAAAGAAACAAATCCCTGCACAGTGTAATCGTTTAAAGTGATTTATGAAGCAGTTAATATATACATAATGCACCTTTATTGTTCCAAGAGATAAAGCTGTAATCCGATGTGTTTGAATCATAAGTATGTATAGTAATATTTAATCTACTTAAATCAGACATAACAATAGCCAGTTAATGAATCAAGGGATTGCTTGTGTTAACATCTAAAGAAATTGTTAATACATTTACAGTGTATATTAGTATATTTAATTTTGTATGGTTAACAATAGGTCATTCAATGGATTATTAATCATGATTTATTGTAATTGTTACTTGTGGAACTGTTCATTAAAGGATATTGTTAGTGAATAAGTGATGTGAATTCATTTTTATACAGTCAGAAAAAAAAAATTATTGGAATAATTTTTTTTTAATTTTATTTTTTTTTAGAAATAATAATTTATTTTTAATTGATTTTAATTTAATTTGGTTATCTTTGCTAAATTGTATAATGTTACAGATTTCACTAGAAGTTACATAAAATTTAGGCATTTTTTGGATGTTACTAATCAGATTAACATTTAAAATTTCATTGATATTAATTGTGTTTTTTTACAAATAAGTCATATATGCCTAAAAAGCTACTGAAATATTTGGAATTTTATTTTTAAAATCAAATTTGGAATTTTCAACAGTTTCTGTCAGATGGAGCTATCTTTGGTCTTAATCTTATATACAGTTGAATTTAATGCAGCGGAAACTAAAACATGTTTTATAGCAATATTTTATAGTCACTTGAAAGAGTAATTTATAACATACTTTCCTAGCAACTGCTAAAAGCCATGTGACAAGAGGGGCTTAAAGGAAGTCTTAAATTTATTTGCTATATTTGTTTATTAAAAAAGACAGCATAATAAGAATTCAAAGGGTTGAGTTAAATAATTTTTAATTTGTATACTGTAAACTGTTAACTGGCAAATTTAATTATGTACTGTAAACTGGCAAATTATAAACTGTAAACTGGCAAATTATATACTTTAATAAACTGGCAAATTATATACTTTAATAAACTGACAAATTAAATTGTATACTGTATTAAACTAACAAATCTTTTTATAGATTGATTTTTCTAAAATATTACTTCTATTACCGAAAAATTATTTCCTTTACGTAAAAATGTTATAAATTTGAAACTTTAGACAGATGTTTCAGTTTTGTTCAAAACCTTAATACTGATTCAAGTTACCAGTCTCCTCCTTTTGTAAATAAGAGCACATAAATCTGTAAATCTGTATTGGTTATAACATAGTTATATGCCCCTTTTTAACTAAATATCCCTTTTCTTTACTTACAAGTTTCTGAAACTGTTTTTATTTTGACTATTAGATGCTTGTAATAGTAAAGTGTTCAGACTTACAAACACCCTGTGAGTCTGTAGTTTAAGGGCTTTCAAAGTTTCTTGTTTTGCTATTGAATAGTTTCATCTTAATAACAATGGATAGTTTACAGAGATTCATTACAGGACCTGAGTTCCTTACTCAAACAACAAATCAAACACTGTATGAAAAAAAAACCAGCACTAAATCCAAAACAAAATTGACTTTGTAATTGCTGAATGATTTACTGACTTCAATCAATGTTATGTCTTTCTATAATACAGTAGAAAAACGTAAAGCTGTTTCAAATCAAAATGTCAATAAGGTTACCATTGTGTTGACCAGTAGGGAATGTTTGAAGTAGCTTTTCCTCTGTATAGTCAACATTTACAGTAAATCTTTCATTAGATAGGAATTGGAGATGATAAACAAATAGTTCATTCTCTCTCACACTATTTTCAAATATCTTCTGCCTGGATTTTCAATGTTTATACTTTATAGGGAGCAATAAAGAATTGATAAGAAAGAATTTATAGCTTACAAAGAGATTGACAATAGAAATATCAATTTTTTATGACTTAAAATACAAACTGAATACAATGTTGAAGAATCAGTTTAATATATGGATTTTATTTCTGGAGTGGAATTTTAGTAATATTAAGAGATGAAAAAGTGCATTTAATATCTATGTGATTCTTCTTTATAATTGAATCTGAAACATTTGTTGGAAAAATTAACAAATATAAGTCTGTGAATAGATATTGTTTCTATGTTTGTTAATGGATGAGATACATTTATAATATTTTATTTATGATTAATGTATCACAAATATAGTACTTCCAAAATCTGTATTCATCGACACATAGACAGATTTATAGCAACTCATTGAATAGTGAATATTATATTTTCTTTATTGATCCCATTCAGTAATGATATTGATTTGATTAGATTTTATTGATGCTTTACATTCAAAATGAAATAAGATGAATTCACATCAGTTTTCACTGAGTTCATTAATAATGTAAAGGGATTGATATTAATATAATGTGGAATACAAAGTGAAGATACAACTGAAAATAAATTATTGATACATTTAGACATTAGAAAGTAAATTATAGAGAAGTGTTTTTCTTGGATTTTAACCTATAAAAGATTGTATTGTAAGGATTTACCATACATATTAGGATAATGGCAGACTTGGACTTTGATACAAATCCAAGATACCAGAAAAATGGCCTTCCTGTAAGTATATGATAGTTTTTTTGTGCTCAGGTGACCTTTTGTGATAATTCACTGTCTGCCGCTCATCTCGAGTGACCTGTTTTGATCATTCATGTCTCCCATCTCAGGTAACCAATTGTGATCATTCATGTACCCATCTGTGGTGACCTATTGTGATCATTTACTGTCTGCAACCCATCTTTGATGACCTATTGTGATCATTTATGTCACCCATCTTGGGGGACCTATTGTGATCATTCATGTCACCCATCTTGGGGGATTCACTGACTGCTGCTTATCTTGGCTGACCTTTTGTGATCAGTTACTGTCTGCCACCAACTTGTCTGTTAGATTTAGGGGCTGTTCATCAGTAATTTTAAAGAACAACAGATTTTCTCTGTATTAACAGAATATTTAGTCGGCAAAAGAAAATAGCAAAAAATGGTCCCTATATTCTATTTTGGTTAAATGACCTTCACTTTTCATCAAACAACATTTCCTCCGAAACCACCAGGTAATTATTATTTTAAATTGATATAAATGTTCCCTGTGTGATCCTTTTTCAAAGTTGTTAAGAAATTGCATTCCATGCAGAGCTCTTATTGCCATGGCAACCAAAAGGAAAAAAGTTTAAAACACTTCTTGTTAAAAATGGTTTGTCAGATTTTAATTAAGATACTAAAAATGATCATTGGATGAACCTTTTTATAGATTGTTGTAATCATCTGAAATCATTGGAAAACCATATTTATAATGAGAAGATTTTGAAGAGCTTCTTGTTAAAAAAAGTTTGATTTTCATATGACTTCACTAAAATGATTCTTAGGTGATTGGTTTAAGGGATTTTGTTCCATTAAATGACATGGATGCTAGGGGCACGGTCTATTTCCCCTCAGACTGTAAAAATATTCTTCTCAAAACCTTTCAGTCGGGATTTTCATATAGTTCACAGAAATTATTATTTGGTGAACATCTACAAAGAATGTCCAAATAATTTTGATTTTTCAAAACATGGTCAGAATTGTCCAAATGTGTTCAATTAGGAAAACTTTGAAAATCCACTTTAAAATTACTTTTTGTTTGATTTTGTATTATTTCACAGAAATGATCTTTAGATATTGTTCAAATAATTTTGATTTGTTAAAAATTTGATATGGCCATTAGGCCACATTGTCCATTTTGCCAATATGTACATAAGGAAGTATTTGTAAATTATTTTGAAATAACATTTGTTTGCTTTTTATATTTCACTAAAAGGATTTTTTGGTCACCATGGGCAAAGATTATTCTAATTTTTGATTAATTGGCAAAAATCATGGAAGTTACTGAGTGGGGTCATTCTCCTTTACATGTATAGCATTATAAAATATGAAAACTTAAGATCAACAAGGAAGATAGAGCAGCATTAAGTAAATATTCCACTTGGTAATCTTTTTTTTTTAAAATATGATAATTGGTCTTAGGTGACTGTCTACCTAGATTGTAAGGCTGCAACTAATTCTACCAATGTGGTGAGGGTAGACCTAGATCAGCCGGCACATTTCTGCTGTATGATCATGGTCTAAACAGTACTGTTTACTTATTCTGAAATTTTCCCAAAAAATGATGAATGGTTTTGCCCAAATTGAAAGATTGACTGTTTTATTAATTTTGATTTGCCATAGAAGAAGGTTGTGTTTTCATGAAACTTTACCAATCACCTTGTAACCTCTCTTGAAGAATATACGGTCATGACATAGCCCTGTTTTGTGTGAATGTTTTTTTAAGTCATACTGACAAAATCATAGGTGAATGTCGCGTTTATAATTTTTTAGAGTCATAAAAAAAAAAATTTCATAAAATTTATTTTTGTCAATACTTATGATGTTTGGATGATGTTTAAGGGTTTTGGGTTGTAGAGGGGAAACGGGGGTATAGTGTAAGTCATGGCCATGTGATGTTCACCTGTGGACAAAATGTCATATGGTGATTTTTTTTCAAGCTATACTGATGGAGGAAGGCCCTTCATATATTATTTAAGGTTTATGTTGGCATGTACCCGTGTCTGCGAGTAGCTTGACAGCTACCTCAAATGACTCACAAATCTCTAAAATCTTTTGCTAAGGAATCTTTTGCTGTAAATGTGAATTTCTAGGCAATATTGTTGCTGTAAATGGTAGAGCTGTAAATCGGAATCGGTTGACCATACATTAAGTATTCATTTGTCTCCAGTGGACCTCACTGCCATCTTTCAACTTACATGTAAATAGATCCAAGTTAAGGTCAATGCTGCCAAAAAAAGAATTTTTTTTGGCCTCCTGGTGAGGTTATGTTTTTAACTTTGTATTTTGATACGGTTCTTGTTGTTACAAAATGATGAATGATTCATGTAATCTATTTCTTCACTGGACAATAAGAAATTTTTTGTTAAAAATTTTGAAACCCAAAAAAGACTTCTAGGATTTTAAAAGTACTTATAGATTTATTTATATCAAATACAAAAATGTCAATTCTTGAAAGTATTTATTTGATAGCTTTGGAGGTTACTGTAATTTGTTTCGTAACTGATCAGATATATTTCACAGATTTTCTGAAGCAGTCAGTAGAAATCGTGAAAACTGATTATTGTACTCTTTAGAAATTAATCGAATACGGTATAAATTGTAAGGCCATTTCATTCACTTTTGTCATCTAACGAAATAAAGGTGATTTTCAAAGACATGATTTTATCAATGCCATTAAAGGTTTTCATAACGACTTCTTTAATGTGAAGACTAACCTTCCGAAGAATATCAAAACTGTTTAAAATTACATTCAAGTATTTGTTTGACAACAATTAGAATATTTTCCAACATATGAACAAAATAAGTGTTGAAGTTGATATGAACACACGCTTTTAGTTAAAGATAAAGTTTTAAAGATAAAATATTTTCTTAAGATTTAAATATTAATAATTTGTTTGGAAAAAAAAAGAGAAGAAAACAAGACTTTGAAAGTTTTGATTTGAGTTTGGATTATTGATAAGAATGGAGTCAGATGAAGAGTTTGGATATGGTAGTAGAGTGAAAGTAAAAAGACAAGATATAGATATCATGGTATCACTTTTCCTGAATTATTTTTTTTGAACTTTATTTTATCAAAATTTTTTTTTTTAGTTTTTTTATTTTAGTGTTTTTCTCAAACTGAGTTTTAACTGTTAAGTACTTAAATGATTTTCAGCTGACATAATGATATGTTAAAGAAACCATAATTTTTTACCTCCTAAATTATATCCATATTGTACGAATGACCAACTATATTGTAAAATAAATGAGAATAAAATATATATTTTGGTAACAATAGAGTAAAGAGTGATGATCTTTTTATTATCAATGATTGAAGGACGATTCTATAAAGTAATTACTACACACACATGTGTCATTGAAATGCCTACAGAATAACGATTTTCAGTTTTCCTTTGAAGATTTAATGTATATGAATAATGCGTACAGTATTAAATTATTTCGATAAAACATTTTAGAATACCTTTTTGTAGATTGTCTGATTTGTTGGCTTTTGTTTTCTGCTTTTAAACCTAACCTACCGTCTCTTTTAAACATTGACAAGTCTGATGTGATGACGACTTGCTAATACAAAATAAACAAAATGTTTTCAATAAACAATTATGTAAAATCTTGATGCATTATCAAAGTTAGCTAAATTTTGAATGTCCTGAAAAGGCTGTTCAGTTAAATTAAATTTGAATAAAGGACATTGATTTTATAGGCAAGAGCAATTTTATTTGTGTTTCTAAAGATGACATTGGTAAAAACATTGAGGTCTCATTTATATAAATCTCTTGTATAAATACAGAGATCATGATAAACATTAGCCATAGGACTTCATTAATATAGATCTCTGGCAGTGACCATAAGATTTCGTTAAATATTTATTTCTGGGATAGACACAGATGTTTTCTTGTCCCCCGCCTTTACGAAGAAAAAAGGGGGATATAGAAATTGGCTCCGTCCGTATGTCCGTCACACTTTCGTGTCCCGTCCATAACTTTGTCATTTATCAAAGGAATTTGAAATAACTTGGCACAGATGTTTGTTATGATAAGACGATGTTTCATGCGCAACAACCAGACCCTACCTCCAGGGTCAAGGTCGCACTTGCTCATTCAAGGTCAACATTGTCTTTTTGAGGGTAAATGTCGTGTCCGTTCTATAACTTTCTTATCTTTGAAAGGATTTTGTAAATACTTGCCACAATTGTTCACAACAATAAGACGATGTGTCATGCGCAACAATCGGTCACCTACCTTCAAGGTCAAGGTCACACTTAGAGGTCAAAGTTTTATACAGTCTGTTATAGGGTATATTTTGTGTCCAGTCCATAACTTTTTCATATATCAAAGGATTTTGAAAATAATCGGCACAAAAAGTCACTATAATAAGACGATGTGTCATGCGCAATACCTGCATCCCTACCTCCAAGGTCAAGATCACACTTCGAGGTCAAAGATTAACATAGTCTATTATAGGGTATATTTTGTGTCGCTCTAGAACTTCTTCATAGTTTAAGGGATTTTGAAAATACTTGGCACAAATATTTAAAATAATAAGACGATATGTCGAGTACAACACCTGCAAACCTACCTTAAAGGTCAAGGTAACACTTAGAGGTCAAAGCTTGACATTGTAGATTTTTAAATTCTGTGTTCATTTTATTTCTTTAATAAATTTATTGTTGCACTTGAAGATCTAGCATTGATCATAATTTTGGACTAAAAGTCCTGAGATTCATACCTCAATCTTTTGAAATAGCACAATTTTATGCTTCATATAAAACTTCCCGAGGCGTGTGACGTTGGTAACACTGTTACAAATTCTTGTTAATACCAATTTCTGGTATAGACTTAGAGATTTTATTCATATAAATTTCGGGTATGGACATGGAGATTCTGGTAATATATATCTCTGGTGTAAATGCAGAGATTATTGTATTTTATTTAGTAATTATCATAAAACACAGAGATTTCAGTGATATAACAATTTTCTTGTTAAATGAATATTTAGCTTTTATAGTCATATAATATACACCAAATAGAAATTTGTAAGTGTGATATGGAGAAAACAACAACTTACCAAGAAGTAAATAAGTCAGATAGATAGACACAGTATAAAAAATTCAGAAAAAAGGATAAATATAAAGGTTTTAACCATAAAATATAAGTACATTTGTACATGGCAAAATTGATACCGTCAGTCTGTGTGTACAATATTTCATCCTCGAAGTTTCAAAAATCTATGGGGCAAGTAATTTGTACTAATCAATGTAGATATATAATTTATTTATAGACATGATACGATGCCCTGAGAAACAAGTATTTTTATTTGTTTTGCACATAAATATCATATTCATTTTTTACAACAATAATTAGTTGGGCTTGACTAGACGTAAAAGAACATGACAAAAACAAAAATGTAGTGCCTGAAATTCAATACTAGAAGTGTGTTGAAACAATGATCTTTGACTGAAGTGTTATATAGAAAAAACTGTTACAATGTGTCCATTTTAGACAAATGTGAATATTTTTGTCTGTCTTAGTTTCGTCAGTGCTGTCGGCTGTTTGGAGTTAAAAAACTAAAGAAGGATTTTTTTTTAAACTTCACTCTTGAGTTCATTCTAAATGAAAAATTTAGATACATGAAATTAAAAGTTTCGGGAAATTTAAAACAAAAATAAAGTGATTTGAAAAATTTACAAAAAATTTTTACTTTAAGTTTTTATAATTTTTAAAAAAGGGTTCAAAAAATTTGCCCATCTGTCAGGGTCAGATTTTAAATCTCGAGGTGGAGGTGTCCTATGGGGAACGACCTTTTAAGAGAAAAACCGTTTAGAATTTTGGGGGAAATGGTTTTTTTGCTGGTTTGAATTTTTTGGTAAAATTTTTTTAAAGGGCGGGAAAAGGTTTCTTATATTAAAGCCAAATTTAAAGGTTTAATTGTCTTAAATGATATGTAAAAATTTTTCAAGTTTTTCCCCCAAGGAAGGATAATTTTTTTTGTGATTTTTTTCCCAAAACTTAAATTGGATGAATCTCTTTGACAGAGTTAATTTTTAAAAGGCTTTTTCTAAAACCCCCCTTTAATTTTCCCCCAGCTTTATTTAAAATTTAAAAAGGCTGACTTTTTTCAAAATTTTCATTTCCCGGGAAAATTTCTTGAAAAAAAGATTGTTTTTTTTAAAGGATTTTAAAAATTTTTAAATCTATAAATAACTCAAAGATTGTAAGATAAGATTTCCTAATGATAGTGAAGATGACAATGAGGACTTTGATTGAAAAAAATATCATTAGTACCGGTATAAATTATGCCTTTTGTTTCAGAATAAAAGACGATGGCAGATCCATACCTTTCAGTAACAATTTGATTTTCTTTAACCCATTATTATTTTAATTTAATTTGTCTTATTTTCTTTTAGCTGTAGTACTGGTGATATTTTAGCTAAACTGACACAAATGCCAGAGTAAGCAATATAAGGATCGTCACTGTCCAGCATCTGTCTACTTTAAATGTTTCTAAAGAAAATTTTTTCACTTAGGGATAGTATACTAGTATTTTTTCACAAAGTCATGGTGTCAGTATTTTAAGTTTTCTAATGTTAAGGTTGATTAGTTTTAGTTTTCAGAATTCCACCCAACTAGTATTTTATTTTATGTTTTAAGACTATTTTCAATGTATGCATAAACTCCACATAAGTTGGAAACTTTTAAGTAGATTAGAAACATTGGTATGAGCCATATGTAGCCATTTTGTCTTCAATGACTTAAATTGTTTGTATAATCATTTTCTTCAATACTTAAGTTGTGATTGTTAAGCGGTGAGCACAAATTTTACAACACATTTAAAGTGGCCTTCAGCTTTCATTTTTGGTTTGAAAAACCAATTCTTTGTTGTTTCAAACTACGTATTTCAGTATTTTTATCATGAAAAAGTGCATCGTATTACTGTTGAGTCTTATTCAAAACAGCGTCACGATAGCTATTTATAGCCTGTCTGTGACGTTTGTTTCTAAAAATAGATTAGAAAGCGAAATGTCCATATTAATCATTTACATAGAGAGAGTGTAACGGTAGATTAGAGGTCTCGAGGGGTTTCCTTATTGTTTATGTATCTTATCAACAGCAAATTTTATTTTCCACTTTAATTCTCTTGATTTGACAATTATATGAAATGATTTATCTTGAAATAACATATATAACCTCTAAAAAACTGAAGGCTGCTTTAATATTATAACAAGAAAAACAATGTTGCATTTAGTCCATTAACTATTGGAACTAAAAGTGCCAGAATACAGCCACTTCTCTACAGTCTGACCTGGCATGTCCTTTTGATTTGATTTTTCCCGTTTTGTCACTCAGTATTCATTCGGCTTTGTAACTCATCTATTTTTGTCAGGATTCTCTCATGTAAGAGGCCAAAAGCCTAAAATAAGTATGGCCACATAATTTACTGCCAGTTAAAGCACTGAAACCTCAACGGTGAAAAGTTTAGATATTTAGAATGTAGCCTAACCTAGTGCACCTTTATCAGTGTTATTCAATTTATTAGGTTTTGGTTAAAACTTACACAATACAATAGTTTTGGTAATTTTAAGTAAAGGGAGGTAATAGATATTGAAAATAGAATAGTTAGTTTTTTAAATTCATCATTTTTTAAAGTCTTTGAGTATTTTGTGCATTTAAAGTTATGATAAGATACATAATTGTAGACTTCTATCAGTGCTCATGGTATTTAAAAACAAAATAAGAAATTTTATCAAATCTAACATTATTTTAAGATATGAAAAAAGTATGAGTGAGTTATATATGATAATTATATAATCAACTACTTGTAAAATGAATACATAAACATTTGTCCAATTTGTCTTTTATAAACATTGTATGTATTTAAGTCTGCAAGAATTCACCTTTGTCATGATATACTGTAGTTATAAGATATGTATAATTATATAATCACTGTATATGTTATAGGATGCTGTGAAGATGAATCAGCTGCAGAACTTGCTGCATGATGCCCTGATTTCCACGGAGCATGTTCAACAGTGTGCCATTGTTAGACGTAAAGATTGCTCAGTTAGAGCAAGTTCAGTTGGCTTTAATGTGAGTACTTAACCTTTAAATCATTATCAAAATCCATGTCTTGTAGACGTTACCTTTCTTGGGTTGTCACTATGTTTTATAATCCATCAATATAAATACCATTTATTATTCTTCATTCTTTGTGGATAACACAGGAAATGAGCCGTGTTTTAATGGTTTTACTTTTTCTTTGGCCTGTCAATGGGTGGTTTTCGGGGGAGTTACATAGCAAAGGATATGTCCAAGTCATTAGGCTTTACCTTGTGACTGTCCCTGCAGAGCAGAGCCTTGACCCGGGATGTTGATGTTTCACAAGTTAATGTCATCTCCTTCATTTTATATGGTTAAGACGGGGAGGCAGGGTTATTATTGACCAGTACAGCAGAGCTTAATAAATTGAAGATTTTACTTCACAACTTTACAGCCTGAACATAAATACATGTAATTATTATGCAGTTATTGCATTGATGCTATGTATTGATTAACAATAAATGTTTGTTGTTAATCTCAGTTGAAATGGAAAATGAAGATCATGAATACCTAAGCTTGAATATGTATGAACCTTTAACTTAAGTGAGTTCTTCGAAAACTAGCATCATTGCTTTAAACAGAAGTTGAATTTATAAAACCGTTGCTACTTTTTGCTCTATAATTAAGGTAAATAACTTTTCATAGCTTATTGTGATTTATAGCAGTTACCTACCTTGTGAGGGGCGTCCATGGCTGAGTGACAGGGACTTTGGATTCTTTCATGTGAGGAAGCTATCCAGCTAGCTTACGGAACGTCGGTGGTTCTACTCAGGTGCCCGTTCGTGCTTGAAATAATGCAATGAAGGGCACCTGAGGTTTTCCTCCACCAGTAAAGCAGGAACGTTGTGATATGACCTATACTGTGTCGATGTGACGTAAAATCCAAAACAAACTAACAAAACCTACCTTGTGCTGTAGAAATATTTATCTGGTATTTCAGCTATATCAGGACCAAGTACAGTTACTGCTAGATGCATTTAAAAATCCACCACAAACCAGGGAAGAGGGTATCTACTTTGATGATAGACAGTTCAAATGTGTACGTGCAGATAAAACTTCCATATATGGAAAATGTGTAAGAGTTATTTTCAAGTATTTTTTTCAAACTTGCTTCAGTTTTTGGATTAAGAATGGGCTAAAACCAAAGTATGATTCTATATCTACCCCTGCAATTATCTGCCCCTGTCATTACAATGATTATATTTTTGTATATTTATATTTTTGTATTAAAAAGAGATTGAATAAAGTATCGTCTTCTGAATTGACAAACCTGTGTAAACAACTCTGAGGAGTTTATATGGCATTGTGGTTAAGGTGTCTGCCTCTCAACATAAGGATCATGGGTTCAAGTCCTACTTAGTCACCGGCACTCTTCTTCATATATGATAGCAGTACTGGCCTGTACTGGTAGAAGAACTAAGCTGAAATCAATATTTGTAATTGAATGAAATGGTTGCCTGAAAAACATTTTGTTGAGGTATTTTCATAAATTTTGATAGGATTATGAAATATGCCAACTAATGTGAAAATAATGTTGTATGTATTTCAGGAGAGTAGAGGACTTATTCTGGTAAAAACACTGACCTTGTTGCTAATAGCAACATATACAGATTCCATGTTTCCTAGTGTATGCGTTGAAGCTGTTGAAAAACTAGGTAATTTATTTAAATCTTTTTAAGTGCTAGTGGCATTTATAATTGTCAGCAGTATCAAGTCAGTTCAGACAGAACATCTGTAAACTCTGACCAGACACACTACTGTAGGCAACTCAGTTTCAGTATTCATAACTCTTATACTGAAATCCCTTTAACAATTTATAGACTACTCCAAATTCAAGCTGGGCATATCCATTAGAAAAATACAAAGAGAGAAATGTAGTCCCTAAAGAACGCCTAAAACAGCAAAATTGCAAATGTTGCACTTTTTCATTATCCCAGGATCCGGTTGTTCAAAACATTGGTTAGTGTTAACCAGTTGTTAAATTCATTATCCGCTGGTTAAATTTTGTCAGTTGGATAAATTCTGTTGCTCAAAACTTATCCAACGGATAAAATGCATTATCCAGCGGTTAACTTTAACCAGTCTTATGACCACCGGATAATGGATAGAAGTGGATAGACTCATTAGACCAAGTCTGCAATTTTCAATTAATGATTCCCAGGGATCACCCTTTCTTCAGATCTTTCTTTTGTATAATCTGTTGGATTCATCAATATTATAGCTTACTGAAAACACCAAACTCTCCAAGGTTTTGGGAGCACTTTACTGTGCATGTCTCTTATAAACTTGTTCTTGAAATGTAACAGGCTTGCTTTATAACTCTTTCCGAGACTTGTTTGTTTGTCAGTATGAAATGACATTTCATTGAGATCTAGTACTCACGAAATCAAATTGAAAAATAATATAAAGTTGAATTTTATAGAAGTGATAAAAATGGTGTAAGAAATAGTTTTTTTTTATTATTTTAACATTCAATTATTTCATATATTTCAGCGGATTATTTCAAGGAGAAAGGAAAATGAAGTCATGAAGGACGAATTCATGTGAACTATAATCAAAAACTTTTTAACTTGATTGCAGAATACATTCCATGGAATAAACTGCTACATCTAAAGGATTTTAAAGTTTTAGTGTTCAAGAAATGTTAGATTTGATAGTGTTTATATGTCAGGACTTTATTTATATAGAAGTACTGATTGAAATGCTGTGAAAGAACTACATAGCAAAAATGTTTCCGTCTAAATGTGTGACTGCTTTATCTACAGCAAAAACTCTCATATAATTAGACAGTCATTACAGATATCTTACTTTGTTATCTGTGGTAGAAGATGACATAATGAGTACAGTTCATTATAACTTCAGATTTATATTTCATAGCTATGTTAGATCCTGAGTAATCATATTTCATGATCTGGGTCCAAGGTTATAAAGAAATTGCCCAAACTCAGATCTAAGGCATTTGATTGGTCAATAACTTGCAAAGAATGTAAACTGACCAATGAAAATCCTGAGATTTGAGATGGAACTCTGGAAGAAGTTCGAGTTTGGAGAATTTCTTTATATTATATAACCTTCTGGCCTGGAATGCATTTTTGTACATTGTTCTCTATGAAAAGAATTGTTTCCTTAATTCTGTAAAAAAAAGTTATCTCTATCAAAAGAATATTTTTCTGTGCCTCATTCTTTTTACATGAGTCATAACAATGTTGTTTATGGAATGTATTATTCAAATGTTATTTATACATGTATTATTATACTGTTCTTTACTGATTATATCATTTAATTGTTTATTTAATTATGAAATGTATCATTCCACTATTATTGTTGGACAGATTTATTATGGTTTACATATACACTTACACTTTTCAATATGAACAGTGGTATTACACTGCTTTTAAAAGAATGGACTAACACTGCTCTTTTAGAGTATGAACAAATTCTGCTCTTTATGGTATAAACTACATGTATTACAACATTGTTTGTAGAATGCAGCTTTACAATTTTCTTTATAAAGAACTTACATAGATTGTTTAAAGATTATATTAAATCAGTTGCATAACAAGTTTCTTTTAACAAATTTAATGTTGATTATTTGAAGAGTTATTTGTACTTAATTTGATGAAGTTGTGACATTTTCAGATTCATAATGTGACATAACTAGCTTGTCTTTTTTTGAAATGGGGACTGTCTGTTCTTAATATGCAGGAGTTCGATATCAAACTATATGTAACTAATCAGCCAAAAGTTCAGTCTTGTATAAATGCAGTGATATACAAACTAGCATACATGTGATTTTAGATTATCATTATACCCCCAAAAACGAAGTTTGGGGGGGTATATAGGAGTCACCCGGTGGTCGGTCGGGCGGTCGGTCGGTCCAGACGTCCGTTGCATTTTCCTTGTCCGGAGCATAACTTGAAAACTAATGGTTGGAATTCAATATAACTACATACAATGGTCAAGCACATTGACAGGAAGTGCAGTGCACAAGAACCATAACTCTATCTTGACTAATTACAGAGTTATTGCCCTTTGTTACTTTTCCTTGTCCGGGGCATAACTTGAAAACTACTGGTTGGAATTCAAAACAACTTCATACAATTGTCAAAGACAATAAGGGGAAGTGCAGTGCACAAGAACCATAACTCTATCTAAAGTAATTACAGAGTTATTGCCCTTTGTTGCTTTTCCATTGCTTTTTTTTTTTTGTCCGTTGCATTTTCCTTGTCCGGAGCATAACTTGAAGACTAATGGTTGGAATTCAATATAACTACATACAATGGTCAAGCACATTGAGAGGAAGTGCAGTGCGTAAGAAACATAACTCTATCTTGACTAATTACAGAGTTATTGCCCTTTGTTACTTTTCCTTGTCCGTGGCATAACTTGAAAACTACTGGTTGGAATTCAAAACAACTTCATACAATTGTCAAAGACAATAAGGGGAAGTGCAGTGCACAAGAACCATAACTCTATCTAAAGTAATTACAGAGTAACTGCCCTTTGTTGCTTTTCCATTGCCTTCTTTTTTTTGTCCGGACCATAACTTGAAGACTAATGGTTGGAATTCAATATAACTACATACAATGGTCAAGCACATTGAGAGGAAGTGCAGTGCATAAGAACCATAACTCTATCTAAAGTAATTACAGAGTTATTGCCCTTTATTACTTTTCCATTGCTTTCTTTTGTCCGGACCATAACTTAAAGACTAATTGTTGCAATTCATTATAACTTCATACAATGGTCCAGCACATTGAAAGGAAGTGCAGTGCTCAAGAACCATAACTCCATTTTGACTTATTAGAGAGTTACTGCCCTTTGTTTCTTTTCCTTGTCCAGAGCATGACTTTAAAACTACTGGTTGGAATTCAAAACAACTTCATACAATGGCCAAGCACAATAAGGGGAAGTGCAGTGCACAAGAACCATAACTCCATCTTGACTAATTACAGAGTTATTGCCCTTTGTTACTTTTCCATTGCTTTCTTTTGTCCGGACCATAACTTGAAGACTTATTGTTGGAATTGATTATAACTTCATACAATGGCCAAGCACAATAAGGGGAAGTGCAGTGCACAAGAACCATAACTCCATCTTGACTAATTACAGAGTTATTGCCCTTTGTTACTTTTCCTTGTCCAGAGCATAACTTGAAAACTACTGTTTGGAATTCAATATAACTTCATACAGTTGTCAAGGACATTAAAAGGAAGTGCAGTGCACAAGAGCCATAACTCCATTTTGACAAAAATACAGAGTTACTGCCCTTTGATACTTTTCCTTGTCCGGAGCATAACTTAAAACGTACTGGTTGGAATTCAAAACAACTTCATACAATGGTCAAGCACAATAAGAGGAAGTGCAGTGCACAAGAACTATAACTCTATCTTCAGTATTTATAGAGTTATTGCCCTTTATTCTTTTTCTTTGTCTTTCTGGACTTATTACAGAGTAATTCAATTAAACTTCATCAATGGCCAACCACATTGAAAGGAAATGCAACATACATGAACCACAATTATCTTTAATTGCCCACAACCATAACTCTATGTTTCAATTCTATTACAAGGTATTCTGTTACTAGTAATATCCTCATTTCCGAAGCAGACTTGTGGGGGTATTAATCACATTTAGTGATAGTTCTAGTTTAATTTTATTTTAATTCTATTATACATGTATTTATATATAATGTAATTTACATTTTTTCCGTCCAATATATTTTTAAATCTGTTATGACTTCTCTTTATTTATTTAACTGATAAATTATATCAATATACCTGATATTAGAAAAACTTAATTTCACATGATAATTGTCCAACATTAGACCAGTTAAGTAATCATCATTGCCAAGGGTGAAAATGTCTGACAAGAATTTACTAGGTTTTTAACTCAACTTATTACATGTAGGTGGTTGTTGTATGTTAAAAAAGTAACCAATGGAAATACATGTTTACTCACCCAAGAAAACTTAGTATTGCATTTATAGGAAATAAAGCAAATTCAAAATATCATCTAAAGTCTTTTTTGCCTTTATTTGAAGTTTCACTGAAGCCATGTGTTAGATACTTTAATTTAGTGTGTTAAATCATTTGGACCTTTATTAAAATACAAAATTTTTGTGCAGACCTGATCCTATAATTGCGCACCAATCAATTGTCACCTTTCACCTTGGCACTGTTTTTGGTAGAGGAGGAAATAAGCAAAGTAAGTTTGCCTTCCGTTTACCTTAGTGAGGTTTACGTTCGGGCTATTTCCAAAAGTCTCCTGCCATGCTCTAAGTTGTGAAAAGTGTTAAGCATCCTCAAAACAAATAGTTTATTGTGATTCCTAAAAAGTTTATTGTGATTTTTAAAAAACGTCTTGACCTATCTGTTCAACGAACTTGCCACTGTGACTGAAAACGCCATTGATATTCATTGTCCTAATTTTCTCTTGACCTGCTGAATTTGTGTAACAAACGTTTTGCTTTTTGTGTGTCAAAAATGATCTCTACGCCATTATTTTTTATAATATCAGTATTTCATGCAAAAAAGCACTTTCCATGCATTTTTAATTAGGGACAATTACCTTTATTAGTTATTACGTAATATATTTTAGAATAATGTGTTTCCGAAGTGTGATACTAAGTATAGTTTTTAATGTTTATTCTATCAATATACAGGAGTACATTTTCATAGCTATTCAAATTGACAAGAAAAAAACTTAAACAAGAGCAATTATTGTTTCAGGAGATAGGATTACCGTATCAGTGTCTTTTACTTGGCTTCAATGACGTCATGCGCTATTTGATTCTAAAGAATACCTTATAGCATACTTTTTTAGTTCTTTTAATCAAGACAAAAACACGATTCTAAAAACACATGATACACTTTTATATAACTCAAGTGTTTGCATTCCGGCAGTTTTGAATTCACATTGCCGGCATTTGTAGAGAATGTATATGACGAAGATTGGTCGGTTCCGAGAATGACATCTGACAAGTCCCTGGCTGTATTTTCACAATAATGTCTGCGTCGCTACCCTCTACACGAAGTACGTGGTATAGATAGCCGTCGTTGTTAGAAAAGCCTTGGTTTACAGAACCACCGTAATGTCTTTGAAATATTCCTGAAAAACAAACGTATTTGAATATTTGTTGACCTGAGTCGATTTATTGTGCACCAAACAATTGTGACACCGTCCCTTCATACCCGGGACATGATGGTCCCGAGTTGTAAAAGACTGTTGCGTTACTTGCATACATTTGACCCTCTGAATGCTTCCGGTAAGGTGATCATTTTAGAGCCAGGCTAGCCTGCACAACCCTGCAGTCGATCTTTATCAGGCTCAATGCTTTCTGTTACAAATTTTTGCTTGAATTATTAATCAATTGATGTTTGGTTACATGTAAATCATAAAAACATAAGAATCAACTGTGCAACAATAAAACACCAGACAATTTTAACGCTTGCAAGAAACTTAAAAGTCCACAAGTCAAAATTCCTGCTATTCTTTGGGAGTTGAAGTGACAAGTCCATTAGCTGGACACGATTACTCCTCATTTTGCGCATTTAAAAAAGTTTAAAATCATAATACAGTACATGTATTCATGATTTTGATAATGTGATTTTGACTGTACTAATTACCTGCGGGTGCGATGTCACATTTTTTGGTAACCGCCCCTGACATCGGATCAACAGCGACCAGGTACCAGCTGTGAGGTTCATCAAACCACAAACCAGGAGAAAATGCATACAGCTCATCTACATATATAAATACATTAAGTCACATCTATTCTACCATTAGGTCATTATAGCGATTTTCTAGTTTGTCTGGGGCAGCATGACCTTAGGTTCTACTACGAGTCTACGAGCATGATTTTAAGCACTTGTGAGTTCCAAAGTGAAACCAACGACCTTTAATAAGTAAGCTGTTCAGTTTTCTTGCATCAAAGGACAAATATTCATCATCTTGCACCTATATTTGAAGGATAGTGTATTATATTGTTTACGTTTCCTTTATTTTATTGATAACAACGAGGGTACGAGAATATAGACACGTTGGTAAGTTAAAAAGTATCTAACATTTTCAAATTATTCTTTGTTCCATAATGCTGTTTGCATGTTTAGGAAAATAAATCAATTTCGATGTTTTCTTTTCAATATAAAACAACATAAGAAATGGGATCTTTGTCCCATAAAGAAGAACATTAATTCAAAACAGTCTTATTTTGCAGTGAAAGAACTTTGGCAAATAGCATCAACATTTATGCGACACCTATCCCATTTACAAATATGAGAACTTGGGCAAATGGGATCCCTTAGACATATGTCTTTTACATTGTTTTTATGAGTAACAAAAATAAAGGTAACGTTACAAAATTAAAACGACAGTTACATGAAACTTTTCATGTAATTTGTTGTGATTAATGCTTCCGAGGGATCACTTTATACTTCACAACAGCAGGTGTCAAGTGCCGTGTGGCAGCTGTAAAAAGTTGCCCCGTACTTCACTTCAGTGTTGTTATATTTTTCTGGTCCTCCGGGATCATTGATGCCAGCACTATTAAGTGTTGAGAATTGAGTACCGCTCAAGCCGGTGTTAGGGGGCGTGAGGGATGTTGCACTTATTCATTTTCCCTCATGTACAGACTCAATAAAACCGAGTCTGCAATTTTCTTGTTATTTTGTTGTGATTAATGCTTCCGAGGGATCACTTTTGTTTCCAGATTTTTATTACACGTGTACTTATTTAGAACTAGAAAAATGAATGGAAAGAAGAACATTTATGCACAGCGTCATTATTTTACAAGATATAAAACTTGCAGAAAATGAGGTAACTAATCCATAACGGAGAAAAATTATAGTACAAAAATACGTACCACTTCCTGGATAGGAATGTATGGACATAAATGTATATTTGGAGACATCTAGTTCCGTGTACTTGATAAACTTACTGAAATCACTATAAAACAATTAATACAGAATAATGTTTGTACATATGACAGAAATGTTCAAAACATAGTGACAATTGAATACTACAAATTTTCTTGACATCTTTTTTAGTTTATTTCCTGGAACTAACTAGTTCTGGACTCAAAGTTATAATGTATGTCTCAAATCTCATGATTTTCATTGGTTAGTGAACATTCTGTGGCAAGTTCTGACCAATCAAATGCCTGAGATCTGTGTTTGTGCTTTGAGAATTTCTTTATAACCACAGACCCTTATCTCAAATGAGGTTACATGACCGTGGCACCAGTAGGGCTCAAGCCCCCCGATCTTTGTGTTGTAAAGCAAACGTCAACGTTTCACTAATTCTACAGTGTGACTTTACCTCGGGCAATAAAGCTCATATTCTTGATATTATCCGACGGTCGGAAGATTCTAGTGAATTCACAAAATAAACACACCTGTCATATAGATCAAATATATAAATTCTTGAGTTTAGTTCGTCTGGTGCATTCTCGTTTCCCATTAGAGCATAGGTTCTATGATAGTTGTTCACATCTGTCTCAAACCACTGAAAATTCACATACAAACCCTCAGGATCAGGGATGCGAGCCCCCATTTTATATGCCCCATCTACAATCATGCCTACCTCAAAGTACCAACTATCTGAAGAGAAAGAACATAATCATGGTCTCGACAAATTTACTGGTACCTACCGGTATTAAGTTTTTAATCAAATTTAAAACATGTTTTGATATAAGTTAACCAAACGCCTAAAAATTAACAAAGGTTGCTAACGTTTTTGAAATCATTACTAAAGGCAAACTAAATGACTTTATGTATATTTTTAGATATATAGCTTTTGTATATATCTACAAAACATTAATTTAAATACAGTTGTAAATTGAAAAAAGTATGAAATAAAATCTTACTGGCTTTTTCTGCCGGCTGAATTCTAAACGCTGCAGACGTCCCATATGTATACCAAGATAAAGCGTTTATGGCACCACCGGAAAATTGGAAAAGATCCGAATACTCTACAAGACTTCCGTTATATGTACCCACAACATACAGTTGCTTAGCAACATCATCTCTGCTGCCGGACTCGTGCACCAAAAAGTTTGTTGTGTTCCTTCCATAGTCTATGGATAAGACCTCATCCAGTAAGAACATTTCACTTTGACTGCTGCCTGAGACAGGGGAGTCTATACCGAACTTAAACGCGTTCACCATTTCAGTTTGTCCAGTCATTGTATCAATTGAAATATAGTGACTTCTTCCCGGCTCGAAGGGATTGTACGCTATACCGTACAATTTCATAGCCCCGTCAGCCACTGACTCACCGCTCTTCAAGTTATGGTGATATTTGCGCAGGCGCAATGCACGTTTCAATGGCAAAAGCTTTTGCCTGTCAGAACTGCTTTCTTCATGGACAGGTGAAAATATGAGATCATTATCTGACTTGGAACCTAGTGAAATCTTCACGTCTGCACATTGCAGGAAAGTTGTTTCACCAGGCTTGTGGGCATTATAACGCATGCGTATTACACAGTGCTCGCACATGATGCTCGGTATTTTCTGTAATGGAACATACATTTGAGTTTCTGAAAATGTGATGTTGAATAGAGATGTTCTATCTCCAGTAAAATATATACTATTAAATCTATCTAGGAGATACAAAAAGAAGAACTTTAATCGACAGATAGAAAAAGAAGAACGCATGACCACCTGGTCTTCGAACCTGTCATTGTCTAAAATGACATTCTTATATCGCCCAAACATGGCCATACAAATTCAATAGATCATTTACTGTATTCCACTACAAATACACAAGTTAATCAATGATGAGCCATTTTGGCTGATAGTGCTAAGAACACTTTTGTTCTTTAATTCACACGTAGTATGCGTTATACGTGTGCGTACACTGCCATTTACAAATACATGTACTTTTGATATTCTAGCATTGTGCACACGTGTTGCTTCTTTTGACATGTGTTGCTCAATATATTCTTAAATGTCTCATTCAAAGCCTAATAAAACGTGCTCATTTGCTGTTTTGCTTTATTCTAATAAAGCAAACTTAAATGCAAATTAAGGAACGCTTAATGGCGCCATTTTTATCATCTTCTTAACATTTGAGTTTGGAAACACAAGTTTTTACTCACAATTATTGCGGTAAAGTTTTGCTGGTAATCTTGCCTGTGAACATATTTGTCTGTAACCACTGCTAATGTGGTAAATTCAGTACTGTTCTCTGTGGTCGCTACACCTATGTCCATGTAACCTGTAAACATATAATAAATACATCAAAGCATCTCTTCTTTAGCCCATCAGAGTGTTGGCCTTACTGGCTCTCAACAAAGGTAACGTGGGTTCGAACCCAACTCGGGTTACGACCATGTCCTCATATTATTATATTAATCAAGATGTCGTACTTATAAGTCAATTATTTATTTTTTAAAACCAATGATTTACCCAGATATCAAACTTGTAAACAGCAATAATTTACCTGGATATCGAACTTATAAACATCAACGGTGTACCTTGATACCACACTTATAAACGCCAATTATTTATCTGGATAAAGCACTTATAAACAACAGTTATTTACCTATATACATGTTTTACTTACCTTGATACCGCACTTATAAACATCAATTGTTTACCTGGATATCCCGACTCGTAATGGTTGAGGTTTTGTTGCCATTTGAAGAACGCGGTTTCTCCTGCCAGATATGCTACCTTTGGCGTCTCAATGGCCTGACCACCACATGGCTCAGCGTGCCTGGTACATGTTGGACTTCCTGGCTGTAAACAATACATGTATATTGAATAACACAATGGTGAACTGTTTTCAGTACATGTTTGCCTTTTTTGTGTTTTTGTGTTACTTTGTCTTACCGGTATGCCTTTTCCAGTACTGACACTTTCGCAAATAATTTCACAATCTGTTACAGAATTCATTTTAAATCGGTGAAGTATGGATGTCTTCAGATAAACAGAAATAAAGACATAATCAACAGGATTCAACAAATGTCTTTCCAAGGAATTGGCAAACCAGAGATCTGTAGACCACTATGCCGTTTTATGTATCTTTTTCTTTAACTGGCAAACTCTTTTCCAAAAATAAAATATAACAAATATCATATTTTCACAAAAAAAACAAAACAACAACAACAAAAAACAAGAACAACAAACAATAGAAACCTGCAGTGAAATATAATGATCAAATTCAAAAAAGATACCAAAAATATCAACCTGTGCATTCACTCATGCACCGATCTGTGATACAGTGTAAGCTAGTTTACATCAAAGAAAAAAACATCCCTGACCAAAGCTTTTGGTGACAATAAACTTAACCCTTCCTCACCGCTGGCCCCTTAAAAACTATCATCTTACCATTGATATATCCATTGTTCCCCTTTGTCTTGGAGAAATCAGGCAGATGTGACTGTAGGATATACCCACACATAACACCAATATAACTGACTGTAAAGTCTTCATAATCTCCTTTATAGAATTATAATGCTAGTGCTAGTTCTAATACAACTTTACATCAAATAATCGCAAAATATGGTTTGTAAGCATTTCATTGTTTATCATTTTCTAGGACATAAGTACATGTCATACTTTACTTCAGTATCACCTGACTGATATGATAAACAAAGATTGACAATATAGATTCTCATAAGACGTTTAGTTAAATTTAGAACACAGTTATCATTACAATATATTGAATACGTTTCAAGTTCATCTTAATTTCAAAAACATGTATATAACAGTGATCCAATGTAACTATTTACACACATACATATATATGTTTGATACACAATATTCATGATTATCAAAGATATTTATTGACAGGTTATTTTCAACTTAATTCATAACAAGAGAGCAATTATGGTCCTTTATCGCTCAATTCTTTAAAAAATTTAAATCTTACTAACGCTAAAGCTCACTTTTCAGCACTCTGCCCAGTTAATCAGGTAATGCTTAGGTGAGCTAATTATAAGAGGGTCATGGTGGCCCTTAATCGCTCACCTGAGTCAGAATATTTGTTAATATTTTTTAAAGAATTTTTTTTTTACTAGCATATAAGGAAAATAAATGACCCCTTGGGCGAGACCAGTTTTGACCCAAGGGCTTTTATTTCAACAAACTTGGTAAACACCTATTAGAAGATGTTTCTTACATAATATCTAAGCTCTAGCTCTTTTGGTTTTTTAAAAGAAGATTTTTTATATAGTTTTTGCTACATACATTTAAGGAAAACCAATGGCACTCGGGGCGGAGCCGATTTGAGCCAATAGCCATACATTTAATTATATTTCCAATTTAATTTCAAGGTGCATGGTAACATAGAAAGGGACAAAATGAAATGATCCCCTCGACACTAAATCTAATTGTTAAAAATGAGTGTGAAAACTAAGAGTACTTTAACAGTACATGTACTTATAAAACTTGTCACATTATTATTTTCCTTCCGTTCTTTACATTTCAAGTTACTGCAAACTGATATTAGTTAATTACCCAATTTTGTTAATTCAGGAAAATAAAGACACTTCACTTTCAAACTGCTAAGAGAACTGTTTACAAGATCTTGAAAATGTTGAATGTTTTCAAATACTTTCCTTATGTCATATACTTAGTCATGACTTGTGGTCTGTGTAATGATGAACTAATTATCTCGTTCAATGCATGATGAACAATTCAAAATCAGGCATTAACATGAAACTACATGTACTATATAACTAACAGTACATTTATTGTAATTTTAAGCTACAAACAATTATTGTAATTTTTTAAGCTACAGAATGGAGGTAAGTGGGCGCCGATCACTAAAAAGTTGTGTTAACAGTGATACAGATATTTCGCTATGTGACCTGGAAATGGCTATGGGTGGATCTCAAACAAGCAGTGTTAAAAGATATATGGATATTTCCCTATGTCAGCTATGTGAATGTGACGGCACGGAAATTTACGCTCATTGTTACTGCGAAACATGTCATAAACATTTATGTACCTCCTGTTTACAGTGCCATCAGAGTCTTCAAAGGAATAATACACATGTCATTAAATACAAAGTAAACCAAATTAACAACAAAGTTCATAATGAAGGAAGCTCAGAGATTTGCGATATACATGAAACAGAAGTCGTGAAGCTTTATTGTAAAAGACACGATTATGTAGGATGTGAGCAGTGTATGAATCTCTCTCATAAAGAGTGTTTGGTGCAGCCCATTGAAGACGTGTCCGGAGACTATGACAATAGCAGAGAACTTGCCAAGATCAAAGAGGAGTTGAATGATTTAATGTCTGAAATTATTTCTACCAAACATGAAGTATTCTCATCTTTGAACGATGCCGAGAACATGAAGGAGACGATGGTTGATAATGTTAAAACAATTCACGCCGAGTTAAAACAGTACATCAATGCTTCAGAAGAAGGTATCCTCCAAAAAGTGGAACAAATACATGACAATGATGTCAAATTTCAAACCAAACTATATGACCAATGTGAAACCATGGCAACTGAAATAAACAATTATCAAGAACAATTTGATCAAAGTTCAGTTGAAGTTCACAATTTATTTGCTACAGCTAAGCTTGCATATAAAAAATTGTGCTCCATTAGGGATTCCATTAAAGATGTGGTCTCAAAGACAAAGATAAACACTTACAAGTTTGTACCCACCTCTGATTTACCAACAATAAAAGAGAAACTAGGACCTATAGGAACTTTGGATATTGATAACAAAGAAAGTGAAGAACGTGATTTCAGTAAGTCAGAACTTGTTGGTAAAATAAACGTGAAAATGGAAGTAGAACATGATTGCTGCATAACAGGGATGGTCATGCTTTCAGGAGATGAAATTCTGCTTGCTGATAATGCAAACAGTTCTCTTAAAATCTTAGACATCAATAAAAATATGGTAACCACCATGTGTAGATTATTCTCAAAACCGTTTGACGTCACCACTATCAGGTCCGAAACTGCTGCTGCGACTTCACCCGATAAAGGTGAAATATTGTTTCTGAATACCAAAAATGGCCTTACGCTAGACAGTACTTTAAAAGTGCAAAAGAACTGCCGAGGAATTGATCACAACAATGGTTTACTGGCAGTGGCCTTCAGCTCACCACCAACAGTTCAAGTACTCAATTTGGATGGTAAAATTTTGCACCAAATTCAAGATACAACAATATTTCAACTCCCTAGTAGTGTTGTCTTCACAAATGATAACACTTGTTTGTTAGTCTCAGATTTTGTACAGAATACAGTCTATAAGCTGGAAATAAATGATGACCTCACTGTTCATTCGGAATTTAAAAATCTGAACCGACCATGTGGACTAATACTGGCCAAGTGCAACAGAGTGATTGTCTGCTGCACAGGCGATAGTGAGCGCCTTAGTTTGATCAATTTTAGAGAAAAAGTTGTACGATGTCTTAATACAAAATGTGTACAAAACCCAGTATCAATAATAATCAGCGAAGGACATAACTACATGTGTATCTGTGAAAATAAAGGATCTATTGACTGTAACTACATAAAAGTGTATCATCTCGAATGATGAAATTCGTGTAACTTTGGAAAATATTTACCTAAAATCTGAGACAAATTTTGTTGTCAACCAAACATTGAAATGTGCACACAACCGTGACCAGACAGAATAACTATATACATAAAAGGGAAATCAATAACCCCCTGGGGCGAGGTTAATTTTGACCTTAGGGTTTTTATTTAAACAAGCTTGGTAGACACTCACTAGAAGATGTTTCATGCTTAATATCCAAGCTCTAGCCATTTGAGCCATTTAAAAGAAGCCTTTTTTTGTTTTTACTATATACATATCAGGAAAGTCAATGACCCCCCCCCCCCCTCGTCTGAGACGGGCCAATTTTGATCCCAGGGCTTTTATTTGAACAAACATGGTAGATACTCACAGGCAAAATATGTAAGCTCTTGCTCTATGGATTTTTTAAAAGAAGATATTCTAAGTTTTTTCTGTCGGTTGCCATAGCAACCAGAGTTCTGCATGGAATTAAATTCCTCGAACAATTTTTAAAGGTGACCACCAAAGGAGTATTCCCGTGGAGTTGGGTGAAATTAGCTTAGCGGTTTATGAGGAGATATCGATTAAAGTAGAAGTTAACCGATGGAAAAAGCGATCACAAAGCACACCATGTCACCTTGTGACAGGTGAGCTAAAACAGACAGTTTGAACTTGCTGAATGTTTTCTCTAATATCTTTTGGGATATTTTATAATCAAAACAATGACACATGTGCATTTTAATCTTTATCAAGGGTATCCCTATTTCCTAAACTTATAACTTGCCACTGACCATTAATATTGTAGGTTCAAATTCACCTAGGGATTCCATCAAATTAGAGCCAGCTCCTTAATGACATTACATATTATGTAAAACATACAGCTTCTTACAGGTGCCTCTCACTGCATTATTTTACATGAAGGTGATTTTGAAATCTTAGATGGTACATGCTTAAACGCACATTTATAAGAGCATACGTGATTGCAAACCGCTTGGCCCTCACACCTATAGTTTCAGTATTGCATCCTAGGAAGTCAGTTTCCTCTATTTAGATGCCTTGCATATGTGCCAATTTGGCACCCGATGTCTTCTTCCACCCGTAACACTGGAATAAGAGTCGACAAATGACCTCTGTCTTTATATAGATCTATATAAAGAGAAACACCCTCCTATTGTTAAAAAGTGTCTTTTTTTGTCATAAGAAATTGCATCAGTTTGTAAATGTAAGTTTTTTTGTGTACACCCGGAAATTCAAAATTGGTTGTGGTTGAAATCAGCATTTACTGTTGGATATTTTTGGTAAATGTTGACGATCACGTAACCTAAAATGACATTATGTAGCCAAATGTTTAATAACAAGTGTAACCGCCATGTGCCCGGATAATAGCCTCAACCCTTCTCCTCATACTACCAGTCAGTCGTCTAATGCGATTTTGAGGTAAATTTTGTCATTCTTGGGGCAGAGCTTGTTCCAGTTGTTGCAGGTTGACTACATGTGATTCGTACCATTGCCAAAATAAAATTTTCTATTCTAGTTGTGGTCTTGTCAAAACTGAGGCGAAATGCCGGGTGTACTTGACTTATTTCCAGGTGTATATATATTGCATCATTACATACATGCATAATTTAGTTTGTATTTACTTGTTTAGTTTGACTATCTTTTTTATAGTTATTTTCGTTTTATTTAGTTGTTCTTAGAAAAAGTATAACATAATAGTTGTTTCTTGTAAGAATTTTATTCAATATTCTAGAAAGATCTTATTTTGTATTTAAAAGAGTACTATCTCTACTAAAATAATTACTTTTGAATATATTTGGTAACACTTATATTTCAGCATGTAATAGCTGCACTATTGCTAAAACTTAATTAACGCAAGGATTAAATATATTCAATAAATTGGGGCAATTAGTTCAATTTTTTTTAGCCCTAATATAAATCTGCATTTGTGAAATGACTTCCATAGTTTTTAAATTTGGAACAGTCCATTCCATTTAAAATCCATACAGAGCCAGCAAAGTGTATAGTACAAATTTAGTGGGATAAAGATTAATTCACACACACGCACGCACACTCACACACACACACACACACACACTAATGATAAATAAATGGAAAACTAAACAACAGTCTATGGAATTCTTGTATAATAATAACAATAATTAATGGACAATATCTAAAACAGACAAGATAAAATGTTTAATTTGAAAGACAAATATTTTCAGTACATGCAATTGGATCAGATATTCATCATGACAGTATGGGTATAAAAATATTAGCCAACATTGGCTATAAATATTGAATAAATATAGAGGATATTGAATGAGTGTAGGTTCAATAGTGAATTTATTGAACAAGTTGAATAATGCGAGCCTCTGGCGAACAAAATATAATTTTATTCAACGAGTTCAATAAATTCAGTAATGAACCTACACAAATATAATATTCTATTTATCACATACCCAAAATAAAGACCGTTATTTAAGTGAAAAAGAATCATTTTTCATTGACACGCCTATAGTGTAACGCTGTCATTTAGCTATATTTGTATAACGCAAATGATGTCACATCAAAATATACATGTATGCACGGCCGTGCAATTCTGTTTTAACGAATGGCAAAATTGGCATGGTATGTGATAAAAAATAATATAGGTCTGTATGTTCATTCATGAATTACCATTTATATTTTCATGCCAAAACAAAGTCAGATCCATAAATGAACTTTTGATATCAAACAAAATTGAAACACCCCCATACCCTCTAAATTTCTTACCACTTTATTCACTATCGCTGTGAAATTTACAAATTCATTTTCACATACCAGACAGCTTTTGGCTAGAATTGTAATATTATATAATACTCAAGATAATACCTCAGGTCAAACTGTGCTGATGTACAGGCTGGCCTGGTTCTATACTGGTGGCAAAGGCATATCACTTTCAGTTTCAAACTGAGAAAGGGCTAAATATCACACTATTATAATTTTACATTATTATTATTATATTTATTTTGATTTTTTGTTGAGTAAAGTAAGTAATTGCATTTTATAGTCTAAGTTTCATGCTTACGCACGTTCACCGACTTTACAGCTATTACCCCTGGTCATCGGGCTACTGGTATCTATCTATCAATCTCCCTGGGGAGTCTTTTAACAACGCTTAGTGCAGCCGACACTTTGGCACAACGGAATTATACCACCCTCGCAGGTACCCATTTACACCTTGGTGAAGTGAAGCAATCGCAGGTAAATTTCTTGCTCAAGGAAATTAGCAGTGGTCCCTGGTGGGGTTCGAACCCGGGACCTCTCGATCCCTAAGCGCGTGGGTTTGCGACCAGCATGGAACCAGACCAGCCTGTGCATCCATGCAGTCTGATCAGGATCCATGCTGTTCGCTATCAGTTTCTCGACTTGTAAAAGGGTTGAGTGTTACTTAGTAGGTATGTAGGGAAGTGTGACAAATAGATCGATATGTAATATAATAAGCTTAACAAGTTTACTTTATTTCTGATCACAAGACATGTATGCAGAATGATAAAAAAAATGCTACAACATAAATGAGCCGTGTCATGACAAAACCAACATAATGGGTTTGTGACCAGCATGGATCCAGACCAGCCTGCGCATCCGCGCAGTCTGATCAGGATCCATGCTGTTCGCTTGCCAACCCTTTTACAAGTCGAGAATCTGATAGCGAACAGCATGGATCCTGATCAGACTGTGCGAATGCTCAGACTGGTCTGGTTCCATGCTGGTTGCATACCTACTATGTTGGTTTTGTCGTGATGCGGCTCAAATACATCTTATACAAGAAAAATCTCGTGACGATATTGCACAAAGCTGTATAATGTAAATTTAAGTATAATACAAAAATGAAACAATAAATAATATAACAAATATAGCTCAAAACATCAACATGTATATAGATTTTAAAGTAATAAAATATTACAACAATATGTTCAATATGGCACAATAAGAATAAAATAACAACAGATATAAACCTTTTTGTGACTAGAGTAAAGAGTGTATAATTCATATAATACTTGATAGTGAAAGACAAGTAAAGTTTCGTTAATATACTGATATGGTGTATTGACTGGCATGAATTGTTCTGTTACAAGTTTAGTTTCTAGGCATGAACATGTTCCATTTTGAATCAATTTTTCCATAATTATTAACATGTATTATGTAATGTAGGTGTCATCACCTACATGTATGATAGCCTTTTCAAATGTAAAATTCAATAAAACTCCATCTACTTAAACTACAGTTACACAAAAAAAGTACAACCCTATTAAACATTTAGGATTTCCCAGTGTCCATACCCAGATATATTCTGTATTGCACATAATTTTTGAATGGCTGTATGCACATGAGTAAATAATACAAGCAATTATCATAGTATTGCAAGCAATCCATAAGTCCCCTACCGGTTTGAACCCCATCAACATTCTGAAGGGCCATTGGCCATTCACTAATGTTTCAATTTTCTCTATTTTAAGTAAACTTGTTGGAAAAGTTGAGTTATCACTGGATTCAGTTTATGTGTAAAATTTGCCATATTTTCAGTCTATGTGTTGCCATAGCAACCAGAATTCTCAACATAGGAAGAAAAGAAAAAGACATGCATAATCTCAAGACTGCCATCTACCCATATGTCAAGTTTCATAAAAATATTTCCAGTTTTTTTTGCTTTATCACTGGATCCAGTTTATGTGTAAAATTTGCCATATTTTCAGCCTATTTGTTGCCATAGCAACCAGAATTTTCAACATAGGAAGAAAAGAAAAAGACGTGCATAATCCCAAGACTGCCATCTACCCATATGTCAAGTTTCATAAAAATATTTCCAGTACTTTTTGCGTTATCACTGGATCCAGTTTATGTGTAAAATTTGCCACATTTTCAGCCTATTTGTTGCCATAGCAACCAGAATTTTCAACATAGGAAGAAAAGAAAAAGACGTGCATAATCTCCATACTGCCATCTATCCATATACCAAGTTTCATAAAAATATTTTCAGCACTTTTCAAGTTATCGTTGGATCCAGTTTTGTGGACGGACGGACTGACGGACGGACGGACAGACGGACGGACAGACGGACGGAGGGTAAACCTAAAGTCCCCTCCGGTAAACCGGTAGGGGACTAATAATGGTATACATATAGTCATATATTGTATACACTCGTAAAAGCCTTGTTACTGTCTTGATACAATAGTAAACAAGATATGTTTGTAAAACATGTATGCCCCCTATCAGCAGCCAATTAGTCATGTGATAAGGTTATTATGCATGACTTCTGACCCAGTGATCAAACAATTAATAAGGTTTATCAAGTATCTACTGGTCATGACCTTTACCTTTAACCCCTTGACCCAAAACTCAATAGGGGTCATCTGCTGGTCACGACCAATCATCATACAAAGTTTGAAGTTCCTAGGCCTAAGCGTTTTTAGTTTATTGATCAGAAACCGTTTTTAACATACAAGGTCAATGTGACCTTGACCTTTGACCCCAAAATCAATAGGGGTCATCTGCTGCTCATGACCAATCACCATGCCAAGTTTGAAGTTCCTAGGCCGAAGGGTTCTTTAGTTATTGATCAGAAACCGTTTTTACTTACAATGTCAATGTGACCTTGACCTTTGACCCCTTGATCCCAAAATCAATAGGGGTAATCTGCTGGTCATGACAAATCACCATACCAAGTTTAAAGTTCCTAGGCCTAAGCGTTCTTAAGTTATTGATAGAAACCTTTTTACTTACAAGGTCAATGTGACCTTGACCTTTGACCCCTTGACCCAAAACTCAATAGGGGTCATCTGCTGGTCACGACCAATCATCATACAAAGTTTGAAGTTCCTAGGCCTAAGCGTTTTTAGTAAATTGATCGGAAAATGTTTTTACCTACAAGGTCAATGTGACCTTGACCTTTGACCCCTTGACCCAAAAATCAATAGGTCATCTGCTGGTCATGACCAATCACCATACCAAGTTTGAAGTTCCTAGGCCTAAGGGTTCTTAAGTTATTGATTGGAAAGCATTTTTACCTACAAGGTCAATGTGACCTTGCCCTTTGACCCCTTAACCCCAATATCAATAGGGGTCATCTGCTGGTCATGACCAATCACCATACCAAGTTTGAAGTTCCTAGGCCTAAGGGTTCTTTAGTTATTGATCGGAAACCGTTTTTACCTAAGAGGTCAATGTGACCTTGACCTTTGACCCCTTGACCCCAAAATCAATAGGGGTCATCTACTGATCATGACCAATCACCATACCAAGTTTGAAGTTCCTAGGCCTAAGGGTTCTTTTGTTATTGATCAGAAACCGTTTTTACCCAAGAGGTCAATGTGACCTTGACCTTTGACCCCTTGACCCTAAAATTAATAGGGGTCATCTACTGATCATGACCAATCACCATACCAAGTTTGAAGTTCCTAGGCCTTAAAGTTTTTAGTTATTGATCGGAAACCGTTTTTGCTTACAAGGTCAATGTGACATTGACCTTTGACCCCTTGACCCCAAAATCAATAGGGGTCATCTACTGATCATGACCAATCACCATACCAAGTTTGAAGTTCCTAGGCCTTAAAGTTCTTTAGTTATTGATCGGAAACCGTTTTTGCTTACAAGGTCAATGTGACCTTGACCTTTGACCCCTTGACCCCAAAATCAATAGGGGTCATCTACTGGTCATGACCAATCACCATACCAAGTTTGAAGTTCCTAGGCCTAAGGGTTCTTTAGTTATCACTCGGAAACCATTTGGTCTACGGACCGACGGACCGACGGACCGACAGACCGACGGACCGACGGACCGACAAGTGCAAAGCAATATACCCCCTTTTCTTCGAAATGGGGGCATAATAATTGTTTCTTATATAACTTAGACAATGCTGAAACAAACCACTACAACAGCAATGTATCATGCTACTTATTAAAGTTCAACAAATACAGAAAATTCATCAGAGAAAGACAGTACATCCATCTACACACAAAAAGAGAACCTAGGAACAAAAGTTCCAAAATAAACTTTCAGCTGACAAGATTTGGTGTATTCATTTACTCTTTTTCTTTCCTTCTTTTGACAATTTTGACAGAAACAGTTTACAGACACATTTCTAATTGGATTTTTCAAAAAATTGTTTGCAAGAAATTCTCAATGATTATAAACAAATCATATTTTAACTGCTGTTGCTACTTCAATTTTAAAAGCTTAAAAAGACTTAAAGTTATTCAAATACAGTAGGCTCTGATATGTTTGCAAACAGGTGACAAACACTGCTCTATTTAGAGGCATACTCTGTCATGGACAAGATAAATTTGTGAGAGATAAAGATCTGACTATAATATGTGCACTGAATTAACAACAAAGAAGCATGCAAATACTTAAAAAAATAGTATACAACATGAACCAGTTTTTTCTCAGAATTCAGAAAACAACAATTATACGGAACAACAGTGACAGTGATTTTTCAAAACAACATTATTTAGTGGGAGATAGTCAAAAGCTTTCCCCACCAAAAATGACAATGTAGATAAAAACTCTCCCATTAAATTACAAAACACCACAACAGTCTTCACATTAGTTTAACACTTCAGACACAAAAGCCCTTTCATAGTCCATAGTCTGTTATTTAGGTGGTATATTGAAATGTATCCTAGACTGTTCCTTCACTGTAAAGTGTATACCATGGTCAGAATGTAGTGAGTTGTTAGATCTAGCAAGGTGGTTATCATATGTTAATCTTGACTCGGCATTCAGTAAATCTACTTCTTCCTCAGTAGCAGAATATGGACCTGAAATGAAATATTCATTATATTGTCACCTTAGTGCAGTAATAAGTTAACTCCTTCTAAATTTAATAGAAGTTAACCAGTTATTGTACTAAGGTGACAATATACATATAATCTTAATTGAGTTTCCATTACATAGGACAAGCCTATTGCAAACCTTATAACATCTATGATGCAGGTTAAATGCAAGTGAAGTCTATATGAAATGACAATGAATGAAACTTTTTGTTGTAAATGAAATTATATGGCCTGAAAACAATGAACAATTACAAAAATGCTCTTTGTAAAACTAATTTTATTTACAACTTTATTAAAACATGTAATGGTCATATTTAATTTGATAAAAACCAAAAGCAATATTTTCTTGCCTACCCTATGACAACTGTACTTGTTAATTTAAGTAAGAGTTTTCTTTTCATATTTAAATTGTAACCTTACGCTTTGGTCACTGACAAACAATTATTATTATGACCCTTAAAACGTGTTTATATTTTCAGAATAAAACCCTTAATAATTAATAAGCTTTTTTATGAAGTTTCAGGCGAATCTTAAGCAAGTCACTTGCAAGGAAAATGCCTATATCTACACAAATATTATATACCTACCATCACTTTCTTCTTGTTCTTCAACAAGGTTGTGGAAATCACCTCTCATACCAGGTCGTCCATTCATAGCTCCAGACAGCTGAGCCAGAGTACATCTTAAATCACCAACTTTACCACACGGGTCTAACATCAAAGGTATACCACTATCCTTACACTTATCTTGGTTTGGGTCCTTAAAATACAATCATATACGAGGGTTGTTCAAAAAGTAATAGGACTACAGTTCTACTATTCACATTTTTTAATTTATGTGCACAATTTTACAAGATAATAATATCGGAACATATCCTCTATATACAGTGAAAAAATCAATAAAATATGTTTAAAAATAGCGAGTCTGTGAAAATTTCAAATGACAAGGGGTACGCGACCCGGCGCACGCTAACAGTACAATAGATGACGTTTATGACGTCGTAAAATAAAAACAAAATGTATCAAGCGTCATCCCTTCTGAAAGAATTCTCCTTAGTGTTCTAGGTGTCTAAATCATGAAACTTTGACCAGACCTCATATGTAGAGATGAAGCGAGAAAGAAAACGATCACATTCTTGTTCCACTCTCCGAGAGAAAAAAAGCCCGATAGCCGTCCACTCTCCGCTTTTTCTCGTATTCTTGTATCTTATATTAATCAATATAGATTAAACAGGAATGAACTTATGATGTTATGAAAAAGCGATTAATAGAATTATTTTAGGTATATCATCGTATATTCTTAAAACAATATAATTATGTAAGTAAAATAGCAATAGTTTTCAACTGAAAAGTATATTTTTCTACCAGGAACAGCGTATCATTTTTAAAAGAAAATCGGGGAAAATATCAATAATTACAGTTAATCATTATAACATTAATATATTGATAACACATATATCTAGTTAAATGAAATAGAATTTTGTTTGAAACAAATCATTTAGGCAGAACTGAATCAATAGACCCAATGCAGAAATAAAACATGCCAGACAGTTTGTGGGCTGTTTACCGTCGATCATTTTGTAGCGCTTTTTCATTTGACGTCACTAACGTCCCGTCAATTTCCCGCTATCATTCTCATTCTTTCCTGTTTGAGATTTCGTATGTGCAGTTTTTGAGTTGTTTGCGCAAGCTGAGAACAAGTATCCTGATAGCCGATTAATTGTACTGTGTTAATTTTTTGTTTTCATATGTATCTGAAGGAGTATCGCCAATTTGTTTGCAAAGTTTAACGATCGCACACATTTTCAGTTTTTTAACGAACGTCAAATTTCTACAGTTAACGTTATAACCACTGCTGTTCAAAACTTGATGATTTAGCCTTTTCATGTCTGAATGACGTCAACTTTGGGCATAATGTTACTTATATATAATAAATTGTGTTGGTAGAATAAATGGGGGAAAAAAGAAAATAAATTATAATAAAATAGAAGTTCAACTAAGCTTCAATAACCTTTTTATGTGCTGCGCCGGGTGCGTGTTACCATGGTTATTCAATAACACAGGGAACACACGTTAAGCATAAGAATTCAATATTTTTATGTTTAAATTAAAGAAAACATTTTTCGATCGCTGTACATATAAAAATATTCTAAATTGAATTGAATATGAAGATGCAAGACTCTTAGTCCTATTACTTTTTGAACAACCCTCGTAAAACATTCAAATGCAAAGAAGCTGAACTTAAACATACAAAGAAATAGTGGATATTTGTTTGTCTCAAATGTAACAAATTGGAATTTTGAATTCTTTCAAGAGCCCAATAAGTGTGTGTGAATAAATTCAGTAAATAAAAGTAGATATTGAAAGACATTCAGAAAGAATGTATTAATTGGCTTTAATTGCCATTAGGCCATAGAAATCATCTTTTTTTATTTGGTTCCATTTTTACGTCCAACCAACACAGTATTGGTCATATGGCAACTTTCCAGCTTTACTGGTGGAGGAAGACTGTAGGTGCCCCTCAGGTACATAACTTCAGGCACAAAGAGGCACCGGAGTAGGACCACCAACCTTGATAGCTTTCGCACATGTAGAATCCAACTACGCCTGCGAGTCAAGCACCTACAGCATTGAGAGACAAGTGGTTTGAAGTCAGCGACCATATCCACTTGGTCATGGACGCCCCTAAAAAAGTCATCAATTCATCCATCACAATTTGACAGATATAATTTTAATTTTAAATTTTGTTCTTGATCATTTCTATTAGTTTGACAAATGTTCATGAAAACAATTTATTGTTTGCTTGTGTGATATAACTGCCAATCCTTTATAAAAACATGTATTATTTCTAAGGTATCATATATTTCCCTACTACCATTACCTTGACCCTACTATTGAGAGCATACAGTTTGTTTGTGATGTCTCTTCCCATGATTGTATTGAGTACAGTAGCTAGGAAAGGTTCCTTCATGAGGAGGTACTCGAGTGACTGTCGAGGCCAATAAATGTAGCGACATGTAGTGGCAGCATATACAGACACCTGAAACAAAAGATACAATGATAAAACACTGAAATATTCATTACAAATCATGCTTTTAATTTTAATTTTTTCTATAGTAATAATTTTTAGATATTTACACAAAACAAAATCTGTTAACAAATAAAACAAGAACTGTCTGAGGACAGTAAGGCTTCGACTATTCGAAAAAATTGTCACAAGGGTGTTTCATTGAGTACAATAATGCTTTAACCTATGAATAAATAAAATTGACCGAAAAGGTACAAAGGCTTGTTATTAAGATGTTTTATCAAGTAAATCACTGCTTTATTATTATGAATGCATAAAATTGTCCCAAAAAAAGGCACAAACCCTTCAGTAGTTATGGAGATAACAGCTTACAAGCAAAACTTTACCATTTTTAATTTCTTAGTTGAAAAAGGGGAGAAAAATCAGCCTAAATGCAAGATAGAATTATGGATCTTGGTCAGTGACCTACAATTATGACCCTAAATGCATATGTGAAGTTTTAAATAAATATTTTTAATAGTTATTGAGATATGTAAAACTTGCATGCAAACATTAACCAAGAGACTAAGTAGAAAAGGGGAGATAAATCAGCCTAAATGCAAGATAGAGTTATAGTACTTGGTCAGTGACATACAATTAAGTTTCAAATCAAAATCTCTGATAGTTATTGAGATATTTGACTTTACAAAAAACTTTAACCAAAATTTCTAAGTTAAAAAGGGGCATAATTCTGAAAATATTGTAGGCAGAGTTATCCAACTTGTCAATCTGATGTACATTGTTACTATAAATAAGTATTGTAAGTTTCAATTGAATATCTCAAGTAATAATTGAGATATTTGACTTTACAAAAAACTTTAACCAAAATTTCAAAGTTAAAAAGGGGCATAATTCTGTAAATATTGTAGGCAGAGTTATTTAACTTGTCAATCTGATGTACATTGTTACTATAAATAAATGTAAGTTTCAATTGAATATCTCAAGCAATAATTGAGATATTTGACTTTACAAAAAACTTTAACCAATGCAGACGCCGACGCGACTACAATAGCTCTCATATTCTTCGAATAGTCGAGCTAAAAAATGAGGCTTGGTCTAAAATTAGTAAATAAATCACACTTATATTTTGAATAAAAGACTTTAAAAGCTAAGGTCACTTGCATGTCAAGGTCACATTTCATGATAAAGTCTGACCATCATGCTCATTTTTGCAGTCTGGCCAGACTCTATACTGCCGGTAGCTCAATTTTTAAATTTACAAATTGAAATTCCATAAATTTTGAATTTCAAATTTAAAACAGGGAAAATACTGGTACACAAATTCAGCATATACCATAAAAGACAATTTTAATTACCTGAAATTTCTCATCTCCAGTGACGCTACTCTCAAATTCTGGTGAATCAATAAACTCCATCTCCTGTACGAGATGTAATAAATTACGATGACTGAACACCTTCATACTGTAAATATAGTTATGTTTCAATTTTAACAAGTATAAATCACTAGACAGTGTTAGCATATGTACAAACCTTACTAGAACAAAGTTCTGTAGCCAGAAATGGAGAAATACATTCCAATATTGTCAAATGATCACATATCAAATTTAAACCAAGTCTAATGTGTCTTACTCAGAAAAAAGCATTTCTTTAGGAAGATTTAGAAAAACAAATATTTTTGTTTTATTGTTATTACTAAAAAAGTTGTTACTTTACAGAAATAACTTATATTGGTTTCTTCGTCACATAGACAATGTGCAGGTAACAGCTTTGTGGCATTATCAGGCACCTGAGAAAAACCACCAACCTTCTGTAAGGTAACTGGATAGCTCCTACACATTAAAGAATCCAAAGTTCTTATTCTATATTTTAACAATGCATCCACAGAAACCCTTACCAGAACTGACCAAGACCATGCAAAATAGTTTTGGTACCTCTTGTGTTAAAAAAATATATTATGCCTGATAGGCCCCCATTACTAATTTAAGATACAAGAAACTCCCAAGAAACTAAAAAGTCTCATAGATATATATCATAGATATATATTTGCGGTGCAATATAAAATATCTATTTTTTGTACATACGTGCCAGATACAAGAAGACCAAGCCTGTCTGTTTTCGTGATACCCTGGGCAGCGTATGCATCCCCTTCATACAGTGTCGACTCCAAACAAAAATTCTTATCTATCAACTTCTTGAATAATCTCCTAATATGGAAAAACATAATACAAGATTGTTATTGGAATTTACAAAATTTAGTAAACAAATGTTTGTAATTTGAATAAAATGAAAAAAGGCAAATGAAAATCACTTTTTATAAGTACAATGTATTTTGATATCACTGAATGATTTGGCCAAAAGAGTAAAGTATTAATATGGCATTATAAATAGTACCAAACCAGACATATTTTTTAAAAAAAGTTTTAAATGTTTTTGATTTGATAGTATTACTACTAACACCTTCTATTGGGGTGAACACCTTTTTTATAACTATAAGTATGACAATAGGTCAGAGAATCTATTCTTAGACTCAGTGGTCTAGAATGTTTGATACTCCTGCTTTTATAGTTGGTTTTTATGTCGCACCAACACTATAAAGGTCATAAAGCCACTTTCCAGTTTTACTGGTTGAGGAAAGTGCTCCTTGAATTATTTTGTAAGAATAGTCATTATATCAATTTCTCAGGGAATGATATGCACTCAGAAGTATTTATTATGACATGACTCTTTACTACTGTGTATTAGATATGAGAAGTTTCCTTATATTACAGCAGTATTGCTTACATGTAGTTCCTTTAAGTGGACTTATCTGTGGTTCAAATAATCCACAAGCTTTCTCTACAATCAAACAGAAGTATGACTATATTAATAAGATGGACATGTACCTGGAGACATTCATTGGTTGAAACACAGTCTGGTACAGCCTTTCAATGCCCTCCTCAAACTTGATTGGTTTGATATTATAAAGTATCATCAACGTCTGAATGATGTTTATAATCATGAAAGCAAAGTTCCATGAGAAATAGTCTGGTGCACACAGCACAATCCATGCCCACACTGATAGTAACAGAAAACCTGTAATATAAATAATGTTCCAGGCCATACTGACAGTTATACAGAACAGAACAGAAAAGTTATTATTATTTTTTAGTTATACAAAACCAGCAATATAAATCATAAAAGGTCCAAGCTTTACACTGAAAGTCAACGAAAACTAATATTAAAACATAAATAACATATCAGTTCATGTAATGACAAAGAAATGGTGACAAAACAAACATACATTTTTTGTATCCTGTATGTAGTAATATAACAATATGAAAGGGTTGTGCCTGAACCTTTCTTTAACAAACATGTTTAGATGACCCTGTGACCTCTAAGTGAGTCTGGCCAGAAGAGCTCATCAAAGTGCATACACCAAGAAGTTGGAAGGCCGTAGACGGAAGGACATCTTTGTTATAAACTTATAGTTTAAAGGGAAAGACAAGGTTAGAATAAAAACTTGATTTCAGAAAAAGAATACTATAAATAATAAATCTGCAAATTTTCTGCCGCCAAATAATAATATTAAACGAATGATAACAAAATTTAAATCGCTAAATTACCGATTTCTACAAATCGGTAAGCGAGGCCATGTTTGTATATTGGCCGTATAAAAACAGGTGCGCGTGATGTCATTTCCCCACATCTTTAGATTCATGATAAATCTAGTTGAATCGTAGGGAAATATTAAAATAATTAAGTATTGACCAGACAATTTAATTTTCACAGGAGGTAGAGAGGAGATTTTTTATGGTTCAAAATACGTAACAATATCCAAAAAAAAAAATTATAAATAAAGAAACAAAAAAAATCAACGTCTACTGGTCGCACCACTTCAGGCCAGTGATGCCCGTTACTCCAAACCAAACAATGCTATGTTCATTAAAGTCTCATCTTAATGTAATTAAACAATATTTCACAGATTTAATAAATACACATGTTATTATTTAACAAAGTTTCACAATCAAATAATGCAATTAAATAAACAAACGCACCAACGAATAATTGGCTGTTAATTATTGAACGGCGATAATTATCATTATTATAAAAATCCTACTAAAACATGTTCTTAATAGTACATGTAATTTAATTTTTGCAGTTTGATTCTGACTTTCAAATTTAAAGGTGTGAAAATATGTTATAATTGATGTACACATTTCAAAAATATAAGCAACTCTTTTGAAAAGTAAATTGTTAACATATGTCTGTCAACGTATGATGCTGCTGGCGTAATCGTAGCGTAATATGAATTGCAGGCAAAACATTTTTATTGGCTGCTCAAAAATCTAATTTGCATAATTTATTCACACAATTGCTGGTTCTTACTACTTATGTCTAATACTGTGCATTGTCCATTTTAATTGATCCTTATTTGCACCAAATGTTCCTGTCACACTGTGTACTGACGATTTTTATTGCTCTTTGTATGCCTCTGTGCCGAAAAGACCTTTTGATCATGCACAATGTTGCCCTGATTGGTTAATCACCCTTGTCAAATATTCTAATGACGAAATAGACACCATTTTTTTACGCTTCATCGGTGAACTGAATGACCTTAGGGGAAATTAAGTTCCACACTGTCGAATTATGCGGTAAATGACAGCATGTCATAAAATAGCAACACATTTTTTTTCAGTTACCAATAATTATTTTAATTATTAAGTAGATTTATGATTTTTTATTTTATTGGATTAAATTTACGGTAGTAGAAATGCGTATCTGTGTGGGAAAGGAATTGCGTAAGTAGATAACGTGGAAAAATGCTATAGGGAACTGGATAAACCCGAAAATATGCGTAATTACAGGGGAATGGGCAATCTTTTGCTGTTGGTACCAGTTTTGATTGGGTGCCTAAATAACCTAACGGGCATTTTTGTTTTCATACGATGTTAGTCTGGCTGCCGATTTTCCTGCGCCATTCTCACCATTCTCATTTTTAGCGTCAATGGCGGAAAATCGCGTCCTCAGTAGATCTCTGCATATTGGATTTAGTTGATATTTTACGCTGAAAAAAAAGATACATGACCGGCGATGTACCCTATTCGGACAGCTTGTCTAGCGAAAATTAAGTACAAAATAAAAGGATATATCGTCAATTTGAAGAAGTTTCTCCTGTACCCAAATTAAATTAATGGTTTATCTTTGAAAATTAAGCAGTCATTGCTTAAATCATGTGGTGGGATCATCATCAAGCTTGAAAATCGGACAAATGATAATTATTGTCGCGGCGTCTTCAATTAATTAATTAAAGCAATTCAGTTCCATATGATGTTTTCATAAATAATATATAATGTACGCAATAAGATTGATAAGTTCTTCACCAAGATATATTTCAGTTGTACCAGCGTGTACAACTAACCGGAAGTGGGTGTAACACGTCACAATCTCGGTCTCGTCTGTCTCGCGAGAATGATAGAACGCCAAAATGGCAGCGCCCATGAACTTATTTCTCAAGTAAAAAATAATGTCTTAAAACACGAATTTCTCACTTATAGGGTTGATGTCAACAGAAAAACTGTCATGGTACCTCTTTTTAAATGATGAATATTTATATTAGACAGACATCAATCCATCCATTTCTATTCCTTTAAGGTTAAACTTAAAATATGACAAATAGACAAATGGTGGGGGGATAAAAAGCTTGTAAAGTTCTCCCAAACAAAATAGCTCAGTTAATAAAATTAATTACAAGTACTTACTAAATGTAAACGCTGTATGTAAGCAGAGGACACCATGTTTTATATGTGGGGATAGCAGGCCAAGGAAAAGCAGTGAATTTGCAACCTGCAAAATACAAATAGTGTTTCATTATGCACAGAAAAAAATGTTTCTTATCAAACTAAACACAATAGTAAGTGTGGCCACAACCCTGGTACATGTAACATATGTGATGGCATTTGGAGCTGCATACATGTACGTTGTATATTGCCTCAATTTAATGGTGAAAATTGCTTTAAATATTCCTTTCATCAGTAATGGTAACAGAAATTAGCAAATGCTCAGTGGAATTTTGTTTTCTACTTACACAGAGACAAAAGCCTAGGAATTTCTCAATGTCAACATGATTATATATGACAAGATCAAGATGGGGTTTAATCTGGAAAATTTAACTGGGTGGGTTTTTTTCTGGTGGGATTTTGCCCTGCAATCTCTTTGGTCAGATACTCAATATTTACTAACAATTGGTAAAACTGTCAGTGTTGGTGAACTTTGCTTGCTATTGTGCCATGGCCAGCCACATTGTTACTATATCATTAAATTTGAGAATGTTTTTCTTGGTAATTGTAATCACATTATTCAGTGTCAATTCAGAGAAAGCAAATAACAAGTGTAACAACAAAAAGAAAATTTTACTTATACATTGTATTTAAAAAAAAAACCTTTCAGGTATTAAGTGTATGCACCTGGAATAGAGTGTGATTTGGTGGTTTCCACTTCAGGCAACCAAGCGCCATCTGGGTCCAGTTTGTTGATATAAGTGAATCATTACCAAATACAGCATCTTCAATTATCCTCTGGGTTGTGTGAGTATTCACTACATTAGATGTTGTAGAACTATTGTTCATCATCATTGCCCCTCCAGTGACATTCTCTACCAATCCAGACACAATTACTGACAAATTCATCATAAATTTATCAGTTTTTATACCACTTGTCTAAAGGATGTTCATCTGTAACATGAGAAGTTTAAAAAAAGTACTTTAATTAGTAAAAATATTTATTCATATTACATATATTATGAATGAGAAGAATGACAGAGTATTCTCCCCTTTACCAGTCCCCTAATTTTATGTAAATTAATAACTAACATACACATTAATCATTAAGAAGTATCAATCTATCTAATAAGAATTCAATTCTTCATTTTGCTCAGGATTATTGCGCCAGTAACTTTATTCTACATGATGTATATATTTTAATTTAATATTCTGTTTCTGTCATATATACTGGCATGCGAGCAGTTCCCGTATAAAAATCACAGTTACTTAAACATTATTTTTTATTACGCTCACTCACCAAAATTTGAATGTTACACGTATAGGTTAGTGTTTAATAATATGCATTAACAAAAATAATTGGTCAAGCCTGCCGCAGGCAGGCGACCAATTATTTTTGTTAATGCATATTATTAAACATTAACCTATTTAATGATCAACATTATTTTTTCCAACTAACAACAAGGCATTTCTCTAAATCACCGATAGCTCCACCCTTTCGCTCTACAACATGTCTACACCTTGTCAAGTTGCTAACATGTCACATTTAGATAAGCTAAATAAATGGCCCAGGCACATTTTCTACTACAATGTCTATCTTGTTTATAATATGTCGAGGGAAACGATGCAATTAGGTAAAAACTATGGAGTTAATGAAATGTGTACATCCTTTTAAACTAAATGGAAAATGTGAGAAAAAAATACATTAGATATTATTCATTGATACAAATTCCTTATTAGCTTCAAGTTATTCACTAACATTTAAAATCCCTATTGATTTGCTCATTTTAAAAACAGTTCATTTTTTCTGTGTGAAGGGAGTCCATTTTCAATAAGTTTTCCAGCCAAAAATTGTAATCATTGTATTCTTGATATCAATGATTGTTAATGCAGTTTATTCCTATCAAGTGAAAGAAAATAATGTTTTGGTTACTTTTTCTATAAAATATAAAGTTTAAAACAGTCAGCAATTTATAACAGTCATTTTTCTTAGAGTTCAAATGATATAAAAAAGTCAATATGCAATCATTTGTCTCTGCGTACCCAACATGTATTATCTATGTAATAAATCAGTTGATTGTATCCACCTGACCTCGACTAATTTTTTTATGTTGGCGTTGTTTTGCTAACGTTGACATTTTACAAATCAGAGTGTAAACCATACCTCTAACTCCTCCCTAATATAATGCATTATTAAAATTTGTTAGACTGCGGTTAGACAACAGATTAAGTGAATTTTATTTAGTTAGTACACATTAACCAAAGTTAGACTTAGCAGAAATTTGAAAAATACTACAATGTGATTGGACAAAAAATAATGTTGATCATTAAATCAATATTCAGCTCGTCACACAAATCATGAAAATTCCATCATGTTCTAAACATACTATAACCCTTAGTTATGAGGCCTCATATGGGGTACCGAAATTATCCATTATTTTGTATGAAGAGAAGTAGTTCCCGTACATAAAATCTTACCCATTATAATTATACAATTTTATTATATCGGACCTATTTTTCATTTACAATTGTTGAACAGACCATTATCTAAGAGATGAATAGATGTAATTCAGGAAATAGAGCGTAGACTAAACGCGGGTATCCGTTACCCGGTACCGTTACCCCAACGCATTCACATGCAATAGCATGCTTGTATGCATGATATTTTACGCATCAAAGCCATAAAATTATTATATATAGTAATATTGGTCAACATTCTGATAATTAAACAAGTTTACATCACATTTACTTATTTGTAAACAGGTGGTATTAGTGGAAAACCCTTTAACAAGCCTCACGTGTAAGTATTTTTGCGCATGCGCACAAGGACGGAATCCCCCAGAGAAAACAAGGTCACGTTTTGACGACGCACAGGTGAAAGTGATTTAAAATGAGACTTTATATACGTACTGCCGAACTGACACTTAGATTTTGTCTCGTTTATGTATCTGCTTGATTTGAAATGAATTTTTGAAGAATGCAAGTAAAAATCAAGCGTTTAAATGAAAAATACGGGTACTGCTTCTGTACGGGAACTTCTCGCATGCCAGTATATTTTGACAATTCTTTGATACTGAACATTATACATTGAAGTTTCCTCTGAAATTTAATGAAATGTATGCTTGGAGATGTTGGCGCAATTAATTACACTTACAGTAGAGCATGTATTGTAAAGAAGTTATTTAATTAACCTATTATTTTGTTTTACTTTGCATACATGTATGTAACACATCTTTTATTTTAAAGACTTCAATTATAAGTTATTAAACATGAAAAAGTGAAAATAATTCTAACAAAAGTGACAATAACCAAATATTTTTCTTTCTGTTTATGACATATATTATGCTTAATAAATAAACAAAGTTTAAAAGAAATATCTTTATTATTTTTCTAATATTTTTTAATGTCACAAGTCCGATCAAACATTTTAACCAGTCTATAATCCTACCTCCTTCGTCTATGATTTGCAGATGGATCATTTGAGAGAGTGACAAATTAATGTACTCTAGATGTAACATACATGTTGAGTTTGTTTACAAATCGAGGGGTATAAGCAAAAACCACGTAGATGTAATATTCGAAATATTTCAGTATGATGAAAAAATCTTTTTATTTGTCATTGCCTTAGAATTATATGTTACTACTTAATTGAAATACTGCTTAATGTTTCTGGTAAATGGTGTAAAAGTCTCCAGTTCTTATCTTTATCCTAATTGACAATATATACCAAACTTCTTTTTTGCATGTTAGTTTTATACATTTTTTAAAAAATCTGTAGAGCAAAAACCATGTTTCTGTATATACTTGATTTTACCACATTTGACAATTGTTACTTCTTAAGAAAAAATTCTATGCACAAACATAGCATATGAAATCTACATTATTTGTGCTTGAAGCATATTCAAAAGGGTAAAAACTGTTTTTGCCTGCAAAAAACCTTTCAAAAACATATACGATTTTCTTCCACGATCATGTTTTGAAAAAACACATTATTAATTCCTGCAAAAAACTCGTGTGTAGATGTGCAACATTTTAGCATAAACAAAATATTTAATTGATTTACACAAATCGTCTGCAAAATCACAGTAATTGCATTTTACAAGGTCTTTCCACGAAACATTTTGAATAACAGACATAACTTAAACGTGCAAAGAGCAAGTCGTTTGAGAAACTCTGTTCATGTAAGCTTATATTTTTTACATAAATTGAAAGAAAGAGAGTTGTATTGATCTGCAATGAATTTGCAAACATAATAAACCATCTTTTTGTTCATTTGATAATACTTTTAATACAATAAAGTGGTTGTTATACATAGTTTTATGTTGTACTAACACCTATGTCTTGTTATAAAATGTTATACATTTCTATAATTATATAATTTTGCTCCTCCTTAACAAAGTGCATGAGGCTTTGTTTTCTAGTCTTCATTTGGCATCAAACCTTTCTTAAAAGAAGTCGGAAAATCTAGATTCCGTATTTTTATACAGGTTTTCATATACCATCAAACTCGACAACGACAACACAGTAACTGTTCTTTGTTCTACGAGCTATCAATTTAAACAATTTAAGATTTGAATTTGATAGGAAAAAATGTTTGTGCCATTGATCAATTTAAACAAAAAAAAATACTCCACGCTCGAAAGATTACTGTTTGACTTTCACACTACTAGGACTATGACCTAATTTCAAGTATTTGAATGACTTATACATTCATCACTTTACATAGAATTTTCAAAAGTATTTGGAATATATTTATTCTGTTAGATAAAAATATATATTCTTATAGGATAGTTTTTCAAAGCAATCACTGTTGCTAGTCTGAGTCATCTCCATCTGATTCTTGTGCGTCAGGCTCCGGTAGTTTATCTGCACTGAAACGTTTACATACTTGTTCGTTGACACCATTAAGTTCAAAGAAAAAATTGTTTCTAACTGTCTGTTTCTTTTGCTTCACTTCTCCATTTTCACTTAGCAATGTTTTTTGTCTTTTTTGGTTGAAATGTTTTTACAAACAAAGTCTTTTTGTCTTTCATAGCTCCCCATGGACCAATAAAACTGGAATAATTGTTCTCTATGTTCCTGTGTAAACTTTGAATTACACTTATATTTACACTTTGTGCAATCACAGTCTTTTATTTTTTTGTCTGGTACAATTTTTCCTGACTTTGCAATATATTGGTTTCCACTTAATCTTAGGCGTTTCCTTATATTTCGCTTCCAGTTTTCTGGGGTAGCTTTTCGTTTCCTTACTAAACGCTTCTTTACCGGAGTATTATAAGTTGCAGATTTTCGCGGCGTGGTATTGATATACGTAAGTTGTACAGGTGTTGCATACAGTGTATCATCATTCTGCCATTCCCCTGACTTCTCAGTAGTGTCCCCTGTTCTCTGCGTGTCAGCAATGTCCTTGATGATACATGCATCATAATGTTAAAAAATTGTTGGAATAGATGTATATGCCAGGTTTATGTTTTCATTTGTTTCACTTGCTAGAAGAGTTGGTTGTACTTTTATGATAGGTTGGTCCTCTTTGTTTGTATATATCATCACACACTTCCTTTCAAGATTGGCCAACGCAAGCGGTAGAAAATCAGCAACTCTACTTGACCAGTATCCATCACGTTTTAAATTTTCGACCTCATTTAGATACTCACTCAAAAAGGCTTCATCATCATCAGGTCTGTGTTTGTTTAATAAAAAGCAAGCATACTCTTCAGAGTTTTGCTCCAGATGTAAGCATAATAACTTCCTAAGTTCCTCGGCAGAGTTACTTGACCCAGATGATTTAATCGAGGCTTCAAAGAAGCAGTTACCATGTCCTGGTACTTTGACTCTCGTAAGAGCGTTCTTTGTGAGTAGCGCATCTATTATAGTTTCCGCTGTTCTTACCCTAGCACTCCTTATAAGGTTTTCTTTAATACTTTCATTTATTGCTGAAATTGTTGCTGAACTATTTGCTTTGTCCATTTCAGAGTCAACAGATGTTGATGAATTCTTTTTATTAACCATCTTTTCTCGTTGCTTTGGAAATTTAGTACGCTGTTTGTTTTCTTTTTAGTGCTTTTCCCACCAGACGTTTAGTTTTCTCCTTCCGTTTCCGGTCTTTTTTGTGGTTTCTGATACATCGGACGAATATTCGGAATCAGTGGAATTTAGATCTTTTGAGGAAGGTCTGTATGTTTTATCTAAACCACTATCACTATCAGAAGCATCCATGTCAAACAATTTTCTCTTTTCAATTAAGTGGCTAAGAGGAATATTGTCACTGTCACTTTCACTATCATTTTTGTCGCTTTTATTGCCACTATATATATTTTTGCGTGTCGTTTTTTTGTGCAGGCTTTTGTCGTTTGGTTTTATTTGTTCTTTTTCAATTTCATTGGCTGTAGTTTTAAGCGAAACATTTTCTGATTCATCATTGATATTGTTATTGTCCACAGGATTAAGTGATTCATGTACAGGCGAATTTTTATCACTGACAACTGTGGACTGTCCATGAACTATTTCACTGTCCACATTTTTCTTTGATTTATTTTCAGATTCAGACAAGATTATATTTTCCTGAATTCCATGTGCATTTAACATAGTTTCAATATCCAAAGATTTGAAAAACTCATCTTCGCTGTCTGACAGCATCTGCAATTAAAATTGAATAAAAAAAATTCAATAATCAATAAATATCTTTTGATAGTCTTATTATGTTCTTTAGTCAGTTTGTCATAATTTAGTTGAAATAAAAATACGGATGTATACTTATTATTATGACATATTAGCCTTGTTGTTTTATTCTATCTTAATGAGTATTGACTTTTAAGTAGAATATAACTATTATGAATAAAGTATTATGAAAGAATGTTCTGTTTATTTCAAAACATGCTATATCATTGAAATAAACTTACAAATTAAAGATTTTTCGATTCGATATTTTGCAGTGACATTGCAGGATATATTTATAATATTTAGGCCATCCTTAAAAAAATGTTTGTTTGCAGTAACCCGACCCAGAATTTTCAAGGTGGGTAGGTAGGTCGATTTTTTTTTTTTTTATTGAACTGTACTCCCAAATAAACATGGACTTTCAAAATGCTGGACAATATATGCTTTGATAATCTGGTATAAATTAATAAATTGAATTTGATAACTGAATTCTAATTTAATAAGACCAGCAATTTATTTCTTCTATTAACCTTTAAAAGAACGAATAATTTTCTGATTCAAAAAAAAAAATTTTCTTCCAGACCATGAAAAAAAACTTTTGAGTAGGGGCAAATTTTGTGAGTCGGTCGCGTTACTGCAAACAAACATTTTTTTAAGGATGGCCTTATGAAACCGGAATTATCCTTTATAACTATTAAATATGTTTTTTCTTCTTACAATTATAATTATTTGCTTAAAATTTCATTAATTGCAAAAAGAACAAGAATGATAATAATAATTATGATAATAATAAATAAACATACCTTCACAAACAAATATTTTCCCAAAAGCAAATTTTGAAACTCTTGTGATCTCTCTCGGTTTATAATTACCCCCAAAATAATGTGAGAAATATACCAGATACATTGTTTTATCTCTGAACATGAGTCCTTTGTATCATCACATTCCCTGATAAAACCAATTAAACACCTTTGAATTCAATAATGTTCTAAAATGTAAGAACAATAAAGGTTTCATTTGTCAGGAAAAACCATTTATTTTCATTTACGCTGTTTTTGCATAAAAATAATAATAATCATGAGGTTAAAGTTTTGTCTGTAAGACTGACGTATCTCTATATGCGCGGTTTTTGCAGATATAAAATAAACTGATTTTCAGAATACTGTATCTGCAAAAAAAGCTTGTCTGTATTTAAGATGTTCTAGCCTATAATTGTTAACAGTATACTTTGAAAAAATGGATCTGCAAGAAGACTGTAACTTTAAAGGAGTGGTTTTAGCACCGAGATATCATTTATATGGAATAGAACATTATCACTTATATCATTTTACTTGGTTTTTACAATAAAATGTAGGGGTAAAATTTTTTACGTGGATTGATCACAAATCAATATCTCAATAACTATTCAATATATTTCAATGAAAATTTGACACATGACGCATCTTTCTCAAATTCACCAAATTATAGGAAAAAGTCAATTTCAGCAAATTCTTCATTTACGTGGTTTTTGCTTATACCCCTCGAAATTTGATTTTATGAAAAATTATTTTGACAGCTGGAACTTATGTATTAAGGCTCAGTTCTTGCAACTTAATCACTATCGAGACCATTTCCTGGAACTTTCTTGTTAAGATATGCAATTTGTAATAAATGAATGAACTGTCACTCTTAAAAATTAGCATTTATTCTCACATTTACTAATTGATTGACAGAGACTGATCGTCTTCATCCAATGATCGCCATTTTGGAATACTACTAAAACACTAACGAATTGTAGAATTATCATGGTAAGACTCAATCTCCGAGACTGAAGCGGTGGCAAACCTTATAATGGAAATAATTGACCTTCTTACATCAATCTATTAGCAAAAAATAAAATAAAATAAATAAATAAATAAATAAAAAAAAAAAAAAAGAAAAAACAACCAAGTGGACCTAACTCTCATCAGGCTCTTGGACTATTAGGCTTTTAATAGGATGAGTAGATGTGGAGATGAGCCATGAAAACTCACAGACACTTGGGGTTTGGAGCCCAAAACGCCTTTAAAATCCAAATAAAATGCATATTTGTCAATCCCAGCACATGTACTGATCATATATATCAAAAAAACTTAATATAAGCCGTTTTGAAAAAAAATCATATTTCAACATCTATAATAATACTAGTTATTATAGATGTTGAAATATGATTTTTTTTCAAGTGTCTGTGTGAAAACTTCTATTGAATCATTACGGTTGCTATTCGAGTTCCTCAGTGTACATACATTTAAACTGAGTGATGCTGTTGCTATATACCTAACATACACATTACATGTGTCACAGGGTGAGAAAAATGTGCAGCCTAGACCGGACTCGAACCCGGGACCTTAGGAATACGCGTTCCGCGGCTCTACCGACTGAGCTTCCGGCCGCTTACACATCTTCTCCCCGAAATAGTGAACAGTTTCTGAACCGTGACATACTTTCACCACAATATTGAAAATTCGTCCTCGAATTTTCACAAAGCTACAGAGCCAATGCTAATTGAAATCTGAGCTATAAGCAGTCACGGTCCCCGGGTTGGGGAGCCCAAAATGTCAACAGGGTTGAGAAAAATGTGCAGCCTGACCGGGACTCCGAACCCTGACCCTCGGATTTTACCTTCCGCGCCCGGTCTTACCGACCTGAGCTATCCGGGCCGCTTACCACATCTTCTCCCTAAATAGTGAAACCCAGTTAACCCCTCTATATTGGGAAATTCGTCCCTAATTTTTCCACAGATTACAGAGCAAATGTAAATTAAAACTCTGAGCTTATATCCAGTACTTATCCACCTTGTGCGCCAAATGTCACAGGGTGGAAAAAAAATGTGCAGCCTTGACCGGGGAACCTCGAACCCGGGGCCTTCTGGAATTTAACCGTTCCCGCGGCCTTTTACCATGAGCTATCCGGCCGCTTACACAATCTTCTCCCCGAAAATAGTGAAACGTTCGAAACCGTGAACTTAACCTTAGGGTCAGCAAATTCAGAAATCTTAAAGTAAAATTATACGAATCATGTACCAATCCATAAAATACGCGTAATATGGGGGTTTAATTTTTAAAACATTAGATTTTTCAAAATATTCCGGGCCATGGGGTCTGAGATTTTTTATAAATTCTACACGGTTTGGGAAAAAATATTTTTAATTTAAAAATTCCTGTTAAAGCCAAAAACTTTTTGGAAAGGACGGGGGGGAAGGGGCACCTCCCAAACCTCAAAGAAATTTTATAATCGCAAAAAAGGCCTATAAAAACATTTAAAAATTTGTTTTACTAAAAAAATCAATTTTAATATGTTTTGTTTAAAAACATTTTTTAAAATAACTTATCTGAAGGGAAAAAACATGTTCTTTTAAAAAAAACGATTTTTAAACCCTTTTACTTTAAAGTTTTTCTATGGGGGACCTTTTTTGGACCAGGGGTCTCGAAACCCTAACAAACTAAAAATCGGTCGCTTGCGAGATTACAAATTTAAACTGTTAGTTTTAACTGAAGCTAAGAAATATAACAGTTCTCAGGTAAAAAAAGTAAGTTTTTCTACGTTAACTAGTAAGCTAGGAAAACAACAAGAACAACAAAAAACAACAACAACAACAAACAACAACAACAACAAAATCACACACACGCGCGCATGCACGCACACACACGCACGCACACGAAACGTGTTGTTTATATCTATGCGAGGCAATGTGATCATTTGGAATTGATGCACAGCGCTCGGCAAGTCGTCATTTTTGCCGTCTGTAAATGAAATAGCGCCGTATTGTTTAACTGTCTTCCTTATATTTCAACAAGACGTGAGATGGATAACAATGGACGCCATAGTATATACATCTTTAAAACTTTAATGAAATTTATTGACCTCTTGAAACACGTTAAAATTTATGAAGCAAATAAGGTCATGATAGTTTGAATATTTCTGTTTAAGTTTGAAGATTTGCGGTTTACAATGCCGAACGCCACCGTTATTATTCTTATTAAATTGAATGTTCTGTGTTTAAGTATTTTGGTACACATAAACGGCGATGTAAGTGTTAAAACAAATTGTGGAACAGTAAATGGCGCTATAAAGGATGGTGCTTATAGTTTCCGAGGTATTCCTTATGCGACGCCACCTGTCGGCAAACTAAGATGGAAGCCACCCGCCGCTTTAAGTCCGGAGGCGGGAAATTGTTGGAATGGAACTTTCAATGCACAGGCATATGGGAACACGTGCTTCCAGATTAAGCCCGGAAAATTCCTGAACCGAAAAAAACACTAATCGGAAGCGAAGCTGGTTTTAACCTCAATGTAATACTCCCCCCCCTTGGGAAAAAAACCTTAAAACCCCAAGAAAGTTTAAAGGGCCGGTAATTTTGGATTCATGGAGGCAGCTTACAAGTTTTCGAAATGGAAAAACTGGCCATTTATATATCCGACGGAAAAAAACTCGCCCGCCGAAACTGAACATCTGTATGAGGAATTTAATTACCTTTGCAAGCCTTTGTTTCATTGGCTCTACCAGATGTTGCAGAAACTGGAGCTCAGGTTTAAATCTGGTAAACTATGGTTTTATGGAAACATGAAAATTGTTTTACAAAGTGGGGTTTTCAGCAAAATATACGAAATTTCGGCGGAGATTCGAATCAGGTGAGCTATTGAATCAAAGGTTTATTTTTATCGTTTGCGCATATTTTACAAATAGTACATACATGTATATTAATTTGTAATATAGAATTGACTCATCATGCAAAATGTTACTTGTTTGAAAATTGTTATTAATATGTAATAGATTATACCATTGGTGCGTTGACGATTTTCTGGTTTGCGTAAATTATACCATAATCACGTGACCTTTTCTTATGCCTTGACCTCACGAGACGAAGTCGAGTGAGGTTGCATAAGGAAAGGTCACGTGATTATGGTATAATTTACGCAAACCCAGAAATCGTCAACGCACCAATGGTGTAATCTGTTTAACCTATAGCTCCGCCCAGAAACACTTACTCCTTCGATGAAAATTATACCATAGTCTGGGTATGGTAATAATTTACGGTTATTGGAAATTATACTTGGAAGAATTTTACATAAGAAGCGCTGAAGAGCTATAGGTTAATGTTATTTAATATCTAATACTTACATCAACCAATAATCAATACTTTCACCGACCAATATTCAATACGTCCATCAACCAATAGCCAATGCGTTCATCAATAAATAGCCAATACTTTCACCAATAAATAGCTAAAACTTTCATCAACCAATAATCAATACTTACATCCACCAATAGCTAATACTTTCATCAATAAAAAGCTAATACTTTCATCAATAAATAGCTTATACTTTCATCAACCAATTGTCAATTGTTACATACATGTAAGCCAATTAAAGAGCTAATACTTTAATCATACTTTAATCAACCAATTGTCAATTTTTTCATTAACCAATATCCAATACTTCAATCAACACTTTCCTCAGGCAATTATAAAAGTTAGAATATTCTTAGACAAGGCTATTACTTGACTAATTTTAGGACATGTATTTTCACATGGAACTTGTCATCAAAATATATGAACGAAATTATACCTTTGTGTGAATCATCAACGTAATACCCCACACTTTTCCTTCAGCGTTTTGAGATAACACAAAACAATGTATGTCATATCATGATTCAGAAAATATTAATTAATTGAATTAGGAACGATCTACTCAACTTAATATACTCTAACAGTGTCACTACGGTGGCACAGAAGAGACATCGGAAATATTTTATGTACACGTGCTTTAATTTGTGCAGGTGTAACATCTTCACGTGTTTTTACGTTTACTGTGTTACAATCGCATTCATTTTCTTCTGTTTGTTTTTTTTCTGTCCAAGGTAACAGTTTTTGGACAAAGTTCAGGAGGAACAGCAATATTTGCCTTGCTTGCGTCACCTCAGTGTAAAGGTCTTTTCCATAAAGCATGGCTTTTATCAGCTTCACCTGTGTTAAACAAAACTGCATCAGAAGCCTATGTTGACAACGAAGCTTTTCTTGCAAACGCAAATTGTTCTGACATTGACTGTATATACGCAATGTCGTCTGCGGAAGTGACGTTTGCGGTTCCGTGGATGAAATATCCATATTGGGCAATGCTGGACCAGGGGGACTTGCCTACTAAATATCATTTTGATGGAGCGATCGCAGTTGTTGATGGTAAATAATGAAATTTATCATTTATAATATGCGAAATTATTTGTATTTGAATGCAGTGACTAGTAAATTTAATTAACTAATAGTTTAATACTAATAAGGTCATCGCTGTTATTTTTACATCTAAGGGCAGTAAGCATGCATTTGGATTTATTAGAGTAAAGTATACACCATGATACACTTTCTCGTAAGTCTTTTTGTAGTTCAGGTCCTATTTCGAAAGTACTAGTTTTGAGTTCTGTTATAATAGAATCATCTGCATATCAATCAGTTGTTGAATTATCAAATTGCAAGTCGATGTCATTTATTTCAAGGAAAACGAACAAAGGACCTCGTCTCTAGCCTTGGCGGAGACTTCTTATTATTGTTTTAGGGGTCGAAATAGCAGAGCAACGTTTTACACATTGAAGCCAATTCCTAGAAAGCATTATATTGTTGTTTCTTTTTGTTCTTTGTAGGTAACGTGATCGTTGAAGCACCATTTGATGCCTGGGCGAACGGGAAACATTATTGATGTACCTTTACTCATTGGTCAGTATTTAAACTATGCAAATAAATCTACCTTTACTCACTAGTCATTATCAATATTATGCTTATAAATCTATATTGTAAATGCATAAGTTGGCTCAACATAAATGCACATTGTCCAGTTCCTTATATATGTATATATAAAATTAAAAAAACTTGAAAAGTGTTAAATCTTATTAATATATATTTCTGTCAGATAAATTTTTTAAGTATTTGGAAGTTGCAATTTGATAAAAAATGAAAATACAAATGTATGTATATTTTAGGGTCTTGTGCAAATGAAATAGACTACAACCCAAGCGACATGACTATTAACAACTGGACATGGACTCAATATGAAAATCATGTCAATGAAACGATAGGAACATTTGGTCGCCTGGTTCTACAAACAGCCCTTAAACTGTACCCTAGTCACTACCCCTCAAACCCGAATACCAACTTTAAAGAAATATGGGGAAGGGGTATCCCCACTAACTTTCCCAAAAAAACGTCATGAGCTGTAAAAGCAGCGTTTCCCCTTTTTTGTTCTCCCGGTTTTTTCGTTACGTAGTTACATCAAAAACCCTCCCCTTTTTCCCAAATTTACCCGTTGGGAAAACCCTTTCCCCGCACGTTACCCCTGATATGTGGGGTGTTTTTGCTTTTTTTGGGTTTAAAACCTAAAATACAAATTTAAAATTTTCCCAAAAAGATAGTAAAATTCAATGGGAACCCTAATGTTTAAAACGAGGTTCTAGAATTTGTACGCACTGGAAAACCGTTTACGTCATCATGGAAGCCGTATCCAGCAACTACAGCAAATTTATCTGAGGTCACAGAAGCCATATCAGCTTACAACCCCGTACAATGCGCATTTTGGCTTCAGAATGGGTTTTTCAGTTATTCTTGGATAAATTAAAAAGTCTTAATAAAAAAGTATTTCTTTACGTGTAATGATTGTCGTCTGCTTTTTTTCGAAATTTAAAACAATACTGTGTTTGATACATGTTGTTAACTAGATCATATGTTATGTGGTCTATATGCCCTAGATAAAGGTTAATTCGAAAAGACGTCAAACGCCAATATCGAAGGTAGCACATGCATTGGTTCGCTTAAAAACTACTTCAGACTTCAGGTCGTTTGCTTCTACTAATCGTTTTAAGAGTTTATAGTTGGTGCATGTTGTGGTTCTCCAAGTTAAGTTAGTGTTACCCCAAGCAAATTTAAGTATTTGTAATTTAAACGGGTCCGGGGGAGCAATATGTACAAAAATGTTTACTTTTCCCGTTTTTCCTTTCAATGTTTTCAGTAAACCCTTAAATTAGTCTCACTAAATTATTAAAAAAAGTCGAAAAATTTCCAACCTTTTTCAAATAGAAATAATTAAAATTTTAACCTTTTTAAAAAGTTTTTTTAAAGAAAAAATTTTTCAAAACGACCAAAAAAAGACAATTTTAAAAATTAAAATACGAAACAATGATTTTTCCTGTATTTAAAACTGGGAAAAAAAAATCCCCAAAAAATGGGTTTAAATTAAGTTTAAATTTTTAGCCTTTTTTTCACGTCTTAGAGCTATCTCCTTGGCGACAGAACTATCTCGCGTACTTAATATAATAATTTTTCTTTAAAACTAAGTTTTGGTTCTGATTTAATTTTTTATTGCATTCTAGACGAAACATCTACTTATAACGTATTCAATTTTTATCTGGATTGCTTTTTAAATGAAAACAAAATGAAGCAGTGGAAACAGATTATTTCAACGCTAAATTCGCTAAATGGGAAACGTCGCCGCACTACAATAAAAACATGAATTTATCAACTTAACGTTTCCTGGAAACTTTCATCAATCTACATGGTAGAAACAAATTTTTCCCATTTTCAAAGATGCAGCCCTTTCAAAAAAACCCAAAATAAAAAAAAATTTTAAAACATTTTTGACACTGGGAAAAAATTAGCGAATGCACTAGCCTTTGGGAAAAAACATTTGAACTTCGAAAAGGATAGCTCTTTTTTTCCAGGGTTGAATTTGGAAAAAATTTAAAAATCTTTGAAAAACTTGTTTACAGAAACAAGTCTTGCTTTTTGTTTAAAACCCGGCAAGCCTGCAAACACTGCAAATGGCGTAAGGGTTCAAAAGGTACTACGTAATTTTTTTTTAAAAAGTCGGTAAGAATGACCTTCCCTGAAAACATTGCAAATGGTGTGAGGGTTCAAAGAGAGGTAACTGTTGCGCTAAAAAAGAGTCAGTTAGAGTGACCTACCCTGAAAATATTGCAAATGGCGTAAGGATTCAAAAGGGAGGTTACTGTTGTGTTAAAAAAGAGTCGGTTAGAGTGACCTCCCCTGATAACATTGTAAATGGCGCAATGATTCAAAAGGGAGGTAACTGTTGAACACAAAAAAGAGTCGATTAGAGTGACCACCCCTTATAACATTGCAAATGGCGTAAGCGTTCAAAGGGAGGTAATTGTTGCACACAAAAAATAGTCCGTTAGAGTGACCTCCCCTGAAAGCATTGCAAATTGCGTAAGGGTTCAAAAGGGAGGTTACTGTTGCGCAGAAAAGTTAGTTAGAGTGACCTCCCCTGATAACATTGCAAATGATGTAAGGGTTCAAAAGGGAGGTTACTGTTGCGTTTAAAAAGAGTCAGCCCTGCAAACATTGCAAATGGCGTAAGGGTTCAGAGGGAGGTACTTGTTGCGCTCAAAAAGAGTCGGTAATAGTGACCTTTCATGGTAACATTGCTAATGGCGTAAATGTTCAAAAGAACTTTGCGTGATTTGCATGTAAGAAGTTTTAAAAAACTTTTTATTCTGTATTTAGTCTTTTGAAACTCCTTCTAAACAAGATTTTATTTCTCAATTTCTAATAATATTTTATTTCTCCTGATTAGGATTTTAAAATCTGGACCAAAACGCCTTTTGTTAACGTTGTCATATATATAGAGATTTTCGACCATGCGACCACATACATGCATCGAGGACATGTTTGAAAGAAAGTGACCGTGCGACCACATTACACACATCACAAGATTCCCCTTCTCTTACGAGAAGGGGACAAAGGGCAGACTTAAAAATATGCCAAATGCCTTATGTTATTGATAAGGAGGCTAATTTTCACAGATATGTTCTTGAATTGGTTTATATACACAACAATAGTAACGCTAACCAAGTTATCAGTTTACGTTTTTTTTGTTCAAAGGGGAAAAATATATAAATTCTTGGAAAAATTTTTAAATCTTTTAATTTTTTTCTACTTTTTATTCCCATGATATAACAAAAATAATCCTTTTAATTTTTTCAAAACTTTAAATTTCCCAAAAACCTTTTATATGCCCTTAAATTTTTGGGGGATATATTTTACAGTTTTTTTTCAATTTTTAAAGGGGGAAAATTTTTTAAAGTACTGGGGCCCCAAGGGGAAAAACTTTACTATGTTTAAAATAAAAAAAAATAACAATTTGAAAAATAGGGAAAGCGACTGAAGCCCCAATAAATTAAAAAACCCAAAATAAAAAATTTAATTTTTCAAAATTCCTTTATGGAGCAAGGGACAGGCCCTCATTTCAGTGTTATTTTCCCTAAATAAAATGGAAAAAAGTTATAACTGAACCCCCCTAGAATTTCTCCTTACTCGCCCAAAAATCTATTAGATCCTATTGGAATGTCGTCTTCTTTAGAATGTTTATTCTCGGGTGTTTATACTACAGACAAGTTAATCAGTGACCATTTTGGAACATTTGCCTATATTAGAACAAGAAATCAAATTAATGATCCTTTTAAAAGACGAGTCTGGAACTATAAAAGAGCAAATTTCGAACAACTTAATGAAAAGATTCAAAACACTGACTGGTCATTTCTGACACTCACTGAGAAATTAATTAAAATTAATTAATACTGCAACAAAACAATTTACAGATAAGTTTTTAAATTTGGCAAAAACGTGTATTCCTACCACTATGGCAACTATCCGTCCAAAAGATAAACCTTGGTACAATTCTGAAATTAGGAAAACCACTAAAAGACGAAATAAACAAAAACGAAAAGCTATTTCTACCAGAAAATACGAAGACTGGGTCGGATATAAAACTTTAAGAAATAAGGTTAATAACATGATAAAGCATGCTAAAGAAGAGTTCTTTAATAATATCGAATTTACTTTGAGTGATTGTAGTTCAACGAATCTTCGTCAATATTGGAAACTGGTTAAATTATTAGCCAAAGAAAATTCCCCAAATTGTAAATGTATGCCCCCATTAATAAAAGATGATAATTCCCTAGCCTTTTCTGATAAAGACAAGGCCGATACACTTAATGATTTTTTCGTATCTATTTCAACTATTGATGACTCTTTTTACCACCGCTAGTATATAAGACGAATAAACAGCTCGATAGTTTCAGCATTACCAATCAAGATATTATTGACGTTCTTTCAAATCTTATTATTAATAATTAAGGCAAGTGGACCTGATGAAATAAGCCATCGTATGTTAAAGGAGACTCGTTTTACTATTTGTGAACCCCTAAAAATATTACTCAACATGTCTGTCAATCTTAATATGTACCCAGATAGCTGGAAAACTGCAAATGTTATGCCCTTATTTAAAAAGGGTGATAGCTCAATGCCGTCAAATTATCGACCAGTTTCACTTATTAGTTGTATAGGTAAAGTTATGGAACGAATTATGTTTAAGTATATCTATAACTATTTTCATGAAAATAATCTAATCTATAAAAATCATTCAGGTTTCCTACCTGGACATTCTACAGTGTATCAATTAATTGACATTTACAATCAAATTTGCAAAGCGTTTGATGACAAGAAATCGACTTGCATCGTTTTTTGTGATATTAGTAAAGCCTTTGATCGTGTATGACATAAGGGTTTGATTTTCAAATTAAAACAATATGGAATTACAGACAATATTCTTAAATGGATGTCTAGTTACTTAATAAGTCGAAAACAAAAAGTATTCGTTGGATCTACTTTTTCTGAGGAAAGAACTATTAATGCCGGCGTGCCACAGGGCTCAGTACTTGGACCTCTACTTTTTCTTATTTACGTGAACGACATTGCAGATTCTCTGTCTAGTGTAACCCGTTTATTTGCCGACGATAGTTCATTATCAGTTAGTTCCAATAATATTAATCATATCGAATCAACATTAAATGACGACCTAAATATATTATCAAAATGGGCAAAACAATGGCTTGTTAAATTTAATCCGACTAAAACAAAAGTATTATTTCTCTCTCTTAATGGACAAAACGTGAACGTACCTTCACTTTTCTTTGATTATACACGCTAAACGTTTGTTGACAACCATAAACACTTGGGTATTACATTTAGTAAAGATGGTTCATGGCATGAACATATTACAAATATAGCATCTTCCGCCACAAAAGTTTTAGGATCTATGCGTATGTTAAAGTTTAAGCTTAAACGGAAAACTTTGAATCAAATATATATACATGTATCTTATCTTAGACCAATTATTGAATATGCATCGATTGTTTGGGATAGCTGCACAGTTTATGAAAAAGATCTTTTAGACAAAATTCAGTATGACGCTGCACGAATTGTAACTGGCTTAACAAGATCTGTATCAATAGAACGTTTACTAAAAGAAATAGGGTGGGTGTCATTATCAGACAGAAGAAACATGCAGAAATTAATTTTGGTATATAAACATAGCCGTGGAGAATTACCCTGTTATCTGTCTGAACTTTTTCCAAATACCGTTTTAGAAGCAAATACATACAATTTGAGAAACAATTCTGACTATGCTACTATGGCACGCCGGCTTGAAATCTATGCTAAATCTACAATACCTTCATCTATCAAACTTTGGAACAATTTGGACACCCATTCTCGTACTGTAGACTCATTATCAGCTTTTAAACGTAATCTAAAAGAAAAATTTAAACCCCCAATAGTTCTCCCATTCTTCATTTCTGGTGAAAGATTTTCACAGGTCCATCATGCAAGAATACGTAATAAATGTAGTAACCTAAACTCCGACTTATTTTACAACCACTTACGTGATAATCAAAAATGTGACTGTGGATATACCATAGAGGATGCAGAACACTATTTTTTCAAATGTCCGTTATTTCATCAACAGCGCCATCAATTATTCATTAATACCCGCCCATATCATCCTTTAAGTGTAAAGAAACTGCTGTTTGGAATTGATAACTTGTCGCCTGAAGATAATGACATTATTTTTGGGCATGTTCAAAAATATATAAAGAATACGAATCGTTTTAGAACTTAATATATCTTAATGATAATTAAATATAACTCCGTGTTTCTATTTTTATAAATATGCTGGTCCAGTAACGGAAATGGAGGCGAAACCGGTTTTATTTTTTTTCAGAGGAAAGGTGAACAGAAGTTTGCATGTTTTTAGAATGTGTATTTTTTTTTCTATTTCATGATATTTAAACCTCATATCAATTTTTGTTGTTGTTGTTGTTTTTTTTTCTCTCATAATATTGTCATCTAAATACTTTTATATCAATATAGATATATAAAGAAGCAAACTGTAAATATTGCTCTTATGATGCACAAAAACATATATTTTCTTGTTTCTTCGCCTTAATTACGTAAACAAGTTTTGTATCTTTATAATGAACATTTTGTTATTTAAACTTGCCTGGGAAGGGCCTTCATTAATGTTGGTAAAACTTGTGGCCCAACCCATTTGCTTCAAACTGTTAACATACATGTTTCCTTATTCGTATTGTATTCTGTTTTGTATTAATGTAATCTCTATGTTACATGTACATGTTTCAAGCAATAAAATATGATTAAATCAAATCAAATCAAATCATGCATTTAGATGATCGTATCATTGTAAGGTACCATTACATTTGAGTGTTTTATGGATCTTTTTTCTTATTTGACCAGTTCTGTTTCAAATAGTTACAAATGCATGAGATAGAATATTTTGATATGCAGTTGTGTTAAGTTTGGGGAAAACGTCAAAAAAGAACAGGAAAAAACATTATCAGAAATATAAGGAATATAATGAAATAAAGTGTGTTATATATTGATCCATATATTCATATTATTAATATTAAAATTAAAAGAACCAAATACATGTATTTTCAAATGGTCATACAAAAAATGAAAAAGGGAGAAGAAAAACAACAACAACATCATAGCGAAGGGTTCAACTATAAAGGTGCAAATAATTAAAAGTTACTGTGACGTTGATTTCTATACGATGGTACACATTTTTAGAATTAAACTATATATAGTTGTTGACACTTTCAATCTCAAATGATATGCAGACTTATCCTTTATTGAACTTTCCCAAGTACCGTTAAGACCAAATTATCATCACATGACAATATCAGCAATTGCGTAGTCGATCATTATATCAAAACACAATTTATATACAGTTCATTTTACTTATGAAAATAAAACAAATAATCGCTTAAATAAAAATTGGAAAGGGCAAGTGGAGCTTTCTTGACAAATGCTAAAGACACATATTTCATTGATAATCCGTTAATGCAGTTTTCTCCAAAATGCATTAAAGCTGTATGAAAAGTCGTAAAGCATCGTATTGATGGACAGTGACTCAAGTATCAGGTTTTTAAATGTTTACAATGTCTTGAATTAAATTTTTAACAGCAAACTTTACCGTACAAATTTAGGCAAATATGGAAGTATTTTAAATTCCGCAGGTGAAATAAAATGATATCCATTTGTAAGCTCAGGGACAAAATACAGAACATCTGGTTTCACCCGGTTGCAATTCAGCGTACCGTTTTTGCAGTCGAATATTATGCGAATTCCAGTAATATGCGATTCTATCCAAATCTGTTTGCATAGCATTCATAAAATAGATTCCCAGACATTCCTTTGTCACTGGGTTTTCAAAATCGGACAGTCCCGAACCCTTTATACATGTATCTTGGAAAAGAATTAATCCACCAATAAATTCAAGCTTGCGAAGCATCCCGACCATGACTCAATTTTCTGGTTTCATGTTCTTTTTCCATACATGAATCATTTCAATCCGGTCATACTTTCAGTTGATGCATATCTGAATAACGGTTGCAAAAGGCCCAATCTAATGTTTTCTGATCCATAATCTGCTCGTAGAAGTCTTATATCATTATATCTTGATGCTACTTCAAGCCACATGACTGCGACTATAGTCGTCGATGCATCTATGAATACAGAATCCGAACGGTTTTAATTTGACATTCCACATGCCACACATACACTGTAATTAAGCCATTTAAGTGCGTATGTCCTTCGATGTAATCTATGCGCTTTTCGTTGTTCTTCATTTGCACTAGTATTAAGGTGTTTCATAATTTGCATCATTTCGCTGCATTTCACAACTAGCCTATGATCCTTTACAAGTCTTTTTAACATGGTTCTAGTAACATTAGCGGGTGTCCCTCTTTACTTTAATTACGCCTAAATCATAACACTTTGTACGAGTACGTATCGGTTTTGTTCGTTTTTCTATCGAATACATTTTAAACTTCAAATTATTTACCACGGGGTCTTTCAAATACTCGTCGAATCTATTCTATTTGAAAGACCCTGTTTATAATAATAATGATACTAATAATAATAATTATAATAATAATAATAACTTTATTTACCGAAGGTAACACATTAAGACATATACAGATTGCAACATCTTATTTACAATGCGGCCTTCTAAACACACACACAAAAGAACACAATCAAAGAAAATATAACATGTAAAAGAAATGATTGAATGGTTAATTATCACAATTTTAACATATATCTTAACACATATACTGAATATTCATACAATTCATTTTAATTACCATTAAACATAATTCTTTCCTCAGTGCATCATTTTAATCTGCAATTTAAAAAGTAAAAATAACTTACAAAATTAACACAGTGAAAAACTTAAAACTAAGTAAGACACATATTATTTGAAAACATAATAATAAAAACACATGTATGAATATAAAGAGCGTATCTTGTATATATAATGCAAACGGACCGTGCTATTTAAAGTTACTACTTGGTACATCAACCAGGCCTTTTCTTCCCGCCATACGCGAAAGGCGCATGTGCAAAATATTACTTCCGTTGCTATGTATCATTTAAGACTGGAAAATAATAACTATTTAATCAAATACTACCTCTTCAACTGAAAGTTTATCTTATGAATTAGATCAGAATGTTAATAAATTTTAATAGACTTTGATATACTACTACTAAGTACATCAACCAAGCCTTTTTTCCTGCTATACGAAAAAGGCGCATGTGCAAAATATTACTTCCGTTGCTATGTACTAGTAAATAGCGTAATTTAACTAACATTATTTCAAAATAGCTTCTCAAATGCATTTGTTGCATGATCAAATTTAAATTCTGCAAGTCATAAATAAAGACTATAGCACATCAAATAATTTGATTTCGTGTGAATACAAAGTTTCCGGCATTTCCTAATGAATCGTTTCCTCATTAATTGCAGATGTAATGTTCCTATTACCTTTAACATACGCAATGTTTACTGTTAGCAGACTTTTGATTATATTCAAGATGCTTTTCAAACAAAATCTCTAGTTTTCCAATTAAGGCTGATGATTTTATGTTCTGCCGGCACGATTTGTCTTTTTTTTCAACTGCATGAGACTTTGGGCTTAAAAGTATGTGTTTTGTTCGAAAGCGCATTTCGAGGAAATTAAAGTAACAGTATTTTTTTTTTGATGAATATACATGTATACATAAATGTAACCAACAAATGCTAAATGGACTTTTACATTTTCTATAAAACTTAAATTTAATTTTCTATTTAAAAAGTTAGACTTTAAAATATAACATATAATTCGTATACGCTAACATGAAAATAGTTATGTTTTATTTTTAAAAAATGCTGATTTAGAATTTAGCTACTTGTGAAAAATGAGACTTGTACATTTTGACCAATTAAAGGAAGGCAATTTCCAAGTCCCTGTGTCTTTACAGACACCAAATATCAATACAATATACACAAGCCTATTAATTAAGTCCGGTCACTTTCAGGTAAATCGGATCCATAAAAACTTCAAAAACTTTGTACATTTAACAAATTAAAACAAAAAAGCTTTTGTAATAAAGCTATATTCAAAATAATCAATTTCTTGATAAGCATCGTTTCTGATTTATATGCTGTCGTTATAAAGACAGTGGCACATGTATAACTAATTGTCATTTACTTCTATTAGGCCTGTGGGGGGAAAGGTGCTTTCTTGACGAAGTGTAATGAGAAAGAAGCATATTTTATGGAACTGTTCAGTAGATTTATTGGCCTAGAACAGAGTGATAGCGAGACGTCAAGATTCTATCTCTATGTATCAGATATTTATTTCCACGGGAGACTATTAAAATCAGAAGATTTTTAGTGATAATGTAGCGAGCACAGGAATTATCGACACGTGTTGGAATAACAGTTTTCTAAATTTTCATGAAATAAAATGTAATTACTTTACATTATTCAAGGGTGAGTACGCAACAGAAAAGGGATTTCAGATTTTACATTAGAAACAAGTTGGATTTTTTAATCAAGTGTGCATTGATTATCTTTAATATTTGAAAAGTCATGGGTTGCTCAATGTCTACTGTTTCAAAAGTGAAAAATCCACTTAAAAACGGAAAACCCACGACAATCGACAGCTCCGATATTACCGAAAATCACAAAGTACTCATCAAGAAGACATGGAAAATTGTTTCTAATAACATGCCTAGTGTCGGGGCTAAAATCTTTCTCAGGATATTTACAATAAAGCCCGCAATCAAGCATATATTTCCATTTAGGGATGTAACAGGGGACGCGTTGTTACAGAATAGCCATTTTCGAGGCCATGCGTCGCGGTTTATGCAAGCGGTTGGCGCGGCTGTGGACAATATAAATGCTCTTGATACCGCTATGGCACCGCTTCTGTTTGGACTTGGCCAGCAGCATACACACTATAAAGGATTCAGTGTGGAATACTTTAACGTGTTTTCAGAGGCTATAAAACATGTTCTTGAACAGGAACTTCGTTCCAAGTTTACTCCTGATGTTCAAGCAGCCTGGTCAAAGATGATAGATTTTATTATTTTCAAACTGACCGAGGGATACTGCAACAACTTTGATAAACATTCACCATCTACTTAAATGATCTACTATGATGTTTTGTTTATAATAATACACTTACGGTTATTGTGTTTTATGCGTGTTTAGAAAATATTACTTTACTTCGTTTAAATTGTTTTTTCCGGTGTTTATCCTATTGTAATAGCTCCATGACGTTGTATTATTGTCAACAACTTTCTGGGAATCATCAATGCATTAAAAAAAACCTCTACTGAGGTTTAATAGCCGTAAACATGAATTTGTAGTTTCTTAATTAAATAATATTAGTATTTTGTGTTTTTTCTTAAGTGTAAAAAGAGTTTAATGCTTAACATATTTTCACATTTTTTTCTCAATTAAAATAATTGATCTGGATAAACGGAGAATACTGTTAATCTAAAAATAGCACACAAGTTATTGGTTCAGAATAATACAAAATTGTACATAAATCTTAAAAAAAATACTTCTAATCCCGTCATGTCAAAAAATAAAAACAACAACAACAACAACAACAAAAAACTCAGTGGATTCCCTTTAAGATGAACATACCTAAACAGAACAAGTAAAATGGTTTCCTGCGGGGAACATTTTTAACGATATAAAGATATTTCATTTAACTATTTTCAACATTGTTTAGGGGTGGATAGATAACCATTTGTATCAGGAATATAGTTGACAATAATCGATCAATATAGAAGAAGGTCTTTGGAAACTGGTGACCGTTGATGACCGGAGAAGGTCGAACATAAAACAATTATTTCTTTTCAAGAAAATGATTAAATAGGCCTACCATTTTATGAATAATTCCGAGCAAAAAAATAATAAATAAAGTAAACACACAAGTTTACGCAGAAAATATCTCTATTTATGATGGAATATTTTAATTTTGTAGATTTTCAGTATAAAAAAAATATTGTTTGTAACATTTTGAGATACATATTAAAGAAACATTGATAATTTTCAAACACATCATTCAAGTTTTTCCACCTTAAACGGTAAAATAATTATAGAAAATTAGAAATATCACGCAATAGTTTTTTTGTTCTTAATTAGGTGTAATTCTGACTAATTCCCTAGAGGATTATCCGTAACGTACCGGCAAACGGTATTTACCCAGGTTTTCGAAAAGGTCAATTAACCAATCATGTACCGAAAACAGGTCACGTGCTCCTCTATGTCTCAAAAGTTAAACGCGTACCAATACCCTGCGGTCTCCAGACCGCAGGGAATAAGCAAATGGATACATATATTACAGCAAACTCCTCACACTGATTACCTCCCTTGGCAGAATTGTAATCACTGCCTTCACAGACGTCACATGATGATGAAAGTCACATGACGTAACGTCGAAATTCAAATGTAAATATCGACCGTTACATAGAAAATCTAACGTCATTTTTCTCTTTCTGTTTTATTTTTAACTTTTTGTACCTACGTCCGTTACATTTTAACAAAAAATTATCAAAAGTACACAAAATAATGAAAAATAAATTAAAAAGCTAAAAAATATAAATATCCAAATTTGGATATTTCAATGTTTGTGATGGCAGAGATCTCTGTACTGATAAGGGGAGATCACTGCGTAGGAGATTGATATTACAGTGCAGCACGTGCTAACTGTGATATATCACTCAGTTTTCTGTCCTTTCCGTCAAATTACGGACAAGGGTAATCGGCCAGATGTTCTAAATGAACTTAAATCAACTAATTTACATGAATAAGTAAACCTTGTACGTATGCCCTTCTTTGCAATTTGCAATTTTAGCTGTTTCATTTTAGTTCGACCGCATGCCATATATGTTTCATTTTTTGCCAACGTATATGACAGATTTCACTATCAGGGCGTCATTAGCAGAAGATTGATGTTAATTAGCCCCGGTATTTGTGAAATATTTTTGATTCCACACTCACATCTGCTGCTGGTACGGCGTTATTATCAGCTTTATTCGAGAAGTAATCATCTTTCAAAAGGAAAGAATTCCTCAGTTTGCCGGTATTGCCCTACGTTACGGCTACATTTTTCTACGTTACACCGTTACTGAAATATTTGTTTATGTTGTAAAACATGGGCACAAGTGTTGTGTTTGGGCATTATTGCGGAACATATGAAAATGTTACAAAAATGTTGGTAATTAATCAGAAGGTTATCTAGTGATAGCGACGTTACTGTCAACAATTTGTAATCTTAAAAGACACCTATGTATAATCAAAGGATTAACACTAAATTCTGTTATAGATACTACCGTATTTATTCAAGTAAACGCGTTCAATTATGCGATAATCTAGTTATAATTTCGATACTAATATAAAGAAGAAATACTATGAAAGGTAGTTTATCATAATCACCAATGGTTGTGTTAATTTACGGTATATATCAAATATATCTTGCATCATTTTCTGTTTTATCGTTTTCAATTTCATCTTAATAAATGAATAAGTGAGAAATACTGGAAGCGAATGATAATCATTTATATTTCGGATCCAGCAGGTAATGGGTTAAATAGTTCGTGATGAACGCAATGTCATCATCTGCATGCTGTCTCTTCTTCATGTGCTATAATTGACAGATCTCCTGCTACTATGACATTATGCCCCATCTATTGATCTAAGCAACTTCTTAAATGGATAGGGAGCGTTAATCTTGAGGTTACGGTGTCTACCTGTTAAGCCAGGGATCAGGGCTTCGAGCCTTACTAGGGACATGCCCTTGACGTTTTATCGTATGGTTAGTTAAAGGAAACAGACCCGAAAGTTATTGAAAAAAAACTTTCAAATTTTCTATTAAAGACATATTCAAACTGTTTTTAGAAATCTAAATAAGGAATAAGGTCATCAACAACTTTATGTGACATGATTCGAATCAATTAGAAGTGTGAAATATGGATAAAGACTTAAATATGATATTTCTTTTACTTTGTTTTGTCTAGCATACTAAATTTCACGGGAACCAATTCGTCTGACCCAGAATTAACCCATTGTTTCCTGTGTACCGTATTTAGTTCAAGGATTCACATATAATATATACAAGACTTGAGATTCCTTATGTCAACAAATCAACGTGAATCGATAAAGAGATCCGCCACTGAGATTTCAATTGTCACAGACAATTTTGGAATCTTCATTATCTCTGCCAACACGCTGCACGGAGATACCATTTACAAATATCTTTCTATTAAAGCGAACTTTATATCCAATGTGCTGGAATACGTTTGTCATTTTTGTTTAAAATCACGGTTTATTTTCATAAACACACGCAACTTTAATAACGACAACTTATCACAGCACGTCAGCATTATACGAACTATCCACACGCAAAAAGTGCACCTAAACTAGAACATAAATCTAGCAGGACAGTTTCTTCAGTTGAAATAATCCAGCGTCCCTGGTGAGAGGAACTTTTTTTCTCCATATAATGAGATTACTACTTGGATTATAACAATAGAAAAGACCAAAATTTGTTTTGATGTTAATGTCATGTACGGTATTTACCTAATGCACTTTACTAAAGAGTGCAAGTTTCGCAATTGTGGTACAAAGACAAGAACATATTTCGTCGTTTATATCAATACTTGTATATTTGTAGGATAACTACAGATAACTGCAGCAATTATACAAAATGTAACTATCATAATAATGAAATAACTGGTCTGTGACAATGATTATAAAAGGGTTTCCATATCCAAGACCATCGTTGCTGACCGTTGACGTTTCTGGCCAAAGACAACAGAAATAACCCGGTAAAGAAAAGCAGTCATCCTGCTTTGCGTCATTTTCATATTATAGATAAAAAAAATTATTGACCTTTAAACTCCAGAGTTTTAAGGCATTAATGACACACAAAAATGTTGCTCGCATGGGAAGACGTTATTTCCTTATCGTTCTTTTGGTAAACTGTAAGAGGAAAATGATACCTGTAACTTATATACATGTATATGTCCTATGCAATGTATAAAAGGTTTAGTGCTAATTTTTACACACAAAAAATAGTCATAAACCGTACCATATGTTAGAAAGCGAACGAATGTCATGTTTTCGTCAACCAACTTGTCAGGGACATGGAATGCAACTAAGGATCGAACTATCCGTCATCAATATACATTAAAGATCTACATGTAAACTTGACATTTGAGCTTGTCACGTGCCTTATGTGCACCATGTTGTTTTATTGTGTAAAGTCAATCCAAAATCAAAGGATTGTACATAACCAATAATGCATTATCATGAAACATGTGAACTTTATGTATGACCTTAATTTTTGACCAACAATTTTCGGGTTTCTGTGGATGTGCTATACACTTCTTCGAATTAAACAGGACTATTTTTAATGGCACGATTATGACCCAGACAAAAAGAGAATGGACAAGCTGATTTCTCGAATGCTCCCTTCGTGTAACGCTAACTTGCATAATTATTGTTATTACTATAATATGTATCATTTACTATTTTATAATCGCTCGGGTTTCATCTATAAGCGAAAGAACCAACTTCACCCTTAAATAACACCAACGAGATAAATGATATTTAAATTCCATGACCTGGCGTAGAATCCAGGCAAGTTAGTAGCAGGCTGATGGCATTAACATCTAGGGATTATTTGAAGTGACAACTACATTCCTATATGTCAAGGACGACTAAAAGTTAATCTCTAATTGTCATGAACGGTAGAATATAAATGAGATCTGATGCGGTTTTGATGAAGATAATGCCCATATAGGATGAAGTAGAATTAAGAAGTTAAAACTTATAATATCTAATTCAACAACATGATCCGGTGTCAAGAGACACAGGTGGGAGAAAAATCATCACGTGATATGGTCAAAATGTAACAATCAATGTGTTAATTGAAAATCAATTTGGTTTATGACTCATTTTGGTAAATTTACTACATGAGAATAGAAGAACTTGGTGATTAACTTAAATTTTCAGATTATACCAAGGTTTCGTCTTTAGTAGTTTAATATTAATGTGTTTAGACTGAAGAACTAATTGGCCCTCAATTTTTCTTTTTCCTAACTTTGGTCGGAAGTAGATACAAAATGTCTTTTTAAAATATAATTGTAAAACTCTCTTATCTGATATTAGTAAAATTTCACTTGCAGAAAAAAAACCTTTATTTATTTCTTTAAACGATTAATGATACATGTACTTCAGAATGGATTTTCTGTTCATTTGGACACTAAGTCCAATTGCATTTTGTGATTTTTGTTCTAAACACATTTGTTGGCGTTTACGATTAGGGAAGTTGATAACGTTGTTTTTGTTTTAACGATTGGGGAAATTGATAACGTTGTAATTTTTTTAGATAAAATGTTTTTAACACAGAATGCTTTTGACACAAAGTTCAATTTCTGAAAATTACTTTTACTTCATTTTCTATCAACAATTTATAGAAACAAAATATTTGGTTTGTAAAAAAATATCACAAACTAGGATGGGTTGAACTTTTCAACTCTTCTTCAACATTGTCAGAATTTCTTGAGCAAGATGTGCGATGATCATAATGGGTTCCTGGGGGAACTGGAAACATTGCGGACGGTACAAACATAAAGTTATGGTTCGACGACGGGTTTTGTAGAATTCCTTTATAATATGCAGCAAGAGTATGTGGATCAATGGGCGGTGATTGAATGCTACTTATATACGGGAACGCTGGGTGTATATCAGCGCCTTGTTGAAGTACTGGAGTTGGTGATACCGGCGATGTTGATAAATATGATCCTGAAGATGATAATGTTGATGAAGACGATGCAATGGTAATATCACACGGTTTTGAGCTCGATTTTGATGTTAAATCTTCCACTTTATCAGTCTCTGTGTTGTTTGTATCTTTAATGTTGTAATGTTTTTGTGTTAGAGAATTCTGTGCTGTAAATATTGGATTTGCATGATATAACATAGGTGGATACATGAGCATATGATTTGAAAGCCTTTGATCTATGAACATCGGTGAATGCCACATTGCTTGTTTTGATGGTGATAGTTCTGCGTGATCTGAAATTTGAAATGTATCATGAGTATAATCATGTCAATAAAAGTACAAAAACGATTTCATTCTTTGTACGGAAAACCCGATTGTAATCATTCGATGTTAGTTTTTTTGAGCATTGAAAAGCAGGATTTGCTTAAGCGTTTAATTGTTTATTTATCAAAAGGGGGTGTGAGCTGGTATAAGACTGAATGATTTGAATTATTTTTTCTTAAATAATTGTAAAGCATTAAATGTGTGATGATAATAATATACAATGTGTAACATATGTTCTAACATATACCTTGTTTTAGTTGTTCCTCAAACCGTCGTTTCCCTGGTGGAGAAGAGTGCCCGCCATGGTTCGTGTCAATAACTACACCAAATGACGCCATCATAGCTTCTAAGGAGCTTCTAAAACACACAAAAAACAACAAGTTTTATGCTTCCATAACAATTGTTTACACTAAATCATTTTCGTCTTCTTGATATTCATTATCAAAATGGAGTGGTTTTCTTAATTATATGGCTGTATTTATTTCTAATTTGCGTCTAAACAATGGTATATTTTAAAAAGTGTCATTTATTCCTTTGACAAGTAACATCGTTTCCTCTTTAACATTGTCAGCATAATGTAATTGTTTTATGATAATAAATGTTTGTCTTGAAAGAAAGCAATTGATGAATTGTATTTATAAAATGCTACAAAGCTACAGTGTGAGTTGTCTGTGATCGGTAAAATTTCGATAAAATACATAAGAAAATAGCTGAGTTGAAAGGATGGTTTTGCAAGTTTTAAATGAAAGAGACAGTTACTTTGCGAAAACAATCTTCTGATATGATGAATATAGTTGGTTTTTTTTATTTAATAATTATTTGTTTATATCTTATTTCGCCAGTTATATATATAGATTAATACACTTTATTTTGTTTTTATCATTCGTTAATACTCCAACAGTCTGCAAATCCACCATATCTATCTTTATCATTTTTCTTGTTATCAAAATTGTCATTTGTAAATAATAGAGTGATAATAAAGTGTTGTTAAATATAATCTATGTACGAGCGAACACCGACTGAGTTAAAGTCTTTATGAATGAATGCTAGATAATGACAATTGACCTCTTCCTTTTACAGCAAAGATAAACCTGTGTGATATCTCGTTCAGGCCATAAGAGGTGTTGAATTCTCACGATGGCTCACTTCACTGAGGTGTGTCACAGCATGCCAGGATGGCACGGGCTAAAACAATTACACGTTTTAAACCCACAATCATTCCCTACTAGATAATTTGATTTTGCAGATTTAGTCGTCACAACTACGAGTATGGATAAAGAATTGCAGACTTTGCTCGTTTTCGTGATTTGTTTAATAATTGCGCTGGTTTGTAACAAGCAGATATTATTATGATAATGCATACATCGGTTTTTATTGAATATAAATATGTCATAAATAAGAAAATATATGTTCAAATGATAAAATAAATACCTGCATTTGCCTGCCTCTCTGAATCCTTTTGCAAATGGGTTTCTTGCAATTTTTAATCTTGTAATCTGAAATGAAATATGATAGACAAATATAATTGATTTTTGTCATAGTTTGAGCGTATTTTTATTCTATTTATAAATGTAAATACTCTTCATTAATTTGGTAAAACGTACGTTTGCAAACGAATGTCCTACTTTGGATGAATTTAATTTTAAAATGATGGAAATATGGTTATTCATAAATGGACCACTGCTGTAATATATAACTAACAAGACTTTTTTATTTTTATTTTTTTTATTTTTTGAATATACTGGATTATATTAATGTTATTCTTTAATCCTGTTATTCGATGTATATACAAACAGCATTTTCAGCAATGGTTTTCTGAAATTAGTAATTCTAGGAAACGTTATACTATAAAATGTTTCATAAAATACGTTCGACAAAAAAGTATCTTGTTTGTACATGTATAACAAACTCTCAGTTTAAAATAGCTTTGGGGATGTTCTGCTCTTTAGTTAGTGTCTGAAGAAGCAAGACTAAATATTTTGAAAAAAAAGAACTACAACATTTTTGTATCATTTGTTATATGAATGATGTTGTAACCGAATACAATTCGCATGATATACATTGTGTAAGAAGATAAGCATCTCCTTTAAGCCTAGGTCACAAATAAGAAAATGCCGCCGGGCGGCGTCTGTTTCTCCAAAAAATCGCAATATCGGCCGGCGTCCGTACGGCGGCAGTGATTATCGGACGGCAGCAGCTGGAAATTTTGCTCATCGGGCGGGCGCCTTCGAGTTTTAAGTAATACTTAAAAGCTAACGGCGGCCGGACGATAATTTTTGGGGTCACTGAGTATAAATATCATCGAGCGGACATCGCTCGGTCGCCGGGCGGCGACCGGGCGATGATTTTTTGATCGGGCGATTTCTTGTTCTACTAAAACACCGTCCGATTTAAAAGGCGTCCGGGCGGACATCGGCCGGGCCCCGCCCGGTGCCTGAATAGAGACAAGTAGTCAAACGATTATCGCCCGGTACCCGGACGATTCATGTACAGGCACCGGGCGGTCATCGTTTTGTCATCCGGCGACCGGGCTGCTTATGTTTATTGTAATTTCAGCTTGAAGAAGTTGTAATTGCCTCAAAAATATATTTTTGAATTTCTTTTGAATACTAGTAAACATGAATTTCTTCTTCAATGTCCATGAGAATGTCTGATTGATTTTCGCCTTCTACGGCCTCGATACTGGCCGGTGGTGACTCGGTGTCAACAACACGGACCATCTCATTGGCCTTCCCTTGGCTTTGGCAACTGATTTCTTTGCTGGCGTAATTACAACTGGCTGATTTATAAAGGATGTCATTAAATGTAGTCATTGTCGCCCGGCGCCCGCGCGGCAACCGTCCGATTCACTTTTAAATCGCACAGGCGCCGTACGGACATCGGGCGGCGACCGTCCGATCCGTTTAATTCTTTCTGTAAAATCCATTCGGCAAAAATCGCCCGACGACTGTTTCATTCATGACCACGCAAGGTATCAGATTTAAAATCGCCCGGCGTCCACGACATCAAAAAATCTGCCGATTTTATAAAAATCGTTTAATCGGACGGCGCCCGTTTTATTTGTGACCTAGGCATTAAAGGATTGGTTTTGGTCAAATATGCAAAAGTTAATGAAGGCGTGAATAAATCGCAAGGAAATGATATACAGGAATTGTCTTAATATATAATTCGCTTTAATTCGTAGGTAGCTGAATGTCAAATTATCAGTATAATATTTGTTATTCTATTTTAATAGTTTACTTTTCTCGTATTGTGTATTATGTTTATTTACATATCATTGTCGTTTATGGCAAAAGATATATGTCAATATGTGCATATCTTATTATAATCTTAAATCTTGAACATATATATCTTGTTTTTATATGGTAAAAGTCAAAAGAAATTGTCTCACACTTATACCAGGTAGTTTTGTTTTAAAAATAGAGACCTCAAAATAAGTACTGCAATCAATCAAACCTCGAACAAGATACGGGCAATGATTTGACGACAATGACATAACACCATACCACTAATCAAATCAAAGATATAACTCAGTTTTGGCTTAAGTACATCTGTGTCAAAGTGATTATAGCAAGAACGAGATATCACCCTCACTGATACGACTAATCTCAACAACTACTTGTGTTAATCCGATCTGCGCTAAACATCCGCCAACCAATCTATCCGAACAATAGTTACTGTTGAAGCGTAATCTTGGAAACTGCCTTTTGTACCCTAAACCCGAGTATTAACCGTGTTTTTGAGACACTTGGGTGATAGACAAGCACAGGCTCATCAAAGACAATTCAGCTTATCGATGATTATCCTTTAATTCACTCAATTTTGATACTGACATACGAATAAAACTCATTGAATAATTATCGACTACAGAGTTATCTTGACGTTACAAAACATTTTGATACTTGTCAAAATCCATCGTCAATTCATTGTGTAAGAATGCTCTTAAGCACAAAAAATAACGATTCAAGCAGTGTTATTGTTTGGCACATACTATAGGGAGACCGCGGTACGTGGTGCCTAAGATAAAGGTATCAGCCTCCCAACCCCGGATTCGGGGGTTCGACGCCTACTGGGGTCCCTCATAACTACTCATGTGACACCTATACTGGTTAGTTCCGGGAATTGGACTCGAGCGCGATTAAAACAAGTTGCAAGAACTTAACATTTGAGCATAAATAGATATACAATCTAAAAACAAAAAAATATAGCCGTTTTATAAGTGGTATAACTGGTCTCACCACGGTACGGAATTAGACCGAACCCGTTGAAGTCTAGAAAGGAGTTCTTATAAATTTGAAGTGGTCCAATTTAAGTAATCTCTAGCTTGACTGGTAATCATTAAAATGTATTTATTGCATCTGTGTTTTTTTTTGTGTGTAATATGGTGACTTTGAAAGTTTTTTGTGTATTCTCTAGGACCTCATTTGTTGGCGGAAGGATGTACTACCAATAGTCAGGAGATTTTTAAGTGGTGAATTTAAACAGTGTTACAACAGAATGAAGATTTCTGAAAAAAAGTAGATGGCTAACACATTATATTTCGGGCATCATTTGACTTAGATAGTGTTGATGTTTAAAGTTGAAGACTGTATATAATTCATCAAGAACAGTTGAATCCAGAATTAAGCCTCAAATGTGACTGATTTACTATATAACAAAGAGTACGAAAATTCACTGGGCCGAGACCAACTGTAGTATACATTGTTTAAAATGAACATTCACAATCATGTAAATATTTTAACATGACAATTCTATATATACATGAATATAACATTTCATTTGTTACTTAACAGCTATTTTTACTAGCTACTTGTTTACATGTATTTGGTTACTTAGTATTATTTAAATTGCTACTGCTTTATTAGTTTGGGTTATAGTTTGTTTGATAAGCTATTGTTTACTTTGCTGTTTTTGCATATCTGTCATTCGCGCATTTTCCCATGTAAAATTCATTTTTTACTTTTTGTGTTAACACGTCTAGACAGTTCGTCTGTTTTAAGGGTCTCTTTTTACTCCATCAGTTTATTTTGGCTCACACGTATCTAACATTGTGTTTGATGTTAGATATTTATCTATCCTATCAATTATAACAAGGGCTAAGATTTTGATTATAAAATAGTGTCATATGTATGACCAGATTAAGCACATTGTAAACTGATATGAACAAATCACGCCATATATATCACTTTAAGTCGAAAATCGGCTGAATTTCTTGAAATAAACTTTTACAGTTTCCATTTCCGGAGTTGTCATTTATACAATTTGGGCAGCCAACAGTATAAAGCCTGGTCAGACTGTATGGATGTGCATGTATGGTTGGCTCTATATTGATTGCAAAGACTCATCCATTTTGACTTCGGCAGGAGAAATATTACACTTAATACAATGCATTTTGTCTGTCATAATAAAGATAGCAGCATATTAATTTGTTTAAATGACCCTTTTCTTGTATAAAACATATAATCTAGCAGTACATGTATATGCAATGCCTTCTGCCATGGGTTTGTTTCTATTTTATTTAAGGAATATTGCACACTATATTTTACAAAATTCGTTATTTAGTTATTTTATTTTCTTTCTTTCTTTATTTATTTATTATAAATAAATAAATAAATAAATAAATAAATAAATAAATAAATAAATGAATAAATAAATAAATAAATAAAAATAAAGAAATAAATAAATAATTTATTTATTTATTTATTTATTTATTTATATGTTTCAAACAAAAACAAAACGAGAAACAACAGCAGCAAAATAAAAAAAAACAACAACAACAAAAAATGTTTCCAATACCAGAGACTTGTAATACAGAAGGATAAGAAATTCTTAAAGTAGAACATTTTTCTAGCAAGACCCAAAATGCCTTGCGCTAGATTCATTGCCCCTTGAAGTTGGTCGATTTCTGGCATCTTGTAACCGAATGTTTATGTTGATTATTGATCTTGATCAGTTTGTTTCAATATTATTATCATGTCATCTAATTTAAGCATATTCACAATTACTTTAATTTTGTACAAAGAACATTTCTTTGCAAATTCAAGATAGCGGAACATGGTCTCTGGAAATCTCACGAAAAATGTGAACTTGCAGGATCATTTATCACTGATACTATTTTAAGTGTATGATGCCATAGCTTCAACTCCATTCAAATATAGCTCTGTGCTAATACATAATATTGTATCCATTAGATTAAAACATAAAAAATATGTAAGAATTTTTATTGATGAGTACACTTTGAATAAAGTTAAAAGAGAAGACATTAGATTTTAAAAGTTCGAAACAAAAGGGGCGTTATAATCATTACATGTATCTAACAACGATATTTGCAACAAATTGAGTTTGGTGAAAATTTTACTGCAATGGTGAAATATATGTAGAACCTGGTTTATGGTGTGTAAAAAAGGAAATTAACACGTATAATTATTTTGAGCTTCGTACCTCTTGATTTTGGTATGCTGTAACGGCTATGAAAGAAGTTTGTGGGAAAGTTACTGACATCAGATTATCTGTCGTACCCCTTTTTTCTTCGATCATTATCCGGGGCTGAAATTTCTGCATTGATAACAATGATATCTGAAAAAGTTAATTCGATTATATCAGCAGATGTTCTTTTCTCATTTATAGTTTTGATAAAGACATTTATATTGACATTAACAAAAATATCAATAACAACCTTTATAACGACATTAACAACATAATTTAATAAAGCATTTATATCATCATTAATAACAAATTAAATAACATCATTAATAACGATATTAACCAATACATAAATAACAACGACATTTATATAAATAATCACAACAAAAACATCACATTTTTTTTTTGTTTTATGATAATGACATTAAAAACAACATGTTCAACACCATTAATATAAAGATATTAATAACACCATAGACATCAACATTAATAACATTGTAAATATATTTTTATAGCACCATTAATAACAGTATTAAAAAATGATAACATTATATTATTGAACTCTGTAACAACATTTGAATTCTGATGGTGTTCACGTATAACAATGTTGGATGATACTTCTTTGATAATTAGAGGTATAAAATGTTCAAAAGAACAATATTCTTTTTTGTACCTGTTTTGTCTATCATTATACACAAATTATAAAACATTATTTTTTTTCAATATGTTTTCCATACAATGTTGTATTCCATTAATTATAAATAAACATAGCAGATAAACTGCCACGGTTTAACTTATCACTGGCACTAAAAGCATGTAGCATTTTTCGATATACCTGGGTACCATAAAACACACACAAATACAGGAATACAGAAAATCACGTTGTTTTTTTTATTTCAAATGGTACCTAGATGTATAATAAAGTCTCGTATAAGCTATAATCTTTTGAATTGTGTTCGAGATTTATGTTTTAATTCTCTGAAGTGTTGAAAGTGTTTTGTCCGCATGCACTTCAGTAATATGCAAGGTTAAAAAAAGCTGCGTACATGCTGTTAAAAAATATAGTTAAACAGCAATTGAATGGGTCGTTTAAATAGAGTAAGAATTGCAAAATCTCTTTAACTATGTCTATGTCTAAGGTATAACGTAAGATGCAACATCTTTCTCCCCTTCAGCAACGTCATAGGGAATTTAAATTTTATAACATTAAATGTCTAGAAGCCAATGTAAGCAAAGCTTAAAAGAGTCATTCAGTCACTTGAATATTTACCAACTCTGAAAGGTATATAGAGACTAAAGTTACAATTAAGTGAACAGATAAAAATGGATATAATTGGAACGTAAAACGTCACCCAACACAGAAAACTTGAAAATTGTACTCGCTCAGTTTGATTCGGCAAGCTACTGCCTATGTACCCAGTAGCACCGGCTTAAGCAGAATTCAACATTTTTATATAAAAAAGTTAAACAACATTCGTAGTGATTTATATAATTGTGATCATATGGCATCTCCAGTATGAAATGTTGCATCAAAGCCCTATCATAGGACACAATATGTATAACTCGGCAGCATCGTTGATCACGATATATTGTAAACTTGATAGGGCGCATACTCTCAAAGGCCTACTAAATATATACATATGAGTGCACCATGGCAATAAATCATCGTCAATTTTAGAAAAGATTAAAGGGAATATCATGAGTTATATCCTCAGATATCTACTGCCATAATATCATAAATAAAGCATGTCTAGTAATAAATGCAATCAGTCTCAGACGGATATGTTTGAAACATCCGGAAGCCTGGTATATTTTCACATTTATTCAGCTTTTTTTGGTATGGAACGCTGATGACGTCATTTTTATGTATCTTTAGAAATGGGAATTAAAAAAACATGTCAGATTAGCAAGAGTATTCTAGATCTAGTTATTATCTAATTTATACGCATATGGTCAGATTATATTCATGTATACATGTCTCTTATAAATCTGAGTTGGTTGGTCTTAATGTATTTAAAATGTAGACGATTTTTGTATATCATATTTGTAAATGTGGGAAAGAGACTTGAATAAACGAATAAAATATATAAATAATGCAGATCTTATTTTTAGGTACTGTATAGAAAAAAAAACCGTAAAATAATTACCTGTCCGGTGCCAGGTTTTTCATGATTTGTGAGCTTTATTTTCTCAAATGAAATCACTTGTGACGTCAAATATTCTCCTGTCATCGGGGATTCTGGATGGTCATATGTTTGATTCTGCTTCATGCTATCTCCAACACCAGAAACCATCCATCGTGAACTTTAAAATAAATTATAACATTTTGTAGTTCTATGTTTAATATTCAAACAATTTTTGCAATACGTACTACATTTGTTATTCATCACATACGTGTTATATCGCGCAATCAAGATTTATGAATACTGTAGTGAGATTTATGAATATTTGAAGGTTTATGAATATTTCAAGGTTTATGAATAATGAGGTTAATTAATTAGTATTGAGATATATGAATATTTAGGTTTATAAAAATTGAGGTTTATGAATTAAAATTTTAATGAAAAGTACGATATTTGAATATTAAAATATATGAAAAACTTTTTATATGTCTGTATGAAATTTTGTAAATCGTTTTTTTCCATTCTTTTTTAAAGCTGCATGCTTCCAAATGAGCAAGTAAATCATCCTTAAGAAAAATGTACTCAGTTTTATAGAAAAGTAAAAATATTAATACATGTAGTTCAAGTTATAATTTACCTGATATATGTATTTAATGGCTGATTTTGCAGTGGTTATCACCATAATTATATCTACTGCGTGACTAACACAGTAAGGGTTATTTTTTGAATACTCTGGCCTTTTTTGGTAATGTTCGAGTGCCGTTTGCAATGTGTTAAAATACATTTTTTGTTCACTTGACAATATATTACTTTTTAAAGCATTTAAAAAATTTTCATTAAAATCTGCCATGAATCTGGAGGCATGTTGCTTTTAAAAAAACATTTCATTCCTTGTAAATTGTGTACCTACCTATGGTAAACATATCTATATTTGTTTTTGTCAACAGGTATAAATTCCATGGACACTCTATACCTAGATGTTTTCTTTAAACCTGATATACGAATCCGTACGGCTGGAAACATTCGCCTGAAAACAGAAACACGTGCTTCTACCTTAATATTTGAAAATATGAAAATTATGAAAGATTTCAAAATATGAAATAAAAACCTTAAGAATTCTTGTAGAACTGGTGTCAGGAATTTGACATTCTACTAAATTAACAAGAACATGTATTAGTAGGTGACTAAGACGATTATTCGCACTTTCTATTGTGATTTAAAACTTAAAATGTAAAATAAAAATAGAAAAAGACATTATTTTATTCGTTGCCAAAATCTGATTAAGTTTCAAGCGTTGAAAAAAATGTCTAACATGTTTGTTAAATAGTTCTGGATTCTGTAGAATATGTGTTTGTATTTTTATTAAAATCATACCAAAAGTATCTAAATTGAAAGCATATTGTTAAAAAACGTGTAGTTCTAGGGTTGCAAATTCCTCTTTAAAGCTACACTAAAATTATGCTTAAATAACAGTTAATTATTACGTTAGTAAACATGAAAATAAAGTGATTGTACGTACTGCTTTTGAACTTTTGTTTTGTTTATTTCGCTAATTTGGATTTACTACTTTGAGACAATTAACATCAAACGAATATCTCATATACTAAGTACACGTTAAACATAAATTCTGGTTTTGATCAGTTATAAATTTTCGAAGTATAAAATTCTATATAAATTTTGATAGAATATATTTGATAAATTTGCAATAATAATTCAGATAACTAAACAAAAATAAAATATCATATTTCTCTAACATTATTTGAATTTGATTATTTGAATATTTGAACTGAAATCTACCGTTGTAGAGCTCAGCAAGAACTTACTTTAGCAAGAGAAACATATTTCACTTGGAGACGTTGGCTGAAAAAACAGCGGGGTTGACCTATAACATCATTTACAATTTATATACTATTTAAAGAATTGGACAAGTTACTAGTATATATGGAAAGATTGCATTGTAAGTATCAACTGAATGACACAGTTCTCTTTCCGCTTGGTGCTGGGTGCATATTGGAGAAATATATATATAATTAAAAAAAATAAACTTTACTTTGAAGTTTATAAAATGTCATGCATATACCAAAAATCAAATCAGATGTATTGAGGAAATGCAGGAAGTAGCTGGGTAATATTTAATTATTTCTTACCGTCCTGTTTTTGTGATTATCATCTCAGTTCCAAGGGAATGGAAGGCATGCCAAAGTTCTGCCTGACAAAGTTCGATCTTTACACAGTCCCCTCCTTTATCTGTAATAGACATGTATTTCATACAGCATGTTACATTTTCTTGTCATTAAATAATGATGATAAGTAATAAATAAATAAAGAAAATGCACGTTTGTTTCTATTTCTAAGACATTTGATTCTATTCTTTCACGCCAAAGCTGTTAGTATTTATTTATTTATTTACTATATCTCACTTTTTGTTTACATTTTAAATATATAACTTTTTTCATAGCATTATTCTATAAAATAATTGAGAATTGGTAAAGTACTATGGAAATATGTAAATAAGAAAATGTAAATTCTTTGCTCCTTGAAAAATAGATGTTTTTCCCCGGAAACATTGGGGAAATTTCATTATTATTTTTTACAAGAGTGTAACTGTTTTTATTTCTCAAGCTTGAACTTTAACAGGCATACATTGTTTTAAAAGAAGCATTAATTACAAAATTAGTCTCAAGAAATGACTAACCAAATACTTCCACTATACTTTTGTGGCGGCAGTTTGGATCATCGCCCATGAACGGACAAACTTCCTCGCCGTCGGGACCAACGACTTTGTCGTTTTTAACATCTTTAGGTGTCGTCTGCTTTTCTTTCTTTCCTAAAAGTTCATCAACAGAAAACGCGCGTGCCTTTGCACTTAATGAGCTCATTCTACCCCTGTCGGTCACTAAAGATACCTTATTCAACATTCGATTGTAAAATAATATAACCAGTGTTTTAAGATTTTTTTGTAATAGCAACACTACTAAAAATTATTTAACGCACAATAAAAGTTCCATTTCTGTTCTTATTTTCCTTCTAAAAAAATGCTTATTTTCTAAAGTATCCGATTTTCTCCGTCAATTGATACTATCAAATATCATAACTTTTTCACACCTAATAAAGTATTCATGTAAGTTTATGTTTAAGGTTTTAAATCTCTTGTTATTTAAATTTGCCAGAGATAGGAGGGGTTGTGTGAAAACGGCACGTTGAGAACAGCCTATCAGATGGGCGAATTTGGTGTGAGGAAACACCGTATGTAGCGATAACAAATTAGTATAGATAACGTCCTAACATCACTTAACTCGAGACACTTTAATACAATAGTAAAGACAATAATCATTTCATCTCAATTGAATGAAAAGGTATCCTTTGCATTTTTAAAACTAACCTGAGCAATTCAATGTATATATAAATTTGAATAAAAAAGACCTAATCAATTGCGTTATAATATACACGGGCAATGGCGAAGAAAACTTATGATTTATTATTAGATTGTTCCCTAATTTAGATGTTGCAAACAATAACTGGTATCAGAAGGTGATATCCGCCAGTACATGTATGTTGCTGCCTTTCGATTATATCATTTCATTTTACCTTTTCTGAGAATACATTAACTTCTTGTCATCTTGCCATTTTACAATTTCATCATAACTTTTAAAATGCATACTTTCAAGTGTCAATTGACTAGTCATACTTATATGCAAAGTGTGAAATCGCAATAACATCAATTGAACAATATTATGCAAGTCTGTTCGCATTAATGTTTCATTTTGGTTTGGAACTTTCAAAGGGCAAACTCAATACGGCAACAAGGACATCAAGTAACATCACTTAGAATTTTTGACAGTTTTGCCCTTTCTTGCGCATCCATCTGCATAGTTTATTTGTCAAAAGTTATACCCCCTCAGTTAATATTTGAAACAGTTCGTTTAAGAAGCGGTACAGTTTTAAAAAGTGATAAATATATTCATTATAATAACCCATTAGTTTGTAATATAAATTTAATGATATATAAAATCCTTAAAAGGTGCTGTTATAGCATTTTGATTAAATCTTAAGCCTTTATCTTGTATGAGAAATAACAGATTGACATTGTCAGTTTTTAAATACCCTGATATCAAGATGGCTAATGAGATCTTGTTTGATATAGGCCTCAACAGTTGGTAGGATTTTGAAGTACAACACCAATTAAAACTAAGATGGCAAATCTTAATGTGTGAAGGCTACTATTTCTTGAATTCGGAAACCTTAAGTCTAGATGTAAGGGATAGGACATGTTCTATTTTGAAAATCATGTCGTTCAGATTTTTACAGACCTCCCACAATGACAAGTAACAAATTATCTCCTGATAATGGGTGTAATGAATGAAATTCCAGAACAATTAGGGCTAAAAGGTAAACATAGTAGTAAGATGGGGGTAAAAATGATGTTGAAAAACTCTTCAGGAGACCCAAAGTTGTGTTATGTTCGAATCCTAAATTATTCCGAAAATGATTATGTCACGGTATTGAACTGTTCTCTAATTAGGGGAGGGGAGGTAGTTTGTAGGCGGCCGGATAGCATAGTCAGTAGAGCCGCAGTACGGTATTCCGAGAGGCCTTATAATGAGTTAAATGTGATGTGTGTATGTAGTGCAACACATTCTCCATAATGCGTGTATGTGGTCGAACGGTCAATATCACTCGCTGTTGCTCACGTAACACTACTCGCTGCATGGACATAATTTACTGAGTTATACTCACAACGTGAAAATTAATCAGTTATCACTACTTATAATATTGAATTACTGATTTCTACACGCTATCGCTCACTGAGCACTACTGAGCTTATAAACTAAGCACATTAGGAATCACAACTGAGCACAACTCACTCCATGACTATGACTCACTGAGCATTATCGACTCACTCAGTGGATATGACTCACTAAGCACTTCCTACTCACTCTATGAATATGACTCACTGAGCACTACCTACTCACCCCGTGAATATGACTCACTGAGTACTACCTACTCACTTAGTCAATATGACTCTCTGAGCACCACATACACACTCTATGAATATGACTCACTAAGCATTACATAATCACTCCGTGGATATGACACACTGTGCATATATGGCTCACTTAGCATTACATAATCACTCCGTGAATGTGACTCACTGTGAACTACTTACTCACTCTATAAATATTACTCACTGAGCACTATTTACTCACTCCCTGAATATGACTCACTGTGAACTACGTACTCACTCCGTGAATGTAAGTCACTGTGAACTACTTACTCACTCTATAAATATGACTCACTGTGCACTACATACTCACTCCATGAATATGACTTACTGAGCACTATCTACTCACTCCGTGAATATGACTCGCAAAGCACTAACTACTCACTCCTTGAATATGACTCACTGAGCACTACCTACTCACTCCTTGAATATGAGTCACTGAGTACTACCAACACACTCCGTTAATATGACTCGCTGTACACTACCTACTCACTCCGTGAATATGACACACTGAGCAATACCTACTCGCTCCGTTAATATGACTCACTAATTAGCACAACCTACTTAATCCGTGAATATTACTCTCTGATCACTACCTACTCACTCCGTTAATATGACTCACTCAGCACTACCTACACACTCCTTGAATATGACTCACTGAGTACTACCTACTCACTCCGTTAATATGGCTAACTGAGCACTACCTACTCACTTCGTGAATATGACTCACTGGGCACTACCTACTCACTCCGTAAATATGACTCACTGAGCACTATCTACACACTCCGTAAATATGACTCACTGAGCACTATACCTACTCACTCTGTGATTATGACTCACTAAGCACTTCTCACTCACTCCGTGAATATGACACACTGACCACTACCCATTCACTCCGTGAATATTACTCACTGACCACTACCTAATTACTCCGTGAATATGACTTACTTAGCACTAACTACACCCTCCGTGAATATGACTCACTGAGCATTACATACTCTCTCCGTGAATATGACACACTTAGCACTACCTTCTTACTCCGTGAATATGACTCACTAAGCACTTCCTACTCACTCCGTGAATATGACTCACTAAGCACAACGTACTCACTCCGCGAATATGACTCACTTAGCACTACCTTCTTACTCCGTGAATATGACACACTAAGCACTACCTTCTTACTCCGTGAATATGACCCACTAAGCACTAACTACTCACATCGTGAATATGACTCACTTAGCACTACCTTCTTACTCCGTGAATATGACTCACTAAGCACTACCTACTCACTCTATGAATATTACTCACGGAGCAATTAATACTTAAATTACTACATGATTATTACTCATTGACCACTACGTATTTATTACGTGATTATGACTTACTGAGCACTATCTACTCACTCCTTGAATATGGATCACTGAATACAACCTTATCTCACTCCATCAATTGAACTCACTGACCACTAGACTACTCTTTATGAATTATACTAGATCTGAGTATTACTCGCTCAATGAACAATACTTCCACCACAATTATGACAATTCTCAAATTTTCAATACGTACAAAGTACATAATTGTGTGGTTAATTTTGCAAATTATGATACCATGCAAGTTTGCCACTTTTTTCTCAAATAAGTATACAGAATATCCAAGTTATCATGTGCACACGTTCTTTTGCAACAGACTAAGTTCAATATACTTTTCAATACTAAAAATCTACCTATTGTAACCTTTGTAATATAAGCAGAAATGTTCTGGTGAAGTCTCAGCCAGACTATGTAGTGGTCAAAGTAGGCCAGAACAAAGCGTGGTATGACCAATTCCATGATTTCAGTATTAAATTATGAATATGCATTTAAAGTTAAGCTGTAGTTACCACACATAGTTATAAGTCAAGAAGAAGCATATTATTGCGGATTTTGTTTTGTATGTGCTGGGACAGGTTTGACAACCTTGAATAAATTATCATTTCCATTTATATCGGCTACTGCACTATGTGATAATATGCGAAAAATCACCGATTTCAAAGGCAATGTAAATATGTTTAAAATGAATAATGTCTAAAGATAAGTTTAATATTAAAATGTAATTTTGTATTAAATTTGCAAATCATCATGTTTCTATAGGGACACCACTCTCCAAAACAAACACCACAATCAATCGACGCCATCTTTTTTGTCATTTCAATTCTTTGTGGTGTTTTTATGATTATCGCATTTGGTCGCAAGGCGGCGCTGTTTAGAAAAGTTGCTGAAGTTGAGAGATAAAAGTGGTAATCTTTATTTATCTTTGATTTTGATTATTTCATGTTAAAATTTATAAAGTATAGCCACGTTTATGTTAGTAATGTAATTTTCATATATATATCATGCATTTCACATGCGTTTTCAATCAATTAGCGTGAAATATAGCGTTGAACAGGTCCAGTTGGTAGCAAATAATTTATGTTTTGACATTTCATAGATTTTCGTCAATAGACTGTCATAAAATGAATTTATAATAAACAATGATTGTTTTAATATAATGAATGTTTGTACAAATATATATGTTTTGATTAAATGAATAACGAATCATTTAGCAGTTTAATTCACAAACAATGTAAACATTGAGACATTAATCACCAGGAATGCCTGGAGGGAGTGCACACACCCACATACTTTTTGTAAAGTACATCATTCTTTACAGTTGTCTGTTATGCATATACTTATATGTCAAATATCTAGAGAATGTATACTTGTTAACACAAATCAGTTCAGTTTAAATCAGTTCAGTTTTAATGTATAGTTTGTGTCCATCAGTTAAAATTACTGTAATACACATTGAGATATTGTTTGTACGTTTATCAGGGTAGGAAGGATGACCACTGTTTGAATTCACATCTGCATCTATATTGATCTACATTTTAAAGGGACTCCACTGAGGATTTTTGACATGATGGTACTAAAAATATTTTTTTTCCAGATAAATGTACCATTTGATGTAGGTTTAGACCACTACACTTTGTTCAAAATTTCAGATCATTTGCACACTTCATTTTACCAGAATAATTATTCAAATTGTAAAAAATTACCAAAAATGAAATGCATTTAAACGCTTTTTACTCAAATTGGGCCAAGAAAGGCATAAAATATGATTTTCAATTTAGTTCAAAGTATATTTCTTAACTATCTTTGCATATATATCTCTGTTTACAGTGCCCAAGCTCATTTATTTAAGAAATTCAAATGTTATGTTTTTAGGGTATACCTCAGTGGAGTCCCTTTAAGACTTAGCACGGCTTCCGTTAATTTTGAAGTCAGTTATTCCTTGATTTTGGCTTGTGACTTCCAAAATATAATGATTTTCCTCCTACCTACATGCATATATTTTGACTTCCAATGTCAGACATTCACTCTCTGACTTTCAAATTTTGGAGCTTAAAAGCTATTAAATATATATAAGGACTAAGGTGCAATTTAATACATAGAAGCAAGTAAAAAGAAAACAACAAGACTAAAATATAAACAATACTGACTTAGAACTAGTAGAAAGGATGCAGTTGCCCAGTAAAAGGTCTAAGTCTAATTAAGCTTGGATTAGGTTATACCATTTCACAGATTTAAAAATTCTCAGAAATTATATATTGTCATTTTAGGCACCAAGATGAAGAGTGTAGTGTTACTGTTGTGTTGTTTGGTTGGTCTGTCACATTGTGTTTTGATTGAATGGACTGCCTCGGATTATCCTAACCCTCAAGAAGACCCAGAAGCTTGTGGTAGATACAAGTCATCCTATGTGTGTGATCCTAATAAATTAATCAGCAAAAGAGCAGGTAAAATTGTTGCTTAAAGTTTCTTACTTATAACACTTTGAAGGTGCATGTATTTAAATGTTTGAATGTCAGTGATGATATTGACTTACCCATGGTACCAGTATAGAGCCAGGCCAGCCTGATTATCTTTGCAATCTTACCATTCTGTATATTGTTTGCTAAAAACAGGTTTTTTTTTACATGTAAGGCTAAAACTTTTGATGTCAATTGAATTTCGATATGTATAATTTCAATTTTTAAGGGGACTATTGGGATTATTGCATGCTCATTATTGTACTTGAATTATTATCAATCTTGTAAGTCATCATTTAATTTTTCTACCTAAATACTTAAATTTTTTGTAATAAAATGTACTTACTTTTTCTAGCTGATTTCCTAGACCATATTCTGTTAAACCTACAGAATGATACAAAATGTCCATGTTCACGTTATTCCTGTGAGAGGAACGGCTACAACAAGGGATATATCATGGCTATTGCTCTTGTGAAGAAAATCTATAAACCAGAAAAGTATACATAACTTTTTTCATCATATAGGGTAGTTTATGGAACGTCTGTGGTTCTACTCAGGTGCCCGTTCGTGTCTGAAATAATGCATGGAAGTCTCTCTCCACCAGTAAAGCTGGAACATCGCCATATGACCTATACTGTATTGGTGTGAAGTAAAACCCAATTAATGAAACAAATATATCATATAGTTACTCAGATTTAATTTGTTTACAAAATGGTGCTAAGGTGAAACATTGAGCATAGTCTTAGTTGATATGGTAACTTTATGATAAGCTTGTTTAAGATTAGCATAATTGCATGTCTTGTAAAGATAAAGTAGATGTTGAGATACAATAGCATTTATTACCAACTTATGAATCATTTTTACAAAATTACCTTAAAGGATTTATTTAAGTATTTATTTGAAAAAAAAAATCTTTAGCTTCCCTTTCAGTAAAATTATGACAGATGTATCATGTTGTGTATTTCAGAGTGAAGGATACAGTAGACAGTAGGAAAGCATTGGTGAATCAATTTGCTCTTGATTTACTGAATAAACGCTGGAACGGTTGGGATGTGTGTGATGAAGTTGTTATTATTGTCTTCTCTAAAGACGATGGTATTGTAAGTATTGGATGATATATTATTGTCTTCTTTAAAGAAGACAATATCGTTAACATTGGATGATATAATATTACTATAAATCTAGAGCTGTCTGTAAGTACTCCTGATTCAGCAATTAAGCATAAAGTAATTATTATTCTGCCAAATCTTGTAATGGACTTTACCTGTCTTGATTTCAATAATTACAAGGATATTATAATTACTATTCTAAGACTGACAGCCATCCGTATAAGAGTGTAGTGAGATAGCAAGGTTATGCTGGCTGGCTGGCTGGTCGGGGTCGTTACTCATGACATCAGTCTTCAGTATGACAGCTAGGGCCTAAGATGGTTAAAAGGTGCTTTGGCGTTCAATGTGTAAACAATATATTTTGTAGTCAAGAAATTGTTAAAATTTACTGATTTAAGATTTCAAGAAATATATATAAGGAATATTGCACAGTTTTGCTATTGTGAATGATAGTATGACTCAAGTTAATACTGTAAAACACTTATTATTCGCGAGAAATTTATTTTCGCTAATATTCGCGAGTTTTCTAAGACGCGAATTCATATTTCTCGCAAATATTTCACTTTGTCTATACACTTGTCCGAAAATGAACACTATCCGAAAATGCGTACACATGGATATATATCTGCGGGAAAGTATCGAAACCAGTTCTAGTTACATCATGTAGCAATTCAAGTGTTGCAGCATATACATATTGTACAGATTACTAGTATGAAATATTTACCTGTAACAATTTGGTATTATTGAGGAATTGGAAAAAAACTTCTTCGCTGCATATTACCTGTGTCAAGGAAGGTTACTATGACTTGCACTAGAATTAAGTATAAACAAATCAATGCGTCTCACAAAATTTTAATGGCATTTCTACAGATTGTTCTAATTAATGTGAAAATCTGTCCAACTAAATGGATTAATTAAATTCCAACACAATTTATTAAGGTCAATGTCTATTGAACAATACCGGCCTGCACCCACCCACGCTTGATCATCTCATTCTTTAGCACCTGCGAGTTGTTTGTAACATTTCTATTTATTGTATCCTATTGTATTGTACTACAATTTAAGCTGGAGGGTAAACATAATCGTTTACTACAGGTTAGGCAAATTACAGTACCGTTTAATTGATTTTCGTCTGCTTGCCTTTGAATGGACAATACATGACAAACACAGCAAACTTTATTGACATATGTTTAGACAGACGGTTTCACTTAACAAGAAGATTAGCAAGCTATCAGAAAAATCGATACAGATATAAATGCATTCGTCGCACAATAAACGACGCAAAGTTAGTGAACGGACAGGACAGAAAATATCCAAATGACATCGGGTTTCCGGTTTCACATTTTTCGGGAAGACGCGAATTCATGTTGACGCGAAATAATTATTTTGGACATTTTGCCTCAAATTCACGAAATAAGGTTCTCGCGAAAAATAAGTGTTTTACAGTAGTGTACATTTGTAATCCATCATGCCAGCAGGGGAAGTAGTAATACATTTGTTTTCACAATCAACAAGGTCATACAATGCATTAGAATAGCACAAAAATGTAAATGTTTTGTAATTAACCTTAAATAATAATCTATGTAATCTGTAATAAAAAAAAGGAAGTCTGAACAAAAATGAAGAAAAACAGTTGTTAGTGATAGGTTATATTTTGATATGTTGTTAATATGTTGTAATGATATTAAGTCAGTACGATTGTAATGTAAGTGGGTGAAAAATAGAAAAAATCATCCAAACGTATGCATGTCATTTATTAGAAATGACAAAACTTTTATCAGAAAACATAAACATAGCATTACTTGTTAATAATCCTATTTTTAGCTGACAACAGTATCTGGTAGTACTCCACAAAGAGTGTTGACAAATTCAATCACGAAAGCTATTCAGCTAGAACTTGCTAGATTCTTCAGAGATGATGGTGGAAATGTTGGTCAGGGACTGCACTATCTTACCATGAATTACAGGTTTGTGAGCAGTATTTATTAGAGAAATACAACCCTTAACCTTCTGAATTTCTTAAATGGACTTGTCCAGCTCCCAGTTTGGAATTGTCTATTGTAAACTTTTGGGATATCAAAAGTTAAAGATAGACAGACAAAAATATAGAGTCTGGCCAGAATACAAGAGTATTTCTGTTGACACATACACAGGAGTTATTTCATTATATTTCTTTTATGAATTTATTGTTACTTGCATGTGCAGCTCTAGCATTGATCCAAATTTTGCACTTTTAAGTCCAGATCCGTACTTCAATCTTTGTAATAGCACAATTTTGTGCTTCATGTAAAACTTCCCTTGGGCAAGGGACATTGGTTACTCTGTTACAAATTCTTGTTCAGTTTTGGTTCTAGCAGGGAAAGGTTTAAATCCATGCTATTCATTGTTTAGCTGGTTGGAACAATTTTCTTGCATGATTCTAGAATAAGGCTGTATTAAGATATTTAAAGATCTTTACAACTTTTCCATATAAATGTCCAAGCAGATTTTTTAAGTTAGATTTTTTCATGCGCAGTTTCCACATTTATATATTTTGCCTTAACTATATATATGCAATGAAAAGCCGGGAAAGGATTCCCCTGAATAAAATAAATGAATTGTACATTATGCGTGACTGTCTGGTTGATTGATGCATTATTACTTTATAAAAATGTAAAGCTATATTTTTCTAAATATACTAGCAAAATTGTTCAACTGTACAATGACATTGTTTTCATACGTAAAATTGTGATATTTCGAGGGAATGAGTGATTTTGTCAATAAAACGCATAAGTTGTATATGAAAGAAAAGAATAAAACGTTCTCTAAAAAAATATTCAAAGGCTATTTTAATGTGTTTAGTGATGACACCACCCACTGTAGGAAATTTACAAACATAATAGTTGATCTGGGTAGTTTTGTATAATTTTTTATCAATATTGAAATATTCTACAAGTTACAAACTGTCTGGTAAAGCTATTTACCTTTACAAGTGCTGATTTAAAGATTCTTGTAATGTATGTAATTTCAGACGTGTGTTGGATGGCTACCACTACTACCCAATCATGTATTCAGATGTAGTACCAGACAGTGCCGCTGATATGATCAAGGTGTCTCTCGTTACCAGCTTAATAACAACCATCCTTCTCAAAATATTCTGTTAACTAGTGTGTTGGATATAATACCATCTCATCACTAGTTTGAACTTACAATTGTCTATGCAAGTTTGAAGCTTCTGATATTACCAGCTGAAAGGATAATACTTTAAATAAGATCTCAGTTTATTTATTCTGGTACTTGTGTATTGTGAGAAAAACATTGAGTTTTAAGATTACAGATTTCTATCATATTAAGAATTTAAGTCATTTAATGAGATTAATAAAATTTGTTGAAAGTTAATTAGATGAGACTTTCTGTATAGGACTCTTGAACAATAACTAGTTTTGAGTTTTTGTATTTGTTGAAGGGAGATGCTGCCTATTATTCAAGAATCTCTGTACTGATTATTTTTATATACTGACACTTCATTTGTTATAGAAAACCATTTTGAAATATAAACAAAAATTTGTACACAAATAATGTTTAATGTGAAGCAGACAATATGTTTGCCTGAAGAGATTTGAAGGAGCTCCACTGTGGTCAAAAAGCCTAAAACATAAAATTTGAAATTCTTACATAGATAAAGTGAAGGCCTTAAAACGGAAAAATCCGCTAAAGATAATAGAGAAATATAGTTAAAATTAATATGAATATCAATTTTTCGGGATTTTGCCAGTTATGAGTGAAAAGCTTTGCAACAAAACCCAATGAGGAAATGTTCTAAAACTTTGCACACAAGCTTTTTATCCAGACCAGATCTACATCAAATGCCTCACAGATCTAAGAAGATATTTCCAGTCCTGTCATGTCGTAAAACCCTTAGTGGAGCCCCTTTGAAAATGGAGAAAGAATCTGTTACTTGGTGCTATTTGTATAGTTCTGTGTTTATTACAGTGCTAACATTATTACATTTGTAGGTTTTGTATTTTTAAAACTTATATCATCTGTTACCTAGCATATCATTTAAACTGTTATATACATTTATATACATTATATCTATGCTTTTATAATTAATAATGCAAATTAATTTCTTGAATTATCATCAGTTCTGTATAATATTACAATGCCAACTACATGTATTTTCCCCCTAAAGTGCCTCAATTTCTCCTGTAAGAGTGGTCTGTTTACATAGAAGCAAAATGGAGGCATCTGTTGTTTCATTTTTTATTTCCACAAATAGTTATTTTGGAATCTTGCAATCAATAATTTGACAATAATTACAGTTTGAGTAATAAGTATGTTCTTTTTTTTTTAGATTTTAGAATCATAATTTTTTTAAGAGTGAGAAGTGTTATGTTTATTACATGTATCTATGCAAACCTTGTACAGAATGATGTAGATTTATTATTCTTAAATTACTATATTATAGAATCTCATATACTGTATGAAAAGCCTCACTGTTTTACAATGAATTGTATGGGTAATTTAGACAGGAATATTCAGTACACCAAAGAAAAGTTCTTTATCTTTATGTATATTGCCCTCCAATTATTTTAGCCGAAATTGTTTTCTGTATGGTGTTAAATGGTTAATACTTAACTTTTAGGATGTTTTCAAATTGTTTTGTGTGCAATATAAGGTTGATATATAAAATGAAGATTTGTGATTTTTGTTTTACTTTAATTACTAATATTTTTGCCACGTTTTAGTACACAGGAATGTTTTCATTGTTTACAAAGGTGTTTTTTTATGTTGTTTTAAATTTTACATTCACTTTTACCTTATTTTTCATAAACATCAGTGACTGAGTTTTCAAATGAGAGCAGTTTAATACAGAAAATCAATTAAGGGATCTTTATTTCTTAAATTCAATATTATCTGAGACTAAAAGTTTAGTATGTTTATGTTTTAAGATTGTGTAAAACTTTTACTTTTTGATGTATCTTATTTTTATATTCATGTGTTAGTATGCATTTCATTTTACCTACTTGTAAGTTGCATGCTTTTGCTTGTATTTTATAGAGTTTTAGCTCATCTGAGCATATAATGCTAATGTGAGCTTCAAGGATCTGTGGCTGTCTGTCCACAATTATTTCATCTGACATTGCTTAAAAGGCATTTGGGCCAAATTTGTTGAAACTTGACTTAGATGTTGATTACATTAAGCTGTACCAAATTTGTTCAAATGACTGTTGTCCAGTGTATATATCATGAAGTTTAAAATAGCTAGTAAAGGTCTGCAGTAATCTTTGGTCTTTTATGTAGATTTTCTTAACTGATGGGCCAAACATTACAAAATATCTTTTTGCAATTAGGGTTTGATATTGTTATGTTTTCCCTTGGGAAGATGTTGACATGCAATCTTTATTCAGGTGAGCGATAAAAGGGCAATACAGGCCCTCTTGTTTATTGTTGCTGCTTTTTAAAAAAATGTTTTGTATTGTTGTTTTGTATTAACATTTAGAGGAATCATTTACAGGGTAAACTTGTTAAAGTGACATTATCCTATTTTCATTGGCAAGTTAAGCTGAATTAACCATATATCTAAAAGATTTACCAACAGTTGATATTGAAAAATGTTTAGGATGAAATATAAATCTGCCTAAATCCAGCTCTTTTTATGAGTAAATTCCGATGATGGATATTTATATAAATTCCAATGGATATTTAAAGATGTTTCCTTGGGCCACGTGAGTGAATTAATCGTTTATGCGAAGTAAATTTTAAATTTGAAAGGAATTACGGCAAAATTTAAACTTATTTTGACTTTCAGCTGTTTACTCACTATACACTCTTGAATGGGTGTAATGTCACTTTAGTACTAGTAAATTAACACTTTTGCAGTTTAATGTTTTAAATGGTTGTAGATATAGATCATGACTTGTCTATTCCACCAGTATAAAGTCCCGTCAGCTGGTACATTTATGCTGTCTGATTAGACTCTATATTGTTGACTGCTCAATTCTTAATTTTTATTTTGAAACCCTTTAACTTACAAATGGACTGTGTCAAATGGACTGTGTCATACTCAAAGCAAGGCAACTATGATAACTGAAAATTAAAGGCTGGTAAGGGTTAACATTGTTAAGATGATGGTTACATTGAAAATTTCAAGCTTATTAATATGCTCTTGGTTTTTGAGTTAAGACTTACCATTGAACCTTAAATGTTTAAAAGTAAATTTCATGTGTTTTGATAAAAGTGTTAATCTATGAATTTTATGATGGTTCAACAGTATTATGATTTGTATGGACCTCATTTAAAGAATGAATAAAAGACTCGCTGTTTAGTTTAGCCAATTTTAGTTATAAAAAATATTTCTGGACTACTTTATGTTAGGACTTTAACCAAAGAAGGAATTATATAGTCATTGTTTAGTATAGCCAATACTAGTTAAGTTATATAATTCATAATTACTTGTAAAGAACGAAAAGACCCACCGATCCTAAAGGAATATACTTTTATAATGATTATCTGCTTTAATGTTATGTGTATTGTATTAAATGCATGCAATAAAATATTTTGTTTTTATAATGCACTTTGTTTTTATATACAATGTATACATATACACTCTGGTGAACACGAGTTAACACCGTAAGTTTTATGCATTATATTTATGCCCCACTTATAAGAAGTGGGGGTATATTGCTTTGAATATATTGGTTGGTACGTAGACCGAACCATTTCCAATCAATAACTTGAGAACACCTTCACTATTGATTTTAGGGTCAAAAGTAGATGTCAAATTGATCTTTTATATGAAAACCAATAACTACATCCCATGGGTCTTTTGCCCATAAAATTAACAGGTACATTAGAGGTGGCAAGTACATGTCTCCTATTGATTTTGGTGTCAAGTGGGCCAAAGGTTCCATTCGTCTTGCATGTAAAATTGTTTCTTAATAATGAAACCCCATGAGCCCTTTGCCCTCAAATGACCCTTAATTATTTTGAGGTCAGAGTCACATTGACCTTTAATATCAAAATCATTTCTGACTTATTTAACAACTCGTGGGCCCTCAACACTCAAACTTCAGAAGTGCATTGATCTTGGCCAGTGAATGACCACTATTGATTTTGGTGTCAATGGGTCATGGTCACAATGACCTTGTATATCAAAATGGTATCCAACTAATTTTATTTTGACTGTTTACTTATTATATATGTATGGATTTGATAAACTATTCTCACACAAGAGCTTGTTTTCCACTGTGACGTCATTATTTAAAATACCATTGGTGGCTCGAAAACATGATAATCTGGGCGCTAGATCCTATAGGGGTAACATTCATAAAATTGGTTGACATCAAATAGTTTGTGTTAACTTAAAAGATGACAAAAGATGATTTTAGAGAAGTTTCTTAAAGCAGCATGCCTCCAGATCCATGCTAATTTTCATGAAATGTTTAAAAAATTATTTGAAAGTAAAATATTGTGAAAGTAATTTACACATTCCGAACGGCATTTACAATTATATATTGTTTCATGCCATTTGGCATTACAACTACTCCTGTATAGGTAAAATGGTGACCACTTTTCTTGGTCATTACTTAATACATTATATACAAAATATGGAACCACAAACTTTTTCGAAGTCAGGCGGCCTCCTCTCACGATAGAATTTAAATAGTGGATTTCTTTTAAAGAGAACTATTATTATTTTTAGTAAGTGATTATTCATTTCACAGAGGCTAGTAGAAAACATACATGAGGCTTAACATTGCTGGGTTGAGGGCTATGTTCTGTGAATGTCACCTTGCCTTGCTGAACTTTGTTCTCGTTTTATATTCACAGAAATAAAAACAAACCTTATTATAATATAGCAGAAAATTTATTTATTGTATAAAAAAACTATAATAGAATACTTTTCACAACAAGATATCCTAACAGAAACTTTATGATAGAACAAGAGACAGTCAGTATATAAAACACACAATTATATCAAGATTGCTTTAATAACTGAAGTAAAGCTGCATAACTATCATATAAAGCTAAGATTTTGATATTTCTCAAAAAATTGATACAATGTATTGCATAATAAGAAATATATCTAACTTTATGCAAAGTATTTAATTTCTTGACAGTTCTTCTACATTTACAATATTTTTCTTTTGATAAATTTTGTTGGAGATAAATCGTTACAAAATCTAGTTTCAAGAATTTAGATACTTACTCGATAATATTAAAAATTATGATCTTTCACATGGTTTAAGAATTAGTTGAAGTATTGATTAAAACTGGTGCTAGGGGTACATGACAAGATGTTGCACTTTCCTTTGTCTATCATAAAAACCCTCAACTAAAATCAATTTTCAACTTTTATTTTTGCTTTTGTTACTCTTAAAAAATCTTCCCTTTTTGGAATCTTTATTAATTGTAAACTATGACAGTACCAAAACACATATTTCATACTTACTTTAGACTTGACTTCTTGCATATAAACCAATCTTAACTTATGGATTTAAATTATAATTTATAAAGCAATAAAAGTTAACAAAATCATTTTCATGCTTTTACATAAAGGATGGCTAAATATAGGTTACTAATGAATGACAAATTTTAAATCAAGCAACTATCATAAATAAATAAGTCAATAAATAAATGAAACGTCTTTCTACATCATATAAAATTACATGTAGGTATCAAAAATTTTGATCACAGATTCTTTTTGGCTAAAACCTTAAATACATGTAGTATTTGAAAAATATAAATACATGAATAAATGGACTACATGTATGTAAAAGGACAAATGGTAACAAAAATAGTAAAACAAAGTCCTTGTTCAACAAAATCAAGGGCATTTTAAAAAAACAAGAAAAAAAAAAATATAATAGAATAATAAATGGTCACACACAAAACAGATATAAGACATAATTGGAATTGGAAATAAGTTTCAAATTTACTTGCGTGGAAATATACTTTGTTGTTTTATTTTCATTCAGAGTACAGCAGGAAAATATCTGAAGAAAATTTAACAAATTAGAATAGATTATGTATAATCAGCTAGACACATCTATAGGAAGCGCCCTTTTTTCATATAAATGTGATAGTTCTTATGACAACATTCAAAATACAGGTCATGCTACTGATTATCTTCTACTTTATAAACAATGTATATATTTTGGTACAGCGTTTGAGAATTGATGTGTTTTCTTGGCTTAACAGTGAAAACATCATTTTGGCAAAAATCACATGGCTTGCTTAAACAAAATAAACAAGAAGGCCAAAATGGCTCTTATTGCTCACTTGAGATCTGTTGCTAGACAATGTCAATTTTTAAAATACAGTATTTGGTCACATGTACAAAAGGTCCAAACTTGAAGACTGAAATTAATCCCAAAGCCTGTATTCTACTTTTGCATCAATCTAAAATCATTTATAAAACTTTTATGAAGGACAAACTAAGAATCGTGTACAGTTTGGTCAAAATGTACCATGCTGTAGAGGTTACGCTGTTTAAAGAAATTGAATACGAAGACGAACATCATGCAATCATAAAAGCTCACCTCTGAGCACAGTTGAGCTAATAAAAACATAACAAATGAAAACAAGAACAAAGAATTGGCAGTTAATGGTAATCATATAAAAACAAAATTGATAAAAAAACAACATTTCTATTGTACCCCTTATTATCACAGATTATTCTCATCACAGGCTTTCCAATAAACTGATGTGAAAAAAAGAAATTATATACACATTGAATTCATTTTACTATTTTTATTTGATTTTCAAAAAGTAATTTGATTAAAAAAATTTTTTTGCATAACAGGTTCAATATAAATAAATGTCAACAAAATAATAAAATGTATGATACAAAAATTACTCTAAATATTTCTTATTCTGAAACCATATAATACTGGTATGACTGTTTAAAGCACTTGTGTTTGTAAAATCTCACCAAAGGTTTCAATACTGAGTATAAAACATCAGACAATATAAGCTCTGAAACAAAATTCTTTCTTGTTGCCTCATGAACTGTTTAGGTAAGCCCTAATAAAGTCATTATAGCTGATTTTTCCATCCATATGTTTATCATAGTAAGACATCACATGGTAAAACTCGTCCTCGTCCAAATTCACACTAAACAGACGTAGAACATGTCGAAAATCTACGGAATCTACCAAACCGGTTCCAGCCTGATCCAATGCTCGGAACTGACGTCTCATTTCCTTCCAGTTTGTCATGACAGAATCTTGAAGTCGCATCATGGCACTGAAAAATTGTGTACTGGTCGAACCAGCACTCCTCTGTAAAAAAAACAACAAAATTGACAGTTTTACTGACCTATCAATAAACAATGTAAATGACTATATGCATGAACAAAACATTTAAAACAAATAAACAAAAATATCTGTTGAGCAAATGCTGGATTAAACTGTAATTTGGAGTTTTAATTAATCAAGTAAGTAATTTAATTCATTTGTTTTTAATTCTTATACCTTCAACATAACAGAAACATTTACACAATAGAAACTTGGGGGAAAAAATCTCAAAATAATTAGAATGTATCTTTAAGTATGAACATGTATCAATTCTTTCCAAGTTGAATTATCCAAAGGACATGTTCATCTCTGACTTTGGAACAGTCCATTCCTGGTTCAAAGAAAAAATACTGAACTTGAGTAACTAAAGGACTAGCCAATTGTAACCAGGTGCCACAACATCCCAGAATAGCAAGAACTTTGACTTAAATCTTCAAACAGTAAGCAAGATGCCTTCAGAGTGTCAGATGTTGAATTTCCATTGACTGAACTCCAATACATGGTAAGTTGGACATAATCCCCACCCCTCACTATTTTGGCACCACAACAAAACCCCATAGAAAGGAACAGACAGAATGTTAAAACCAGACTTACATTCCCTGCTATTCACAACACTCCTTTATAAATAACAAATGGTGTATTATTATAGTAAATAATAATGGTGCATTAGAACAAAGAGTTAAAATACATACTGCTATTTTTGGTGTTGCTATTTTCCTTCTTGCTAGTAGTGATTTTGGCTCATCCTGGGGTTTCAAGTTCAAGATAAAGTGGCGTAGAAAATCTGAGTAACAGAACTGGCCATTCTCCTTCAAGTCATACTTGGTTAATAGGTCTAAAAATTCTTGGCTACTCAAATCCATTCCATAGCGAACTAATATTTCTGGAGAAGAAAAAAAAATCTCTTTAAATAATATACAAGGCAATCAACAAGTTTTTAGCAATCACAGAAGTAAAATATAATCTTCTAAAATAAAAAACAAAAGAGAACCCATAGCCTACCGTAGTGGTTATGGTGTCTGCCTCTAAACCCAAGGATCATGGATTTAAACCCTAATGAGGTCAGGCCCATGATTCCACAAATAACACCAGTTTTAGTTAATTCCAGGAAGTGGACTCAAGAATGGTTAAAATCAGCTACAAGCTTTTAACGTAATCAAGTTTATCAATTAAACCAGTGACATACCTTTAAGGTCTACAACATTGATGGTTCCCGAGTTGTCTACATCTTTCTGTCGACACATTTGTTGTATTTGTTTCCAGTTTTTGTATATTGTGTTCTTTACAACATTTTCAGCAACCTCAGCATTTACAAGGGGTGTGGCCATCCTACTCTGTGACCTTGACATTGCCCCGGGACGCATCATGTCAAGCTGAAAAGGAGGAATGAAAATAAGATAAAACACAGAAAGTAAGCTTTGATAAAAAAGATAAAATAGAACAGAAACAATTGCTACATTTAAATGAACACCACATTCCCCAGTGGTAACGTTCACATCTAGGTAGGGTTTAAAGTAAAATGTTCTTCATCTCAAATTTGATGCATTTTTCTGAACCCTTTGTGATTATATATTCTTATACCCTTGTGCTGACATCAAATTGCTGAACCAAAAATCCTAGATGGATCTTTTTTGCTTGATGCATCTGTCAGTAGTCACCTTTGATCTCCCACTCCTGACACAAGGCTGGAAAAATTAGCCAAGTTTATAACATCAGTCCCTGCATTGCTGGCTAAAATGGTTAGGAACATGACCAACTTGCATTTTGTGTGTTGAGGGGCGGGGACATATAGCTTGATTTAGCAAGGATTTTATAATCTGATATTGTAGTTGGATTTTAATACATACATTTTACAAAAGCTTCTTAAGAATAATTACAAGAAAACAGATGTGACACCAACTAATAATGTCATGTCCTTTGACATCAAAATTTGACGGCCTTGATAATTGGGGTAAATATTAACTGGTTTATAACCTACCCTGGTAGTAGATCTTCTCAGTGCCATGCTGTCAGGTCTCCTATTGGTATTTAGAACAGAGTTTGACCTCTGAAGTGGCGTGGGAGGGGGTAACATTGTAGGTCTTGGTGGCTCACTCGAAAACTTTTTCAAGAATTCATGATAATTCACATTCCCAAACTCGTTGATAGACAGGCATGGCCATAACCTCTCATACTGTGTAAATATACAGAAACAGAAAATAAAACATTTAAATAGAAATATAGCCAAAAATCAAATAAAATCGAATGGACTGAAATTTCAAACAAAAAATGGGTATTTTTACTGAACAATTCTACAGTTTGGTGATATTATCATTCTATTGTACATGTTTTAAACAATTTGTTCAATATAAGTAAATGCCAACAACAACAACAACAACAATGCATGTTATTTATCTTGGAATTTTATAGACACATTTCAAAAACCTTCTTTAGGAAAATAACAATAAAATAGATGTTTTACCATTTTATATCATCACAAAAGGGCACAAAGCAAGCTTGATCTCCTGTTTTGAACAATTTTTACAGTCATTTTTTTTTTCAACAATTTTTGAAATCTACATGTAATTTGAATTCTTTCATTCTGTAGCAGTATTGACCCAATTCTTAACAAGAAAATTTCCCTACATAATTTATCTAAAATATAAAACATATAATACAGAAGTTTTAAAACCTAACAAACCTGTTCATCTGACAGTCGGAAGAGATTTTTACTGAGAACAGATTTAAAATCATCTTTTGAAACGACTCCCATATTGGCAAAGTCTGCTTCCTGGAATGCCTGTGCGAGGTTATAGGGGTGAGCCATTACAGCCTCTCGTAGCCTCAACTCTACCTCATCTGTGCCCATCAAATGAGGGGTCTGTGAACGTATAGACTTCTGTAAAGAGGCCAACCACCTCTCTGAATCCTGCAAGATGACAACAACATTGTAAATAAATATTCTAGAATTATTTTAGTTTACATTTGAATTAATTCAAATAACTGAGACAAAATAAATCTTGTTCGAAACAAACAATACTGTTACATGAGTTAATTTCATTTCAGATGTAGTATAAAAACATATAATTCATGGGGATTTTCTACATACATGTAGAGTATAAAATCACAAAATTTATCGGGATTTTCTACATACGTATACTTCCAAACACATAATTCATGGGAACTTTCTACATATATATAGTGTAAAATCACATAATCCATGGATATGACAATTCATCTTTATGTACAATAGTAATACACATGTAAATAGGGTACAATTTAAAATCTTATAAGATCAATTTTTACACAAGATTAGGAAACAAGTTAAAGAAGACAGATTCAAACAAGTTGTCAAAAAATGTAAGTCTGATAAGGTCAAAATAGGCCTAAACAGCAAGTTATGTCAAAATATATTTCACACTATTTTATAATTATTCTATGGTATAGTTGATACTTAATTGACATTTCTTTGTTCCATCAGAAAAATAAACAGTTAAAATTCTAAGCAACTTGTTATACATCATATTGTCTTAAAAAGATGAGGTTAATTTTATATGCTGTTACTAAATGTTTTTGTCCAGAAGATTTCTGTCCTAAATACAAGTAGAAGCAATTCAACTTGAAAGTTATTCTTTATTAATCATGTTCTTCTAAGGTCTAAAACTGTCTGGCCATTGTCAAATGTGTGGTCTTTGCCAAGTTGGACTATTATCAACAGCAAATATCAGCTGTTGTCCAACTGGTGTAGTTTAAAAATTAAGCAATTATAAACTTTAACTGTTTGGCGATATGAATCTGTGTAAGGTACGTGGATGAACAAAAATGGACATTAAGAATTGTATGCCATGAGTTTGGTTAGTCCATCATAAAAAAGTTATCATTAATATTTTTTTTATCTGATAATTTGTGTAACAATCAATGGGGATGTTCAAACTCTTAGTTAATATTCTTAATATAATACTGATAAGTTTACTACCAAGGTGATGAATATTTCTTGAATACAGAGTAAAGGAACCTAAAAAATGTAGTAAATTTATGTCAAACAACAAGAGAAAACAAAACTCAGTCAAAATAGCCATAAATTGCTCACCAGAGAAACCATTGCATAGTGGAGAAACCACTGGCGTAATTTTTACAATGCAAAAGTAGGTAACTGGGTCAGGTTCAAGGTCATCCAAAATAAAAAATTTGAATTCCCATACCACAGTGTGCTATGAACCCCTTATTTAGAAACTGAAACCCCTTATTTGGAGACTGACACTAGAATTTTGAAAGTGGCACACTTGATCGTCATTCAGATCATTATAGGTCAAGGTTCAATACCACATTTAAGGTCAGTTTGTCAGCCATAGCTTGACAATTCAAATGTAGGCCACTGCATAAATATTGAGTATTTCAATTTAAAAAGGCCATTTCACACATATAATTATTTTTGCAGAGGGCTTCATTTACATATAAGATTAATTCCTGTGCAGTTTGATAAAAATCTTTCCAATAGTTTGGGAGGAGATGTTCCTTATAAAATTATATGAGCCGTGTCACTACAATACCAACATAGTGGGTTTGGGACCAGCATGGATCCAGACCAGCCTGCGCATCCCCGAAGTCTGATCAGGATCCATGCTGTTCGCTTTCAGTTTCTCTACTTGTAATAGGGTTGGTAAGCGAACATCATGGATCCTGATCAGACTGCGCGGATGCGCAGGCTGGTCTGGATCCATGCTGGTCGCAAATGTTGGTTTTGTCATGACGCGGCTCATATGATTATAATGCATGACAATTACATCATCATCAGAAGATGGACATCATGTGATCACAAAAGCTCACCTCTGAGCAGTGTGCTCAGGTGAGCTAAAATAGCAAAACAAGACATTTTCAGAATTCCATCATTTACAAAAACAAGACAAGTGCAAAAGTCCAAACAACTTCAAACTGTGGTAAATACATAGCTTAAAGAACACAATGTTAAACAGCTTTCATATGGCAATTATTTTACAGGTAAATAAATATGTATAATATAGTTCACAGCCTGCCAAGAAGTGCCTACCTTTTTACCCTGTGTAAGAAAAAGACAGCACAATTTTAATTAAACAGTTATAATTAACCTGTCTCATGTGTCAACGTATATTTCAACTTTAGCCACAACAAAAAAATAATAAGTTGATCATGAAAAGGCCTTAGAGTTCAGCCTAATACAAAAACAATATCATATGTTTGAAATTAACACCATAAACCTCAACTTCTGGAAAGTGAATGCATTTACACTTCTAGTGTTTACAAGACTTGCCCTCAGCATATTCAATAAAAACTAGAACTGCCACTGTCATGGCTTGAATACCCCCGCATACCACTTTGTCAGAATCAACAGAACTCAAGGACAACCACCCTGCCAAATCTGAGGTTACTAAGCCAGTGCATTGCTAAGATATGTATTCTCCATGCTTCAAATGTCAAAATTTTAAAATCAAGTTTTTTTAGTCAAGGCCCCTGTGACCTTGACCTTTGACCCAGTGACCTCAAAATCAATAGGGGTCATTTACTAATAATGACTAACCTCCACGCCAAATACGAAGACTGTGGGTCAAAGGAATCTCAAGTTATTGGGCGGACAAGCTATTTTTTAGTCAAGGCCCCTGTGACCTTGACCTTTGACCCAGTGACCTCAAAATCATTAAGAGTCATCTAATAACCATGACTAACCTCCATGCCAAATATGAAGACTGTGGGTCAAAGGAATCTCAAGTTATTGAGCGGACAAGGTTTTTTAAGTCAAGGTCCCTGTGACCTTGACCTTTGACCCAGTGACCTCAAAATCAATAGGAGTCATCTACTAATCATGACTAACCTCCATACTAAATATGAAGACTGTGGGTTAAAGGAATCTCAAGTAATTGGGCGACAAGGTTTTTTAGTCAAGGCCCCTGTGACCTTGACCTTTGACCAAATGACCTCAAAATCAATAGGGGTCATCTACTAATCATGACTAACCTCCATGCCAAATATGAAGACTGTGGGCCAAACAAATCTCAAGTTATTGGGTGGACAAGAAAAAACCGACGGACAGACAAGGAGACGTCCGGATGGCCGTACGGACAAGCTGATTCCAGTATACCCCACTTACAACTTCGTTGTGCGGGGGTATAATTATACTATATTACTAGTCTGTATTAAGACAATTTAGGGGGCCAATAGAAGAGGTGCTATAATTGAAAGTCAGTTTTAAACTGTCATAAATGTTGTTTTTTTAAAATTTTCATTGGCTATCAGAATCCTATTGTTATAGTAGTTAATTAAACACCAAGAACCATCACAATTTCAATTTGTGTTTATCTTTTGTTTATGAATACACTTAAAAATGTAAAACCAAACCATTCTTGCTATACATTGACACCAAACAAACAAAAATATTTTGTGCACTTTATAACCTTCCAGTCTAGATCTTGTACTTGTTCTTTAATACGTGCTCTCTTGTACTGTATGTGATAAGTTATTTGAACAAACCAAGAACTGCCAGAAAACATGTAACTACATGTACTTAACATATAAAATCAGACACCATTTTATAGCCATTTTAAAATGTTTTCTTCATCAAAAGTGGTGCCAATCGACCCTTATTTATATGACAATACCATAATATCATGAACATCTTTATTCACTGAGTGAGCTTCCTGCTTTATCTTTAGATATTTACAATGGAAATCATTGTATATTTTACTCAGTTTTCAAGCAGTGTGATATGACTTTATATCTCACTGATATATTTAAATATCTCATTGAAAAATCATATGATAAATTCTGTAAATACCTCTTGTTCTGACATTGTGTAACTGTCCAGGAATAAACAATAGTTGACTTTGTCCCCGGTTACAGTTAATTTTGGTACAATAAATTTCCACTGTGCATCTGTTAACTTGAAACAGAACAAGTCGAGTACACGTCTGAAGTCGGTCAGAGTTACACGGCTACTACAATCCTTATCAAACGCACCAAAAGCCTGAAAAATAAAAGTACATTGTTATATCAAATTGTAGAATCTTATTTTCCTACACCCCTAGCATTAGAATTCAAGATTCCAAATTCACTAGCATAAATTCTCATTTCTAGAAATTTTTACACTACATTTCATGATCAAATTTTTCAAACTTCAAATTTTACTTATCCAATTAAAATTTTACTAGCTGCGGGTTCCCAAACTAGTACAAATTTTAAACAATGCAGACGTAACCTTCCATATATATCTTTATAAGTACATAAGATACTCTATCATATAAATACAAGTACAGTGGGGATGCATTCTTTGAATATATTAGTAAAGTTGAATATCCCAAAGATGAAACATTTTCTGATCAAAAATGTTTGTAAAACATTAGTTAGTAATAGTACAAGCCAAATGAGCTCTACTTGGGGCATATCTTTTTATTCATATGGCACTTATACTACTAGAGTATATTTAAATAAACCCAGAGTTTTCATAACACTGGAGTTAACATTTAAACATTTACAATATCAACATGAGGTATTGATATTTATTTACGTACCCTTTCTAAAACTTCAACTTGTGATGCCACTAATTCCCGTAGTCTGTGTTCTGCCTCCTGATTGGTCAGATCTGGCTGTTCTTCTATTTGAACATCCCCCTTCCGTTGACCATAACTTGATTTACGACCCTCTTCAAAAGCTGCCAGGAACTGTTCATAATTTAATCTACTTTTACGGGTAGTAAGTCCACATCTACAAACATAAAATAACAAAACCTAAGAATTTAAGGCATTTCTTGTGGTATGTCTCACTACCTGATAAAAAATCAAAATGACTTAAACCTGAAACCCCCATTTCCTGCCAAACAAGTTGATGAATGCAGTATAAGAACATAACATAGGTCACTAAAGCACAATCCCAACAAATAAACAGTGATTCTGTCTTCAGCATTTGGAAAATGGTCGCAGATCCCTTTAAATCTTTAATTATCAAAAACTACAGAAAGTCATTTAGTTTCAGTTTAATTGTCATTTTCTTTCAATTTACTTATTTTTTGCAAATGGGATTTTTTTTTCCCAAATATAAAGGGAAATGGGACCCCATTTCAGCCCTAAAAATGGTCAAGAAAATACTGATAAAAGTCTGAAAGATTAACCTGTCAAGAAGTGTGAAGAATTGTTCATCATCTAGGAAGAGGTTAAAGTCAATGAGAACTTTTTGTATCTCATTAATGGAGAGTGACCCTCGTTTCTCTGTGTCATATTTTCTGAATGCTTTATTGAAATCATCGTAATTGTCACGGATCTTATCCCTGTAAAAATATATAATATAAATACCTTTAGAACATAGATTTTCAAAAATAACCATAAATGTACAAAACAATATAAAGCTACTGTCAACAATACCAAATTAATCAAATATATCAACAACAAGATTGCATTTGAGAAAAATGCTATGCCACCGCAATAAAACAACACTAAATAGTAGTGTAGGAACAGATTTTTTTGTTTCTATACAATTGAAAATTGTCATAATGCATATCTAATTCTTATTATCAGATTAGTGGTTAAATCTATTGTTAACTCAATAAAAGATCAGAGTAGGAATATATCAATGCACTTGAGTCTAGTGAATTTGGTGGTGAAGGTCATATTTCACACAGCCTAAAATTTCATGACTGCATCAAAGGACAACATGTAATACACTTTGTCAAAATCTAGGTCAGCTGATATCAAAGTTCACTTTTAATTTTGACACTAGAGGCAAAATTTGAACAACTTTGGTAGAGTACCTATATATGATATCATTTAACAAATATTAAAGCTCTAAGCCTTGTACCTTCAGACAATAAGATTTTTTGATTTTTTACTATATGTATATATATTGAAAATCAATGACCCCGAGGCGGGGGCAATTTTGACCCCAGGGCTATAATTTGAACAATCTGGGTAGAGGTCTATCAGACAATGCCTTATGCAAAATATCTAAGCTCTAGGCCATTTGGGTCTTTACAAGAAGGTATTTTAAATTTTTACTATATGTACATATAGTGAAAATCCATGACCCCCGGGGCAGGGCTGATTTTGACCCCAGGGCTATAATTTGAACAATATTGGTAGAGGTCTACCAGACAATGCCTTATGCAAAATATCTAAGCTCTAGGCCTATGGGTCTTTACAAAAAGGTATTTTAAGTTTTTACTATATGTACATATAGTGAAAATCAATGACCCCCGGGGTGGGGCTGATTTTGACCCCAGGGCTATAATTTGAACAATCTTGGTAGAGGTCTACCAGACAATGCCTTACGCAAAATATCTAAGCTCTAGGCCTTTTGGGTCTTTACAAGAAGATGTTTTAAATTTATTCTTATAATTCCTTTTGGTTGCCATGGCAACCAGATTTCTGCATGGAATTAAATTCTTTGAACAACTTTGGAAGCCCTTCACCCAAGGATCAATCCTGCCAAGTTTGGTTGAAATTGGACTTGTGGTTTTTCACAAGAAGATTTTTTAAGTTCACTATATAATCTATATAACACACACACACACAAACAAACAAACGAACAAACACACACACACACACAGGTGAATCGCTATATGCCACCGCATCGCAGATGCTGCGGTGGCATAATAAAAACACATCTTGCTGCTCTACTGCTAATTTGATGATGAGAAGAAGAGCATACTTTCACAGGATTTAACTCAATATTGTTGGGGCTATACCAAGATGCTTGCAGAAATCATTTTCACAAAGTAGACAAATATTGCTTTTTTTCCCTGATTTAAACACTTTCATTCATTATTGGTTTGGTTTTAAATTGGTGTGACATTTTAAAGTTCATTTCAGGGAATGAAAAGGCGAGATTTAAGCATTTACTCATTCAAGCGCCTTGTCCAACACTCATTTTCATGTACAATCATTTTTACATATACAATGTTTTGGTATTTTTCAGTTTTCATTAAAGTAATGAAACAAATAAAACAATAAATCTTTTTTTTACATTAATAATTATGCTGTAAAATATATACAGCCTTCTTAAAATCAGGACAACACCATAAAACAAATGGATGGCTAAACATGAGTTCATATGAAGAACATGGTCTAGAGAATAGTTGAAAAGTTACTAACTTGAGGGCTTTTTCCACATCTTCTACAGTCATAAAGCCAGCACGATTAGCCTGTATATGTGTAATTCTCTCATGTTTCTGTTGTTGTTCCTCATTATGATCCTCCAAAAACTGACGACTTTGGTCGATTATTTTAGAACTCATTCCAAACAAATCACCCGGAGTAAACTCAGATGCACCTATCTTCTGCAGGAATGTATCATGGGTAATGTAACCTACATTCTCTGTATCGAACCTGTTATACAAATAAAATATGAATTTGCTTAAATATTGAATACAGCTTTTTCATATGTTTACTTTTTCAAATAATGATAAAAATTGATATATATTCATGTACAGTTTATAAATATTCTTTTTAATAGAAGTAAACAAAAACAGAGACAGTTTAAGAATCTACATGTGCAAAATTTTAATCAGAGAAAACTTCTAGTAAATTTACATATCTACATTGTATATACATGTACAATGTATTCAATCACAAGCAAATTGACACCCTTAACCCTTCCACGCTAAATAACTTTAATGAACTTGTTCATCTTTCGATCTAGACAAAACCATTCATCATTTTTAGGGAAAATTTCCAAAATATGTACTGACTGAATAGTGTACAGTGCAGACCATGGTCTGCAGTGGTACCATGTGTAGAAGAATCACCTATTATCAGCTCAAAGATAAACGACAGTAAAAATATGTTATACATTTACTTACATAAGCCAGAGTTTTTGGAACTCCTCATTTGATACAGGCATTACAAATGTTAACAGTAACTGACGTAAATCTCTCTTCTTCAGTACACCACTTGATTTGTTTGTACCTATCTTGATGAAAGCCTGTTCACAAAGGAAAAATATCAATTTACTGACATTAACTTTTATTTATTTGATTGGGTTAAATGTTGCATCAACAGAGAATGGGTCATATGGTAACTTTCCAGGAAGACATTAGTATATTATTTCAGGGACAAATAGTCATCTGAGTAGAACCACCAATTGTCCGTAAGCTAACTGGATAGCTTTCTCACATGAAGAATCCAAAGATGCTGACCCGGCTTGAACCTACAGCATTGAGAGACAAGTGGTTTGAAGTCAAGGACATTAACCATTAAACCACAGACACCCCTACATTAGATACAGTTAAATATAATAGTGATTTCTACCATTTTGCAACCAAAATACAAATAAGAAGTGATCAAACCTTAGACATGCATATCTAACAGAATAAAATGTGAATTTTTCTGTTTACATTTGTGAAAATGAAATTCATTAGAACTTTCTTAGTAAGTTGCTTTAATCACAACAATATTTGTATTCAAATGTACATGTTTCCTCAAATCTAAGATATTAATCTATGCTCAGACAGACCGATTCATTGCTATGCATCATATTGGGATGAAAAAAACACTTATAATTCTTATTGCCATGTTTCCATTTCATTCAGTAATGTACATAATTTGTCCTTAGTGCAATAACGCGTTAACTTCTATTTCATTATATAAGAATTTAACCTATTACTGCAATAAAGTGATGATACGGTCAAAATCTCCTTGGCCTCCTGTATTTCTGTATAGGAAGTGTCCTGTACTGAGCTGTCCATTGATATTTTAAGGGATGTTGAACATCAATAAAGAGAATTTGTCTCACCAGGCATAAGATGGTCATTTGCAAAAGCTTACATTTAAAGAGTTAACAATTTTATTAGAGAGTTAAATTATTATGATTTATGATGGCTTATAAAACTCTCACCAAACCCACCTTAAAGTTACATTTAATAAATTTCATAAAAAACTAAATAGCGACATTTCATTAATAAATTGGGTTTTATATCGACTCCAGGTCTTATTTTGGTGTCCAAACAACCAAAATGAGTTTTATTAGCATAAAAATAGGTAACCTCATTGTGGCAAAATGGGAAATACAATTTCTGTTTGCATGAGAAACTCCGCCTTCGGATCATCCGTACATCAATATTAAATCAACAAACATGACTATAAGTGGCAGTCCTAATTTAACGGTATATTATTTCCGCATTGTAACGGATGTTTTCATACAAATTTAATCTTTTTACGAGATTATAACTTTTACTGAACCCCAGGTTTAGTGCACCGTGAAGCTTAAACGGTTAAAGTGTGTTTGCACAAAAAAATATCACATTTGCTGTGTTCCGGATAGCAACTATAAAACTGTGACGTAGTGCATACACGAGCTCATTATAGTCTTCATTTGCATGTTAAAATTCATATACGAACTTTAGTGGTACCGTGGGGTTTCCCGTTTAAAATCCTAATTTATTAACAATATTTGATGAGATTTACAACAATACTATTAAACAGGTTAATGAAACTGTAGAATGTTTGATTTTTAGGCCGACGGCAAAATATTTTTACATATTTATTTAATGTAACTTTAATATCTAAAATGGACATGTCCATCTTTCAGTCTGGACACGACCAAAATATTTCAAAATATGTACTGACTGAGTAGTGACTAGTGCAGACCATAACTAGCAGCACTGATGTGATGGTTGATCTTGGTCTGCACGGTCACATGGGTAAGTTCTGTAGCTACCTGTGTTAGTTAAAGTACCTGAGATATATCTTTGAACTGCTGATGAGCTTTTCTCCTGATTATATCAAAAGCATCTTCTGCTGTCAATTCTGGTGTTGGCTGAGTTTCATTGAACCTGAATATTAAACAAACAAAATAGTTAATATTGGATACCACAAATACAAAGATTCAACCTTTATTATATTTATATTCACAGTGCAAAAGAATTATACACATATTACAGCTTGACATGTAAATGACATATTACTCTTAAATGCTTAAATGTATAAATGTATAAATGAAAACCTTGACGTTGTCAGAGAAAGCAAAATTGATATGTTGCAAGCTTAGTTTACTTAACCTGTTCCTAAATGACAAGGGTTTAAAAAGCTGACAATAGTCTTGAGAGAAAAAACATGACCTCTTTTTGAAAATACATGGACAAGACAAAAATAAGAGACTTCTAAGAGGGGTTCATAGTTTATGGAGCATATATTTCACAGACAGCTGATTTCTTAACCTTTTCACTAAAAAGAAAAACATATAAAGAGAGATTTGCAATACTTTGTAAAGACAACTGTAATGTTTTGTTGGGGCTTAAAAGGTTGAGTGAATTAGGTCCCTGATTTTAAATCACTGGTTCCCCACTATATTGTGTTTGTATCCTGCCAAATATGCTGAGTTCTTTCATGACAGCAGGATATCAAATAAGCAAACAGAAGACTGGTGGTTTTATACTGATGCCTTCCTGCTTTAATCAATGTACCGTAGATATCTATTTATAAAACTGGACAGCCCAAAATGACCTTAATAGTGCTTGTGTGACTCATAATTTGTAGTTCAACAAAATGAAAAACCCAGTATATTTCTCTTTGTAAACTTTATAAATGTTATTGTAATGGAAAGTAAAGTATGGAAATTAAAGTACCTATGTACTGATTTCAGCCATTTATGTCCCTCCACTGTATCTCTTACTTCAAACCGATTCAGGAATTCCGGGTAAGTTATTTTTGAACTTTTTGTAATTCCATGTTTATTGCAAAATTCATCAAATTGTTCATCACTAAGAAAACACAAAAATGAGTCTAACAGTCGACGGAAACTATCCTTGGTAAGAGCTCCTTTATGATTGTCATCAAACTTGTAGAATGCACCTCGCAAATTCTGAAAGAAAAAAGTATTAAAAAATCAATAAATGTGATTTTCATCCAAACAGAATAAAGGGTTTTGCTAAGTAAAAGCATATTTTGTCTAATTTTCTCCTCATTTAAGGAAACTTCAAAAAAGAATTTTGAAATGAAAAATTGTACAATATTAAATATGGACATTATAGTTTTTTACACCAGATAAAATACATGTGACTATACTAAGCAAAGATTAATCATGTTTTATCTTGCTTTTGCTTAATTTTCCTTAGTTATGATTATAACAGTGCTCTGTACAATATGAATAAATATTCTCATGAGTCCAATATATTTTTTCTAGCTGGATCCTAATATTTTCTGTATCATACATCATTTTTTATTCTATACCTATTTTCTATTCATGTAGTTTTCCTTAAACACAATACACTCTTATTTAAACAAATACATAATAATTATGTTAAATAGAACATATCATGTAACAATATATATATACATGGAGACAGCATTATATCGAGTCTGACTTGTTTTTTTTTCTGAATCTTTTTAGATGATTCAGGCTTTTGTTTCCTTGGGACTGCTGAAGCATTTATACATTGATATGGTGTAAACAAAACTTATTTAGATACAATATAATGATAGTACTCAATGTATTTTTCTAAACTTACAGCAAAGTTTTCTCTTAATTTGCTCGCTAATTTTTTCTCCACCTCTTCTATGCTCATACCAAATTGATCTCCCCTGATTGCATTCACACGATGATTACCAGATCTTACAATATCCTCCGATGGGCCACCATGCCGAGGGTCGTTAAAATTTGATATAAAATCTGTATACTGCATTCGACCGCGTTCATTGAAGTTAAGTTTTGAGACAAGAATGTTGAACTGTTCATCAGACATAGAAAACCCAAATGACAGAAGAACCTGTGAAAAGAAAATATCAGTTATTTATACAATTGTGCTTTTTGCGCAGCAATTTTGTTCAAACCTTTAACTTTGCAATACTAGCTACTAGTAAACTGATCAATAAATAAATTGGACAAATTTCATGAAAAAACTTATATTTAGCTTCATTTTGCAATACTTGAATTGATCAAAGAACACTAATAATTGATCATGCAATTGGTCAAAATGTAACAACAAGAAGCGCCGCAATGTGACGAAAACCAGGTTTTCAATGGCCAAGTTTTGATGTGACAGCAATCAATAGGTCAAAGTGCACTGAAGTTATTGAGTAGAAGCTGAAAATTCTATTGTAAGAAAATGACCTTGACCTTGCTCCCAGATATCTAAGTGGCAATCCAAAGCTGCCACACAGCAAGCTTGGTGTCAAAAGGTCAAAGCAAACTCAAGTTATTTTGTGAAAACTGAATACCTTAACCTTGATCACAGATACCTGGGTAGCAAAGCAAAGCTGCCTCTTGATATAAGCAACCCATTCATCAAGTTTGGTGTCAATAGGCCAAAGCAAACTCAAGTTATTGAGCAGAACCTGAATTTCTATTTTTAGTATCAGTGACCTTGACCACTGACACCTGGGTAGCAATCCCAAGCTGCCTCTTGATATAACCTACCCATACACCAAGTTTGGTGTCAATAGGCCAAAGCAAACTCAAGTTATTGAGCTGAAACTGAATTTTTCTTTTAGTAACAGTGACCTTGACGACAGACGCCTAGGTAGCAATCCCACGCTGCCTCTTAAGATAAGCTATCCATACACCATGTTTGGTGTCAATAGGCCAAAGCAAACTCAAGTTATTGAGCAGAAACTGAATTTTTCTTTTAGTAACAGTGACCTTGACCTTGATCACAGACACCTGGGTAGCAATCCCAAGCTGCCTCTTGATATAAGCTATCCATACACCATGTTTGGTGTCAATAGGCCAAAGCAAACTCAAGTTATTGAGCAGAAACTGAATTTCTATTTTTAGTATCAGTGACCTTGACCTTAACCATTGACGCCTGGGTAGCAATCACAAGCTGCCTGTTGATATAAGCTATCCATACACCAAGTTTGGTGTCAATAGGTCAAAGCAAACTAAAGTTATTGAGCTGAAACTGAATTTCTATTTTTAGTATCAGTGACCTTGACCTTGACCATTGACACCTGGGTAGCAATCACAAGCTGCCTCTTGATATAAGCTACCTATACACCAAGTTTGGTGTCAATAGGCCAAAGCAAACTCAAGTTATTGAGCGGAAACTGAATTTCTATTTTAGTAACAGTTACCTTGACCTTGATCACAGACACCTGGGTAGTAATCGCAAGCTGCCTCTTGATATAAGCTACCTACACACCAAGTTTGGTGTCAATAGGACAAAGCAAACTGAAGTTATCAAGCAGAAACCAAACGTTGACCCCCCCCCCCCCCCCCCACTTCGGCATTACAATAACCCGGTTTTCGATGAGAACCTGGTTAACAACACAAATTTGTGTTATAACAATAATTAAACTTGACCTTCAAATTAAAACTTATTTTATAATATTTCACCGACTTCACCTAGCAGACATAGTACATTTGCCACAGACAATGAAATTTTGTCAAACTTCATCCTTTTAAAAATTTTTTCTCGTTGGAAAAATTTCAATAAACCACCAAAGCAAATTTAAAAATGAATTTAAATTTTGAGAGCAAATTCAGAATTTTTGGGTTTGTTTTTAAATTTTTTTTTTTTGGTTGGGGTTTATTTCCCCACCAACCAGTATAGCATTTTTAAAAATTTCCAGCTTTACTTTTTGTGGGAAGCCCAAAAAGGTCCCCATTTTCCCATGCATTTTTTCGGGCAAAAATGAAACCCTTCAGATTTTAGAAAAACCAACTTTCCCTTTAAACCTAGCTATAATTCCTACATAAAAAAAAAGTTGAATCAAAACCCTTTAAAGGGTTTTTGAATCCACACCCTGTGGGGTATTAAACTTTTTACTAATATAACAATACCAGCCCAAAACCCTTTCTTTTGAAAAACCGAAACCCCTTTGCCTCTAACATCGTATGAAGGAAAGCAAATGTCTTGAACTCCTGACTATGTTGTGCCATCCTGTCCTTTAATCTAGCTATCACCTCATCAGCTGTCATTTCATTCGTTCTCACATGGGCCGCTACAGCTATTTTATTATTTCTGAAAAAAAAAAATCATAAATAAAAAACAAACAACATTAAATCTTAAAAAGAAAAGCTTGATAAATGTTTATGTTAAACAGTTGTTTAAATATCAGAACATTTAAAATACATTTATTTTGTAACTACTTGATTAATTCATGGAGAGGGAGCTAAACACTTTAAGTTAATTGCTAAAAACTGCAGGATATATCATACATGTTCATGAGAGCTTATAAAGAGAGTATAATTTCTTACACTACTAGTTCCAGCTTAAGCACAAAACATACCCAAATTGCAATCAATGATCGCTCTGGACCAGAAAAATATTACAACACTAAAACTTGTTATTTCCATGGTGCAGAGTTATCCAAAAGAAATACTAGTTCCATCTAAGTTTAAAAATATTTCTATGAGTTGTGACAAATTCATTTTAATTTTAATTTAACTAGGACAGCATAAATTGAAAATGGGAAGACTGTACATGTCTTCATTTTTATAGATTAAAAGCAAAATTTTGAAAACACAGAGTACTAAAGACAAGAACAAACCTATATTGTAAATCTTCCTGTCTCTTCATCTCTCTCTCTATACTACCATTAAATATCTGTGTACTCAAACCTTCAAGGTCACTCGGCTTCACATCAACCTTCAGTTTCTCCAAAAATTCTACATAGTTAACTTGACTGTCTGTTCTATCTTCACAACGATTCAACATACTGAAATATAATATTTATACAATTATATTACTAAAATACATTTTCATAGTTATATTGCCGATATTTCATTTTTATATACTGTAATTACATTATTTAAATATCATTTTATCACTGAAATATCATTTAATATGATTATATAACTGAAATATTATTTAACATAATTAAATTACTGAAATATCATTTTTATATAATTCTATAACTGAAATATCATTTTTATATAATTGTGTTGGTGAAAATATCATTCTTATATAATTGTGTTACTGAAATATCATTATTACATAATTATATAACTGAAATATTATTTAACATAATTATATTACTGATATATCATTCTTATAATATCTTTTATAATTGTGTTGCTGAAATATCATTCTTATATAATTGTGTTAAATATCATTATTACATAATTACATTACTGAAATATCATTTTTATAAAATTGTGTTGCTGAAATATATTCATGACTATATATTTTCATACAATTATTATACCAAAATTGAAATTATTAAATGCCTTCGGGCAAGCAGAGGTATTAAAGTTGAATAATATCAGAATTGAAACATTTATTAGGTGAGCATTAAAGCAACTTTATCCATTTTTTCAAAAAAAATTTGTTAGAAAATCATTATACAGGTTGAGTTGTGGTTTAGCCTAAAGATGTGGATATTAATATCAATCACTATGAAAAAGTAATAAAATAAGTTCTAGATCTATCAATGTGTGGTAAAAAAAGCTAATTTTCACACTTAAAATTCAATGTCATCATGTCGTAATGAAACTATGGATTAAAACATGGATCTTTGTAAGTAGGTAATCTTTCACTTATATTTCTATAATTAAAAAGCCACATTAAAACAATTTTCTATTGACTTTGTCCTATAACTGTGTAACATTATACATTAATACAGTCAAACTTTTTTATTTTCTTAATAATTATGTTCCACATTGAAAACAAACAATTTCATAAAAAATGCCACTTTGTTCTTAAATACTTAATACTAAAAAAAAACCATTTCCACTTTAGTATATATTTTAAAATATTAAATTTGTGCAAGACATCTGTGAACCCTTTTAAGGAAAAAAAAAAAAAAAAAAAAAAAAAAAATTACAAGAATCATACTGGATTCATAAGCTTAATACATTATCTCCTAATGGTATGAATGCAAAATTTTTGTACTAATATATAACTTTGTCATTATTGAGCCGATATACATATACATGTAGTATGTTTTTTCTCATATCAAGGTTTTTTTATTATTATTAATTATATTAAGATGTAATGTTATAAGTTTATCAGAGATCTTATATAATGGAGAGCTCCATACTTGAGGCAGGACAAATCAACCAAATAAGCTCAACTTGAATAGGTTTAATAAAAAAAACACCCAAAACATGGACAGGTAAAATGTACCGAGTTGCTTAAATAGACAAGATAACTAAACAGGACTGAATTGCTAAAATAATCAGAATAATTAAAATGGACAGGACAACAAGAAATTAAATGAACTGGATCAATAAAACAGACAGGATAACTAGCATGGACTAGATAATTTTTATAGACAGATAACTAAAAGGTACCTAATCAATAAAACAGACAGGATAACTAGAATTGACTGGATAACTTTAATAGACAGATAACTAATCACTGGATAACTACCTTTGAAAGTGTTCATCTGATACAGGTAGGACATAATTATCGATGACTTTCCTCAGATTTTTGTGACTGATGTAACCATTGCCCTTGTAGTCATAATCTAATAATGCTGATGATACATTCTTCCAGTACTCTGTTATCTTTTCCTTCAATATCTCCTCTATCTACAATAACAAAGAAAATATGTTACAATTTTACTGACTAGACAAACATTTCTCTTAGCTCTTAGCCTGCAAAATTTCTTACATAGACTTGTCTATGTTCCATTATTGAGAACTGTCCATTATCAATGTAGGGGATATAAAGATGGAAATTTAAAGTTAGTCAATCAACAGCTTAGGCAGAATGCATGGATTTGTTCAGGAAAATTAATCTTATTCAAATTCCTTAATATAGGATTTGTGTGTGAGACACTTTTTGTAAAAACTCTCCTCTGATAATTATGATATATTGTAAGAATATTCAAACAAAAATCATAAGGATTAAATTTTACATGACATCATTTTTGTTATTTATTCAAGTAGGATAATTATGATAATTTCTTTTCAGGTTTGTTACTATTGTTATTGACATTAGGTGGAGTTTCATCAGCATCTTTAAACAAAGAACATGACATCAATGCTGACCACAATGATGTCCTTACACCAAACAACCTCGTCAAAAATCCACAACATGCTCAGAAAAATGTTCACCCTACAGACAGATCAAAAACAACTTTGAATAATCAAAAATTACTTAAGAAAAGAATAGAACAACCTTTGTTACATGATGACAAAGAAGACTTGTATAGCATGTTACACGAAAAAGATTCAACAATGACACAGAATAAGTACTCTCCAGTAATGAAGTCCACAAAAGAAGAACTATTGGAAGACGAAGAGGAAAGAATCAACAATATTAAGCTGTACACACTATTACTAATACCATGGATCATATATCCAGCTAGTAAAGCATCATATTTCACGCTGCTAGAACTATTTAATGCCTATGGAATGAGTCAAGGAGTACCGGCAGAATCTGCTTTTATTTTCCAGGTCATTGCACAGTGTGTAGATTTTGTGGCTCTCACTAGGGGGCGCTTTAAATTTATTGAAGGTGGAATGAATAATCTGCAACAGGAAATGCTGGATTATTTCCTGACAAAGGCCGGTGTACCAGATCCTCACAAGCTTGGAGTACAGATACTTCTACCAGCCAGTGACTGGCCAGAATATGAACAGAAAAAGAAATAGATATAGGAAAAAATAGATTGCTCAGTTATGAACACAAAAAGCAATGAAAGTCACAATATGAACAGAAAAAGAAATAAATGTCATCATATGAACAGAAAAATGTCAGAATACAATAAAAGGCCAGTATAAAGCAAAACTGTCACAAAAACAGAAACAGAATAAAAGGCCAGAATATAAACAGAAAAAAAGAAATAAAATGGCCCAAATATGCCCCCAAAAACAACAGATATAACAAATGGTCAGAACAAAACAACAAATAACAGGACAAAAAGGCCAAAATTTGAACCAATCAAAAAATGAATACAGGAAGAAATAAATGGTCAAATTATAAACATGGATTCAAATGGCATCAATAAAAATAGGACAAGAAATAAATACATGTTAAATAAAACTACAAGAACTTTCAATGTCTTCAAAACTACATACTGTACTAAATCTTTATGTTATCTTTTTCTTTTAATAAGTAAGATTGAATAAAAAAAAAACTTTTGTTTTTTAACAAAGAAGTAAGAAAATACATTTCAACAATTATCAACAATTTGACAATGCTTTTGTTACAGACTGGACAAAGTACCCTAATAAAATGCAACAGACAACCATGCAAGTTTTGATTCTGTAGTTGCAATTTTCTTTTCTTCATAATATATTTACAATGCTTCCTCACCAATAGTGTACCCTCCATTATTTAAGCTAAATTACAGTTTTCAAATTCAAGTTTTCATGTCTACCGCTTCCCCTTGACTAATATTTTGTACTTTAATTTAGAAACCTAGTATCGTATTTAATGAAATTTTTGTTATAATGTTATAAAAAAAAATACACATCACAGTTGCCCATGGGTACAAACTATTTGCCACCTATTGGTGAAAAAATATATGTTTATAACATGTTTATAACATCCAATCAAATTCCTATAAAAATGTTTATAAGCAAGTACATGTATATGATTGTATATGTCTTTAAATACATGCTACAAAATAAGCTTAATCATCAACTTGGTAAATTCTTCTAACCACAAGTTAAGATTTAATCCCCCACCATTCCTCCCCAGGGAATAGTGAGGACTTTTGGATAATTCAACTCCCCAGTTAAGGCCACATCTTGTGGGTCTGCAAAAGCAGAATCAATGCACTGTTTGACCTTGTTGTATGGCCTTGCAGTGTAGGGAACAGATAGGAAGTTTCACTTACCTCATTTCTCCTACTATCCCTACATGAGATGGAGAAATGGGAGGGGCGGGGGTTAAATGTGACTGATGTATAGCTATGTATATACTGTCCATAGCCACTAGTCACTGTCCTGTTTAAAGGATAAATCTACAAAAACCAAGTCTTATAAGTATACACAAGTCACATATTTTTACATAGCTGTACACCTGAAGGCATGATGTAATATATAATGCAAAGAAGGTAAAGCTTAAATCAATGTCAAACAGATAAGAAAAGCTGTTCAAACTTACTGTTTCCCAGGCTAGAATTGCCGGTTTGTTGCTTTCATTGACTTTATGAACAGAGTTCAACCACTTATGTCCCTCCTGAAAAACAGAATGATTTTATAAGTTGAAAGTTTGACAAAACTTGCATATAGCTGAATATTTCATAAAAGGTACATAGTATTCTGACTTCAATACAAAATACTTATTCACTATTATTATACCCATTGACAGAGCAAAGAAAGCAATAGATAGTTCATCTATGTGGCAAATTTTTCTTCTTCTAAAACTGTAACAATATACCAAAAATAAAAAGTTTTTGTGAAATAAAAATGACAGCATTTCTGAGGCATAATGGGCCTTTAAAAAATCACAAGTTAAAAGAGTTTAACAAATAACAAGAAGATGGTTTTTAAATGACCCTTTATTTAAAATTTTTTCAAAAACCCACAAACCCCTGCTTTCCAAAGCTTTTAATAAAAAAGAAAACCCATAATAAAAATTTTCTAATTTTGAATTTTAAATTGAAATTTTTTCCCCCAAAGGGATTTTTAAAATATGCCCAAAAGAAGCTGGCACCAGAAAAACATTTTTAAGACTTTTCCCCATACATTTATTTCCCAGGGCCATCAATTTTTTACAAAAAAATTTGTTAAAAACACGAATAAAATACAATGACCCCAAGGGTTTTCACCAATCAAAATATATGAGTAATTAAAACCCCAAATTTTAAAAAATCCCCAACCATTAGATTTATAAAAAGTATTTAACTGAAAGTATTTTTCATATTCAAACAAAAAAATTTTCCTTTAATCAAATTTATCTTAACCCCTACCCACTAAATATCTTAATATATGACTAGTCAATCTTTTAAAATTTGAAAAAAATTCTTATCACTTGTAAGGAAAAATTTCCAAAAATTAATTATGACTAAATAGTGCTGACCCATATCAGACGCACCACAATCTTGGGCATGCAACTGGAACATGAACATAGAGCAGTTTCGATAGCCCAGTTTAATAGCTAAAGGGAAAGTGCTATAAGCAATTTTGAATGTTCATGTTTGCATAGGGCAGGTTTCTTCTCACTTACAGAACTAAAATTTTTCTTTTAATTTGTTCTTACCCATAATCTTTCTCTTCCCAAAAGTTTCAAGGGAATTTTTGGGTATAAATGTTGTTGGTATTAAAGGGGTCAATCTTCGCATTAGTTGTTTAAAACTGACGTCTTGAAGTCGTATGTTGAAATTTCTCCAAAACATTTATGAGTTTGAGCGAAACTCTTCCTTTGCGGTTCTGAAGTTGTAAAAAAATTATAAATCTTAGAGAAACTATGAATCATCAATAAGTTAAAAAAAAGATAAATCTTAGAGAAGTTATGAATCATCAATATTTTAGAATTAAACTGAAAAATTTGACATTAAGGGATTGAAAAATGTATTCCTGTTGTTGATTTCTTTGATACATACATTAAAATATCAATTTTTACACATTTAGAAATAGTAGTCAAAGAAGATATTTGGTAAATTGTTTTCCTGTGATATTTAGCAATATGATATCATGTTGTTGTTTTTTTGCAATATGATATCATGTGATATTGTTTGGTGTTTTTTGGCATGTGTTTTCAATCCATATGATATCATTTGATATCTACCAATATATCATGTGATTTTTTTTTGCAATATGATCATGTGATATTGTTTGGTGTTTTTTGCATGTGATATCTACCAATATGATATCATGTGATTTTTACTGCAAAATTATATCATGTGACATTTGCCAATATGGTATCAAGGTTGTTATTGGAAAATGATATCATGTTATAGAAATGAGATTTTTTTGGCAATATGATATCATGTGAAACAAGAGCTGTCACAGGAGACAGCGAAGCTCGACTAATAAAATACTGGACGCAGTAAGGAGGACAAAACTATGAAAGAAAAATCAATTATGTATAATTATGTATTAAGTTATAGTAAAAAAATAACATTTGTTAACATTAATTCCAAGATCAAGGGGAATAATTCTAGAAATAGTCATGCTAGAGTTATGGACCTTGTCACACAAAATTTGTGTAATGATAAGAAATATATATTTGAAGTTTGAAGTAGATTCCTTAAAAAGTAAAGAAGTTATTATATTTCTTAAAGAAAATCCTATGTTCAAAGAGAGATAAATCTGTAAATATTGCTTCAAGAGTTATGAACATTGTCACATAAAATGCATTTGATGATTAGGAATAAGTATTTGAAGTTTGAGGTAGATACCTTTAAAAATAAAAAAGTTATAATAAAAAATAACATTTTTCTAGTAAAAAAAATCTAAGTTTATGGGGAGATAATTCTTGCAATATTGGTGCTAGAGTTATGAACCTTGTCACATAAAGATGTGGATGATGATAACGTAAATATATTTGAAGTATGAAGTTGATCCCTTTAGAAATAAATAAGTAACAGTAAAAAAATAATATTTTTTATGGAAAATTCTAAGTTCAAAGGGAGATAAATCTGAAAATATTGGTGCTAGACTTATGAACCTTGCCACATAAGATGGGGAGGATGATAACGTAAATATATTTGAAGTATGAGGTTGATCCCTTAAGAAATAAAGAAGAAACAGTAAGAAATAGCATTTTTTAGGAAAATTCTAAGTTCAAGGGAGATAAATCTGAAAATATTGGTGCTAGAGTTATGAACCTTGTCACATAAGATGGGGATGATGATAAGGTACATACATTTGAAGTATGAGGTTGATCCCTTAAGAAATAAAGAAGTAACAGTAAAAAATAGTATTTTTTAAGGAAAATTCTAAGTTCAAGGGAGATAAATCTGAAAATATTGGTGCTAGAGTTATGAACCTTGTCACATAAGATGTGGTTGATGATAAGGAACATATATTTGAAGTTTGAAGTTGATACCTTAAGAAATGACAAAGTTATAGTGAAAAATATTTTACTGCACCAAAACTTTAATCTAAAATCTGGACACGGATGCGGACGCCGACGCCGGGGCGAGTAGGACAGCTCTCCATATACTTCGTATAGTCGAGCTAAAAATGACACGCTCTGTTATATATACTAACATGATGTCCCAGAAATATGATAATACTTGCCTCAGGTTCATTTTATGACACTTTATTAAGCCTGTTTTACATAAGCGTTTATTACATTAATCAAAAAAACTTTGAAATGCCTTTCTCCCAATGATTTATTATTAAAATTTTGTAAAACAACAAGTCAAGCTATGAAAAAAGTGGTATTTTTTGTGTCTTATCTGCACAATTATGTAGTGTAAAACATCATTTCAAAGGAACCAATAGTTACGTCAGTAACCTTTGCCATGTTTGGTAAACCATTTCCGATATAAATCACTCTAACTTCAACATTTAATGGTTTCTTACCACATCAAACTGGAGGAATGCTTGTTTAAATGAACCATAGTTGCTTTGAACATGCTTATAAAGCAGTTTCCATATATCATCAACTTCTACAGTCTCAATCCCTTCTTTAATTGGGAAAAATCTGAAAAAATAAACATATAGCTTGTTTTAAATAGCCATTATTACTCTGAAAAAGATCTACCTATAAGAAATATAGCTTAATCATATAATGTCACCTTAGTGCAGTAACAGGTTAGCTCCCTATACAATTTAATAAGAGTTAAGTACTAAGGTGCTGATAATAAGTATGGGAGTTTATTAATGCTGAATATGTTAGTTTTATGAAGAGAAAAGACAAATGTAAGGAAGAAAGAATGATATTGGACATACTGCCTCTATCATGTCATGACCAGAACTACAAATTTTAAGTTCAAGGACAATTACACTATCCTAGTTAAAGAAAAAATTGGTGCAACTCAAGAGCTCTATAATTAGATAATTTTTATTTGTTGTGAGAGAGTGTGTGTGGGAGAAGTAGGGGAGTGTGTGGGGTAGGGATGACAGGTTTAGTCAAACTGCCACTGTTAAGATTGTATGCCTGATCTCCAACTTTACTGATGAAGGAAGACTTCAGGTGCCCTGCCATGTATTTTTACACAAGCAGACATTTCAGACAGTAGACCTACAGATCTTCTTTCAGCTACCTTCATAACTTTGTTTAAAGTCAGTAATTCCAATCACTGCCAGAGAGCCCTAACAAATGTGTATGATTAACTTACTTGTGATTGGGTCTTATTGGTAGTGTTTGTCCATTTCCAGTCATAACTGGTTCTTGAAACTTTTCAAGAAAATCTTCCCAAGCAATCCTGCCAGTGGCTTTCACTCCACATCTACAACAAAACATTATCTTATAGCTTAATATTTAAATAAATACTTACTGTTTATGTCAAATTAGATAAGTGCAGTTACTTCCCTTTTTAACGATACAAGAGGGCCATGATGGCCCTGAAGTCGCTCACCTGTATATAGGCCCCCGTAGCGGGGTCAGTTTAAACCCCAGGGCTTTTATTTGAACAAACTTGGTAGACACCCATTAGAAGATGTTTCATGCTAAACATCTAAGGTCTAGCTGGTCAAGTTTTTTCTTTACACATAAAGTTAAAAACAATGACACACCTGGGGCAGGGCCAGTTCGGACCCAAGGGCTTTTATTTGAATCTAATCTTTGTAGACACTTACTAGAAAATGTTTCATGCTTAATATCTGAACTCTAGCTATTCGGATTTTTCGAAGAAGATTTTTAAGTTTTTGCTATACACATATAAGGAAAATCAATGACCCCCAGGGTGGGGCCAATTTTAACCCCAGGGCTTTTATTTGAACAAACTTTGTAGCACTTACTAGAAGATGTTTCATGCTTAATATCTAAACTCTAGCTATTTGGGTTTTTTCAAAGAAGATTTTTAAGTTTTTGGAGGGGCCAATTTTGACCCCAGGGCTTTTATTTGAACAAACTTAGTAGACACTCACTAGAAGATGCTTCGTGCTTAATACCTAAACTCTAGCTATTTGAGTTTTTTCAAAGAAGATTTTTTAAGTTTTTGTTATACACATATAAGGAAAATGAATGACCCCCGGGGCGGGGCCAATTTTGACCCCAAGGCTTTTATTTGAACAAACTTGGTAGACACTCACTAGAAGATGTTTCATGCTTAGTATCTAAACTCTAGCTATTTGTTTTTTTTCAAAGAAGATTTTTTAATTTTTTTTACTATACACATATAAGGAAAATCAATGACCCCCAGGGCGGGGCCAATTTTGAGCCCAGGGCTCTTATTTGAATAAACTTGGTAGACATCCATTAGAACATGTTTCATGCTTAATATCTTAGCTCTAGCTCTTTGGGTTCTTTAAAAGAAGATTTTTAAGTTTTTGGAGGGGCCAATTTTGACCCCAGGGCTTTTATTTGAACAAACTTAGTAGACACTCACTAGAAGATGCTTCGTGCTTAATACCTAAACTCTAGCTATTTGAGTTTTTTCAAAGAAGATTTTTTAAGTTTTTGTTATACACATATAAGGAAAATGAATGACCCCCGGGGCGGGGCCAATTTTGACCCCAAGGCTTTTATTTGAACAAACTTGGTAGACACTCACTAGAAGATGTTTCATGCTTAGTATCTAAACTCTAGCTATTTGTTTTTTTTCAAAGAAGATTTTTTAATTTTTTTTACTATACACATATAAGGAAAATCAATGACCCCCAGGGCGGGGCCAATTTTGAGCCCAGGGCTCTTATTTGAATAAACTTGGTAGACATCCATTAGAACATGTTTCATGCTTAATATCTTAGCTCTAGCTCTTTGGGTTCTTTAAAAGAAGATTTTTTAAGTTTTATGCATATAGGGAAAATCAATGACCCCCTGGGGCGGGGCCAATTTTGACCCCAGGGCTTTTATTTGAACAAACTTGGTAGATACTCACTAGAAGATGTTTCATGCCAAATATCTAAGCTCTAGCTCTTTGAGTTTTTTAGAAAAAGATATTTAAAGTTTTTTCTTTTGGTTGCCATGGCAACCAGAGTTCTGCATGGAATGGAATTCTTTGAACAACTTTGTTAAGGCTTCACACAAGGAACATCCCTGTGAAGTTTCATTATGATCTGTCTTAAATGGTTTCAGAAGAGATGTCGTTTTAAAAGTGTGAACGGACAACGGACGACGTATGACGGACGAAGAGTGATCCTAATAGCTCACCCTGAGCATATGCTCATGTGAGCTATAAATAAAGATACACAATTTCATAAACATGTACTTCAGACATAACACAATTTAGGTCTGTTGTTAAGAAAGCCTGTACATAGCTTATTTAAACCAGAGTCAAAGCTGCTTGTCAGACAAGATCTTAGAATATTTCTACACTTGTGGTCTTTTGTTATTGCCGATAGCTTTTAAAAGGTGAAGATATTTTAGTTATCAGCTAAAGTTTCAAAGAAGATCTTGTATGCTCCTGGAATGAAATTTATATAGTATGCCAACATTTTCATAGTTTATAATTAATGTTTCATTTTAAAGTTGTGTCCAGCATATAAGTTTTCACAAATAGGGAAGACAATTTGTAGGCTGTAAGCTGCAGAACCGTATTCCAAATGTCACCAATTTGAGTCCCAGTCAGGCTTTTTTCTTTTAACCCTGTGACAGTTATGATAGATGTTGATCAAATAACATTTACAAAACACAAGAACAAAACTTACTTATCCATGATTTGTGAGAAGAGTTGTTTGGACATTGGTATAGTGAACTGTGTTAGAATAGACTGAAGATTCTCCACAGAGACAAAACCATCTAGATGTGTATCAAACACCATAAATGCTTTCTTCAGATTCACATAGTTGTCTCTCATCTGTTACATGACAAACAAAATATAAAAGATTAAAAATAGATTTTAAACGCTATACTTTCTGTACCTATTGAAAGTGATATGTTTTGGGTTTTTTTTACCTAAAGAAGGGACTGACCATATTGAATGGCCTTAAGAAGGCAATACGGGTAAATCATTTTTGCTTTTTAATTTTAGATACATTATTATGCTTTATTGATATAATCACACAAGAAAGATTGGGGAGAGTTAACTCACATATGTATGCCATATTCGCATCAAACCACATGTTGTACTTATAGAACTTTCTTAGATTATATTACAATTTTTCATTTTTATTATGTGACCAGAAAGGTGAAAAAGAGAAAAGAATTGCATTCACCTATTTTGCAGACGTACTTGATTTAATCCACACCAACCCTTATTCAGTTTAAAGTTTCAATAACAACTATCAAATAATTTAACTAAGAAATGCAAATAATATAAAGCATCATTTTAACATCATATAAAAGAGGTTTTCAAATAATAAATGAAGTATAAAATTTCTTAAAAAAAAAAAAAACAAGAAGCGCCGCAATGCGACGAAAACCAGGTTTTCAACGACCAAATTTTGATGTGACAGCAATCAATAGGTCAAAGTACACTGAAGTTAATGAATAGAAGCTGAAAATTCTATTGTAAGCAAATAATCTTGAACTTGCTCCCAAATATCTAAGTAGCAATCCAAAGCTGCCACTCAGCAAGTTTATTGTCAAAAGGTCAAAGCAAACTCAAGTTATAACATGAAAACTAAATACATTAACCTTGATCGCAGACACCTGGGTAGCACTTCCAAGCTGCCTCTTTATATAAGCTACCCATTCATCAAGTTTGGTGTCAAAAGGCAAAAGCAAACTCAATGTATTTAGCGGAAACTGAATTTCTATTTTTAATAACAGTGACCTTGACCTTAATCACAGACACCTGGATAGCAATCCCAAGCTGCCTCTTGATATAAGCTATCCATACACCAAGTTTGGTGTCAATAGGCCGAAGCAAACTGGAGTTATTGAGAAGAAACTGAATTTCTATTTTTAGTAACAGTGACCTTGACCTTGATCACAGACACCTGGGTAGCAATCCCAAGCTGCCTCTTGATATAAGCTATCCATACACCAAGTTAGGTGTCAATAGGCCAAAGCAAACTCAAGTTATAGAGCGGAAACTGAATTTCTGTTTTTAGTAACAGTGACCTTGACCTTGATCACAGACACCTGGGTAGCAATCCCAAGCTGCCTCTTGATATAAGCTATCCATAAACCAAGTTAGGAGTCAATAGGCTAAAGCAAACTCAAGTTATTGAGCGGAAACTGAATTTGTATTTTTAGTAACAGTGACCTTGACCTTGATCACAGACACCTGGATAGCAATCCCAAGCTGCCTCTTGATATAAGCTATCCATACACCAAGTTTGGTGTCAATAGGCCAAAGCAAACTTTAGTTATTGAGCAGAAATTGAATTTCTATTTTTAGTAACAGTGACCTTGACCTTGATCAAAGACACCTGGATAGCAATCCCAAGCTACCTCTTGATATAAGCTATCAATACACCAAGTAAGGTGTCAATAGGCCAAAGCAAACTAAAGTTATTGAGCGGAAACCAAAAGTTGACGCCCGCCCGCCCGCCTGCCGCCCGCCCGCCCGCAAGCCCGCCGACTTCGGCATTACAATAACCCGGTTTTCGTTGAAAACCTGGTTAAAAAAAAAAAAAAAACATAAGAAAGTGCCCCCAGTTCTATCCCAAACAAACATTCTTATAATAGGTAAGATCAAAATAATATCCTATACAGAAAATGTTCTTACCCTTTTCCTAAATTCTATTTCAATTTCTCTAAAGTTCATTGCCTGTAACATGTGTTCATCTTCTTGTCTCTGTTTGAAGTTCCTCATATGTGGGTGAGGTGTATTCTGTTGCCAGTTCAGGGCTGCAAACAAGCAATCATACATTATAGGGTGGTGCATTTGGATACTGCAGTACTTAATACTTCTGCATGGAACGAGATACTTTCAGACATTTTATACTGGCATTGACTACTGCCTTTTTACTAAAACATACATGCAATCCATCAAAAAATAAGTCATTGATCCAAGACAATTACATTAAGTTCCATGCAAAGTTTTTAGGTGATGCTATGTTTGCAATTTAGCATATTTGAATTACTTTGATATTGGTGGGAATGAGGTACCCAAGGGGAGTACTATAGCTTAAAAAGGCAGAATCATTATTTAATATCTACCATATTATGGTCTATTCTCATCTTATATCCTGTTTCTATCTGATTGCAAAACTGACTTTTACAATTCTAAATTTAGAAGAAAAAATCCTTTTTAGGTTGAGTTGGTAAACAAACGATATACAACTGTCATGTTACCATCATCATTTAAAATTCTATTTGAATATTATCATTACCCCAATGTTCAAAATTTTAAGATTGAAATGGAAAAGAAGTCAGAAAATTCTGTTGTCAATCATAACACTGAACACAGTAGATTATCAGTCAGAGTATAAGTGTTCAAACTTTAAAGCATGTGATTAATATAGACATATATATTTATCTGTCATTTCAAACACACCACACAAGCATTTGTAGAGCAAAATCAAACACCATGATAAAAAATTAATTTTAAAAAATATCTTTCACAAGCACGTCATTAAAATCCTATGTTAAGCTTTGAATGATCAATGACAAAAATCTGTATCATGCAAAATATTTGTTTTAGAAATTCAAGAAAGTTAATTATCAAATGATGGGTTTTTTTTCGTTTGTTTTTTCTTGGTTTTAACACAATTTTGGTTTGGTGATATCTTGGCAGTAAGTACACCTAACTGGCTTTTTTTCTGAATAACTGACTAACCAGTAATTACCAATTTCTCTGCAAGTGAACAATTATGATCAGTTGAATATTTCATTCTGAAATCAACCTGAAGATCTTAAGACATAAGAATTTATCGCATACAATATATTTATAGAACATAGCTAGACATTTCTTTTTAAACCATTTGCCTAGTCTATAAAGTAAATCCAATTCTGCTGATTTGCATTTATTACATTCTAAACAATGACACACAGTAATATACTAGGTTGTACAATAGACACCAGCCATTCTGAAATAGGGATGATAACTGGATATATAGAAAATGGTAACCATCACTCTAAACGGGTAGAGATAGTTATGGTATAAAGATGGATTAGAAATAAAGCTAGTATGAAAGGCTGAGCTATACCAGGGTCATCTTCTTCTTCCTCTTCTGAAAACATTATTAGTATACTCTGTATAATTTTTTTTCCTTGAGGTTGGTTAAGCTTTACGGATCCCTAAGTAAATGAACGCATTTCCCCCTTAATTAAATTATTTAGAACAGGACTGGTAAAACAAACTCAATACCAATGGCAGAAAAATTTTTACTTTTAAATTTACTAGTATTAAATAATCTTCCCCATTACTATAAAATTCATAATTGTCTGTTGTTGAGGTTTGTTGTGTAGGTGGGTTTTATTTTCACATTTACTTCTCTTGTTTCTGTCTGTGTATTTCTTTTGATTATGAAGTTTCAATGTAAGTTTCTCCTTTTTTGATAGATTAAAGTGAACAAAAATTTCACAACAAACATACATTGAATACGTATTTAAATCATACAAACAATTTTTTGTTGAAATACATTTATTTTGAATGATTCCATTCAGGTTGGTTATACACTGTACAATATTCTAAACATCCATTTTAAAAGAAAAACATTTTATGAAGCCATTTATTCTAGACCCACAGTAGAAAAACAGAGAAGTCTTCTCACTTTTACTACTTAGTGTGATTGGAAATAGTAAATAATAGCTGCCAGTAAGCTGCTTTGATCCTGCCAGTTGTCACAAGTTTGATGCATGTACAATGTTTTCAACTGAATTTTATGAAAGAAAATGACATTAACTGTCATGGTTAACCAGACTTGACAATGACTAAATAAAAAAAATATATACATTATTGTTTTCATTGAAAATTTCTTATTATGAATTACCTGCCATGGCACCTTCTTGAGGAGGTTTGTTACGAGATTGTACACTGACTCCTAAACGACTGAGAAAATCTTTGTAGCTCACCATCCCTGTATGATGGAAGTCATATCTCTGCCACAATCTAAATAAGTAAATTACACAAATCAGTGAAATAACTGAAAACTCAATCATACCATTCATCTAAGTTGGTTGGTTGTCCTATGATATTTTACTTGTTTGGGTCTGACATTTGACAAAAGTAAAAAGGTCAAATGGAACTTACAGGCCTATATTCTCTCTAACGTAAAGATGTGATAGTAGTTGACCATATATAAATATCCTGCAAATAAATATTCAAGTCCAGCTATATGACATAGTGACTTAAATGTTAACTTCACCACTTGACCACTTTGTAAATACTGGAATCATTGCTAATGAAGAAATTACCTGCTTCAGCACGTTTTGAAGGCCAAAACAAACTCAGTGCCTTCAGCACTTTGATTACTTTTAATTTTTTTTACCAGTGAATCAGACTGAAATCATTAATTACAAAATTGTTTGTAGAGGGGGACCACATAAGGATAATTTTTGTGAAATTTTGTAAATATCTTCTCTGTGGTTTAGGAGATATTTTTTTATCTTTATAACAGACAACAAACATCAGACATTATGTGCTTCTAGTGTGGAAAAAGAAAAACTGAGTAAACATACTTATCATATTGTTGATCTGAGAGTTTAAAACAGTAGTTCTCTATAACTCTCCTCATCTCATGCCTCTGTATACGACCATCACGATTATAGTCAAACAACTGTAAACCCTTCACAACTGACTTCAGGTTACTCTCAATCTAAAACAATAGTAATGATGAAAAAGAATAAAGTCACAGATTTTCCTACTCTTATCCCTTTACCTTGATACATTTCAAGGACTTGTTGACAGCTTTGAAATTTGAAGTGTAAAGAGTTAGGGATGTCAAGTGAGTTATAATTGTTGCTAACAGTCAAAGTATATGGGCTAATATGAAATAATATGGAATTCCTAAATAAGAAAATAATAGAACATTTTACTTTTAGTAATTTTCAGCAACCTTCAATACCTCTCAGCTAAGTAGCTCATACCATACAGCAAAACTATATTGTGTGAACATGTAAACTTTTCTCAACCAATGTGATGTAACTGTTGTTTTCTGAACCATTCTAATCATGATCAAAACCTTACTCAAAGATGAATTTATGAATATTACTACATGTATTTCAATATCTTGTCATTTTATATTAATTAATTAGGTTTAAAAAACCTAGTAAAGACTTCCACATAAAAAGTGTCAACAGTTGCATTCAAATCACCTTTATTCACCATGAAAGCCACACATATTTATGTATATGTATATACATGTTTCTATCTAAAATTAAACTATTTTATTCTCATGCAGCAATCAGCTGTAATACCTAAAAGTAAGCTGCAATAAATCTAACTTCTGGGTAAAAGTCTAACTTGTGGGGACTGTAAGATCTGTAAAATCCCCATTAAATCAGAGACCCTGGGGCAGCATGGTGGCCATATTAAAAAACAAGAGCGCCATGATGGCCCTGAGGTCGCTCACCTGTATATAGCCCCCCCCCCCCAACGTTACAGGGCCAATTTAACCAAAGGGCTTTTATTTGCACAAACTTGGTAGACACCCATAAGAAGATGTTTCATGCTAAACATCTAAGCTCTAGCTCATTGGGCTTTTTAAAAGAAGATTTTTTTAAAGTTTTTTACTATATGCATATAGTTGAAAACAATGACACCCCTGGGACCGGGCCAGGGCTTTTATTTGAACAAACTTTGTAGACACTTACTAGAAGATATTTCATGCTTAATATCTACACTCTAGCTATTTGGGTTTTTTCAAAGAAGATTTTAAGTTTTTGCTATACACATATAAAGAAAATCAATGACCCCCGGGGCGGGGCCAATTTTGACCCCAGGTCTTTTATTTGAACAAACTTTGTAGACACTCACTAAAAGATGTTTCATGCTTAATATCTTAACTCTAGCTATTTTGGTTTTTTCAAAGAAGATTTTTTAAGTTTTTGCTATACACATATAAGGAAAATCAATGACCCCCGGGGCGGTGCCAATTTTGACCCCAGGGCTTTTATTTGAACAAACTTGGTAGACACCTATTAGAACATGTTTGATGCTAAATATCTTAGCCATAGCTCTTTGAGTTCTTTAAAAGAAGATTTTTTAAGTTTTTACTATATGCATATAGGGAAAATCATTGACCCCCTGGGGCGGGGCCAATTTTGACCCCAGGGCTTTTATTGTTAGACACTTATTAGAACATGTTTCATGCTAAATGTCTTAGCTCTAACTCTTTTGGTTCTTTAAAAGAAGATTTTTTAAGTTTTTACTATATGCATATAGGGAAAATCAATGACCCCCTGGGGCGGGGCCAATTTTGACCCCAGGGCTTTTATTTGAACAAACTTGGTAGACACCTATTAGAACATGTTTGATGCTCAATATCTTAGCCATAGCTCTTTGAGTTCTTTAAGAGAAATTTTTTTAAGTTTTTACTATATGCATATAGGGAAAATCAATGACCCCCTGGGGCGGGGCCAATTTTGACCCCAGGGCTTTTATTTGAACAAACTTGGTAGACAATCACTAGAAGATGTTTCATGCCACATATCTAAGCTCTAGCTCTTATGGTTTTTTAAAAGAAGATATTTAAAGTTTTTTCTTTCGGTTGCCATGGCAACCAGAGTTCTGCATGGAATTAAATTCTTTGACAAATTTTTAAAGGTGACCACCAAAGGAACATTCCTGTGAAGTTTGGATGGAATTGGCTTAGTGGTTTATGAGGAGATGTCATTTAAAGTAAAAGTTTACGGACGGACGACGGACGGACGCCGGACGAAAAGCGATCACAAAAGCTCACCCTGTCACTATGTGACAGGTGAGCTAAAAATAAAGCGGCATGACAAAATGAAGGTTGTTTATTTCCACATATTTTTTGGGCACTTCCCCAAAGAGGATTGGATAAGGATTAAAACTGACTTATAACTTGTAATACATTATTTCTGTACCATACCTTTTCTTTCAGCAGCTTTTCAATCAATCTCATAATTTTCCCTTTTGGTGTTGGGGGAGAAGAACCAAAAAATTTGTAAAAAAATTAAAAGGTTTAACAAGACAGAGTAAAACCCTTTTCTGAAAAAGCCATACAATATTGTTAAAAAATTTTTTTTCTTAGTTGAATTTTTAAAACCCAAATATTTTCCCCCGTTTAAAATTTTGGAACTTTTTCTTTGGGAACCCTTACCATGAAAAATAGTTTTTAAATGGAGTTTTGTCAATCTTTCAACTGAACAAAACACAATTTTAGTAAAATTTTATTTAAAACAATAACAAGGAAAGACCATTATCAGATGGAAAACAAACATCTGAGAGCTATCTTTGTCGCACGGGGTCCCAGGGTTTAGAATAGTTCCCACGGGCAGTCTTAGGGTAAAAGTCATACCAAACATTATTTCTGGCACAAACAAGTACCAGCATTCCATGATTTTTTTAAAACTTCAAAAGAGAGAATTCAAATTCCTGGTAATGATATAAAATCATTAAAAGTTTCTTACTTTGGTACACCATTTGTAATTCTGTTGACCTGTTGACGGGCTGCTGGGGAATTTGACTGTCCATTTGAATGAAACTTGTCCAGGAAATCAGCATAGCGCACTGTTCCATTGGGATTTTTGCTCACCTAAAAAGGTCAAATCACAGAATGCAAAAACGAAGTACATAATGTATAATGCAATATTCTTAATATATTTCCCTTAATTAACAAATTGTTAAATATTGTAAATATTAAAGATTTTTTTTTTAAAAATAAGCAATTTAAAACAAAACCACACCTGCTATACATGTATCTACATTTACAGACAAATATATTTCAAATATCTATAAAAACTGAAAAAATAATGATTTCTCGTCTGGAATATGATCTATTATCACAAATTCAAGTGAAAGATTACTATTCACGTATATATTCCCTAAATTTACCATAATTTCAGGTGGGTTTTTTTTAGAATTCAGTAGTACTGTATCTATTTCCTGCTGAAATTTTGATGGTATGATATATTCAGTAGTAAATAAGAAGGGTGAGAGGACCAATTTGAAGCATTTCCAACAAGAAGAACATAGATATATAAGAATATTTTTAAAAAATCTTATTATTATAATTATTTGATCTATCTACATGTATATACATGTGTATTTGTTATAAATATGATATTAATTGTTACAGTTATGTAAGAAAGTATTTTTGTTACATAAAAAATATCATAATTAATATAATAAAGAAAATTTGTTTTAATGAAATTTAAAGTAAATTCTTGAGTCTACTATTTTTTTCACAGATGTTTATTTTCTTCATTAAAAAAAATACAACTATAAATACAAAACAACCCTGGAATTTGATAGAAGAGTAAAAATTCCAAAAAAGAAGAATGAAAACAATTCTGCTTTAATATTTTGAAGAAAAAAAACACCTCCATGCATTACACACACTAAATATCTCAACTAATATTTAAGATAAATCTTGCTGTTATTCGTTTGCAAAAGCTTCCAGCAAAAAGTGCAAAATTATTTGTTACATCATCTAAAATATATATAACAAATCTAATTATACATTATAAAACAAAAGCTAATTGTGTCACTTGGAATATATTCTTTGAACATGTTTATTTCATAATAACAAGATAACATGTCACAATAGGAAATCATCTTGTATTATGACCTTGTAGCTATGATCTCATAATTACAAGATACTGAGTCCTAATAACATGATGGTGAACTTGTAACTATAATGTGGCTACATGGCCCAGTGGTTAAATTGTTGGACAAACGATCTAAGGAATGCTGTCCCCGTGGGTTCAAACCCAGTCAAAGGCGAGCCATTGTTTCCTTGAGCTAGAAACTTTACATTCATTGTTCAGTACTGGTTCATTCCAGGAACAGATTCCAGAGTGTGTCTATAAGTTTTAAGCTTCCTACATAATCAAACTAAATTAAATTCTGTATATACTAAGCTCATGGTTTATATGGCAGTTTTCAGCTATGTGGATACTTTACGGCTATGTGAAACTTTACCGATATATAACACTTTACAGCTATGTAACACTTTATGGTTATGTGACATTTTACTGCTATGTGACACACTTTACGGCTTTGTGACACTTTACAGCTATGTAACATTTTACAGTTGTATAACACCTTATGGCTATGTAACACTTTATGGCTATATAACACTTTATGGCTATGTGACACTTTACGGCTATGTAACACTTTACGGCTATATAAAACACTTTAGAGCTATGTAACACTTTAAGGTAATGTGACATTTTACAGCTATGTGACACACTTTACGTCTATGTGACACTTTACGGCTATATAACATTTTACAGTTATATAACACTACGGCTATGTGACATTTTACTTTCTTGATTATATCAGTGTATATCAAGCTTTTTACTACAAGCCCAACCCTAACTGCACATGTATTGTTCTTGATTTATTAATTAAGACCTATGAATGAAACAAAAGGACAATGATGGCCCCTTATTTTTTACCATTATTAGCAAGCTTATATAAAAACAACTACACATAGAAGATTACACATTAGACATGCTCCATGCAGATCTAACTTTATACATGTTAACCATTCTGATTTCTTTTTTAATTAATTAAGTTTTGATGCAGCTTAACTAATAATCATTTCTAAAATTAATTTCAATGCATGCAAAATGTGCTGATATATTGAAGTTATCAAACATAAAAACAAGGACTGTCAGACAAAGAGCAGACTACACTGTTCTTAAAACATGACAGTAAAACAAGAGACATGCTGAAATAATTTTCTCTGTTCATAAAGGAAATGATTCTGTTTAATGCAGCACAGTCTAAATCCATGCTTGATTAAAAAAGTGACCTACAATTATGATTCAAAAGATAAAAAGGAAGTTTTAAGTTGACAATTATTTCTGTGTTTGTGGAGCAAGAATATATTTGATAAAATACATCATGAAATCTAATTAATCAAGCAGAGTCTGCTGTTTTCACCTTTTAGTTTTGGATGTCATATTGTTCTCAAGTGACCTCTTTTTTCCCAAAATTTGTTGACAGTTAACTAAAATTATGAGGAGACATTAGTGAGATTTCAAATGAATACAGCACCTTCTGTGGTTAAACACAATATGACATCACTGGCACACAAAACTTTAACCAAGTGTTACACCGATGCCAATAAAAATGCCAACATGAGTAGGATAGCATTCTCAATTATTCAAGCTTAAAAGCTAAATTCATGCACTTTTCTATTACAAAAATATTTTAAGAAATAATCAGACTAATTGATACAACACACATATTGCTATTTCAAATTATGATCTGTTATAAGCAAGTCCATCTATATAATATCATTTCAATTCTCCTGTAAAGCTAGAAATTTAAAGAATAACATTGTTTCCTCAAAAATAAAAACACTGGATGTAAAATTTAAAATTAAATATTATGTATTACATTCAACTAGAAACTTTCACTATGTTAACTTACAAAGTTAAACCTTCAGATATTTGCCACAATTTGGCATTTTTCAAAAATAAAATGTTTAATACAAAATTTTACAACTCTTATCATTCTTTTTATAGCCATTTTTTTTCTTTTACTTTATCAATATTTTCATTTCAAAACACAAAATACAGATAATTTATACAAATTTCTATGATAAATACATAACTAAACAAAATACAAAGTGGTTATAATATACCATGCCATGCAACATTGAGTATAGTTCTTGAATAATACATGTAATAAAAACTGAGTCTCTTTTTTCAAATTTAGCTAATGCCACATTTAATTTTTCTTAAATAAAAAAAATGTTTTTACACAATATCTGACTATATGTATAAGAAACCAACAACTTTAAAAACTATGAAAGTATGTTTTCAGTTATAATTACAAGTGGGTCATGAAGGCCCTGAATGGCTCACCTAAGAAACAATGCAAGAATGTCATTGTTAAGTCAAAATTCAAATTGTTTCTATTTTTAGCTTGGACCCAGCTCTAGTGACTAGAATAATTTCCGGTCTAGTACTATAGTACTACACAAATATTAATCTTAGAGACTTCCATCAAGATCTATGAGTAGGTTCAGGAGGAGATGTTAAAGTTGTTGTTGTTTTTAGCTCTGGTTACCATCTTGTTCAGTGGTCAGAGACAATTTTAACTATTTTTTAAAGGAACTACTAAGTATCCTTCCTGTACAGTTTCATAGCAATTTATTTTGTGGTTTAGTGAACGATATGATATAAACCAATATTTGACAACAGACATTTCAGGACAGACAAAGTTTGATCACAAAACCTCACCTGTGCACAATCATGGTTCGGTGAACTAAATACAATGTATCAACTGTAAGCAGAATACATGTACCATACTAAGGAAACAATTATTTGCAGGTGAATTCTATTTTCAAAATATTCAGAAAATAGTGCTCAGTTTATAAAAAAAGTTCATGAACTGACATTAGCTCTCTTGTTTCACCCAAGACCTAAAATCCAAATAATTAATATCACAAGATATGTCTTACCTTCTGTAAAGCCTTTTTTGTATAAATATTTGAAAATTTAATTTTGTTAATTATCATCTAATTATAATACATTGTACAGAAACACCTGTTCCAGTGACAATCTGTGTAATCATGTGTCAATTGTTTTACTTGATTTACACAAGAAAATATATTATTACAAGGACTGAACAATATGTAGAAAGAGATACCAACACTGGTATGATGAAACTTTTGAGATATTATAAATCAGTCAGTTAAGTAACCTGACCATCGTGGAAAAACAAAGACTTTGACTTTCATATAATAAAACCCCAAATAAAGGCCAAGTCCTATGAGAAGCAGTCTGATTTAAAATCCCTACTTAACAGCCCTATATTGCCAGATGGACATTTTTTCCAACCAAAATGGCCAACCCCACCCTCATCCCCACCCTATTATGCAGCCTGTATGAAAAGACATCATTGCAGGATAGTGCAGGAACAGACAGCTGGAAATGTTTTAGTCACACTACCCTGGGGATTTGAGACCCCGGGTTAGAATTCACTGGTGCATAATTATATTATTATATAACATCTTTTTGTCAAATTTTACAGGTAGCACAACGCTTAAAATTACAAAAAAAATAGTTTTGAAAATTGAACTGTCACTGAAACAAGGAAGTCTGTTATGATTTAAGATTAATAACTACAATTTTTTTAAAATAAAAAAAATACAGGTAGAAGTTATGTAAAAGATATGTTAAAATAAAGCGTGTAGTAAGAAGAATCTAGAAGAATTTCTGGGAATATGTTCTTACTGTCACCATTGATCTATTGAGATCTAACTCTCCCATGATTTAAATGGCCTACAGCCCTGCAAATGACCTACAATCTGCAAGCCTAAACTTCAAATGAAATGAAAATATATGTCAGCTAAAACATTACATAGATAGAGAATAACAACCAAGATATAAGAGTGAAAATACCGTGATATATATATATGAAGGTGATTATACATGTATGTATATCGTTATACTGTCATTCAAGGACTGTAAGAGTGTATGGGTACCAGTTTCATGCATTGAAAGCATAGCAACATCTTTCCATCAATATTTTAATCAAAATCAAACAAAAAGCTTGTTGATCGTTCCAAGTTTCATTGTTTGTAATAACTTGTATTATTTGACTATTAACATAAACCCTTAAAACAAAATTTAAAAAAACAAAAACTTCAATACATCACATAAAGCAGGAGTCCAGATGGAAAGGGTTGGTAATACATTGTAGTATAATACACTTTTGTAACAAAGTGGAAAATCTGTTTCTTTTTTCCTGGGTTTCCTGTTTGTTAAGATTTTATTTTTCAAGTTGATAAGAATGTTATTTTCACATCAAATCAGAGCTTGGTGAAGTATTAACTCAACCATAGATTAACAGTTCAGCACATTATCTGTATCTTTATTTTAAAAAAAAATCAAGAAATATACTTCCTCTCAACTTACCAAAATTTATTTAACCAACTTCACATAATTTATTAAAACCAACTTCCCTTGAATACATAAAAACCAACTTCCAATATGTTTATAAAAACCAACTTCCCTTGAATGAATAAAAACCAGATTCCATTGCATGTATAGAAACCACTTCCCTTGAGATTTGAAAAGTGAATTGGATTGTAAATAAAGAATACTGTACATAAGATGAGCTAAGTTAATACTTGTACCAAAGAATTATTTAATGAGGTCAAACCATTTTTTATGTTTTGTTTATGAAAACTAACAGATGAGTGTTTCACAGATTTCATTCAGGTAAGAGTACAAAGACTCCAGCTAGCAACTGTTTTGTTTTAAGCTGGTGATGCCTTTATACTTATACCTTTATTTTATATCACACATGAACACACGCACACACACAGAGAAAGAGAGTGGAGGATGACAGCAAGAGTACCTTAGCAAGAACTGCTTCAAATTGGTCTGTGGTAAGAGGGCTACAGTAGGACTCAAGAACCCGCCTAAACTCGCCTTTAGTTACACTGGAAGTCTGATCAACGTCATACGTTCTAAATGCCTGAAATAAATAAATACATACTACATTGCCATTTACAAAAAAGTTTGCTGAGTCATCCTGTAAAACAAATTATACAAATTAAATATATTAAAATGTTCACATGGTTTTCTTGTCTCTTAGCCAATATTACAATTTTAAAGTATAGTAGACACTAATGAGCAGGTATGAGGGCTGCCATATTGATATTTGCTCAAAAAAGATGTCATAGATGATAATGTACTAAAAATAGGTATTGCAATTTTTTTTTGATAAAAGGCGAGAGATGTCAAGGATTTATTATGATAGTAACCCACATTAGTTGATATTTACTGATTCCTTATGATTTACCAGAATAATCCTTATATACAGATGAAATGTTAATTCAATATAAGTAAATGTTTTCAATATTGAAAATGAGAAGTCCCAACTACATGTATATCATATCAAGTTCATCTATTTATTACCAAGTTCATCTATTTATTATCAAGTTCATCTGTTTATTACCAAGTTCATCTATTTATTACTGAGTTATCTATTTATTACCAAGTTCATCTATTAATTACCAAGTTCATCTGTTTATTTACAATCTCATCTATTTGTTGCCAAGTTCATCTGTTTATTATCAAGTTCATCTGTTTATTATTAAGTTCATCTATTTATTACCAAGTTCATCTATTTGTTACCAAGTTCATCTGTTTATTATCAAGTTCATCTGTTTATTATCAAGTTCATCTATTTATTACCAAGTACATCTATTTATAATCAAGTTCATCTATTTATTACCAAGTTCATCTGTTTATACCAAGTTCATCTCTTTATTACCAAGTTTATCTGTTTATTACCAAGTTCATCTGTTTATTATCAAGTTCATCTATTTATAACCAAGAACATCTATTTATAATCAAGTTCATCTATTTATTACCAAGTTCATCTATTTATTACCAACTTTATCTGTTTATTACCAAGTTCATCTATTTATTACCAAGTTCATCTGTTTATTACCAAGTTCATCTCTTTATTACCAAGTTTATCTGTTTATTACCAAGTTCATCTGTTTATTACCAAGTTCATCTCTTTATTACCAAGTTTATCTGTTTATTACCAAGTTCATCTATTTATTACCAAGTTCATCTGTTTATTTATTACCAAGTTCATCTATTTATTACCAAGTTCATCTATTTATTACCAAGTTCATCTATTTATTACCAAGTTCATCTATTTGTTACCAAGTTCATCTATTTATTATCAAGTTCATCTATTTATTACCAAGTTCATCTGTTTATTACCAAGTTCATCTATTTATTACCAAGTTCATCTATTTATTACCAAGTTTATCTGTTTATTACCAAGCTCATCTGTTTATTACCAAAATCATCTTTTATTACCAAGTCCATCTATTTATTACCAACTATTTTTGTTAAAGCCTTTAAATAAGACATTTTGAATTACATTTCAGTGCTTCTATAAATATATTTCTTTATTCAAAGTTCTGTTCTTTTTCTATTGAAAAAGCAAAAAAAGAACCAATCACAAAGAGTAATATATTTAAGATCATTATCTTATTACTTAAAAGATAGCAAAAATCCATAAACAGAAACATTTAAACTATCAAAGATAAGTAGAAAAACACTATAAACTTCTTGATCTTTAAACTGATTTATTTTTATAAGTTCATGTCTGTATTTTAAAACTGTAAAGTGATTGTTTCAGATAGGTAACCTTGCCTTGATTTAATGGTATGATATTAATGCACTGTTTTATAGGCTTGTTCTAAATGGTTATGACTCAAATAATTGTTTAATTGTTTGACGTAAACTGATATTCAATCATGAATCATTTTATAACAATAAGTCAAAAAGCCATAAAAATTGGCATGCCGTATACCCAACATAATCATTAACAAGAGAGTCATGGTGGATCTTTTATTGCTCACCTGAGGAAAGACTGCAAGGAATACAATTGAACAATTGAAAAAAGACAAAAGATGCCAAATAAGTTAAGAAACAAAATCTCCATGGCTAAAACAATGTAAAAAATAACTTTTTCAAGAAAACAAATGACCTTTGCAGCTGGGGCATTTTTCATCCAAATCCCATAATTTTAACAAACTTCCTGGATTTGTATTAGACTACGTCAATCATCAATTTATATATACAGTAAAACCTTGTCATTTCTGATATGATTATATTTTTACCTATATTTTAAGTCAATTTAAAACGAATATTTAGTCACAGCTAACTTTGACTATTATGCCATAATTTAATAAACTTGGAAAAAGAATCAAACTTTGTAAAAGTATACCAATCAATGCTGTACATACATACAATGTACATACCAAATGAGAACAACTTTTTAAAAAGTTTCTTTCAGGAGCCTATTTATAGGTGACCCAAATGTCAGGTGAGCTATAAACTTTCGCTTTATTGTACAAAAATCAATATTACTGAAATTTAAATTGAAAGTTCTTTAGATGAAAAACCCAATACATGTATAACTAGAACTATTGCTGAATGCGATTCATACCCCCACCAATGTCCTTGACAGAAGACGACTTGGAAAGGTGGTTAAGGAAATAACTTAAGTCGCACAAATACATAAAAAGAAATTATCTCTGTTGAAAAAAAGACTTATTGTACAGGTAATAGTATAAATATCTATTATCAAATCATGTTCGAAACAGTTACAAATAACCTTACATTTTCCCAATATACTAAACTTTTTGTAAGTCAATTTTTGACCTTCAAGTGTGGCCTTGACCTTAAGCTGGCACAAGGGTAAGATGGGTTCTGCACATCGCCCAATTGGGGTGTACATTTGAGTAAAGTTTTAAGAAAATCCTTCCATTAGTATAGAATTTATAGAGCGGACACAACATATATTCTAGTATTGATTGTATGTAAATTTAAAGACTTAAAAAGGGGCATAACTTTGTCAAAATGCAATACTGAGTTATGAAACTTGACCTGCATATCGTAATTGTGACACCTCATATATCTTTTAAGTTTCAAGCAAATACCTGTGCTAGTTTCAGAAATATTCAAGAACATGTTAAAATCTAAGAACATTTTCTAAGTCAATTTTTGACCTTGACTTTTAGACTGCACAAAGGTGACATGGATTCTGCACATAACCTTGTTTAGGTGAACATTTGAGTAAAGTTTGAATTCTTCCATTAGTATAGGATTTATAGAGCGGACACGACATATTGTCTAATATGTGATTGTATGTAAATTTGAAGATTAAAAAGGGGCATAACTTTGTTTAAATGCAATACAGAGTTATGAAACTTGACCAGCATATCTTAATTGTGACATTTCATATATATTTTAAGTTTCAACCAAATACCTTTCCTAGATTCAGAAATATTCAGATATATGTTAAAATTTAAGAACATTTTCTAAGTCAAATTTTGACCTTCAATTGTGACCTTGACCTTAAGCCAGCAAAAGGGTGACATGGGTTCTGCACATCCCCTTGTTGAGGTGAACATTTGAGCCAAGTTTGAAGAAAATCTCTCAATTAGTGTAGGACTTACAGAGCGGACACGACATACTGCGTAATATTTGATTGTTTGATATTTGACCTTCAATTGTGACCTTGACCTTAAGCCGGCAAAAGGGTGACATGGGTTCTGCACATCCCCTTGTTGAGGTGAACATTTGAGCCAAGTTTGAAGACAATCTCTCAATAAGTGTAGGACTTACAGAGCGGACACGACATACTGCGTAATATTTGATTGTTTGATATTTGACCTTCAATTGTGACCTTGACCTCAAGATGACACATGGGCAACATGGGTTCTGCACATCCCCTTGATGAAGTGAACATTTGAACCAAGTTTGAAGAAAATCTTTCAATAAGTGTAGGACTTACAGAGCGGACACGACATATTGTGTAATATTTGATTGTTTGATTTGACCTTCAATTGTGACCTTGACCTTAAGATGACACATGGGCAACATAAGTTCTGCACATCCCCTTGTTGAGGTGAACATTTGAACCAAGTTTGAAGAAAATCTTTCAATTATTGTAGGACTTACAGAGCGGACACGACATACTGTCTAATATATGATTGTGTTTGATATTTGACCTTCAATTGTGACCTTGACCTTGAGCTGACACATGGGCAACATGGGTTCTGCACATCCCCTTGCTGAGGTGAACATTTGAGCCAAGTTTGAAGAAAATCCTTCAAGTGGTATAGGAGTTATAGAGCGGACACGAAAATGGAGACGGACCGACCGACCGACCGACTGACCGACCGACCAACGCGACAAAGCGAATCCATTATAGCCCCCCCCCCACATTTTGTGGTGGGGGTATAATTATAATATTACAAAGCAGGGTCAAGGTAACTATTGAATTTTGTTTTATTTACATTTATATGCTTTTTAACTCAATTATTTAAATTATTAGCAAATTGTTTTGTTTCTTATACAGTGCTAGTGTTATCCATTTATTTGAAAATATTGGTAAACAGTATGAAGCCACTGATACAAGTAGAACTTTACCCCTAAAGTGCTGGAACTGAAAGTGTTAAGCCTTTGCCACAATTATAGAGCCAGGCCAGTCTGCACAACCATGTAGTCTGACCAGGCACTATACTGTTGGCTGACAAACTTAAAATATTCAAGTTGATATCAATATAATTGATTATGGACAGTCCTAAAATGGAAGTGGGACAAGTCCGCATGTTCAGGGTTAAGATAATTATCTAACTTGTCCATACCTTTTAAAAAAAGATAAAAAGGTTAATAATTAGGGAAAATAGCTGCAATAATGAAGTTATTATCAAAGATTGGTAACTAATTGTGTAAGTTATAAAACAATTATAACAGGTAGAACTAAAGTTATATCTAACTTGCTTAAATATGTTAACTTTGTATGGACAGACAAACAGCCGAATGGTAAGAAGGTTAAATTGGCCAGTACTGTGCACCGGTGCATATGAAAAACGGTACTTAAATTTAAAATATGGAATATGGGTTAATGAGTAATAATAGAGTAGCTTAAATCTCTTGTAATTTTACTTCATTACTTGTGCCACTTAAATTCTCGTTTTTCACATTCATATTAAAACTGTTACATTAAGGTTAAGATTAATGCCTTTTATGTAATTAAACTTGACAAATCTAATATGTTATTGTAACTTTAACTTCTCAAGAAAAAGAACAATGATAATAATACACTGTAATGATATTTTAGAAACATTTAAGAAAATTTAGCAGCAATACAAATTGGCATGTATCTCCATCTATTAACATCCAGGCTAGTCTGTACATTCATGCACTCTGACCTGTAGACACAACTGTTATCTTATCAGTTTTATATATTTATCTTGAATTCCCTTTAATCAACAGTTCAATGCAGGACAAGTTTCTAACTCCAATCATTTTTAAAAGTAATCGAACTACATATACTGTAGACTCTTTAAAGCATTATGCCTCCAGATTCATGCATATTTTCATGAAAATTTTGAAAATGTATTTATAAGTAAAATTTGTGAAGTAAACAAATAAAAGTAATTTACACATTATAAATGGCACTTATAATCCATGTAAATTACCAAAAAGAGGTCAAAATATGCAAAAATAGCCCTTAATACTGCATTAGTCATGCAGTAAAAAGTGGTGGTAAATACTGCCAAATCAGTCATTAATTGCACATAACATGTAAATTATTACTTCAATCTCTTTAATTTCTCAAAATCTTAGCATATTTTTCTCAAGTTTGATTTTATTGAATATATTTTAGCTCATCTGGAGGCATGTAGCTTTAAATGAACAATGGAATGTTGCAAATTCAATGCAAGATATATCTTGTACAGGTAGCATATCAATGTGGAAAATAATCAAAGAGTATTACCTGTATGATGCTGTCAGACTTGGCCCTCACCTTCTCTCTCAGCAAGGCTTCTATCTCTATACTAGATAAACTAGCATTTGGAGACAGAATACCATTATCTGATGCTGAACCTACAAATACAACAAACAAAAACATGTACACATATTTTCAAATTTGCAGATATATTATCGAGGACTTTTGGGTCAATATCATTGAATATGTGTGGTACTCACAACTTTTTCCAAAGGTTGGCCAAAAGTTTCTAACTTTAAGTTATGCAACAGTCAGGAATGCAAGCTGTTTTTATGTAATGATAATGAAAGAGAAAGTAAAATCTAGGAGGCCATTCCACGCCTGAACACAAGACTGCAAAAATTCACATACATTTTTTTTGTATATTTGTTAGCCAGCCAATATACTGAAAAATCATTTTAATATTTTTTACTGACACACTAGTATCTTATATTTTAAATAGAATAACCATTCTTTATTTTGCTCCATCAATGGTTTTTGACCATTTCCCAAAGTGTTCTATATGTAAGCATATGACACACTTGGTGCCTTAATATCAGAATAAAAACAATATTGCACAAACATGTTTAAAACAGTTTTATATCAATATTTACTTTTTAAACATTCTTCATTGGTTGGGTTTTAAGTCACACTGGCACTTTATAGGTACTTTCCATTTGTACTGGTGGAGGAAGACCATGCTAAGATGCTCCTCTGAGCATTATTTTAGGCATGAGTGGGCACCAGAGTAAATACACCTACATTCCCTTAACTTACTTACATGAAACAGGGATTTTTTTGGCTTATTTTATGGCCATTATTCATGATTATTGGGTCAATTATTCCCAATTGAAAATAGTATATTATTTTCCCAATCCACAGGAAAAATTCCCAATTGGAAGTTACAAAATAAAAATATTGGATAAAAAATTCTAAAATCTTTGAAAATAAAGGCTTTCTCAATGTAATAGTGCTTAAATGTATGAAGATGCCATCCTAAGACAGTGATTGTTTGCTTTCATTTAATCACTGCAAAAATTCAGTCATGCATTTTTATCATTTTTTAACAAAACATCGCTAAAATTCCCAAGTCCATAGGTTATGGGTATGGGTCATATTCCAAAAATCCTGGAAAAAATCCCTTCGAAATAATCGAAAGTCTGTGTCAGTATTCTAACCCACAGCAGTCATGGACAAGTACATGTTGTTTTAAGTCAACAACTTTAACCATTCAGATATAAACATTCTTAAGAGTCTGACAAATTTTCATTTCCATAATGAATTTTTTTGATGCATAATGCTGGAACTGGTAAATAGTTGTATTAAGTTGGTTTTAAATATTGAGTTTTTAGGAGACATACCATTAAATATCTTTTATATGAAAAGAATGTACTGGTCGGAGACCATCAACCGGACACTTTTGGAACATTTTTCCATACAGATTTCATAATTTTTCACCTAGAGACCGAAAAATTTGACACAGTTCAGCTAGGTTCTTCTCCTAACTAACAAACTAGTTTGTTTATTTCTGATTGTATTGACACTTATATCTGAGGCTCGACAAGGAGGGTATCAAAATTACCTAAATTGTCTACACTACAGTACCATGTGTCCGGACAGATATGTACATGACGTGATTTAATTCAGATAAAAGCTTGGGTGTTTTGATTTTTGATTTTTAACATTACATACAATATTTCAGCAACAAATGCTTAAGTTTTGGATATTCTATTATTCACTCTGCAAATGATTATAGCTGGTATATGAGGTCAGGCCTTTCTTTCTTGACCCCCAAATGTAAACGTCAACATTCTTGAAATAGACGTTAAAATAATACCTTTTACGGAGGATGAAATAAATTTATTTACTTAATTTTAGAAGAATCATGCGTTTATTGTTGATAAAAAGTGACTGACAACCACTGGACAAAGAAAATACTAAATTAAGCATTTTCGGGGCCGTCCCGGTTTGGTGGTTGTCCGGTTTTGGTGGTCCCCAACCAGTATAGAGTCTTAGTATAAACAATAACTCCAGAAGTGGCTTATTAAAAACCTTGTTGACAGAGTTTACTTAAAATTAAAACAATGTTATAATATAACTTTACAGAAGGAAACATTATTATCATCAAATTAAAAGATAACTAATAGTAAATACAAAACAAATGTTGAACTGAATTACATACCAACAGAAGATGAACGCCCATTCCTCATTGAATTACGAGAACAGTCTCTTGTTCTTAGTGCAGGACGTGCTGTAAACTGGACCCCTGATGAATCAGGTAGGAAACCAGACATGACAGATGCCATGTTTTCTGAAAACAAGTCAAGAAAACAAATATAGTTTGTTTGTGTATTTTTTTAAACTGTAAAGTTGTAGGACGACTTTGATTCCCCTCCCCTACCCTATAAAAGCCAAGTTGTGTGATGTCATTCCTGTGAACCTTTTATGAATGAATTGCTTGCTGTGGATTAGACCAACTAATTGTACTGCACAACAAGATATTGTGCTATTTTGTGTCTGGGGAAAAAATCTCAGAATCTAGCTTTGGCACATCAATATATTTTGACTACCTGTGGATGACATCATTTCAGCAATATGAATGTAAATGTCAATTAATACAAGGAAAATAATCAAACACTGGCTGCTAATACAGACGGGAATATCTAGCTCTCCACGCTGACCAAGGATGTGTATATGAATCACTCGAATACAACTAGTCCTAAAACATAAGGCGTTTCCGTTAATAGAACGTACACTCTAACGTCTAAACTCTTATCGACTTCTTCATAAGTTCCTTTAGCAAAACAAGCAGCAATTTTGAAGCGCTATATAAACCGTCGTAATTTACTACAAAAACGATATTTTGAGTCAAAAGATATGCAGTCAGTAGACTTAAACATTTTTTATGTTATAGGACAAGAATACACCCAAATAAATGAACAAAACAATTCCCTTCACATATTAAACACAATAATGTAATCAACTACCTTGATGTCAGTCAAACAAGTTTCTATGTGATTTATCATTCCTTTTTCATGATATTTATACACAATTTATTAATACCACTATAGACTACTAATTATGATATTAACTGATTAATTAGTTTACATTATCCACGGGATAATATCCTAAAGTTTTATACATATCCTTGGATCGCGATATAAATGTCCACAATTACTTTATGACATGTTCTTCTTCCTTTAAATATGGGTCCTCAAATGTGCCAATTGGTAATATCAACGATATGATTCTTTTAAGTTTAAAAAACAGCTAGAAGACCACCGATGTAGATCTACATTTACATGATTTAAAAATAAAGAAAACTATCATGAACTTTCCACATTTCCAAACAATTATTTCATGTGGAAATAAGTGACAGTCATTGCAAAATGTAAAACGAACTGTTTTTCAGAAAAACTGGATACCTTACCTTATTGTTTTAAATCCAGAAACACAAATTAAACATCAGTGAAAGGACATCCAGCACCTGTTTCTTGCTTGGTTGCCATGCAAAATAAGACGGACATGTATATAGTTGACTGTATCGCTAAATTTCGTTAAATAAAATCAATAAACCAGTCTACCTAAAAGTTTTAGTCTACCAAAAGACTTTTTAAATACTACAAAGACATGAAAATACTACAAAGATAATTTAAAACACAGTATTGAATATATCTAAATCTTAAATCTACTGTAGTCATTTTTTAAATCTAGGTATTCAATTTATGGAAAATGGTAAATTTGCCAAAACTAGAAAACGTCTTATTGATAAAGCGAAGAATTCAATGTTCTCTTTGATAAAAAAAACTTGAAAATTGTTACCATCTGTAGATCAACAGTTCCACTTGTTTAACACGATAATTGTTCCTATTCTTTGTTATGGCTCTGAAGTTTGGGGAATAGAAAATTTAAAGTGTATGGATCAGTTTCAGCTTAAATTTTACAAAATTATATTTAACCTCAAGCAATGCTAAGTACTCCCAATTGTATATGGTAAACTTAGAGTTACACTGATATCGTTGCAAATATAAAGTAGAAATATTAACTACTGGTGTAAGCTTTTGAATGATAAAGATAAGATTTGTAAAATTTATAATTATAAGACTGCATTCTCTGTATATTTTAGATACAGAACTGAATTACCGTGGCTTTCTTTTGTTGAGGATATTACTTTGGACGAACTTGGTTTATCAAATTATTGGTTAAATAGAGAAAATAAGAATCCCTGAAGAAAGCCCAACACGGCAAAATTGAAAATGTTGCAGGCTTGGATTGATTTAGCCTGTTCATGGACGGTTCTGTCAAGTGCAAACTACCATCCACGCCCCATAGCACCGGCTTAAGCAGAATTTAACATATTTAAACATGAACTGGTACAATTTTTTTTTATGTCAATCTGTACCTAGTCCTAATTTCAAAAGTCATATTTAGTCCCAACTTTGAGATAAGGAACGGTGATGTCCAATCTTTAAACAAATGTTTAAACTACCGTTTATATCAATCAGAATTTGTATTCGAAGATTATTTTAACAGACTTCCTTGGCAACTGTCTTCAGCTTTGTTAAAATTTAGATGTATGAATCATAAAATACTAATTGAGAAAGGTAGATTCCTAAATATAAAGAGAAACTTACGTTTATGTAGTTTATGCGAGTCAAACCAACTGGGTGACGAATTTTACAATCGTTTTTATTGTTCAGACGTTGTTTATAGTAAATGTAAATTTATTAAACCGTATCATTAAAGGTATCCTATTGCATTAAAAATGAAGATCTTATGAATAGTAAAAACAAATCACATTTGAAAAACCTTGCTTTGTTTTGTAAAGAAATAATAACAACATGCAAATAATAAGTATAGTATTGTATCATAAGTCTCCTAGAACATTTTGTTAATGAAGCATAAATTTCGGTTATTATTAAGAATCTAATCATATCTTTATATTATTTGATGGGTACAATATAATTGTCACTCACTACCTGTTTTTATTTATATTTTTTGTTTTCCGGTTGTTACAAGTTCACAATTTTGTATTTTATGTCACATGTTCTTATGAACCATAACAGTATTGATTAAAATCTTGAAAAATATAAGGTTTTATGTACATTTTTCCGTGTTCCGGTTGTTACATTTTCACAATTTTGTATTTTATGCCACATGTTCTTATGAACCATGACAGCTTTTCATGAATCTTGAAATCTTGAAGATTAATCAACATATTCTTTACTGAAAAAAATGTGTTATCAACATAATAAAGACACATGTATATCAAGTAGTAATTTAATAATGACCACAACGTCCAGAACGTACAGTTTTTTGGTCAGTTATGTCGGCTTTCTAACCGATATTTAGCAAAGAATGTGTTTAACAAAGACTCATTAGATTTATGAAGTTTGATGCTTGTTATCTGGGATTCATTCCTGATATATTCAGACTCTTGCAAAAGTATAATCTGTCTCATGTACTCCAGATCTATCTAAATGAAGGGACATTTCCTTCAAAATATGTGTGGAAGCAAACATTGTTACAATATGTAATTAACCCTGATGTTCAAAACAGATATCTAAGACTTGTAGAACAGGATGAATTTGCGTTATTGTGCGAAATCTTGAAATCGAACAGTCACTGCTTATTATGGCAAACTGCTAGAGGAAATTCATATATGACAATGCTCTGTAAAAAAATTGATAGCTATCACTGGAAAAATATACTCTGCGAATTATTTACAGACGTGTTCAAAATGTTCATGTGTGTCAGATAATATTATTGTACATTTTATTATGTTCTGTAATGCAAATGAAAATTTACGGAGTGCCATGTTAAATCGTTTCATCACAGTGTTTGGGCTACGTCTATTCGCAAATCTAAGGTCGCAGAGCCCTCGTGAACAATGTATTACTTTGCTCAGATCGGCAATAATGATATGTAATAACGCTTTCTTGAATTGTTGGCTAGTGAGGTATATCAATGCCAATGTACCCCAAACATTAACTTAGGTTCTATAGTGAAATTATGTGACAGTCTATAATATATTATATTTTGGGTATGTTGTAATTGCAAATTGTACTTTTAGGTTTGTCCTCTATTTGCCTTAAGTCTCAAACTTAGTTTGTAGTTATGCAATTTTTGTTCTTATAATGTTAGAGTTTACAATGTGCTATGGGTGCACACATGTAGTCTGATTTATTTTTGCGTCTGTATTGTTATGCCTTAAAATTAACGATGTATGTTTATATAAACTTAAATGTCATTGTCACAATCACATAAAACGATCTTGCATTTATGATTTTGCTATATTAAGTTTTTTCTGATAAATATTATGTTTGTGGAATTTTTTTCATATAAAGAACCATCTCAGACATCCCATCCTTTTGCTGTCCAGCTTAATGTTTTCGTTTCGTTCTTAAGCAGGCTGTTGTTAAAGGTATTACTATATTGATGCTATTTTTTTGGTTTCAGTCTATTAAGTTTCGATCAATAATTTCGAAATAGACTGTTCTATCAAATAAAACTTTGCATTTACCACCAAAAAGTAGTGTCTCTTATGTTCTCACTTATCTTCAATATTTTGACTATTATTGTAGAGTTATATTAAATGTTACCTTGGTATAGGTAGCACAAATGTAACTAAATAAATATTCTACTAATTAATGAAATCTTACTTCAGTCCGTAGTCTTTGGCCTCTTTACAGACACTAAATATTTGCATTTGTTAAATATGTGTACGTGTTATCAAAATGCATTTGTGAACTCTAAAAAATTAGTACAATGTTATTGATATTTGACTAGTTTGTTGACATACTACTGTATTATGTTTGTTGAATTGTCATAATTTTGTATATATGTGTGATATTTATATGTATGCTTGTTCTGCTCTTCATTCAATGGAGGAATAAAAGATATAGATACATGTACTGCAACTAATGGATTTACATGTAGGACTTGTAAGATTCATGTGAGATTCTAATTATCACCTGGTTTATTATTTGTAATAAAAGTAGCAAATTGTAAACGAAATGCTATTATTTCTTTCATACAAAATAATAATTCACCATATCTGTATCTAGTTTGTACTTTATTCATAATAGAGAATCTATGTATTTTTTTCTATATGTTAAAATAAAATATCAGCCGTATTAATTTACTATTGTTCTTTCCCAGTTACATTTCCGTGTGGCCATGATTTGTAACACAATATACAAAGTTTAACAACTACTTGTGACAAAGCTTTGTTGTTCTTTAATGTGCTTCTATTTGTGTTTATTATTTAAGCAACCATCAATAATTTGACATTGACAGTATCAGAATGATATGAAAAACGACTCTATACGAAAATAATGTCTGTATAAAATAATATCTATAACAGTGTATAAATATATCTGTATAATAACAAAATCTGTAAAAAATAAGAAGTCTATATGAAAATAAGATATGATTCGTGACTGAGAAATCGCCAATAAACACTTTTAATGATGGGCTTTTATAAGTGTGTGTGTGTCAATTACGATAGGTGCGAAAATCCAATAATACAATCATCATAATTATTACCGCAATGATTGCTGCCGACAGTCATGTGCACGTGTCGTATGTAATATCATTTTTTCCCTCTCTCAAAATAATATAGAAAGAACTTGTCCATGCATTATCTAATTAAAGCACTTAAAGCAATAAAGTTTTATACTTTAATCTTTTACTAAATATGGATATTATTTTTATATTACATTTATTTTCAAATATCTTTTATTTTGGTATAAATCATTTTTATATTGATATCTTATTTTCATACTGTGTTCATACTGTGTAATAAATGTCTATACCCCCCCCCCCCTCCACCAAAACAAAAACAAAAACAAACAAAAAAATGAATTGCTGTGAAAGAATAAAATAAGCAGCAGCTTTTCTGATTAAATTTATAAAATATAAAAAAGTATCTTAACTGGTATGCTATATCATATTAATTTTAAATACCAAAATGTACCAGGAATATTTAATGGAAAAAGAAATATTTTTATTTTATTTATTTATTTATAGAGATATAAAGACTGCTAAGTCAGAATATTTTACTAACAAAATAGAGGAAAACAAATTTAATCCTAGCAAACTCTGGCAAAACTTAAAGACTTTGGGATATAAAAATGACAAGAAGAAATCTTCAAATATTGTATTATCAATTAATGGGGAAAACTGCCGTGATGCTGATACTGTTTCAAATTATTTTAACGATTTTTTTACAAGTGTTGCGTCTAAACTTGTTGAGAAATTACCTTCAAGTAAAAAATTGTATGGTTTAGGGTCTGAAAAGCTTTTCAATTTTTATAGTAAAAGAAATCCTGATAGTAATATTTTAAATCTACAACATGTATCTGAAAATTTTGTTTTTAAGGAACTATGCTACTTAAATATTAGTAAAAGCACAGGGTTAGATGGTATTCCTGCCAGATTTTTAAGGATGTTTCTATTGTTTTGAAAATACCAATTACTTACATTATTAATTTATCTTTTTCTGAAGGTAAAGTACCTGATTAAATGAAGTTGACTAGAGTAAAATACTTGATAAGAAAAATAGTGTTCTACAAGTTGGTAATTAAAGGCCAGTCAGTATTTTAAGTGTAGTTTCAATTTTTTTTAGAAAAAGCTACTTATGCTCAACTTGAAACCTTTTTTGGTTTCTAATAATTGATTGTATGAACAGCAGTTTGGTTTTAGAAGGTGTTTTTGTACAGATAGCTGTCTTATACATTTACAAGATGTTATAAGAATTAATACTAGTAAAGGTAAAACACACAGGTATGGTGATGCTTAATGACTTGCAAAAGGCGTTTGACACCGTAGACTATGATATTCTTTGTGGAAAGCTAGAATTAATGGGTGTTCTGTCTATTTCCTGGTTCAGATCATATCTTTCAGAACGTTCACAAATTGTTAATATAGGAAAACATAGTTTACTCTAAATCAAACAGTGTGACATGTGACGTCCCCCAAGGTAGTATTCTAGGGCCGTTGCTTTTTCTGTGCTACGTAAATGATATGATTTTAAGTATTGATAATGATTGCAAGTTAATACTCTATGCAGATGACAGCACTATTTTATTCTCACATAAAGACCCGAATTTCATCTCAGAAAAACTTGGGACAGCCCTAGAAAGCTGTTCAGAATGGCTCGTAGACAATAAGCTGTCACTCCACCTTGGTAAAACAGAATGTATGCTATTTGGCCCCAAAAGAAAATTACAAAAGCAAGAACAATTTACTGTTACATGTAATGGTCATAGCATAAAGGGTACTAATTTAGTCAAGTATCTTGGTCTTTATATCAATAGTGATTTATCTGGGGAAACTATTGTTAATAACGTTATTTCTAAAGTGAATGCCAAGCTCAAGTTTTTATATAGGCAGAGCAGACTTTTAGATACTAAAACAAAACAGCTTTTATGTTCAGCCCTGATTCAGTGTCATTTTGACTACTCTTGTTCCTCTTGGTATGAAGGTATATCAAAACATTTAAAAAGAAAGTTACAAATTACTCAGAATAAGGTATTAAGATTTGTCCAAAACTTACCGCCCAGAACTTCTGTAACAGTGTATGAGTTTGAAAAATTAAATTGGTTAAATGTAGAAAACAGAGTCAAACAGTTAAGACTAAATCATATGTATAAGATTTTTTACAAAAAGAGTCCATCATACCTTAGAGCCGACTTTAGATGTTGTGCTGATGCAAGATTTTACAATACTAGATCAAGCAATTTTAATTTTATTGTCCCCCAGTGTAATTCTGTGATGAAACAGACCTTTTATTATAATGGAATTAAAGACTGGAATGATCTGCCAGAATATATAAAATCCATTAATAATTTTGTGCAATACAAAAAATCTGTTAAAAAAGTACCTACTAGAAAGCTATAAAAGTCTTTCAGAAGATATATATGTGTACAACTAATGTGTTAGGCACTGTGATCAAATATTTCTGTGATAGTAATACTAGGCTTATTTTAAAAAGGGCATACTTTTATAAATATATTTCCTTTTTCAACCTAAATTTTGACCAAAGTTAGTTAGTTTATATTTTTATTTTTTTATCTTGTTTGTTTTTTAGGGGGGGAAAGGGTTAAAATTATGTTAGTTTTTTTTATTTCTATGGACCCCATTGGAAATAAGCATTTAGCTTAATGGGCTATCCATAGGTGCATAGTACCTCTTATTTTTTATGACAAAAGTGTGCTCTTTTATGCTGTTTTATGATCTCATTTTATATATATGATTTATTTATGTTATCTCTTAACTGTATGATTTTATATTATGTATCTTGTGCTATGTTCCTAAAATGTATAAATAAAAAATAAATAAAAAATAAATACTGCAGTACTGTATAGATATGCACGGATTTATATTACAGATTTTATTGTTCACAGATTTTGTTATCATACAGATATATTTTTATACAAATCTTATTGTCGTTAAAGATTTTAAAGACATTTTTTTCATATACCGGGGTTTTGTAATATTCGCTGAATGCTCTTTTCGTGTCATCCTATCATTTCTCGTTTCAACAATGTTTGTACAATTTTTGCAACGTCATCAATACCTGTGTAGGAGGCGAAAATGGCAGGCACTGGGCAAACTGCAACAGCTAGGATTCAACCTAAGAAACAGACGCTTGAGGACGCATATTCTCCTCCTGCAAATTTTTTAGAGATAGATGTATTAGATCCACAAACACACGGCGTAGCCAAAAAACGTTACACAGATTATGAAGTCAGAATTCGGGTAAGAAAATAACAAAGTAGGAAGTATGGGATTTCACATGATTCAACCAAGACCAAATCATGTTAAGTATGTAAAATAAAATGATTATTTAAAAAATCATTGACATATGTCTGTATATCTTGCAAATAATATGAAAAAGGCAAAGCCTCAAAGCGAGCTCGATTTTCTTTTACCGTGAAATAGTATAAAATAATCGTTAAAACTTAAATTTTATTTTACATTTTCCTATTTAAAATTGTCATTCGGTATTATGGTTCCAATTATACAGGGCTCTCAGTAGGGTCAGAATTTCACGAGTCAAAGACTCTTTGGCCAAAATTTTCATGAGTCAAATCATTTTTTTCTAGTGTCATTTGACTACTTGAATCATTTTTATGTTACAAAAATGGCTATATATGAGGTCATTCTTGGAGATTCCAAAGTCTAAATTGACAGAAAAAAATGCCTAATAATAAATGTCTATACCCCCCCCCCTCCACCAAAACAAAAACAAAAACAAACAAAAAAATGAATTGCTGTGAAAGAATAAAATAAGCAGCAGCTTTTCTGATTAAATTTATAAAATATAAAAAAGTATCTTAACTGGTATGCTATATCATATTAATTTTAAATACCAAAATGTACCAGGAATATTTAATGGAAAAAGAAATAACAAATGCACAGGTACTCCAAGTAAATCAAAGACGTAATATAAACCTTGAAAAGCAATCAATAATTGACACCTCAAGTATGTTGTGTAGAGCTATTTTTAGCGCTGTCAAATTGCAGCCACTGAATTGTCACGCTTCAGTGCACAGGCTTTAAACAATTGCCGTGTGTAAAGCATTTTATACACGGCTTATACTGCCTGTTGACATTTTTAATGAGTGTGATTTGAACATATGTAGGATTTGATAGGTAATTAGGGGTGGATTTAAGGTAATTATTATTGCATAGCTGAAAATCCCATGTGGCAAATTGACTCTTGAGCAGATTTTATCACGTGTCAAATTTGTGCATTTCCCGATTTTCACGAGTCAAAACCTGGATCCCCGTGTCAATTGAGAGCCCTGCGATATAAGTGCGCAGGACACCACTCTATGCTTCCGTTTTCAATCATATTAGCTCGGCTTTTATCGTTATCTTGAAATTCGAAAAGTTGTGATGCGTCAATTCGGACAAAAGTTTTCATAACCATTACTATCTAGCAGTACTCGCGTTACTGTATAGCTCGATTTGCGAGCAGGCCCTTTGGGCCAGCTCTTCGAACTCGTTATTAATTTACTTGATGTCTCTTTCTCCAAGGATAGCATAATTTATGATCCTGCGACATAAAATAACCAGACCTAAGAATGTATTATCTTGTAGATTATTGTTTAGCAAATGAACAGTTAACTGAGTTAAACTCAATAAAATTCTATTCATCTCCATATCTAAGCTATTGCTTATATTTAAAAATATGATTAAATTATTAAACAAGATTTTTTTCAAATCTTAGCGAAGTGAACTAGTTGATGCTGTCGCCAAATTTCATGTCACTGTCAGCTACATATTTTGGGGTGTGCAGAGACACATGGCTAATTATAAAATTCTACTGAATCGACTAACGCCTCCCCCTTCCCTAACAACAAAAGTATTTGACAATGTTTTATACATACACAGTTGGTAAAGTTTTATACTTAAGCATAAGGCCGATTCCGTAGCCGCTCGAGTTAGAATTTTAATGAAATAAGTATGTATTATCATGGGCCCGACTTAACTCTCTAGCATTGAAAAACATTATAATGAAACTAAATGGGAACCCTTAGCAACTCGCAAGAAAAACATAAACTTATAACATTTTACAAATTACAAAATAAATAAGAGCTATCACCCAAGTGAGGAATGCCCCCGAAAAGGTTTCTTAAGCATGCAGGTATTATGAAAAGAAGGAGAATTAACTCATTCAACCCTGTACACGGTCTACCACTTAAACCCTACTGATAACTGATAAGCCAACTCCTAGGTACCTTATTGATTTTATCTAAACTGTCTCCCTGAGAGATATTGCACTGTTTTATTGACAGGTCATAAATAATTGGGGGGTGCATTATGTAATTTGCCTCTGGCAATCTCATTTTTAATCCAATCAAGCTGAAATGACACATAAATGTTGGCAATAAAATTACCTAATCAGTGGTGTAACTTCCATCACTATGGCAACATGTTGGACTGATTTATTATCAATAAAATAAAGAAGATTTTCAACATAAAATCAGTTTATTTGTAATAAAAGAACTTTATTTAATAATTTATTGTATAAATTTCTATTAAAACATTTCTATTTAAACAAACAATTTTTAAATCAATTTAGTATTTCTATTGTTTTATAACGATGATTTAGCAAGATCTTATCTATTATTATAAATCCATTGCTAGCATTTTTAAGCACAGAATATTTCTTTTTTTTTTTAAATCAAAAAAAAAAAAAAAAAAAAAAAAAAAAAAACTAACATTGATTTATCATAATAATTTACATGTGTTATATAATATATGGCTCGTGAATGCAGAGGGGTCAGATTTCAAGAATATTTAGTGTTAAGGTGTGGGGCGTGGCCCTTTCCTCCTGTGGTGATAGTAGTGATGTCATCCTGGGGGTCTGCATGCGCTGTGGGGAGGTATCTGACTCCCTCGGTACTGGACCTTGGTGTAGCAGTACTCATGCTATCCAGGTTCGTTAGGTTCAATATTCTTTTAGTCTGATGTCGCTGTATTCATTCTTTTATCAATCGTTCATATATTTTCTGTTGTAAAGTATGACAACAAAACAATGAAAATCATCAATATGCATTTAAAGTAGCTTTTAATATTTATTTATGAGTTTATGTTAAAAGGCACATTATTTCTTACACATTTATATATTGAAGACAATTTTAATGTATGACAATAATATTGTAAAGTGAGTTTTAAGGATCTTTAAGTTATATTGTATTAATATGTAAAAATAATTCCATAATTTATACTTTTAATTAGTTAATGCAAAATATTTTTAATGTTCATAATCCTGTTCATTTATATTGTTTTAGACATATATGATTGATGTAAAGCGCCTTTGAACATTTTAATGAAAAGGGCGCTATATAAATGTGGTATTTATTATATTATTATTATAAAACATTCTTCTCCATAATAATTTAAAAAATATATTGAGAAATTTACTGCTTATTTACAAATTAGAAATGAATACTTTGGAAGCATTATGCAAATAAATAAGTATAGTAATGATACTAATGAGCAAATATAAGTATTATGTTATGGAGCTCATAAAAACAGACAAGAAATGTAACATTTATGGTGCAGAGGTGTATATACATCAGAAATTCATATTCATTGAAAAAAAACTTTTATTTTCCTGTTGTTTTTTTTTAAGAAAATTTCAAAGAAAACAATAAATAATATATCTTTACTACTGGGTCTAAAAATAAGAAAATATTAGCCGGAAAAAATAATCCATATATGAAATATGAATGAAAATTGTTATATGTGTGGATTAATTTTACATAATTTCAAAATTATATATAATAATTATAAAAATTATATATAATAATAATATAATAATAATATAAAAATAATTACAAAACTGTAAGGTATTTACATTTTTGTATTTCTTACATTAGAACAGTTACTCTTATTTTTCTAGAGCTTTCAATTATGTTACTTTTCTTGATAAAAAGGAATGAAAAAAGGTCATCAACTAGACTAAATATTTTTGTAAACAAAATCAAAATTACTGTCTACAAAGTAGCTCAATCAGAAACACAGAAAAGAACAGTTCAAAGAAATCAAAGTCATTTGAATCCGAATCAAGATCTGGATTTGGGCCTGTGAATGGTCTCTTAGGCAATTCTGACCGGTCGTTTGTCTTCCACTGAGAATATTCCACATTTTCGTCCGCACTTTCATTTTCACTTTGACTGTCACTCGATCTATCAGATTGATTCTATCTCACTTTCACTATCGAGACTAATGTCACAATCCGAAATTTGCGCCATTTTCCGTGTCCGTATCAAACATAATGTCAAATAAATTCTTCCGATTTTCCATTTTTTTAACGCAATATAACTTATTTTCAGATAGAGATATTTCGGTAAAATTTTCACTTTCGTATAGGTAAACCTCTATACTATACATATAACGCGTTTCCTGATTGGTCAAAATACCTCAAATCTAAATATAACCCGTCGAAACAACCAATGAAATGCGCCGACATAACTCGTCACGCGGTATACAGTAGTAGTTCAATACGCGACGACTACTCTCGTCATGCGGGATAGCCGATAAATTTTATACGACGACTATACTCGGCGCGCGGTACACGATAACAGATAAAGACGACGACTATACTCGGCGTACGGGTCGAATGAGTTAAAGTAACTAATTTCTGAATATTGTTCTTTGTATTATTGTACCTGTAATCTCTAATTGTGATAGCATGAACCTTCAAAATATAAGTGTGACCTTGACCTTTGAGGTAGGGACGTTACACATCGTCTTGATGTGGTAGACATTTGTGCCAAGTTATTTCAAAATCCCTGAATGTATGACAAAGTTAGTCCAGACATGAATGAAGTGGGGATGGATGGACAGACGGTGCGATTATATTATGCCTCCTCTTCGGGGGCATTAAAACTACATTTGACCAAATTACTTATCAATTATCAAACATAATTCCTGAACAAAGACAAATAGATACCAATTACTTACTGTTGGCCAGTATGTGTGTTTGTGCTTGTAAGGTTTTGATTGTTTATTTTTTTTCTTTTATGCATACATTAGGATATAAAATTGAGATTTGAAATTCTTGCAGCTCTATATTTGGAATAATCAAGATGTCAACAAATTGGATGTTGTTTTTATGGTTTGGGATGCCCAAACCACTTAGGGATAGGAGGAGTCATGTAGAACTTTCCTTGTTTGTTTGTTTGTCATACATTAGTAGACTGACAAAACAGTTGATGCATCTGTGTTTTATGGACACATTTCTAGTTGTTTTTTACCTTGCCTACTTCAACCATACTGTTATATGGTGCTTGAATACTAACAGTTAATTACTAACATCTTAAGTCAGTTAACTGTTCTACCAGTTAGTACAAGTACTCATATTTGTTAACTTGGTCACATGAATCTTAACACAACTTGTTCTGCTCTGTTTAGACAACAATAAAAAAAACCTGTTAATAATTTATTAATACTGGTATTACAGTTTTGAAACCTGTTGATGTGTGGTTCCTGGCACTGTATTGCACAATCTATTGTCATTTTATGCCAAGATTTTCTATCAGGCAATCATCAATAGCATTATCCAGTTAGTGTCAGAAAAAATAAAACACTGCATAAAACCATGAAATTTGTTAATTCCCAATGATATGAAATGCTTAATTTCTGGTTTTTCATAATTTCTTTGTTTATTTTTCAGACAAATTTACCAGTTTTTAAAGTGAAAGAATCAAGTGTTCGAAGAAGATACAGTGATTTTGAATGGTTACGAAATGAATTGGAGCGTGACAGTAAGGTATGTTGTTGTTATTGGTAATAATGTAATATTATTTTAGATTACTTGAATATTACAGACGGTAAAATTTTCTGAAAGAACTTTTCCAAAATTTTTTTTTTTTGCTTTTAAAAAAAGATATAGTAAACATTAAGAAAGTGAATATCAAACAGTGGTTTTTGGTGGGTCACTACAGATAGGAAACAGATATTGTAATCTATTCTGACATGGTACAATGTATATACATGTAGCAAGCTTATGTTTTGGATTGGGATTGCTTTTGGGTCTCCTAGGGTCAAGGTCACTGTTGCTTAAGAAATAATATATCCCAAACAGTGATTTTATCGCTCAATAACATCACTGTTTGGAGTTAAGATGCGAGGAATTATATCACGAGGGCGTAGCCCGAGTGATATAATGATGCGCATCTGAACGACAAACAGTGATGTTATCAAGCGATAAAATCACCGATTTGGATATATTATTTCGATTCTAACACAACATCAACAAATAAGTGCTGCCGTACCTGTTATTAAGCAAAATTATTGCGCCTGATTTGTTTCCGTACTTATTTTCAGGGCGTTGGATTTTTGGTGGTAACGTCACGTGTATAATGATTACGTCACATGTCTAAATAAAGAACGTCAAACTGTGACTCTGTTGCATAATTACACACACTTTCGGTTCTTCTATGTTCAATAGGGAAAAATGCGGGTCGTGTTAGAATAAGAAATAGATAAATGGTTTCTAGTTTGAAACCTGGTTCTATGGCATAGCCTTGTTTCATGTTTTGTCTGCTAGAATGGCTTTGCATTTTTAAATTTTTTAATCCTTATCCCCCGGTACTAAGGGAATTTTTTTGGGTATTGGGGTTATCTCTTATTAAGAGAAAAAGTAAAAAATAGAATTAATCAAATTGTAGATTGTAGTACCTCCTTTGCCTGGTAAGGCCTTTAAAAGACAGCTGCCATTCCGAGGAGATTGATGGTATTTTTGAGGATGAATTTATAGAAGAAAGAGAAAAGGATTGGAATGTTTTGTCAATAAGTAAGTTAAATAATTGGCTTTTTAGAGTAAATTTTTTGTAACAAAGATATACAAAAAGGGAGGGGAGAACAAATTAGACTTTTTATTGGTTCTGGTCTTTTTCAAACCTTCATCAGGATGCAGTATACATGTTTTTTAGTTTTAATTACTTGCTAAGTTTCACTGTTATGTACATTAAGAATACAATAAATTGCTGTTTTAAATGGCTAAAAAAAATATGATGGTGAGAAATATTGAAGTGACATATTAGTTTGTATTAATTATTAGAGCCTTTTTGCTGTGCACAACATTCAAATGTTTTTTGTAGAAAAAAAAAAACTAGGGCATTCATTTTTCAGAGTAGGTATTATTTTATTGCTCTTCAGGGATCTCTGCTTTTTCATATTTTGACACAAATTTATTTATGCTTTTTACTTGATTACAACAAATTTTGATAAATATATCTTGTATTTTTGCGGGTTGCTGAGTCATCCGTTAGCGCAGAATGAAAAATGTCTACATATGTTTTTTACAAGAACCCAGTAATAGACCAAAAATTATGTTCCTGGAAAAAATCAGAAAAACTTGATTCAATAAAATTCACTTCATTTACAATGTTTTGAACATTTTACTGCATATTTTATTATAACTAAAAATACATCTGTTTCATACAGCCACACAAAATGTTGGCTGGCTTGAGTTATAATTAGATACTATATAAACACATAAAGATGTTACTTATAATTTTATTGTTATATTTTAGTTAACAGCTTTTGTTGTGAAAAACTGTTGATGATTTGAACATGTGACAGTTCTTTGCTATTCAAAGTTAAATTACGAGTTGGCAGTTTTAAAAGAAAAGGGAACTTACATATTTCACCTGATGCAGAAAAATTTTTCTAAAGTTCATGAAACAAAATCTGTATTGCATACTGAATACTAATATTAAAATGAAATGAAATGTTAAAAGTAGTGTTTTTTTGGTGTTTTTTTAATTGGAAAGCATTGGCCAATGTATAATTAACAATATTTTGAAATTAGGCATTAAAATAAGATGGCACCACATGGGCAAATTATGAATTTTAAAAGGTTTTTTTGTATCTATATAAGGGTATGGGGGATAGGCTTTTTATGTCGTAGTTGTCTAAAAAAGGGGGAAACACTGGACATGGTTTTGCATTAACATGTTTGCTATACATGTATGTCTTGATACTTTTTTATAATAAAAAAAGTAAACTAAAAATTCATTTTTGAAAGATAGTTAGCATTGGATACAAAATGTACATGTATTATTGTTTTTAAAGTGCATTGCAGAAATTGCGATTATAATGACAATGTTCAAATATTTAAATTGAAACTTCATAATTTAATTTGATTTTGCTTCATAAAAATGGGCATTTTTTTAAAATTTGAAATATGTTGATGATTGTGTTCTTCAATGTGGTGGAGCCTTTATCAAAATTACATTCTGTTGATGTTTAGTGAACAAACTTAAAACTAAGATGAACTTTTTTATGAACTACAATGTATTGTTATATAACTTTTATTATAACTTCAGAGTAAAGATTTTTAATTTATAAAGAGGTAATATTTTCTTATTGATAAAAGTGTATTTGATTCTGTCATTAAGAAAAAAATGTAAGAAAAGGGGTGGTGAAATTGATTTATTGATATTTTATCATGGGTAGCTAAACCGTCTAAATCTCTAAGATAAACTTGTCCATCTGGACTTAACCATTAATAGCTTTTTAGGGAAAATCTTTACTGGCTGCCTGCTTATCTTGGTCTTAATTGATCAGTTTTAGTAGATTCCACATTCAGGCTTTAGAGTTAAGCAGGAAAGTTTGCATGTTGCGATGAAAGTATTCGTTAACAAGAATTCTCCACGATAAAACTGTCAACAAGGAAAGTCTTGCTTTGAAGCAATAAACAGAAAAAAAAGCATTTTTTTAAAACTTATTGGATTTGTTTCTGTTAATAAAGATTGTATATGCAATAAACGGATTTGAATTTTTTTAAAGTAGATATTTTTTTTCCTTTTTCTGCAGCCTTAGGTAATATGTTAAACACAAATGAATATTCTTTTGTTTTTGTAGAAAGTTTGGTGAAAAATGAACAAGATTTGAATTGGTTCTGTGATAAAAGAGGCTATTTTTTAAAATTTACCATGGAACATTAATTAAAATGTACATATATTGATATAAATGTATAAATATTTTTGCACAGATATAATAAGAATGAATGTTTATATGTTGAATGAGAGAGTTTGATTAATATATTGTATTAATGAATGAATGGATGTTGTTAATTTTGGTGCCATTTTTGATACAAATAAGAATTTGAAAAAGTCAGCAAAATATCACAAGAAACTGAATACCAACATATAACAAAAATAGACACTAAAGTTCTATCAGTGTTAACAAGCTAATCAAAACAAACTTTTTTGTTGTGATTGATTTTGGAAAGTGTGTGTATATTCTTTAAAGTTTGGAGGCCTTTGATTTATGGAAAGTGTGTATATTCTTAAAAGTTTGGGCCTTTCTGGTTGAAATTGTTAAATTTTACCTGTAATCATTTGGTCTTCACTTTTACTTGTCGTGTAGTCCTTGGATATAAAAATTTCTTTTGTATGAGGAAAATATATCAGTTATTTTACAGTGCAGATAGTTTATCTAAGGAGCTTGTCGAAATCATCATGCCACAAATTGAGCATCAAGGGTCTTTTTACATCTGAGCTCTATGTACACCAGAACTGAGCTCTATGTACACCAGAAAACTGAGCTATATGTGACACCAGAAATGAGCCCATATGTACACCAGAACTGAGCTCTATGTACACCAGAACTGAGCTCTATGTACACCAGAAATGAGCTATATGTACACCAGAACTGAGCTATATGTACACCAGAAATGAGCTATATGTACACCAGAACTGAGCTATATGTACACCAGAAATGAGCTATATGTACACCAGAACTGAGCTCTATGTACACCAGAACTTGGGTTCACCAGATAAAAGTGGATAGCGGTTCTATGGATTTATATAGCTTAAGCTTGACAAAAATAAAAAGTCCTGTAATTTTGGGTAAATTTTTATAAAATAAAACTTTTTGCTAAAATGCTGGAAAACCACCCAAACAAGTACTTAAATGGGTTTTAGGGGTTTTCCCCCTACATATTAAAATTGTTTTAAAAACTTTTTTTATATATAAATGAAGTGAAAAATAAAACATTTTCTGTGATTTAAAAAAAAAAAAAGTTTTTTTGAAAGGGTTAAACCCTCAACATAGCAAAAAAATAACCAAATTTCTATGTTTTTGGAAACAGAAAACTTAATAAAATTTCACTGAATTTTTATTGGGTTTCTTTTTGTTGATTTCAAAAGTTTTTGTCATTATTTTGGAAAATTTTGTTTGTTTGATTGGGCCCTTAGAACCCCAAAACATAACTATTTAAATAATATTCATTTTCTTGTTTTTATAAGCAAAATTTTTTGTATTGGAAATAATATATGTTTTTTCTCTTTTATAATAAACCCTTTTTATTTTGTTAAATTGTTTTCTTGTTGATGTTGAATTCAGTGTTAAAATTGGGTTGCATGTCCAATACCAATGAAGGGAGGGAATATTTTTATTGTTGTACCAACGCTTGAAAAAACTCATTTGGTAAATAATGGCAGAAAATAAACCAACACCGATTTTCTTTACTTTATGATCCAAACCAATTCGGCATGCCATAACAAATGCTAATGTTTTATAATATTGGAATAGGGGGTTTTTAAATTTTTTTAAAGAATAATTAGTTGATAAAATAAAGAAAGCTTGCATCTATAAAGGGCCAAAACTTGATTAATCATTTAGAAAATAATTGATTTAAAATAATTTTTTTCAGTTTAACTTACGAAAAAAAAACCAAAAAACACATTGGTTATATAATAGTGTACTTTTTTTTGAAGATTTTCTATTTATTGATGTTACAATAATATGAACAGATTGACTTGGCATTTGCATTATTTAGAATATAACTCAGAAGTAACCTTTTCTTTTGCCAAGTTGGGTGGTATTTAAGCAGGTAGACGATGACAAATCAAAAAGGTAAAAGTAATTTTTGAGATGTGTTTTTAGAATAATTCTTCAGAAGCTGATAGACTCATGGTAAATATGCAGAAATAACACCGTTTTCTTTCTTATGACTCCAACCCCAATCGCATGCATACATGTATGTTTTATATTGTAGGGTTATTTTTATAAAAGATATTAGTTAAAAATAAAGAAAGCTTGCATCTATAAAAGGCCAAAACTTGTTAGATCATTAGAAATTTGTTAGAAATTTTTCAGTTTACTAGGAAAAAAAAACCCAAAACACATTGGTTATATAAGTGTACTTTTTTTTGAAGATTTTCTATTTATTGATGTTACAAATATTATGAACAGATTGACTTGGCATTTGCATTATTTTAGAATATAACTCAGAAGTAACCTTTTCTTTGCAAGTTGGGTGGTATTAGACAGGTCAGACGATGACAAATCAAAAAGGTAAAAGTATTTTTGAGATGATGTTTTAGAAATAATTCTTCAGAAGCTGATAGAAGAACCATTAGACTTGCTTCTCCACATGTAGTGTATCTTTGCTTTTTCTACAATTACTTATAAACCTTATGTTATTAAGCCTGTCAATATTTTGAATTTAAGACTTTTTAAAGAATTAACAAATTAGTACAACCATTTAATATTGAAAGTAAAGGAGTTGTTATGTCAAATTCTTAACTAGAAACTCAGTCAAAAATAAAATGTAAAGAGAAGCTTTAAGTGATATAAGTAACAAATTTTAAGCATAATGTCTGTTGTAAATAAACATAAACGTAAATTCTACAGTTTCTTTGTTACTTTACACTCTTACTTATTTTCTGTAATCACTCCCAGTGGTTTTACTGCCTGTGATTGAGCAATCATGATATCATTTGTACCAGCAGTCAGTGTAAGATTTTTATGAT